ACCCACTGAGATAGGAAAGGGTGTAGTTCACCTTCCGTTGGTCGGTGAAGTACTTGGGACGGTCATTGAAGACCAGGGCGAGATTGACGAAGAACGTCTTGAGTTTTCGGGGATCCGAACCGTCGAATACCTCGGGTTCCTTGACCTTACTCTTAGATTCAGAGCTGTCAGAGGGACGGCCGAGTGCGGCGAGAACGGTACCGAGGGTTTCAATGGAACCCTTGAATCCCGAGAGAAGATCCAACATAGCTCGTTGCTCGTTGGGGATGTCAGGAGAATTAGGAGAACGAGGACCACCAGGTCCACCAGGACCACCAGGTCCGCCGGGACCGCCGGGACCGCCAGGCCCACTGGGGTCACCAGGCTCACCACGCGGTAAACCGCCGGAGTCGTCATCCAGATCGTCATTGTTGTTGTCGGCACCCGGATCGTCGGGGTCGACAGGAGGGTCTTGATCATCGTGATCGCCAGTATCCAAATCGAAATGAGGAGGTGGGTCACGAGGAGATTCAGAAGCAGCTCGACGTTGGGGTTGTTTTCCCGTACGGCGGGCTATGGCTTGGAGAATTGGAGAATCAATTCGAGCAGTTGACCGGCCCCGAGCCGGAGCGACCACGGGGGGTTGTCCACGGCGAGGGGTCAAGACTTGGACAGGTTGTCCGTCACCGGTGTACAAAGTGCTGTACTCAAATTGCTGATCTTCTTCCATGGCTTCAGGAAGAGTTGGCGTAGTAGGAACTGTGGCTGGACCGAAACCGCGATTACGGCGACGTGGTTGACCGATGGCAGAGATAGAGTCAGAGAATGGGGCAAATGATTGAGCTGTGGTGAAGAAAGTGTTTTCTTCGGAATTAGCTCTGGATTGAGCTCGAGTTTTCGGAGGCATAAAAAATGATATGTCAGTACGACGTTACGGATTGAGTTTAATTATACTGTTAAGATCATGCAACCTGTGTAACCGTGCCAGAGGTCACAGAGTGTCTAAGTGCGGAATACGAATGGGACAGTAGTGAAGTTATTAACAACACCGCCGTTACGCCGTATGTCCCCGGAGGTCGAGAGTATAGAAGAGAGGAGCTGAGTAGCAGCCAAGTCGGAGCGGCGATAACGCCGGTGACGAGGAGCTGAGTAGCAGCCAAGTCGGAGCGGCGATAACGCCGGTGACGAGGAGCGAACCAGAGAACGTATAAGTCCTAAGGTAGAGTAGAGAGAACTTCAAGGCAGTAAGCCTGAAGACTTAGAGGAGCACAGAGTGAAAGAGGGAATCTAAGTCGATAATTAAACTAAGGAACTACAGTAGCGTACAGGCAGTATTTATATCTACGGAGCGGCGCATCGGTGCGGAGCGCCAGACTAACTACTAGGAGCTATACGAGTAGTACCTGCAGGGTAGAGTGAAAGACAATAAGGAGAGACTAGGACGAAAGGGTATGGGTAGCGAGAAAGAACAATAGGAAGAGATTACAATAAAAGCAAATCTTCGGAATACCGAGCGGCGGAATGGAGGCCCGCTGCATGGACTTGACAGAATCCATAGGAAAGACAAGTTTACATTGCGCCCCGAGTCCTCTAGATCCTTGCCTGACAACTCTACCCTAACGGGATCCAAACGATTCACAGGTTCTGCTGGTGTTGGCGTGCTCTGAATAGTCTTCGCCATCACTGAGATCATTATAACAAGGAAAAGAACCATGGAAGAGCCCCGCATCATGCTATGTCCGCAAAACTATGTAGGAGGAAGTGTTGCTGTTTCTTAATAGCTCAAACTCTGACCCGCAGAGTGAACAGGAAGAAGATCGACTTGAAGTCGACTAGGCTGCCTATTCTGATACTTATATGATGTGGAGGTCACTTCTCACCTGGGCAAAGGGGATGACTATGATCATTGACATTGGACACTGATATTTACTAAATATGTGCCATGTTAAGTTAAAAGCTTGTCCATGGTGACAAACATCTAACTTCTCAAAGTAAGGGAGTGATAAGCTTAGAATTCGAAAGAGCTCAGCAAGTGTAAGTAATGATTTGACCTCCTTGAAAGGCTGAGAAGCGATAGAATTAAGGTCAATAGGGAGGCAAGTAAGCATCTACATATATTGCAGCATATCTATACCAGGTGGAAACCTGCAACATTTGCAGGTAACACTAATTGATACTCAAAAGTGGACCAGATACTAGGAATCGGCTATGATTAGAAGAGTGAGAAACAGAGAATGAGAGATATCTAAGAAGCAGGTAAGGTCTGATCTGAGAGCTAGTACTGTATATATAGTGTAACTATATCAATTACAGCAGGATACTCGTTGGGCGAACTATGTATTGGATGATGCCCTCCATTTTCAGATAGGCTTTTATAAACTCAATGAAAGAATCTTGATCGTAAACCAGCAAAGTATAACCCCACTTTTCCTTAATTGCATCATTTACATTAGCAATGTTCTGCAAGAAATCCCAGACTGTGCCATTGAATCCCTCACGCTTCCAATTTCCGAGTGCATTCCAATTGACTGAAAAATCCTTCTCTACGGTGAAATAAACTGCATCAGGCTGCTGCTGGTTGGGAGCAGATGATTGAGACTTCCGCATTTTTAGGTGAGTGACATGCAAAACATCCGCCCTCCCTTCCTTTATAAGACCAAAGCAGTTGGCGTTTTCAATTCCAACACAAATGCATTGGATGTCTCCCAGGCGGTGGTCTCGCACCCATCCCCTGGCTTTGTTGCCATTTGCTTTGGATATACGGTAATATCCAGTCCTGACTTGAAAGGGGATCATTCGCCGTTCGAGGTGTGAAACGCCTGCGATGGGACTGCCAATAACAGAGGTGGTACCGAGCAGGATGCCAATGAAGAGAAGACATAGGGAGCATGACCGATTCGGAAACAAGGAAAATAATCGAAGCAGCATCATAAAATTCAGAGGTGAGTGTGATATTGGACTCGGAGAGGATGAGGGCGAATGAAGTGATATCCTGGAAAGACTGCAACGAGGCGATTGATACGATAACGACGCAAGGGACTGGAACACAATTTCCTTGATCGAAAGCTTCAAGCAACCTAGTAGTATAAGTTATATTTTGAGAGAGAAATCAAATTCGGAGGACACATACCTCCAAGGACAATAAGTGAAAGAGTGCTGTTTAAGATTGCTTGTGCGTAGGAGTTGTGAACTTGGATACAATCAACTGTAACAGCTCGTATTCAGTCATATTGGTGGGCAGGAACACGAAGCAGCATACCGAAATTTTGCAACTATCCAGCCTGGTTCCAGCTTATGATCGTAGTCCTTCGCAGCCCCGTCGCATCCTATATGTAAGTAACTGGTCAGGAAAGATGATAATCATCTACACGGAGATACATAGATTCTTCTTTGTTCGTAGACTTTCGAGTAAGTAGACAAATCAACTGATACTAGCAGTCAGTCATTTCAGAGAAGAGGACAGAACGGAAGCATACTGAACCAGCGTTAACTCCATTAGGAGATCGTTTGGAGCAAGAGAACGAATTTGGAGTATTTGTGCGAATATTCTGAAACATACGCAATCGACCTGAATCAAATCGTTTCTGACTGGACCTTATTTCTTTGATCCTGCGCCGATGGCTATCTAAATTAAGTCTGTATGACCATGCACAAAGATCAAAAAAAGAGGGAGGCAAACCAAAACAATGACGAAATTTACATCAGTTCGCCTAAATTTGAGCTCATTGCAGTATAGCGGAAGATCACAACTTTGAACGAGGATATGCAGGACACCCAGTAGGGTACGTCGTCGGTATTGACTGCGGAAGGCGATACGTGGGGAATATTGTGGATAAGGGTACGTTCCCATCTGAAGTCGGAAAAGTAGAGTTTCTTGCGTATGTCAAGAATCGGTGGCTACAAAGAACCGCCACCTAAGGATATGAATGTACATATATCAATGCTTCGATCGACTCTGCTGACCATAAAATACTCACTGAGAACCAACATCAAATTTGTCCCTCATATTTGACATCCCAACCCAAGTCCAAACACCTCCTTCAACGCCATCGGAAAGAGGCCTTGTTTGCAAAAAGCTTCAATTTTCAACGAAGAGATTGACTATAAGAGGGGTTGCGGGACTCTACTCACTTCATTTCCTAGCACCAAACAGTGACAAATGTACTTGACTGGCGTATTGAAACCTGAGATATTGTTTGGTCAAGGTGAACTGGAAGATGATTCACTAGTCTTTGAGGGAGAATTAGAGCTTTTTTTGATGTCTATGAGATGGGCAATGCACTTCAAGTTTGAGAGGGAATCGAAACCCGATAATAACCGTCAAACTAGGTTTTTCAGGATGGGCGGATTATGTCACTTAGATATCACCCACTATAGACGTAGACTCGTCCCCAGTCACTGACTCGGCCTGGCGTTGTTCGATGAACAAGTGGGCTGAACAGCCGCGTTCGCGGCATTTGATCGACTCTTCATCAAATCGTAGCGAGTCCTGCTGGGTTCAAGTCTACTGTAAACAAAACTTCATATATTAGACACTGAATAAAGAATCAATTGGAATAGATATGTTCGTACCTCTGTCGACGAAAATCAAGTCATGGATATGAAAAGATGAACAAAGAGAGAGCGGCGGCACGCTATTTCAACAGGATGTTAAGAAAGGCTCTGGAGGAAGGATTGAAGCTCCATAAGATGATTTGAGGCTTAGCGAAAAGAGGTAAAGACGTTGGTGCATTCGGGTTGATATTACAATTCCCGGCAATTACATACACTATACACTATCTGAATATCCCATGAGATGAATGGCACATATAATTAGTCTATTGTTGCGCGCGTAGGAAAAAAGAGGGATCTTACCTCCCATGCCAAAACCCCCTTCAACTATCTGTGATTTTCTCTTCATAACTGCAATACGTTATACCTTCCACCATTCCTGTTCCTCCATTCAAACAAAGATGAGGTACTGTTGATTTGACGGTAGGTAATACGCTTGATGCCCTGCTCTTCGAATTGGCTTGCTCAAAATGAGAGAGATATGGGTTGAAGCTTCGGGTGAAGGTGTGAGAGGCGATTTTCTTGCGGATTTCAAAAGGTGATTATATTAAGGCCAATATGTGGTGCTACAGCGAGTGTTTTAGAGCTTTGTTATCATCTTCTTGTGGTATGGTTATAGAAATAAAGAGATTCGTCGCGGCGCTCATTGTCTGGACGTTCGTTCGTATTATGTAAGGAAGTATTAAGGGTTCAGCTTCGAAAGTCTTACCGCCACTTACATCACTCCTTCTCCTCCTAAAAGCCGTCATCTGTATGCAGAAGGCTCTTCAACGTTTGACAGTCATGAGGGTGATCTTCTTATCATTGCTTGAAGTATTAACAATAATGGTCATCGTTTTTCGTTGCGGAGCGCTGTAAATCATCGACAAAAAATTCAAATTCTTCGATTCAAGCTTCCTTCAGACCGTACTCTCTAGAAATATCGAGTTTCCACTTTTCTGATTAAGCCTGTGAAGGCTTTTGAAGACCAATAGACCCAACTAGACCTGAATGGAGCCGACGGATGATGGTATTGGAATTCAAAGTTGAATCGTTAGTGACATTTAGCGTCAGCCATTCATGGTTTCAAGGAGAAGCAGAGGAGAAGATGCAAAGAACAACAAAAGTGAGGCGAACTAACCGTCGGACCCGATAATGAGCCCGCCACAAAAGTTTCACCTTTGTTCACTGCCCTCTCTTCCTCTCTTGAAATATTTATCACTCGTTGCTAGGACTTCTTCAGAATGGATGAACATACCCGAGACAAAGTGACTTCTATGACTTCTCCGAGATACTACCCTTCTGTGCAATGTTTGCTCCCTGCTGACCAAGAAGAAGCCGCTAGGTCTGTCTGCAACGTTCAACATTTGACGTACTTGTTAACGATGTACCACAGGTCGGATGCTCAGCACCTGATTATTGTCCAGGCATTCGAGAATTGGCTGTCTCTAGCACCGTTGAAGCTTGTTGCTGGTGATAAAGTGCAGCAGGAAGTGGTACGGCTATTCTCGCTCACTCACAATACTGGTTCTTACTATTCGCTTAAAGGAATATGGGCACTCGAATTCTCTGCTGAGAACAATACAAACGGCGTCAAGGTGGACATAGAATGTATCGACCTTTCCTCCAAACAGTTCCCTCCCACTGGCACCTACACTTCCAATATCCACTTCTCTGTCCACTCCATCATCTCTCTTCCCTCTTCCTCTCTCATGGACCAACACCTTTGCCTATGCACATCAACGGCTCATCGTTCTCGCTCTCAACAATTCCTTATGGCGCCAAGCCATCGCCGAGCTATACCGTGTACTCCAACCAGGGGGTTACCTCGAGCTAGTCGAGTTCGAAACGAAGCGGTTCCATTGTGGTGTCGGTCCCTCATCCAACAAGTTATGTTCGTTGGTGGATGACTTGTTTGCGGAGAAAGGGATTGTTCAAGGTGTATCGACGAACCTATGTCCTCTGCTTGAGGAAATCGGGTTTGTCAATGTAAGATGCGAAGTTAGGGATGTACCAGTTGGAGGAAGGCAATGTGTCGTCCAGAGCAGGGCTGGATATACTGGTGAGCAATGGGGTGAGGGGTGGATGGGTGTAAAGGTACCTGTGGTCAAGGGTGGGGGATATAGAGTGGTTAACATGAAAGAGGAGTTCGACGTGCTTCTAGGTCCATCTGCAGCGATTAACGTTTGGTGGGAGGTATACACTGGTATACATGAGTTTATCTGATCCCGCCGTACCCTCTATTTATTTAGCATAATGAGAGGAGATAAACCAGTGCATGTCATCTCAAATTTTGCTTATGCTTCCACTGTAATTCGAACCAATCTCCCTAATTCAAATGAAGTCAGCTTTGCAGGATTATCCACTGAGCACAAATTGAACTTACGACTTCAGCTTCTGTTACGCCTTTCTTCACCTTGAAAATTCCTGGGTATCCCTAATCCACAAGCCGAGCTTCAGTTATGGGGATATCAAAAACAAGTCTCTCGGAAATTCTTCTTCCGCCAACCAGAAAGTTGTAAGAATGAAATTCACTGGATGAAACAATAGAAGTGATCCATTTTGTACCAAGTCTTTAACAGAAACTCACGTATGAAGAATTTGATTCTGGACTGCAAAATGCACAACCTCCTTCTTCAAGAGTGATTTGGCTTGATTCAACCACTCTAATCTTGTATCCCATGGGGCTAGTTGGTATTGCATGGTATCCTTGAGTGACACCCCCTTGACTAACTTCATCACAATAACAGGAATCTTCTCATCCCTAACATTAGCTATCCCCGAGTCAATGTAAAGATCAACACCTTTGAGGGCTTTAACTTCGCCCCAAGCATTGTTATCTATTTTTAACATGGCTTTGGCAATAACTGTGTCTTTAGCATGGTTTATGCCTCCGACCTCATAATCTTCGTGTAGTGAAAAGATGCCTTGGTTGTGCGCTCCAATAAGATCTTCTTGGATATCACCAACCACCAAGTGGTTCAAGCTTCTTTCTATATCATGATTCATATCAGATTAAAATTGAGACAAGAAAACGAAACGGGAAGGAAGAGGTGAAAGACATGATCATCATTGACTCACCGAAGACTTTCTTATCATCTGTGTCGAGGTATTCGTTATCCCCATAAAAGTCCAAAATCCAATTGGGCTGTGAAAAGTTGAGTTGGACGGTTCATTGATTCATTGCATAATGAAAGTAAAATTTACACTGCGCTCCTTTCCAGGTGGACCTAATCTCTGTGATTTTGCAACTGCATTGTCATGGCCTGGGTTTTGAGTGGGCGCAGCATGAATGATTTGTATCATGGATATAAGAAGAAAAAGAGGGAGGAAGAGTGAAACACCCTTCAATGCACACATGGCAGACGATTGTAGGTAAAAGAGATTGCAAGATCTTCAGAGAAGGAGGATTCGGAGAGTTCAAGCGCGATGAACCGATATAAACGTAGCATGTGTCATTCTTATGTCGAGGCAATATAGTGGCGCTTCTTGATAGCTCGGTCTTTGTCCTGCAGAGAGAGAGAGAATGGGGGAAAGATCAACTTGTCCTGCAAAGCCTGCCAATTTCCCATTATTTATATTCATCTAGTCCCATGTCTGACGGTCTGAGCCCTTACTTTGGCGACCTGAGGGAATTATTTCAACAAGGTGGCGGTGTCTGCAATTATTCAGTGAACCTGACTCCTGAGGTGTTTGTTTCAACAGGTTTCAACAAGAGATGCATGCGGCAGGTGTCCAATTATGCAGCAAACCTGATGAGACCTGACAACCACGCGTACAGTATTTTGGCAAGCATTGCGCCAGATTGGCCAGATTGCCAATATACAAAGCTGGTTCTTGGCAACAAAGGATCGAAAGCACAACAGGAAGCGGTTCGTCTACTATTATCCACTCATTCATCGACTTGATACAGTATAAGCTGTGGTGAAATAATTTATTCGTCTTCAAGCCAGTCTGCCAGATGCGACCGAAAACACCAGTGAGCAAGCGTAAAATTATCCACATTACCAAACATGTCAGTGCTTTGAGTCTTCGATGTTGCGTTGATTCGCGATCGATATTACAACTCAGAAAAGCGGGACATACATCCAAAGAATCAGATTCTCAGGTGGAATTGACATTAATGATATCAAGTAGTTCTTTTATCTTGGCGACTACGAATCTCGTTCCACTGCAACTCGAACCATGATTTCTAATTTTGCTCAAGTAAGATTTACAGGATTAAATGCTTGAAGAACTACTGAACTTACAACTTCAGCCTCTGTTACGTCTCGTTTCACTCTGAATACACTGGGGAATCCCCAGTCCATGATTTGCGCAGTCATAGGGGAAGCTAGATTGTCGGTTTCCGTTATGCCAACAAGGAAGTTTGAAGAATGAAAATCACTGGTCGGAACAATGAAGAGACCAATTTTAGCATAATATAGCTTGATAACAACTTACGCATGGAGGATTCCTTTCTGCACTGCAAAGCGCACGACCTCCTTTTCCACAAGCGGTTTTACTTGGTCAAACAACTTCAATTGTTGTGCTGCGTTGGCATTTCGGTACTCTTCGGTGTCTTTGATCGACAGACCCTTGACTATCTTCATTACGACAACTGGATCTTTCTTTGCTAGATGGATGTTAGCAAGCCCTGAGTCGATGTAAAGACCGACATCTTTGAGAGCCTTCACTTCACCCCAGCTCCTGCCATCTATTTCTGCTACGCCTTTAATGATAGCTGTACGTTTGTTATATTCTGTGCCTTCGACCTTGTAATCTCCCCATACTGAGTAGATGCCTTGGTTGTATCTGCCAATAAAATTGATTCGGCGACCGACCTCCACCTTCAACTCTTTTTCTATATCATATGTATTATCATCAAGATAATGGATTGGGAACGAAACCGTGAGAGGGAGCAATATGAACTTACCAAAAACCTTTTTGTCGTCTTGATTGAGGTTATCATTATCTCCATAGAAGCCCAAAATCCAATCAGGCTGTGAAAATGTTGAGGTTATGGTTTACGACGTCGTATAATAGAGATAGATTTACATTGCGCGGCTTTCCAAGTGGACCTAAAATTGTGATCCTCATGTCTGCATCCTTTGAATTTTGCGTAATAGCGGGGGCAGCATGACTGGATGTGATTGTGAAAACAAGAAGGAGAAGGGAGAACACAAAGAGAACGCCTTTTAAACCACGCATGGTAGTGGGTAGATTACGATGTCTAAAAAGGGAGGACTGGGAGACTCGGACAAAGGGCGATGATGATTTGCGGCAGGGGCTGATTGTAGGGTCGAGGAGCCTGAGATTCCAGAAAATAGTGACGAGGGGAGAGATGCGAGATTGCGAAGGCTTAGTCTCTGACCAGCAGAGAAATTTGGGAGATCAACTTGAGCTGCAAGGACGAGAGCTACAGCTATATATGTCAGTTCGGATTCGATGTCGGAACACTCCGGAAGACTCGCTTACTTTGGCGGAAAAAGATTGCTAGACCTGAACCTGACCTGAACCGTGTCAGGACTATGATTGTCGGTTATACAATACATGCAAACTTCTGTCCAGTCTTGACTCCTGAGGCAATCTGAATAAGCTCTAAAGCAAGATCTAGGCAGACCCCGTCCTGATTTGAACCGTAGTGACAAAGAATTTCGAAGCCTGAAGCTTTGAAACCGAAGGCCAGTTGTGGATTGAGAACGGATTCGTGATTGTCCGTCGCAAATGAGAATCTTCAAGGTCCGTTGGAGGAAACCATGTTGGCCCTTGATCTAATCTGATCGTTGAGAGGTAGTTGTCTGCACAGTAGTGATCAGGCCAGTAAAGATTGATGGAAAAAAGATGTCGAGACTTCGCGCATTCGACGAAAAATGACGCCCTTGCGCGAAGGCCATCTCCTATCCCTTCCATATTCCTGCAAAACCGGAGTGTTGAAACTATAGACAAGCATGCCTGAGTAGCGAAAAACAACTGAAAAAAGCAATTTACCAACCATCCCGACGCTTCCAGCTCCGTGTATTCTGGTATCATTTGTGCGGCGTGCGGTACAATTCAATTTCAGCAGAGCAGGCCCTAGCAGGACACGTCGGTGTTGAACTGAGATGCTTTCAGGGTCAGATCTGGTCACGGTTGGATTTCGGCAGTGCGTCCAAAGTAGCTCAACTGCTTCTCATTCTCCGTGTCTCTTGGATGCCTGGTTCATTCTGCCCCACAGACCCTCAGTATCTATCGACATTCCTTGAGTATCCAATAGCAATGACCGATCCTTCTGTCCGCCCTGTTCGTCTCGCGTCACCACGGTACTCTATACAAAGAGGCAAAGTTTATTGATGTTCGAGACTTGCGGCTACTTGAGACGAATATCGGTAGTGCTAAAATATTGGGGAAAGATGCGTGATCAGGGGGTATGAAGAGTAAAGATTTAAGAGTACTGAGTAAAGAGTAGAAATGAATCAATCACGGGAGGTTCTGATGAAGAATGTTGCTGATCATGATTATGAGGCTCCGCCTGCGAGGTTGGCGGACGCCCGAGCACTGCGTGAATCAAAAGAAGTTGGATAGGCAGTTTCCTCACAAAAACATTCGTGGTATAAGTTGCTTCGACTTGGTGACAGATAGATGGATTACCGTGTCTTCAGTCTTTTGAACGCGGGCCGGAATCAAAGTTGTTACTGGTACTATCATTTCCCTTCCTCTTGAATTGGGGTCCAAAAGCCTGTTCTTTACATCGAAACACCCGTGAAGGATCAAATCAGAGGTTATGAATAAGCTCTCAACTAGAGCCGTCCGATTATCGAAGCGATGAAACTGAAGTTCTTTGGGTTAGCAGGAATGAAGATCCCAGTAAAGCCGAGAAATATAGGGAGGCATTGCTCAATGAATCAGCTTATAAACCCTCCTTCGATTGGACTCACTCCTTCACATTTTTTTAACGATCCTTCAAGATGGCTGAACAAGACCAGGCGCGATACTATGCATCCACGCAATATTTACTTCCTGCTGATCAGGCAGAGACCAAAAGGTTTGTCAGTCCCTTTGCTTGTTCTCGAGCTTAGTGAATATTCCTCCATGCGAACAGGTTGAATGAACAACACCTTATCGTAGTGAAGGCCTTTGAGAACAGATTGTCTCTGGCACCATTAACCCTGCACACCGGTGACAAAGTTTTAGAAAGTGCAGCAGGCAGCGGTAAGACTCTTTACGTTGATGTTTAATCCAACTTGTCTGAATACCCACAGGAATCTGGGCACTCGATTTCGCTCGAGAGAACAGTGCAAACGGCATCGAGGTCGAGATCGAATGCATCGACATTTCCTTCAAGCAGTTTCCTAATACCTTCTCTCCTCACCTCCATTTTTCTGTTCACTCAGTCGTCAATCTTCCTCGAGAGTGGTCAAACATCTTCTCTTATGTCCACCAACGACTTGTCATTTTTGCAATGAATGACTCGCTATGGCGTTCAGCCATTAACGAGTTGCTTAGAGTACTTCAACCCGGAGGATGGATTGAACTAGTCGAGTTCGAGACTAAACGCTTCCATTGGGGCGTTGGCCCCTCCTCTGATAAACTCTATTCCTTGACAGACAAGCTCTATGCCGAGAAAGGAATCATCAAGAATGTATCTGACTACTTATGCACTCTCCTCACGGAGGTGGGCTTTGTCAATGTCCACTGTGAAACCCGAGAAGTTCCAGTTGGAGGATTCGCGAAGCAAGTCGGGAATGGATATACTGGTGAGCATTGCGGGGAAGTTTGTATGGCTATGAAAGAACTATTGGTAGAGGGAGGGGACTCTGGTGGTGTGACAGCAGAGGAATTTGACGGTCTTGTGCAAGGTGCAGTTCGTGAATGGAATGATTCGACGGAAGTGTACGTCAAATATTATACGATTTTTGCACAGAAGGCTATGGCTTCATGAGCTCGCTGCATGTACAAGTTGGTATATATACATATTGTGCCGTATCGTAAAGTTCTCAAGCTCGCAGTTGCCCATATATGTCATATAACATATCAAATTTGGACATCCTGTCCCTCAATGTATTTGTCTTCAGATTACCCACCTTCGACGTTACGGTACAGTAAGAAAGAACGAGCTAGGCTCATGCTCAGGTTACAGATGCTGCATTAAGGGATCAGCAACGTTCAGCGTGCTTTGACAGGACTCAAGGGTACACGTAAAAACATAGGCAATGGTAGTTGTGAAGAAATGGTATAGCATACTACATCGCGAAAACGATTACAACGAATAAGCTATATCGGACATCCTGACCATGGATTCGACAAATTCTCTACGCATTCCTAAACGATTGGGCCTCCTGCCGGCAGTTTGCCTATGTGCGGTGATTGACGGAGGATTTGGTCAATAATTATGTTCTCCATGATCAGATAGGATATTATGAGATGGATATAGGTATCGTCATTATAGACCTCGATGTCCATACCAGTCTTTTCCTTGATCGCCTTCTGAGTTTCTGTGATGCTCTGCAGGAAATCCGAGAGTGTTGCGAATTTGTCATGATGCCACTGTTCAAGATGCTCCCAATTGACAGTAAGATCCTTCTGCGTTTTGAAATAATTCCTGTCGGGCAGGGACTCCCGTATTTTGAGCTTGTTGATAAGTAGAACCTGCTCATCCATAAGATGACCGAGGCAGTCCATTCTAATGCAAATGAACTTGATGTCTGTCAAGAGTCTTGAAGTCGGTCTTACCCAGCCTTGGGTTTCGTCGTGACCTAATTCGATATCTACTATGCTTTTGCGGTAATACCCGGTCCTGACATCATAGCGAAATGATACATCGACTGGTATAGGACTGCCAATAACGAGATTTGCAGTGAGAAGAACGACGACAATGACAATGAAGAGAATACACATGGTGTGCCATCGACTCGGAGACGAGAATGAAAGCTGCATGGGGATGGGGAGGTGTGGATTGAATAATGTGATGAAGGAGGAACGAGGTCGAGGGAATGATTGAATGAGGTAGAACCAAGATGGACGGGTACAGTAGGTGCGATTGCAACGACGAGGAGGGAGGAGCGTGACACAGACAACTGGAGGAAAAGATTTAAGCAGGTACCGTTGAGATACAGGAGAAGTACATACATTGGGAAAGCCAGCCAACAGGAACCAATGTCTTGACAAGTCGAGCTTGAAAATGGATCAACTAGCACTAGAAGTGAGTGATATCGAAGCGATGGACAAGACAGGATCATACCGGACCAGCGTTGAAGGGGATTTTCGAGAGTAAGAAATTTTTTGAACGCGTTATGATCGCTCCGTCGGCTACCACCGCCGGTCCACCGGTCTGACCCGACTCTGTTGCCACCTTTGACACTTTGATCTACGTGAACAAGAACGGGGAATGTTCAAGGCAAGACGCAAACCCTTACACAGATATCAAAGGCTATCACTAGAGTCGACCGTAATCGACCTTGCGATATTCGATGGTTCGTGACAGGGGATTAAAAGAGGTGGCAAGACTAGACCCAGGGATCCTTGAGTCTGGGGCATTGCGAGCAGGGGGGTTAGGTGAAAAGGCCAGAGAGGAGAAAAATTGAATGGCATTGAAATCGTGACATGAATCCGGGAGTAATAAAGCTAGAGCTGTCTCTATCTCGTATACATCGGAAAGGACGGTGGGATGAGAAGTTGCAATAAGAAGCGTTGTGAGAAGCAATATATAAGCATCTTCAAGAGAGGTATTGAGCGTAAAGATCACGAAACACTGTTGTATCGCTCTGCCGTCGCCAAGAGGCGGAGGCGGGGGCGGAGGTTATAGAGACTCCGAGAGATTTATCCAGAACTGTTGAGAGAAACGTGAGATCCTGTGACAAGTCGCCATATTATAAAATGCTCACCCCCATCCGGCCCTTGAAGCGTAATCTTGTCCTCGTATCCCCAGCTCTTGACCCTGCCACAAATCCAGCGCCTCAAGCTCAAGGTTTGTTGCTTCCATCGCCTGCGTCACGCAACACCATCGGTTTGTTCAATAAGTCGAGCTGCACACGGGATCGGCATGGCGAAGGAATAACACAGAGGAAGAAGAACATTGCTAACAGACCTTGTTCTGCAGCTTCATCAATGAATCTACATGAAACGCGATATTGTACCCCACTTCTTCATTCCTTAGCACTAGACGAAAAGAATGTAGTCGACCCAAGCATAGTTCAGCCAGTGTCTGAGTTTTTCGGTGCTGAATAGGTTGAGGATGTGACGGTGGGTGTGATTTAGGCGCTGAAAGGAGCATGATCTGATCTCCGACGCGCCTGGCCACTAACTTACCACCACGATATCTCGAGTCGTCGACCCAGTATACGTTAGAAAGGCCTTGCAAATATATCAAACAGCGGAAATTTTACTCCTGTTTTTATGTCCCTGTTGAATCACACTGATCGTCAATCAAGTTCTATCTGTGAGTGGGTATCGTTGACATTGGCCAAAGCTAACATCCATCGATACACTCATCAGTCTCCAAAACTCCCGACTCTGATGTAGAGATCGTGTCTAACGACAATGTGGTTTTCTATCTACACAAGAAATACCTCGAGATCAATATCGGAGCATTCCCTCCTGCGGAAACACCCACAAACGGCGAACCTGTCTGTCTTTCGGAGTCTTCGGAAACGCTTGAAATACTCTTTCAGTTCGTATACCCTCGCAGATATCCGCTACTCGAAACCTTGGACTTTGATGCACTTATGCTTCTTGCGGACGCAGCAGAGAAGTATGAGGTGTTCCCTTTGATCTATGCTTGTCGATCTGAGTTCAGGTGGGTTTACAATATGGCTGGCAGTCCGCCTTGCACCTCTAATCACTCTGTGCTCATCAGGAACTTTCTGCAAACCAACTCGAAATCTGTTTTAGCTTTTGCAGCTATGCATGATTATCGAGAGCTTGTGATCCGCCTTGCGCCAACAATGCTTGACTTGTCCATCCCAGAACTAGTCAATATTCTTCCGAACAATCTATTAAAGCCGTGTGTATGAGAAGTGTTTTATCTTGAGGATGATATCATACTGCACTAATTATCCGTTATAGTGTATTTATCATGAATCCTACCTCAACGCAGTTAAACAAGCCGCGAAAGATGTTCCCGAACACCATTGTGGAAACTATACCCAATGGTACCGATCTTTACTACGGTCACTATCTGAAATCATGGACAAACCGAGTATCATAATGCCACGAAATCTGGATGCAACATTTGAACGTTTCTTAGGGTCGCTGAATACAAGTAATCACTGTTGCCAAAAGGCACTGACTACTTGGAGGGATAGGATTAAATCTATAGTTATTGCGCTACCGCCTCTTTCCCTTCCACATTCTACCGCATAGGTAAGTAGCATGTACTTGTACACTCGCAAAATGGATGCGTTCCGTTTTAGTGTCACAAAGCTGGAATTAAGAGATCAATTACTCATGTTGTAGTCGTTGCCGGACGAAATAAAATCTAGAAGCCTCTGTGAATGTTGCATGAACGAACAAGTAAGATGCATTGTTTGCTTCAATGCTATGTTTCTTCCTACCAGGATACCAGACTTCGATAGGACTACTCAGCAACTAGTACTACAACCTACTTGAATTTACATGCCCAATCTCATCCCGCTCACCCTGATTTCTATCATCTATAACTTTCTATAGTTAGCCTGTTGTAAGTACAAGTGGCATTATGATTTGAGAAACTTGGAAGGGCAGACAAGTTGAAGGACTCGGGAAAACTTGAGTAAATTTCACGACTCATGGTAGATCTAAGAAAGAGCTTCACCCAGCCTCACTCAGGCTTGACCAACAAGTAAAAGATTGCCAAGAAAAGTGTTATTATTCATAATTACAAATCGCTAAACACTCATTGCATGATCATCCAACTTTACTCTCTTGAGTATCTCTGTCGGTATTTCTATATACGACTTATAATCCGCACCCACGATACACGCAGTCAATGCGAGCCAATTTGCATTTCCCCATCCAGCATCGATGCCTTGCGAGATGAACGCTGAACGTGTGGCGCCGAAGAGCACCATAGAGCAGATCCACGCGATCATTAGCAGGAGGTGAGCAATGTAGTTTGTGTGAAGGAGCAGTTTAATGTGGACGTTGAACAGAGAGAACGTGATTGCGACTCCGAGAAGGGCAGTAGCTGAAGTATCAATTCATTGAGAACACATCTTGAATAACCACTAAGGGAAAACATACCGATGGGATACAAGATCAGTGCGACGGTCAAGCTATGGATAAACCCAGTATTAATCGACCTTAAACTGTGTGATAGAATGAGTATCCATCCAATGTATTGGAATCAGAGCACCTACTCGAAATCCAGCTCCGGACTAGAAAAATCATATCCAACCTGAACCTGGGAGCTATTGGATGACCCGAATAGACCGTAGCGCATTGGATTAGGATCACCAGAGGACTCGACACTCAGGAAGAATATACTGTAGTTGGTGGGTACCGAGCAACAAACCTTGTCATACCCGGGGAGTTTCAGCACCAGTATCAATCAAGAATAGAAGAAATAACAACATACGGGAATAAGTAGCGCGACCGTGATGAGGTTTCGAATCAGGATGAGATGGTTCAAGATGTCTGCCAGATTCATTATGATTAAAAGTGTGGGAGAGCGTAGAAATTGCTTGGTGACGGTCTTTGATAACTCAAACAGAGGGGAGGTGTTGGATGTCTGAAGTTGGGTGGCTGGAGAGTCAACGAAGATTCATGAGCCCTTTTGAACGTTTCGAAAACGAGTGCTTCCTGGCCATCGCATACTGAGTCAGTGGATTGTGGATGCTTTGTGGGCGATGCGGGTCAAAGGAAGTGAAGACTGTGTGGGCGGAGGACGAAAGAAAATTGTGGCAAAAGACAATAAATTTAACAATAATGGATACATAGGTTTAGCACAGTTACCACGTACACACTCAGTCATCAAGCTTCTGGATACTCTTGGATGACAATTACCATCGAAGATGTATTCATTTGGAAGAGGGTGGACTGAGAGCTGTTTGTAAAATATATTGAGCTTTGAGCCCGAGGAGAAAGTATTGAGATAGGCTAATATATCTGACCTCTATAATTTTTAGAAGAGTCCACCATGTACCACGAGCTTGAAGACCCCATTTACTTTTTGTTCTTTTGGGTTTGAAGAATTAGGTGGCGTCCACCGCCGCCTTTTTTTTCCAAGTCCGCTTGACCAATGGTCGTAAGGAAACAGATATTGACTCAGACTAGCATCGCAACTGATTCAAGATTTTGAGCACGGTCCGAATCCCAATCAAAGGATTTGAGGTATTGTGTGCTTCGGGTTTGCTCTCCAAGTCACAGACAATTCTATTGTTGGCAGTCGACATGAAAATTGGCGAAGACGAGGTGGCTGATTATAAGCGACTACCAGAGGAGGTGAATTGCCCCATTTTCTCAATGATTGAACTGAGCGCTGATGATATGATAGACTCGGGATTATATCTTCGATGCCGCAAAGAGCATCCGTCAGAATGAGTTCGACTCGAAGGAGCAGATGGAGCAGAACATGGCCCATTTGGATGGAATAGTCGTGCATAAGATCCCCTTGATGCCGTTACGGGCTAGTGGGAGTTTTGGCAGTGCTTGTAATGGTGGAAGCTAGTCGGAGAGGATATCGGGCGACGATGAAGACACTGCTTTTTTGAGAGTCGAAGTACTTGGATAACTGACCTCAGATGACATTCCATGTAATATTCAGAATAATAATATCACACTGGAAGGAGAAAAAATTCCGCTCGACGGAATCACTAAAATTCTGTGACCCACGATATACCCGATATAGCTTATCCGCGGTCACATGATATGTCAGTTGCGCTGAATTATTACGATGAGCGGAATCTTTTCTCTCTCCGATGTATCTACTCACAACGGTGAATTACTATCTATCTATCTATCTAACAAGAGCACTCTATTTGTGTCTCATTTCCCTATCCCAGTCTATCCCGTATCTATCCTCGACGGTGACGAGCTTGTGCAGCAACTATTCATGTTACGTGTTGATTCAAACCCTGGCTCTATTCGTAGTGTTGTCTTCCATGTGCATCACGGATTCGGATGGTCATTCTCCGTTGTTCTCAAATAGGTGAAGCCGGGTGAATCTTGTAGGCAGTTCCTTTTGAATCAAGTAGACCTCTTGGGTTGTGAGTGAACAAAACATACAACCCTAGAAGTCCGACAGTTGAAACTTGCGCCCAACTGCATGTGTATCTAATGCGTATCCGAGTTCTTCCCAGCCTCGGCTTGCGCTATACAATTTGGTCCTTTGCTCATTTCAGGAAATTCGAAACTGCGTCCCGACTTACATATAAGTTCAAGAAAATGGTTTTGAACTGCTTCAAGTTGATCTTTCGTCTTTCTCTGCAGGACAGAGTGGGGTCTGAATTAGTTTGCAGTGCTTGGCTTCCCCTCGTTGCTATTCCTTTGCATATCTTGTCAGTCTTTCTGGCCATCACTTAGCCCGCCATGCCTCCTTTAGGCTCTTCTGTTCTGTGCCTCCTTCCCCTTCTCATCTCAATTTTGTTCGCACATGCTGCGCCGCTACCGATTCCACCTGAGGATCAAATGAGGATAACATTGCTGGGTACTACGAAAGAGCGCAATGTAAGCTCATACGCCGTATTCATGAACTCAGCCTCACGTATTTAGCAGCCTCCTTGGATCTTGGGATTCTACGGCAATGAGTCGTACCTCAATAAAGATGACAAGAAAGCATTCAGTGAGTACATGTCATTTCTGCTGAGTCTTATCAGTCTTCCTATAAGTTCAACATAGGCAAAGTCTTATCGTTAAGCCCACAAGACATTGGTGACCCAATTAATGGCGATAGAGGCCAATGGAGCAGCGGTGTTGCTAAGCTAACGAAAAACTACTGGAAACTCAAGGGTGGATTCAGAAGATACAGTAAAGACAATATTGTCATGAAAAAGCTGAACGTACCCGTTGGTAATAATGACATGGGTGAAGTCAAAGCCCTAAAAGATGTTGGTCTGTATGTCGACTCAGGGTTTGCTCGCATTGGGCCCCATGACGGACAAGTTCCGGTCATCTTGATGAAGAAAGTTGTGGGGGTTGTCATGTTGGAGACTGTCGAGTTCAAGGATGCTAATCGTGAGCAAAAGCTTGAGTTGTTAGAAGAGGCAAAACCACTTGTGCGGAAGCAGGTTGTTCACTGGGCAGTGACGAAACAGCTTCTTCATGCGTAAGTCAATTATACATCTGTCATTCATATAATATATGAAGTACCAATTATTGATCTTTACTTCTGCCTTATATAGTGAATTCAATATTGGCAACTTCCTTGTGGGAGGAACGCAGACCTTGATACATGTCTCTTTAAATGAACCCATAACAGAGGCTCAACTTCTTGATTTTGGGTATCCTGGGATATTCAAAGTGAGGAAAGGCGTAACAGAAAAAGAAGTCGTAAGTGAATCGTACATACTGCAAAAATTAATCAGTTCTGATGCAACACACTCAGAGTGATTGGTTTGAATTGCAGTGGCAGGTATGCACAAAGTACGGTTATAAAAAGATGTTAGAAATAGAGATGGCAAGGGAGAAGTCCAAGCCTTGAATATTCTTCATTGTTGACTCCTCAGCTGCAGTGACCAAGCGAACCTTTTGTTCTAACCTCGTCAGAAAAACAAACATGATATATCAATCATGAGGTTTGAGTCAGACTTACATTGTCTCTCTCTCCTGAAGAATCGTCTTTTTACCTTGCTACAAAGACAAATGAAAATTGCCATGTTGGAGTCTAACATGACATCTTACAGGAAAGTTTCATGCAGACCTTCCATTCAACAAGAGGGAGGAAGAAAGTCCCGAAATATGATTACCCACGAGTAATTAAGATACAAGCGAACCACCGAAACATCCAATCAACACATTAAGCATCGTCATCAATTGAGACAATATCCATGCATCCACAGGATTTCACAGTCGACAAAGGAGCGTTGTGGTTTCCACCAAGTTAAAGAGGAAGGTTTTTGCAAAGTATCCACGAGCACCCAGATGATGTTCAGAGGGTGATGGGAAGGCAGCCAATGGAAATGAGACCTGTGCAAATTGTTAGAATAACTTCGTGAGATGGGTAACGAATAAAGCGGCGCAAAACTTACTGCTGCTGTTGTCTTCACAGCAGACGGCTTGAGCGGAGCTACAAGGAAGTAATCAATATTGAATACTCGACGAAAAATTCATCGTATACTCACCAACTGCTGCTACCCAAACCGATGACAGAAATGGGAGAGCAATCGAGACCAACAAGAACGTCCACGTCCTGGAGGACAATGCCGAGCAAACCGAGGAGTCCAGCAATGCCTGCGTTACTAGCAGACTGGACGCTGTTACAGCACTGGACAGGGCCAGTAGAGCAGGTGTCACGGGGGGTAGGGGTGGCAGCCGCAAGGGTAGCGAGAGCAGCGGTGACGAAGGCAAATTTGAACTGCATGGTGAGTCGATCGAGATGAAAGTTGATGTGAATTAAGAGAGTGGATTACTTGAACAACTGTAGGAGGTTCGAGTGAAGATAGACAGTATTTTTGTAAAGCTTTTATACTTCCTCCATGTCCTTTCGGCGCTATTTCATAAAACTGTTTCATAATAAAATTTTGAATGAATGAATCGCTCGACAGTTTATCGTAAACCCGTCGTAAGCTACCTTGTGCTTTACACTCACTTGTGCCGATTCCCTCCGAATATTAATTCCGTCCTTCACGAAAAATAGAATGATGCAGTAGATGTGTAGATGCGATGTAATCTCCTCAATCCAAATACTTCACCTGCTGTACAGTTCTAAATCATTTGATGATTGTTTTTTCATATTTTTCGACGAATCAAGCACATTTTGGAGCCACGTATTCGTTTATGGATGCCATAATATGGCGAACCGAAGAACTGCAAACTCTCCTAAGAACCTGTATGAGCAAGATTGGAATTTGTCGGGGGGGGATGCATCACGTATCAATAATTTGCCCATGCACGAACCCCAAAATGTAGAACATCAGGTTCGATACAAATGTATGTAGATGCATACATACGGCATATTCGAGCCTCAAAAAGAACATGAAACAACCCAAGAACATGAGTGTGAAGAATTCGTGAACAACGCGGGGATCACTGGAAATCATTGGTGTCAACAGACTTACATTCAATGGCTCGAACCTCGAGTGAATGGGATAATTAAGTCTCTCGACCACTCTCGACATGTATGTACATATTAGATGATCATGATTTGCTTTTTGTAGGTTTTCCGGTCAATGATCATGGAGTTTCGTTGAGCCCAGCTGCCGATTCTTGAACTGCCAAAGCAGAAATGGTCCTGCGACGAACATAACATCGCAACATCGAAATTAGAATCAACCAGACCAAAACATGCAACGAGAATGCTTCCTATCTATTCTTTTACCCTGTGAAGAGTCTGTCTGACATGAAGCACGGATAGTCAGTCCTATTCAAAATTTCAAATAGTAAGTTTCTTGAGATAGAAATTCTATACAAACATACTAAATAGCATGGTTCAATAGAATGTTGGATAGAATCAAAGAAGGCGTACGCTGCCAACATTCGGAGCATACTGACCGTCAAATCAAGAGCTGTGATTGGTGATATTGCATGACATACCGTCAGATAGATGTCGTCGATACTCTTCTCGGTTCTGAGCAGAAAACCAGGTATGTATTTTTCTTAGTGGGAAATTTGCAGATGATTGGGCAGAAATCTGTGTTTCGTCAAGCCTGAATAGGAATGAACTTGATAAAGATGTGTTGGATGAGCTGAAGACGGGCAGAAACCTTTTGGCTACCGCGGGGTTCCGTCACCCGCAATTTCACTTCAGGTGTTGTTCGGGTCTTCCTATGTTCAAGCGAGCTGCAAGTCTGTATCAGTCCAGAACATCGATATTAAAATTTTGTGCTTCGTTCAGGGCAAGAATATCACCTCGCGTAATCGTGAGATTTGGAAGAAAAAAAGTTGAAAGACAGAAATGAAAGGACGGATAGAACGGTATTGAAAGGGTTTGGAAAAACCTTAGACGACGGTGATGATGTCGAACGCTCTTCCTAGGAAGCATTTCTTTGAAGAAAGGTAGTACTAGTACCATAGCGCCCTGCCGCGAGCTGAGATGAAAGAATTTGAGAGGTGCTACGCTGGCACAAATGAGGCTCTGGAATAATGGAAGGAGCTATGATTTGGTCAGTTGGACGTTGTGTAACGCCACTTCCTGAAGCGTAATATGACCTCCTTTGATAAATATTGCATAGGCGTCTGTCTTTGTCGGAATGGCAGCGTACGTAGCGACAAAAAGGTGATATCAGTGACGAGACTGCACTTGAAGTATCTGTCTCCTTAGGCGAGCAGAGCTCTATCCAATTTGATGCCACGGCTGATTTTGTAGAGATTTGGAAGATGAGTAATTTTCGCGTATATTCAAATGGTTATAGCTTTAAAAAGGTGGGAGATACCCAGAACATGTCGTCGATGGGAGAGTGGGTGAGCCTGGGTGAGCAAATTGGAAGACGGTCAGACTTAGCGCTCAATATTCAATAATAACTTTACATCGTGGAAAAAATATGAGCGCTTAATGATGAAGGTCAAAGCGAGCTGAGCAACTTCATCGTCAACTCGTACCACAACCACAACGGCGATCTGCGGTGCCAATTTACACAACGCCGTTGACAAAGCACTAGCTGGTTTAAACCTCGTGGGCTTCTTTTGCTAAATACTCCCATCATAGCGAACACTGATGATTCATATGTGATTTTGATCTCTAGTGGCGGGATTTTCACCTTTTCGGGTGAACGCTCTTGTAATCACAAAATCAGGATCATTAAACTTGTACGAAGTTGTGGGCTTGCGATAACCCCTGGGTGCCAACGTCTCGCTCTGATAGATTTGCTCCTGGCGAGTGACCTATTGTTCAAGTGGACGTGGAGTCTCTTGTTCAGTGAGAACGAAGTGATATCCCTCGGATAGTGTTACTTATATGATCCTCAGTACGATGGACACACCAGACATTGAGTCTAGTCCAACGCCAGCGGTGAAGAATCTCCTGTCTAGATTTGAATCACTCGCCGTGGACAATTCCGCTACTGCGTCTCAACGTAAATCGCTGCAAGTACCAATGCCACCATCTCCTGCTAGAGCCCCTTCAGACGCTTCTAGCCCAGCAGTCTCTCCTGGTCTTCGTACAGTCTCTTCCTCTTCCAGTCTCAAATCCAGCACGAGCGACACGAATGTCAGTACGAAACGCCCGCCGCCTCCACCGCCGCCTTCATCGACTCGGTCATATTCTAGAGGACTTTCTCCTGCCCCTCCGTCTCCTTCCGTCTCTCCGTTACTTCGACCTGTCCCCATTCCAAATGTTTTGAATACTTCAGTCAACCGAGTTCCGCAGCATGGATTACCGCATTCGCCCAACGTATCCATTAATGAAAATGAACACGAAGAAGGACTGACACCGACGTTCGGAGTTTCTATGCTGAGAAGTAAATTCCTGTAAGCAGTCTTGAACATTCTCTTTACCTTTCACCAATTGTCTTTTTTTAGCAATGTCGCATCCAACACGCCATCTCGCCCAATAACTCATTCACCAAAACCTAGCATATCGTCAATGATAGACAAACCACTAGCGCCCCCTCGTGTGCATACATCCTCCGAACCTCTCATTTCGTTCGATAGTCCCGAAGAATATCACTCGCAGTCATCCTCTAATTCAATGTCTGACTTGGATGATCCATTCTCTGAAGATACCACAGATAGTGCTACTGATGATCCAGATTCATCAACCACCGCAGTAGCTCCTCCGCTCCCAGCAAGGAAGCCTCATCATCACCATCATCACCAAGAATCAACGTCAAGCTCGAGCCGAAACTCGAGCGAGAGCGATTCTGGCCATTTATCTTCCTACAATGGTTCTGCGTCTTCTTCGCAGTCCTCTATTCTACCTCCTCGACCGCCACCGCGGCCCCGAGCGTTGGCTTTACCTGAGCCAGAGGTTTTCATATCTAATTCGAATTCTTTAAATACGCCGCCTCCTTTGCCTGTTCGTCGCTCTACCGTGGCTCAGGCTGAAGACTTGGCTGCTCCAAGGACTCCACGACCTTCCGCACGTCTTGCACCTTTACCACCACATAGTTCCCATCCTTCTACGAATCATCTTGCTCATGTATCAGTATCAGACTTAGACCATCCTCCCTGCAGCGCTCCTACCACATCTGAACGTAAACCCTTTGGCAAACTTCCTCCCCCACCCACGCGGACAATCGCTTTGGGGGACAAATTGCCTCCTAAACGTTCGAACAATGCTGAAGGAGCAGTCAATGGTGATTCCGACGACGACGAATCGGGTGATGAAGATGATGACAAGGGCTCGAGTGCGGACTTGCTGCCAGACGCTACCCGTGCGTCCCGTCGACCACCATATCTAATAACACCTCACGATGAGGATCATGGAGCTTATCCAACACAACCATGTAAGATCGTTGTACCTGCTCACACCGGGCATCTCGCTATGAGCGGTGTGTATGTTGTTGTGGGGAGTACGCACCACATTCGACTTTACAATACCAATCTATCTCAAGAAGTACCGGCAAAGAGTATGGACACGAAGGATTTCGGAATCAAAGACGGAAAAGTCACTGCGGTCGAGTTCAAGACGGAGTTCCTCGTCTGGATTGCCTTGAAGGAGGGGCATATCTTCGAGATTGATGTCCGAAACGGAGATTTGCTCGGCGTCAAGCACTGTGCGCATATGAATCCCATTTTGTATCTTTTCCGTTATGCCGGCTCGATGATTTCCATTGACGAAGTCGGTAAAGTTCTCATATGGTCTCCGGATCCGTCCACTGGAGACATTAAGCTTCTTCATCATACTCCACGTGTGATGCGCACCACGGACAAACTTGATTTCGCCAAGATCATTGGTGGAGTGCTATGGACAGCTGGAAGGTCTGAGCAACATGGGGCTGGAACACTTGCAAGGACACCGATTATTCGATTGTATGACTTGTTCAACCCCGCTTCCACGGGAAAAACGGTGATGCCTACAGAGCATGTTGGTCCCGTAACGAGTGCAACGATTGTGCCCACCCACCCGGAACATGTTTACCTCGGGCACGAAGAGGGATATATCACTATCTGGTCCTTGGAAGATGTAGCAACCGGGGGAGGATATCCGAGATGCATTGAGGTCATGAAAGTTGCTTCCACCGATGTGACCAGCCTAGAGGGAATCAACGACAGACTGTGGGCTGGCGGAAGGAACGGAATGATTACTGTGTATGATATCGTTCCTCGACCTTGGATAGCGACAAATTCGTGGGCCGCGCATCCCGGATTACCTGTGTTACAGATTTCCGCAGATCCGTTCGGAATCGAGAAATATAGAAGACTGGGTGTAGTCAGTGTCGGTCGGGACGAACTCGTAGGGCTTTGGGACGGGCTGTTGGCATTGAATTGGCAAGATACGGAGTTACAAAAACACGAACAATCCTACAGCACCTTCAGGGAGCTCAAAGTTCTCATAATCTCGTGGAATTGTGACTCTGCGAAACCGGATTCCCTGCATGGACATCCTGCAAATATCAACTTTTTCCATGATGTGCTCAATAGCGTCGACAGGCCGGATATCATATCGTTTGGGTTCCAGGAAGTCATCGATCTAGAATCGAGGAAGATGGCGGCGAAGAACATGTTGATGTCTGCCAGGTCCGATGCCAGGGGGAGAAAAGATGAGGGAACGCTTTTGGGTCTTTCGGATAAAGTGACTGGGGCTTATAAGAGGTGGTACGATGCGTTGGTGTTGGCTGTGAAGCTTGCAATGCCTCCAGACTGTCCGTACTCAGTCGTTCACACAGAGAGTATGGTTGGGCTCTTTACGTGTGTCATTGTGAAAAATACGGAAAAGGCGGCGGTGAAGGATATTGCTATCAATACTGTGAAACGAGGAATGGGAGGGAGGTATGGTAACAAGGTTCGTCGGGTGTGGTATCTATCGACTCTTTCCACTAAACGAATGTATGTACAGGGCGGAATTTTGTCTCGGTTCCTCATCGACGATTCGTCTCTTTGTTTCGTCAACTGTCATCTTGCTGCTGGCCAACATGCTGTCCGCGCGCGCAACGCTGACGCTGCTGGTATGCTCGAACAGCAACTTATTTTTCCTCCCGCCGCGGAGCATCTGGCATTCGTTGGTGGTGGCGATGGTTCAATGGTTCTTGACCACGAAATTGTCTTTGTGCGTCGTACTATTACGTTTCATCTCGACTCTCGACCTGATTTCCTATCATAGATCAATGGAGATATGAACTATCGAATCGACCAACGCCGCGACGCTATCACTGCTGCCGTTCGTGCCAATGAACATGAAACCCTATTTGCCCACGACCAGCTTCTCAAAGAAATTAAATTCAATCGTGGTTGCCGTTTTCGCTTCTTCACCGAAGGACCCATTACTTTTGCTCCAACGTACAAATACGACCGTCGTTCTGACGTATACGATACATCCGAGAAACGTCGCGCTCCAGCATGGTGTGACCGTGTGCTGTGGCGCTCGCGTGTACCGTCCCGAGTGAAACAGCTGCATTATCAAAGATACGAAGTCAACGTCTCTGATCATCGTCCGATCTCTGCTGCGTTTGACATTACTGTGAAGAGGGTTAGGCATGAGATTAGGCAGAAGAAAAAAGCGGAGGTGCAGATGCAGTGGACGGGATTGCAGGAGAGGCTATTGACAGAGGCCAGAGAGTTTTACATCAACTCCAGCCGCTTGTGAGAAGGAAGACCGCGGAGGTTGGCGCAGGCGTGAAGCTCAAATAATAAGCTTATTTTTCCTTTCTCCTTAGACGATAATTTCACAAACCTTGGACTTTTGCGTTTTGTCAATGTAGCATTCGTTTTGTAGCAGCGTAATTTCATACGGATTGTATCAAGCATAAACTTAATTCCATATACATACCTTTAAATCATACACAAATAGGATGACCAGTCGTCTTGTATCTTTGCGAGGTACTAGTGGAGATCGATGCCCACATGACAACGCATTAACGCATTGGAAGGTTGATCTTGAACCACCATCATCTCAGCGTCGCAAGTGAGTTCTACGTAGTCGCGATTTTCAGCGGTAACTGTTTGACATTCCTCTAGTGAATACCTCTGAAGAAATCACTATCCTGACAGGTATGTCAAAGATACAATTGAAGACGGAGCACTAGACTTTTTCGTCTTGTCCATCCTCGGTGCTCTCGTACATAGATTCGCATCCGATGGATTAATCTGATATAAAACGCGTTCTCATGTTAGGCGCGATAAAGGAATACGGATCAATAAACTCTGAAGGGAAGCATAGCGTGTCGTATGGAATCCTCTTTGACAAGACTGCAAATACTCGTAAGGATTCCTTCGTCTATACATTCTGCTAATCTCGAACCACTACTCAATGCTGAATCGATAGTGGAAGCTCTAAACGGAACTTTACGCGCGGCAAAGAGACAGAAAAAGGTTCGGCACACCTTCATCTGATCGTGTTCTTAGACGCTATTTTGCTCTGTGTGAATAGGTCGCGTTTGACGCTGAGCTCCTCATGATGCCGAAGGATAAGGACGTGCAGGTTGTCTTATTGGAAGATTGACTGTTATTCTAGGGATTGATGGCAAAATTTGATTCATCGAATGAAATCCGAATGCACTTGGAATCTGGAGGTGGGACAGTGGGCTTTGTTACACAGTTCGCTAATTACAGAAGCTGTTGGTTCATTGGGCAGCCTTTGACATAAAGATCTTGTACGGCGAGCGTATCCCTTCCGTTGCGGTATTATGTGTAACATCCAGCAAATACATAAAGTTTCCTGTTCATCATGCCCGAGACCAGGTGCTACCAAACTCCGAAACTCCAACTGGAAGAGCGGCCTGGAATAATTTATCAGTACGCGCAGCTTGTTAGTGACTAGCAGTAGAACAACCTTTTCGTCGTAGTCTGTCCACTCCTCTTCACTCAAATCCACTTCAGGAAATGTAGTCCCCTTTGTACCGACGCATTTCCAGATACCCTGAAAGATCGAATTTGAGAGGAACGACCTTTCGTCAACAGACGTTACATACTCTAGGATCAAAACTGATGAACTCCAAGCCACGACATTCGATCTTCAAGAACGGCGCAAGCTGTCCATTTTCTGCATTGTAGGGTTTTGGAGGAGATGTCGGGTCGAATTTCGCCGAACTCTCGCGTTTACATAGGCCACATTTCCAAACAAAGTGGGCTTTTCCGCCTTTTCCCCCAGAGACGTCGTATTCCTCCTACATCGCATCATCGCTGCCTTTAGTCGTAAATTAGTGTGGAATCTATTTCGGCACATACTTGACGGTTGAGGGCGACGTATTTAGGATGAGTTTCGTTGCAGCTGGTACACTTGACCTACTTTTGGGTTTCAATGTTAGATTATACGAACGATGAGGGACCAAGAATTGCCACACAACCTCAAAGAAGTATTCAAAGTCGTCGCCGACAGGTGACAGATCGGATACATTCTCAAGTTCAGCTTTGATAGAAAGTAACAAAAACTAGTCAGAAATAAAAGTCTGGTCAAGTTTATGGAATGTAGATGAACACAAATCACTTACAACCATGATGACTGAAGGAAATTGAAGTAAGAGAAAACATCGTTTAGCGCTTTACGCCAGAGCGCTAAATTTGAACTTTCGATGCAATTCTCGCGCAGAATGCTAGTACCAGGAAACGAAGGTCCGGGCCTCATATTCAAGCTCAAGCTCAAAGCCTTGCCAGGCCTCGCTGTACTTAAATACTCCGGCTGATCTTCTAAAGCCATATTCAACCCAATTCTGCCGATGGCGGTGCTGTAAGTGCGCCGAGTCTAGCGAAGATCTTGATATAATTAAGTTCTGTCACCTTTTGTTAGATTTGTTTAACTCCCTTTTTCCCTCTTTCTCTCTGCTGGCCGGAGAGCTGGAACAATCTATTGTTGTAAAACCCACATCTCAAATCATGCTTCCCCCAACTCGCCAGAACTTGAATCCTTTCATCCTTTTGATTGTCCTTCTTGGGCTCCTTCAACTTCCCCTCATTGTTTACGCTGGACTCCCGCCGGCGGAGTATGAGGTGGGTGGCTCATAGCATGGCCATTACCCCTGCAGCTAACTTCAAGGCTCTTTCTTCCGCTTTTAGAGGCTGCAAGAGCTGAACGCAGTCGAAATGTCCAAAACGATTACTGATACTGATCGAGCATCCTATCTATGTGGGTACCGGACACAGCTCATACGATGACAGTAATCTCTGCTCACAAACCAGTTTTCACTAGCTGAAGACATATCCGATCTCATGGATAATGCCAAGAAGATTTCGAACGTTGGCAAGCTGAACAAAGACATATATACCTTGAAGGGGAATCTTGTCATGAAAGTCTTATCCTCGAAGGTTTCCAAAGACGAAGCTTACGGTGAGGCAAAAGCACTCGACATGCTACATGAATTGGAGAAGTCCGGACGGATCAAAATACGTTCGAGGATCCGCCGCACATATTTTCCTGCCATCATCATGAAAAGGAAGAAGGGAAAATCCTTATTCTCGAGCGATGTTTACAAACGCGCAAATAAAAAGGAGAGGAAGGCATTGAAGACGTCTGTCATTGACAAGGTGTGCGAAGAAGTTGCGCAGATAGCTCAGTCCAGCGGAATTTTGCACTAGTGAGTAACCCCCATATACATGCGTTCATTTACTTGTGCAAGAAACGATGCTCACGCCGACGATGGTATTTTTGCTGCCAGTGACAACAACCCCGACAATATCCTTCTCCAATTCACTGGAACATCCGTAACCTCTGTTGAATTGATCGATTATGGTCCTCCTTACACCTACCTCATTGACAAAAACACCGATAAACAGAAGATCGTAAGTGCCAATGAGTTCAACTCGGGTATATGCAGTAGTTCACCCAAGATCACCATTTTAGGTGGATGTTTGTGCAGCTTCCAGTGTATGGACTCTACTGTGGTGACGTCGTCATGGTGGGATGTTAGCGTAGGAAGCGCCAGTTACTATTAGGCGCTGCCTGCACTCGTTGTCCAGAGTCATCAGCAGGGTTTCGGTAGTTAGCGGCTCAAGCCATAGACTCACGTTCGCTCGTATTTGGCTTGTATCATCGTTTCCCTCTGGCCAACCACAACGTGTGGCTGCAATCTGAATACTGTGTCTAGTCGGTTTGATAAATTTAGCAGCAATATCTCATGATGAAAGTCTATTCCTTATATGTTTCCGAAGACAAAGCTTACGATGAGGCGGAAGTGCGCTCGACAAGATACACATGAGTTTGCGAGGTCTATACGTTCAAGGATTCCACCGCCATGTGCAATCGTACTTCATCACACCTTGTCAATAACAGAACTTCAGGCTTCTTCAGCCTCAGCACCTTCCTCTTGGTAGAGCTGATCGATTTGATCACACTTCCTTTGTTCCATTCAGCGGTACATGATTCAGCATAATTCGCGATTTGTCTTGATCATATAACAAATGGAATGAGCTTATATGGAACAGCTTTCTTGTACTGAGCCCATTGCCCAGTGTACTAAAAGTGACAGATGGGTAAGAAAAACACAAACGTGTACATAGATTCTAGCGGAAGACCTACCTTCTTCGAGCAATAATCATCCAGCTCCGGGATACCGGCCTTGACGAAATAATATGTGTGAAGTCCTCCGATGAATGCACCCCAAGCCCATCCAGCGGCAGCCATAGCAAAGCCTGCTCTCCAAAGAACATACCCACCGTAGTTGATATGTCTCGCAAGCGCAAAAAGACCACCAGTGTACACACGGCCCTTGTTTCTCGGATCCTTCTTGAACTTGAACCTCTGCAGCTCCGAGCCCCACTCCAATAGCATTCCGATAGCGTACAGACTAATTCCGACAATAGTTGGTGCAGATAACCGCGTTTCATCGCCGCCAACAGAGTTCAAGACTGAAGTCGCAGTGTTGGCGAACAAGACTGTGTTAAGTGAATTGGCAAGTGCGTTAAATGTCCCTATGTAAGCAGAGGCACGAGGAGGGAGTGCATCCTGCGAAATAGCTATTACCCAATAGCTCTGCTTGATGAACGAGCCGATGGCCATGCTGAATAGAATGGCTCGTTGAGGAGATAAGCCAGTGTTGGTACCCATAAAAAATAATGGGTGACCAATAGTAGACGAGATGGATGTGCCACCAAGAGCATGGATTAGTGGAGCGGCGAGAGAACGAGAAGAAAGGATGGCATATTGCAATGGAAGATCCAGAGCGCGAAAAAGGACAAAAACACTTTGGGTTAACGGGGTTGGCTCGTTCACTCCGCGCGGGATGAGTAGATTTTTATGAGTGGTGGATGAAGACATGTTGAACGTATAGTGTGTGGCCCGGGAAAAGAGAAAAAGGTCATTATCGCGTGATACTCTAGACTGAGGATATATATGACCCGAAGCTCGGTTTATTGACGTCTACTTCAGAAGAAAGCACCTTTAATTAGTTTCAGCGAATCTCTTCCCAGCCCTTACCCCCTGCTACCCACTTCTTTCTCCTCTTCCCCTGTACTTCTACATACATCTTCTCACAACCTCTGTACTCCTACTGTCACACCCCCATTGAATATACATCACTCCTCTCTCAAAATCATGAGCTGGAACATAAATGGTCGCTACCTCCTTAATCTCCTTTCTTCTGAATTCCTCAACCTTCTTCAAACTGCTGACATCATCCTTCTACAAGAAATCCGGCTTCAATCAGAGTCATGCATGAAGACTCCACCTGGTTATCTCTCCTTCGTCCGTAACCGCCGTCGACTTGATAACGACATCGAGAACCCCTGGGGTGGTGTTGCCACTCTCGTCCGTGAAAATCTCGACTGCCTCCTACGCCAAGACCTCTCCAGCCCGGACTTACTGGTGGTTGAGGTCAACGGTACCCTGATTCGTAATGTTTATATCCCTCCTGAGTCATCACGCACTAACTGGCAGGACTGGTCCGACATTAACCCCTGGGACGCCTTCGTGGAAAATACCCACCTCATCATGCAACTCGACATGCCCTCAGTTACCGGCGGCGATATCAATTCTCGCATTGGCAACCTATCACCTCACGCCGGCCATCCTGACCGTGTATCATCCGACCTTACCGTATCAACACGAGGCAGACTCCTCCTGGACCTCTGCAACACCCATCAACTAACCATCCTCAATGGTTCCTCCTCTTTGCCTGGCTCTCATTCTTCCCCAACCTCCTTCCAACGTCGCCGCGACGCCCTGGGTCACTCGATTACCTTAAAAACTGTAATAGACTACTTTATCATTACCCCTTTTCTTTTTCCCTTCGTGACCGAGTTAAACGTGAGACCCGAAACTGACTGGTCAGATCACTCTCCCATCATAGTCAACATGATGGCCCCAGTCACTCCTGCTTGCACTACTCCACTCACACCTGCCTTTCGCAGACGCATTGTTCCCACTCCACTACTCACTGACACTGACCTCTTTCAACACAGGATCCTCCATTCTGAGCCCCCCTCACATGCCTCGCAATTACTCACACTATACGGCCATGCTTCTCCAACACTGCTCCCACTCCCTCCCCTCAAAATCTACACCGATGGCTCCTGCTCAAACGTGGGTCAGCCAAACGCCTCCTCTGGGTCGGGGATCTTCTTCGGCAACCCTTCGCATCCACTTAACACCGCCGCACGCGTTACTGGAACCCAAACCAACAACCGGGGTGAACTTCTGGCAGTACTTATTGCCATCCAGAAGTCCCATTCGAAACGCCGCCTCGCAATTTACTCCGACTCCGAATATACGATTCGCTCCATTGTCTACCGTGCGCCAAAGGAAGCGCAATCCAACTGGACCTGCGCTAACGGCGACATTATGTGCGCCATTGCGCGGTGGGTTGCCTCTAGGGAATCACCAATTGTGTTCCACCACGTCCGTGCTCACTCAAATAATGCTCATAACGACGCCGCTGATACCTTGGCGAAACTGGGGTCTACTCTCCCATTACCCCCACTTGCTTCTCCCCTTGACTTCTTATCTGCCCGTGCTCCACCCATCTTCACACCGGCTACACCCTCCAACATCCCAAAGGTCTCCACCTCCCTACCAGAGCTACCTCCTCAACCTGCTCCTCATATACCTCCCAACCCCTCCCCTCATCTCCCTTCCTCACATCGCGGCCGTAACCACAAACGCACACGTCAGGACCTAATCCGTACCAAACTGTCAGCTGCAGCCTCGGCTGGTAGCGCAACTTTCTGGCGTTATTACAAGGAAATCCGCCGCACACTCCCGACCACATCCAGAGTCTCCTTGCAACAACTCACTGACACCTTCATCCCCCGTATGAACCCCCCTGACCCCGTACTCTCCTCCTTCGACCCTGCTCGCATCATTGCGGAGGACGCCCGCGCCAACGCTATCCCGTCTCCTTCACCACCCGCCTCTCACCCTGCCTTCAATGAACCTTTGTCTCTCGATGACATCGCATCCGTCAAGTCTTACCTCAAACGTACCAACCACTCGAACTCCATGATGCTGTTCGGTCCCCTGCCTCAAACTCTGCCCCACTTCACCCTCTCAGGTGAGATTCTGAAATTCCGAGACGTTGTCCGATATGTCGGTGTCTTCTTCCAATCAACCCACCGGAACATCTTTGCCTCCCACTACACCGAGAAACGTGATTGTGCAGTTGGTTCAGCTCGTGCAATCACCGGTTGCGACCTCCTTGTTGGGAACCGTCGCATGCCTCCTTCCATCACAAAACAGCTGTACACTGCTTTAGTAGACTGTCACCTCACCCACGGCTGTGAAATCATGCCTGACACCGACCCCGGTCTCCTTCGGATCTTGGAAGACATTCAATTACGCTTCCTGCGCTGCATGCTGGGCCTCTCCACCAACTCAGTAATCACTCCGCTATATACGGAAACTGGCATTATGCCGATCCGCACCCGTCGGGTATCCCTTACGCTCCGCTACCTCAAATATCTCATTGAACTGCCCGACACTCACTATGCCTCGCTTGCACTAGCCGAGAATGTTAACCTCCGCAACTCACTCTGCCCCTGCTGGCTCACCGACCTTGATTACGCCATCAACCAACTGCCAGGTAATCACCGTCTGCCCAACCTCCGTGCCCTCGATGGAGCCCTCATAGACAAACTGATCAAGGCAATTGAATTCTCCACCAAAACTAACCTACAGTCCCACATTGACACGTGGTCTAAGCTATCTCTACTACGTCACCGCCTGGAACCAAAGGAAGAAGGCCCCGCGAAACCTCAGATGATTGGACTTCGACATTACCTCACCCAAATTCTGAACCACTCTCATCGTCGCACCGTCACCAAACTACTCTGCGGTGACTTCACCCCCCACGTATTTCATGCATCTCCCTCCCCCCTCCGCCAATTGACTGCGACGGAACATCTCAACCGTCTCTGCCGCGCCTGCAACCGCCACCCTGAGACCCCTCAACACATCCTGCTTCAGTGCCCATCTCTGACCAGCATATGTTCTTTACGCACTGACTTCATTACCTACACCCGTCAGTTCCGACCTGTCCCCTTCGATGCATTCTCTTCCGACCCGACCGCCCTTCACTACCTCAAATCGTTCATCTTCGACTGGTCCCTGATTACTGCTAGTGCAAAATTTATCCACAACGTCATTGACCGCTGGCAGTCCTTCTTAGACACGGGAACTGATTCAGAACAGGTCGGGGAAAGTGAAAGTGAAGACTCAGATCTTGAATAATTTCCCTCTACGGTACCACTACGTTTTAGGTACCGTAATATGTATTTTACCCCCTCCATTCTCACTGCAGTCTACCGTCCCTCGTTGGATGAGCATTCGCTGCAACTGAGATGGTTGGGCCCGGCTGTTCCCTAGTGGGACCCCGTCTTAGACGGAGCCGCGTATCTATCTATCTATCTATCTATATACACGCCCCGCGAACTTCTGCTATTTCAACGACATGATGAGCATCACGTGGAAACTCCAACCCAAGAACCCATGTTCACCCAGTTCAATCAGCATGATTCCCCAAGGCTAAGGCTAAATGTCCAACTTCAGATGAAAGTGCATTCGTCCTTACTTCGGCAACTCACAGAACATATTTAAAAAGATCAACGTCAACTCTTTCTGCTTATGCAAGTCGCATGACGAGAATCAAGCTTATAGTCGGCGAATTGATATGAGGTTATTATTCCGTCCTGGTTAGTATAAGAAGCTAGAACGTTAGAATGCATAGTTTGTTTCATCTTTTCCATGTCGCCTGCTAATACATCCACTAACAAAGGCGTTCTAATTCAGCGCGGATCCAACGAGCGAACCCCGTTCTCCCGTGGTCTTTTCGTCTTGTCTCGCGGTCTGGATCTACCATTACAATATGCTATCCTTTCTTCTCGTTCCTTGGCCGCACCTCTAATTCACGCTCTAGGCGGAACAGCTATTCTACCTACTGGACCCCCGCTCTTCCTCATGGGTACCAACACCGGCCTGTCTCCCCAACGCGCCATTATATTCGGCATGGTCATAGGCTCGTTCGTTAAGCAAAGTTACTGGGTGACTGCCATCTCCCAGGAACCAATGACTCCTCGTGCTGCTGCTCTCATAGGAGCATTTTACGCGGTTGCTAGCTCCCTCAATACTATTCTGTTCACCAATACTGCGACGTCGGTGTTGGGTTACGCTTCTGTTGCAGGCGACGAGACGCGATTGCCCATACAGACTCTTGTCGGCATCGGTCTGTATGCTCTCGGCATGGTATTAGAATGGGCCTCGGAGCTGCAAAGATTGAGGTTTAAGAAGGATCCGAAGAATAAAGGTCGTGCTTACACTGGTGGTCTTTTTGGACTTGCGAGGCATATCAATTATGGTGGATATGTTCTCTGGAGAGTTGGGTCTTCTATTGCTGCTGCTGGATGGATTTGGGGTGCAGCGGTTGGAGGATTCCACACTTATTACTTCTTGAAAGACGGTATTCCGGAGTTGGACGCTTATTGCTCGAAGAGGGTGAGTTGTTCGTTAGCAGCACCTCAATATATTCTTCTGACGTTATGTGACATTCCAGTACAGCGAGCAGTGGAGCGAGTACAAGAAGGCAGTTCCATACAAGCTCTTTCCTTATATTTTGTGAATGAACTAAACTTCGAGCCTCAGGCAACATTTGTATCGATATTTATTGCAGCTGAATACACATTGAACGAAAAAGCTGTGTGCCGATTGAGTCAGATAACTCGGGATGTAATTGATAATGTGTACGCATTTCGATCATTTAACTTCACGTCCACCTACCATCCTCGATGGTATCATACAACCTTGCCTTCATCTTCCTTTTCTGCTTAATAGACCCAGAGCCTGACCCAATTCAGTACCACCACTGCGTTTAGTCTCCACTGGATTTTCCTTGAACTCACTAAAAGGCAACCGACATAGTTCCGTTAAGTAAGTTGAACAGCGGATAGTTGTATGAAAATTTTCGCTCGTTGTCAGCAACGAGTACTGCTTACTGATGAAGTGGAGTATAGGTATAGTATGATGTAGTACTTTGCCAAAGGACATTTGTATTGGAATGACGATGCTCGAATGCAGAGCGGTGAAAACTGCGTTCCGGCTCCTCTTCTCTCCAAGATGGTGATTCCCTATCGTTCCTGTCATCATGGACCAATGATATAAAACCCCCAATCGATGTGGCCGATAGCTATCTTCATCCAGCTATGTCTTCCACCACTCAAGAACCCAAAGAATATAAAAGCCTACTCATTCGAGGGAATACCGAGTCGAGCCCATTCTCTCGCGCTCTGTTTATAATCTTACGATCCATCGATCTCCCTATCCAATACTCCATCCTCTCTTCGAATTCCCTTGGCGTACACGGACAGAGTCTCATCCATGTTCTAGGTGGAACACCGGTTCGAGTGACTTCTGCCACCGACACACCGCGCTTAATTCTCTTGGCCATGACCCTCGCCGCATTCGCTAAACAGATCTACTGGGTCCTAGCTGTCTCCATGACCCCCGTCACACCAAAGACTTCCGCATTAATCAGTCTATTCAACTTGTCCTGCAATACCGCGAATACAGTGTTATTCGTCAACGCTGCTACGTCTGTGCTAACCTCCAACAGTGCAACCAGGTCCAGGGATGAAACAAATCATCTGCCTATACAGATGTTTGTGGGATTAGCCGTCTTCGTTCTCGGCTTAGCTGTGGAGTGGGTCTCGGAGATCCAGAGGACGAGGTTCAAAACCGAACCGAGGAATAAAGGACAGATATACACCAAAGGCTTATTTGCCTACACCAGGCATATTAATTATACTGGATACGTGCTATGGAGAACAGGGTTTGCTACAGCTGCCGCGGGCTGGGGATGGGGGGCATTTGTAGCGAGTGCGTTCACGTATGATTTCTTGACTAGAGGGATTCCGGAGCTGGATCAGTATTGTGAAAGGAAGGTGTGTAAAACAACATTTCTGTGAGATGTTTTGAGGTCTCTCATTGATGGATTATTCAGTATGGTGAAGGATGGGCACAGTACAAGAAGGTTGTTCCGTATAAACTTTTCCCGTTTATCATTTAGTTGCGGGTGTGTTCAACAACTCCCGAAGCGCTGTTCAAGTTACATAACGTTTTGAGTGACGACAGAATAACTAGACCCATTTTAGCAACAAACCTCATTGATTGTGATTGAGGAATCAAAAGGCCAAGGTATGGAACTAGTTTTCGCGGGAAATTCTCAAGCTTCCGTGAGAAATCCTCCAATCACTCTGAATCCTCCGCGTCAAGCTTCGAAGACCATCGAATTCTCCTGCCTCTGCCCTATGACTATGCCGATTTATTGGGGACACAATGACAACCCTTCATCATGACTATTTCCGCTTATATCTAGAGCTACAACAAATTGGATTCCTGTAATCACCCCCCTGTCACCTGTAATGTTTATTTCTGTAAGCCATAGCACTCTCAAACAATGTGTATGTACTTCCATTTCCAGGTGTCTTGGACTGTGTCTGTGGATTCCATTCACTGAGTGTTAGACTGGATCAATTAACATCATGTCTCAAAATCATTTACAATTGCTCACCAACTGACTTCGCACAAGCTCACCAAGCTACGGTAGCTTATTAATAGCCTCCGATTTCTCCTTAACCACTCACCAATTGTTTGTGACATCACTCACCAAGTGCTTTACATAAGTTCACCAACCATAGCACACTTCATTACGATGGCATCAGTTACTCCTCCGATTTCTCCTTAACCACTCACCAATTGTTTGTGACATCTCTCACCAAGTGCTTTACATAAGTTCACCAACCATAGTGTGCTCCATTGTGATGGTGTCAGTCATTTTATCTTACTTTCTCAGTACTGCAATTTCAATGCTTATCGAAGTTGTTTGATAACTGTATCTTTACAGTATTTTTCGAGTATCTAAAAGAGGTTTGGCTGCATAACCCTTGCAACAGCAAGGGCATCTACCCATAGACGAGCAACATGCTCTTCCTGAGGCTCACGATTATAATGGAGGACTTGTTCATCCAATGATACCACCTGCCCATGAGATAATGAACCAGCGGGTGAATTAACAACAACCTCATTAAGGTCAGGAGGCGGTCCCCTGTGGCCAAGCCATGAACCAGATCCTTCCCCACTGTAGTTTTTTCGTAGAGCCCTCAGTAATACTTCATCTTGTAGCCCCTCCCAGTCTACGCCAAAAACTTCCAATTCTTCATCTGACATCGCAAACTGATCCAAACTATCCCCTCGTATGCCATGAACTAGCATATCAAAACCAAACATATCTTCAGGTGACCGAGCAGGACCATTGCGCTGTGAAATGCGGTGGTGATTCCATGATTCAGCCCAAAAGGCCAGCTGTTCATTGATTGTTGGCAGAAAAAGGTGTTGCAGAAGCCATATGTGATTTGCATTGGTTATATCGAGTCCATACCTCATTTCAAGGATGGTAAAGAGGTCATTCCATGATTGGGAGATGTAATGGCTAACATCAACCCAAAGGCGTTCAATACGCACATTGTGAACAGATCTTGGAAAATTAGAGTGAGTATATAGCACATGTACAAAAACATGCTGATTTACCGTCCCCAGATATAGGAACCTCGACTTTCTCCTCGGGCAAATTCCATGAAAGCAGCAACCCAGATATTCTCTACACCATGGTCTCCACGTACACGGGAAGGAAGACCATACTGTTGTACAGATGACAGGAAAAGGGACATAACAGTTTGACCACGGTTATTGTTGCTTGCTCGCAGACCAGTGATCATTCGTGAATAACCATCAATGAAGCCATGAATCACAATACCCCATCGAATTAGACCTGGGCAGTATATCATCAAATATTGTCGTAACTCAAATTCTAGAAAGCACTTGCGATGATGACCATCATGATGCCATAAAGAGTTAGGACCAGGAACCGAGTATCCTCGTCGCCGGATGCGAATACGCTCAAAGACTCTATGGATAGGATCTATGCGTATCAGAGATTGGCGAATACGTTCATAAGGAACAATATGGCCCAGACGGCGCAGCATTCCGTCCAGCATTCTGATTCCTGCCCGGCTATAGTGGACCCTCAGCTGGCTCAAAAGAGAATCCAGCTGGTCATTTGACATATGAGACAGGTAGCTAGATGTAGATGGAATAGAAGCAGCCTCTGCACGGATTTGTTCAGGTAATTGAATGGGATCAGGAATTTGAGCGTCTAGAATATTATCTTCATGCTGGCTGGTACTTGATGAAATATTACTGGTATCTGGAGTGGATGGAAAGGGATTTTGGCCGGGCAATGCAATACCATAGTCAAGCAGACGCTGCCTCACAGTATCACGATTTAGACCAAGGAAGTGCGCCAAGGCAGATGTTGAGCGCTGGGTATATGCCCAATGCAGAAATTCCGGATTAATCTCAATACGTGGGCGACCTGGACGGCCAGTATACTCTCGATGAATGACTTCAGGTCTTCCTTGATGTGATGATTCAGTAGTCTGTCCATATAGAGCCCTGACATCAATTATCATGAGCTGAACACCATTTTGAAGGACTTGAAGCTCCTCGGGTGCAAATAGGGTGGTATGCTACATTAATGGGCACCTTGGTATTGAATTATTCTCGTGTCATAATGAAGAGGTCTCACCTGATTAACCATTTGGCCAAACTGCTCCAAGTCTTCACCAAGAAGTTGAAGTAGAAATGAGTCTGTTTCTTGAGAATAAACTTGGGTCAGAATAATTTGGAATTGTTCATAATGAGCGCGAAATGCATCAAGTAGGCCATTGGGATTGTCTGTGATTGTGCCAGGATTAACGCCATGTATTGTTATTGGCAAGAAACTGATGATGAAGAATAATCCACAGATGAGCGAAAGATGTAGATATAAAAACTTGAGCAGCTGGCGCATATTTGGTTTTGAAAAAACAATGAGGCGCTCAAATATAATTAGCTCACCGACATTGCCGGAAAAGGAACACATCAAGCGCTTCTTTTCTCAGCTAAATACTCTTGCTTTGAACTTCGATTTCTTCCATCTGTCCTCCGGTGCAGATGGACACCTCCCAGCCATCTTTGCTAGATGATGATTGGTTAAGTCAAATTGAGACTATACTTAATTCATCAAACTGTCGCTCTTTATCAACAAACCATCCTTATGACTTCTTGAATTTTGATACCCATGCATATTCTCGATCTTTAGCCTTTCAAGTTCCCAACAATGGTATGTCAAGTATGTTTCATTTTCATTGATTTTATTATTCTGATCCTGTTTTGAATCTACAGCAGAGACTGGGCTGTCTACAGCTAAGACCATCCATTCCCAGTTCAACCGTAATGGTAAGCAACTTTTATTGTCTTCACTATATATCCGATTCTCTAATGACATACATGCTACTGAACCAGCTATGGATACTACAGCCCAGCCCACCATTGCGTCCCAGATCAATGCGGTTAACATCGCACCATCTACAACCGATACTATCTATCCTCAGTTCAAAGTTGACAGTAAGCAAGTTTTATCCTCTTCGCCACATATCTTATACTCCCATTGTAGACGCTACTAAATCAACTATGGATGCCATGGCCAGACCCACTTTTTCGTCCTGGTTCAATGCAGCTAATACTGTCCTATCTACAACTGATATGATCGATCCTCAGTTTGACCTTAACAGTAAGGAACTCTTATTTTCTTCGCTAATACCTTAAACTCTAATGACATAGATGCTACTGAAACGGCTACGGATACTACAGCCCAACCCACCATTGCGTCCCAGATCGATGCGGCTAACATCGCACCATCTACAACCGATACTATCTATCCTCAGTTCAAAGTTGACAGTAAGCAAGTTTTATCCTCTTCGCCACATATCTTATACTCCCATTGTAGACGCTACTAAATCAACTATGGATGCCATGGCCAGACCCACTTTTTCGTCCTGGTTCAATGCAGCTAATACTGTCCTATCTACAACTGATATGATCGATCCTCAGTTTGACCTTAACAGTAAGGAACTCTTATTTTCTTCGCTATACACCTTAAACTCTAATGACATAGATGCTACTGAAACGGCTACGGATACTACAGCCCAACCCACCATTGCGTCCCAGATCGATGCGGCTAACATCGCACCATCTACAACTGATACTATCTATCCTCAGTTCAAAGTTGACAGTAAGCAAGTTTTATCCTCTTCGTCATATATCTTATACTCCCATTATAGATGCTACTAAATCAACTATGGATACCATGGCCAGACCCACTTTTGCGTCCTGGTTCAATGCAGCTAATACTGTCCTATCTACAACTGATATGATCGATCCTCAGTTTGACCTTAATAGTAAGGAACTCTTATTTTCTTCGCTATACACCTTAAACTCTAATGACATAGATGCTACTGAAACGGCTACGGATACTACAGCCCAACCCACCATTGCATCCCAGATCGATGCGGCTAACATCGCACCATCTACAACTGATACTATCTATCCTCAGTTCAAAGTTGACAGTAAGCAAGTTTTATCCTCTTCGTCATATATCTTATACTCCCATTATAGACGCTACTAAATCAACTATGGATACCATGGCCAGACCCACTTTTGCGTCCTGGTTCAATGCAGCTAATACTGTCCTATCTACAACTGATATGATCGATCCTCAGTTTGACCTTAATAGTAAGGAACTCTTATTTTCTTCGCTATACACCTTAAACTCTAATGACATAGATGCTACTGAAACGGCTACAGATACTACAGCCCAATCCACCATTGCGTCCCAGATCGATGCGGCTAACATCACATCATCTACAGCCAATACTATCTATCCTCAGTTCAAAGTTGACGGTAAGCAAGTTTTATCCTTTTCGTTATGTATCTTATACTCCCATAATATAGATACTTCTGAAATGGTTATGAATACTGCTGAACCTACTACTCTATTGACTGTCGGAACTGGTGATACTACCAATCCTCGGTCCAACCTTAATAGTAAGTGCGATTCATATTCTTCTATGTCTCATGCTTCAATGATCATAGACACTTCTGATATACATACTACTCAATCTGACATTCAATCATGGGTTGATGCAGCCTATGCTGCGCTATGGGCAGTCGAGATGACCCATTCTCAGTCCAACCTTAATAGTAAGTATATCTTCTTTGCTATATATCTCTATGCTCTAACAGCTCTAGATACTACTGAATCTGCTATAAACGCTACTGAATCCACTGCACTATCGAATGACAATGCTAACAATTCTCGGAAGTTGACAAGTAAGTACAATCCATTTCTTTTGCTAAATATTCTATAATATAATGAATGAAGATGCTACCGAACCTGCAATATATACCGCTCAATCAATTGTACATTCCCCGACTCATAGAAATATACCCCAAATAAATAATCTCATAGCCTCGAAGACTTGTAAGTCATTCTAAATCAATTCTAGCACAATTCTTACTCTAAGTCGATAGCAATTACGATACACATTTATCTCGCCTCTAGCTGGGTTGAGATACCCTTGCTTCACAGTATTTTCTGGAATATCAACGTCCCAAGTACCTGGATCAGTGTGCAGGAAGCATCTTTTGCCATTTCGCCAACAAATTTACTCGAAATTCTACAAGACTATCAGACATATATTGTGCCTCCTTCCCTTCTTCCACAAAGCATTTACTTTGCAGCATGTAACCCTGTTTCGATGCTTCTTACCTCTTCTTTGGTAACTATCGACTCGCCACTAAGTTCTCCACAAGCACAAGGTCGAATAATTGGCAAAGTAGGAAATGTACTGAATTCTGCTCCGGCCCTTATCTTGGGCATTGATGAGACCAATCCATTGAATCAGTCCTTTTTCAACACGTCTGCGAAGTTGAATCTTCCTGGAAACTCTACTGGGAAACATTTTGTACTTGCATTTATTTTGCCCCCTCGACCATCACGTTCATCTCCTGCACCTTCAAGGAGCCAAGAAAGGTGGAGTCCCTATGGGACTCGTCCAATCTCTGCACAAACCTTGCCCGCCCTTCCCCAGATGTTCCCAGCCTCGTCTGAGTCCCAACTGCCATTTTCTTCGAGCCAGCCAGGTTCACCTTTGTCACACCCATCCGTATCTGCATTTCCTTTGCAGTTGCCCCGCCCATCATCATCACATTCCTCCGTTTCTGCTTCATTTTTGCCATCACCCAGCTCGTTATCTTCGTCCAGTGTGGCTGGGTCACTTTCACCATCGCCACAATCACCGTTACTACCTGCACCTCTTCAAGCTCCATTGTTTCGACCTCGGCTTCTACCCCATACAGCTGCATCATCATCAGAACCATTCATGGGAATACAGAATGGAGATACGTTTGAGACCAATGCCCGAGATCTTGCTGACTTGTGCAGGGGGCTTGGGTGGGATCTCAAAACGTTACAATATACTACAGCTGCCACCAACGCCGATATTGTTGGGTTATACCACCAGTACACTACTGGTCGCAGCTTTGAACAACAGATTGGGAGTATCTCAAGGGGTGATGGTGATCGCCGAAAGCGTTTTGTGAAATACGCAGATAATACTGTTGAATCAGTTGCTTCGATTTTGGAACGACTCAAGTTTAAAAAATCGACATATGATGACAAGAGACGATTGTTTTCATTTGTAGAAGATGTTGGGAAGTCGAACAAGATCTGGAATCCTGCTAATGTTCCTCCGGGAGGCTTTCAGAAAAGTTTGCCATTACCTTTCGAGGGCTAATTCAGATAATTTACTGACTAATTTTACAGCTTTTCTTCGGCCTTATGATGTTTGGGTGTGCATCAAATATCTATGGGGTCCATCGGGACCTTTAACCTTGAGAAAACCAATACCTGAACCTTCCGAGGATGAAGATCCTGTCATTGAGGCTTCCCGCAAGCTTCACCAAGGTTGTATCAGACAGTATCGTATTGCTATTGAAAATTCCCTTGTGGATCCCATGTAATAGCCGTAGGTCATTTGTTTAATAGCGGCAATTCCAATTGTAATTACAAATGTCTTGAGATAGTAAGAACAAGCAATGTCTAAAAACCTCTACTCTATATGTGCGCAGAGCTGTGCATCAAAGTGGTAGCAGTGCCCACCCTACAGGTGAGCTAATAAAACGGTTTAGAACCTCTGGTCTCATGAAGTATGCATAAAGGACACGCTCCCCTGTTGTCCATGGTGGAACTTCATGCGTCCAAAGCTTCCCAGAAAATATGAAGACTGTTCCCGGACGATAGCGGAACTGAGCACCCAGTTCTTTGATATACATTTCTGCTCCTTCGCAGAATCCAAGATTGAACAGGATATCGAAGAACTTGTTATCTCCACTAGAGTCCCGGTGCTCCTTTGAAATCCGAGAAGAAATGACGGAAAGACAGTTGAAAACCGACTTCCATTGTATGGCCCATTTGCTTGTCATTGGATTTTGACGGAGACCTGAGAGGGCAACAAGCCCAGCATAGTGAAGTTCCGGATGCAATAGCCTAAGAAGTATGTTCGATAAGATTTGCATTTTTTCAATCCGTTCCAGCCACTGTAAACTCTGCGCTTCATTGCCTTGACTCAAGGACAAAGAAGTGACGAGAGGATATTCCAAAGCCTTTCATAGTAAAGATGAATTAGTTTTGGGAGCAGCAAAATGAGAGTGACTACTTACATGGTGGCCTTGTGCAAGCCAACCGGGGGAGAAATTCAAGCATCCGGGGGCGACCTTTGGTCTCTTTACCGGGGTAAAATATTTTTCATTTACTCGCCAAACAGACTTCTCGTCTTTTGGAACAATACTTGCATATAGCTTTTGTGAAAGGAGAGATGTCGAATCAAATATTTCGTGCTACAATTTTTTCAGTCAATGAACAGATTTGATTTATGTAGACTACCTGTTCATTTTGTGCCAGTAAATTTGGCAAATAATAAAGCAATGCAATATTTTGGTTGTCAGTTACTACACAGGGCTCAATTATTTTCCCAAGTTTTGTTGAAACCAAGGCAGTCCTTTCGCTCAACATCGAAGAAGCAAAAGCATCGGCACTGCAAGGCAGCTTCACTGAAAGTCTTGGTTAGGCTTAAATAAACATCTAGCTGTTTTTCTGACCTGGATTCTTTAATGCAAGATGAATGGCTCTTCTTATAGACTCAAGATTGATGCCATTCCATCGAGCCACTTGTTTCTTGATGCTATTTCTATAACAGTCAACAACAGATAAATTAAGAAAGCAATGAATCTTACTTTGTCTGAGCAATTTGCGATTTAAGCAATTCAATAATGTCCTCAAATGATCTGTGTTCTATCTGTGGCATGGTCGAGGTCTTGGAAATAGTAGGATATACGCTACGTGTTACAAAATGCAAATTGAAAGGGCCTTGGGTTAGGGTTAGGATTAAGTTGGGTCAAGCATCATCCGATGATACATTCGTAAATATGCTAAGTCGTACAACTATGAAAAACCAAGGTTCACAATTGAAGGCTTCATAGAAAAGTGGCCAACTCTTCTTTGAAGCCTTCAATCATGGACCTCTAGCTATAGTAATAACTATAGTGCTTCTAAATATAATGATAAACTATCCTAGAAGTAACAAATACTTCGGGGCAATACGCCTCAAGCACATGTCCCTATACAGAGAATGGGGCTACAAAACCCTTAGTACCAGCAGATATTCCTGGCACCCATCCCTATGCGGAGGATGGGGCTGCGGGAACACCCTGTCGAGCACCTGTCCCTATGCGGAGGACAGGGCTACAGAACCCCCCGAAACCAGCAGGTATTCCCAGCACCCATCCCTATGCGGAGGATGGGACTGCGGAAACACCCTGAGGCAATGAATACCTCAAGCACCTGTCCCTATGCGGAGGACAAGGCTACAGAACCCCCGAAACCAGCAGATATTCCCAGCACCCATCCCTATGCGGAGGATGGGGCTGCGGAAACACCCCGTCGAGCACCTGTCCCTATGCGGAGGACAGGGCTACAGAACCCCCCGAAACCAGCAGATATTCCCAGCACCCATCCCTATGCGGAGGATGGGGCTGCGGAAACACCCTGTCGAGCACCTGTCCCTATGCGGAGGACAGGGCTACAGAACCCCCTGAAACCAGCAGATATTCCCAGCACCCATCCCTATGCGGAGGATGGGGCTGCGGAAACACCCCGTCGAGCACCTGTCCCTATGCGGAGGACAGGGCTACAGAACCCCCCGAAACCAGCAGATATTCCCAGCGCCCATCCCTATGCGGAGGATGGGGCTGCGGAAACACCCCGTCGAGCACCTGTCCCTATGCGGAGGACAGGGCTACAGAACCCCCCGAAACCAGCAGATATTCCCAGCACCCATCCCTATGCGGAGGATGGGGCTGCGGCAACACCCAAACACAATGAACACCTCAAAAACCTGTCCCTGTATGGAGGATGTATGCCTCACCCTGGTGATAAAATGGTGTATGATAAAATGTGCTAGAAAACTCACCAGGATTACCTAGATATTGAGACCAGAGGCTGAATTCTAATTGGGTTGATTTGGATTAGTGATTCACGGAGGTTGAAGAAGAGAAAACCATTGCTTATTCCCAAAAATGAATATTTGACTGTACCAGAGTGAGTAACCGTGACTAAAAGAAGTCATACCATAAACATCGTGAGCTTGTTGGATGGAGAGAAAGTCGCGCTCTTTCTCTCCATCCAACAAGCTCTGCAATGCTCAAAGCAGTGGTCATGGAGGTAATGAAGAACCAAATTGCCACGTCAGCGTTTCAATAAACAGTATCATGTGATTTGACTATGATCACAGAGTATTGCTCTTTGAGCGATGGCCATCTCTAGGTGAAATGCGTGGGTCACTTCCTTCTAACATACCGTAAGTGGCGAGAGCCTCCTTCTCTTGGCGTGCAGCTTCTTGTTCAATTGTAGTAACTCTAGACGCATAATGATCCTCATTCACAGCATGCCCAGAGCCTCGAGCTCATCCTGCAGTTGAAGATGCTCATGAGCGAGCCATTGTGAGACTTGTGAGTGTCAGAAAGAGAGTTGGCGGGAACGGTATTTCAAGTCCAGGATAGGAAGTGGGTGTTTAGATGGGAGAATCGACCGTCCAGCTTTGTCACTATGCAAGCAGATATTAGTCAATAGGCAGAATATGAACTTTGGCGATTCTTACGTGGAGGTAGAAGTGGATGCAACGATACCGCGAACAGGACAACCCAGTTCCAAAGCAGTCTTTGTGCTCACATCAATGTGGATAGCAGTACCTTGTGCCTCCGTAAACTGAATAAAACATGTCAGTAAAAGTGAATTAGACTGTGAGAAGCGACCTACTCCTGAACGAGTACTTGCAGTGGGTCGTGACATTTCTGTTGATTCACGACCCATAGCAAATTCGGCATCTGCGTTACTTGTAGCCTTCATGTTTGTGAAGTCGTACGATCCTTCCTCGCTTATATCGTCGAAACCACCAGCAATCATGACCTTAGCTTTACCCGACAGGATTGCGTCACAAGCGATTTCGAGAGATTGCAAAGCGGTAGCACTAATAAGGGTAAGCAAAGGCGGAATCAAGTTATGGAGAGTATATTTACCAAGCACCGACAGGGATCTTGACCGGACCACTCGATGATAGAAGCAGAAGCTTAATCCATCCGTGTTTATGAAACTATAATCTCACAAAATTAAGACAGCGATGGAGGAAATGAAGAAAAATAACCCACGTTTCTTGCAAAATGTCATTCTGTACCTCTTTCTCATCACGACGGTCAATGAACATCTTCGCCAGACTGACTTGACCACCCATACCGCTACCAAGTGACGTCCCGACTTCAGATGGATGCACATGTTGATAGAGATCATATGGATCCGTGATACCGGACATGTTGAGGGCTTCGGCAGTTGAGACCAAATTCCAGAGGGCGACTTGATCGGTTTGGGCAATAATGTCTTCAGGAAGACCGTAGCGGCTAGCGTACCATCCAGTAGGAATTTGGCTTGCAACTTTGCGACTGAACGAGAATGATTTGGGCACGAATACACAGGCACCCTTTTTGACCTTGAAGAACCATTGACCTCCTTCTCCGGCCCAGATATCGCACTTGTCGCCGTGCTGGAGTTTGAATTTGGAGGCTTCATCTGCGAGGACTTCTATGGGCTCAAGATCATGGATCAACTCGACCTCTTGATTGAAGATCTTCTTATTTGGATCATAGCCACGGAAGAGCTCGGGTTCTGTAACAGTCATAAGCAAGAGACTTGGTGAAAAATAGAACAACCTTACCAATCAAACGAATGCCTGCATGGGCAAGGATATCTTTTTCGTAGCGTCCCTTGACGTCCTTGTCGTCAACTGGTTCTCCACTCTTACTGTCGACCCAACCAACATACAACGTGCCATCCTTCAGACGCCCGTCGAAGTGCTTGATGTATCCCATCATCCGGGCCATCTCGATAGCACCCTCAATTGTGAACTCTCCCCGAGCTTCCATTCACTTCGGCGGAACCAGTGATAACCATGACCTTGTCCAAGTCAAGTATACCCCGAAGCTTGGTGACATCAACAAGAGAGTTTTGGGATTCGAGGGCGGGGGAAGTCGAATCGGAAGTTAGCACGAGGGAGGACGTCCACAGTCTGAATCAAACGCTCTGCATCAACACTGTCCTAATACGGGTGGGGTCGTGATATCGGCGAGGTCTGGATGACGATCCATGCCACCGTTGAGATCAGCCCAAATGGGTTCCACCTGAGTGATACTGAACAGCAAAGGGTGCATCAAACCAAGGATGTTGAACGCCATTTCCTTGGCAGAGAATGTGCGGACATCGAAGCTTTCAAGCTCGTGCGCTACTATATTCGTGGGTCCCATGAAAGTGGTACCGCGGGTCCATCTGTACAGAAAAGTAAGCCGGGAGCCTAAGCGAAATTATAAACGACTTACCCAATGACAGCTCCAGCAAGACAGAGATATTCACCCCGGCCTTCGGAAGCCCAACGTTGGAAGAGTGTTTCCAGAGAGATCTTCGATTCCGAGTACAGGCCATCATTGCCAAACAGACCATGATTAGGAGACAGGGGGAGGATAACTTGAGTAGGACACGTAACAAAATGTCGACTGGCTTTCTTGTTCTTCACTGCACCGAGAATTCGCAACAAGTTGGTCAACATGATGCGGTGAGCCAGCTCGGACTTGTCATCAATTCCATCGATCTCCCGGCCGTTCTTGGGAATACCAGCGAAAGGAAGAATGAAATCCAAGTCTATTCCGAGGGTAGAGTAGAGTAGATGTAATCCACAAGGGCCTCGACGTCCTGCTTCGAACCTAAAGGGCACCACAGTAAGCGCAGACCCGCGACTGCCGAAAGTTTGGAAAATGGACTGATAATATTCAACAGTCGAGCGGCTATAGCGAGAGGTAGTAATCACCACATGAACGCCACCAGAGAGTAGACGACAACTTCGACTCCAATGGAGCCTTTGCCTACTCCAGTGAGTAAAGCGTTCTTATCCTTGAACGTTGTTCCGGCAGTGGCAATCTGGTGAAAAATGTCAAGATAGACACTCGTAAGGTTGCTGCTGTATTCCCAGTTGGTGCCAACTTTCCTCTTCAAATGTAGCAGAGGAACTTTGTCTGCAGACACAGTTGCGATTCCGGATTTTTGAGGTCGGAGGAACTGCGAAGACAATCGACGATTTCTAGGAGTGCGCGGGCGAGGTTCAGAACCTTTATTCCTCAATGAGCGAATGACGCCTTCATACAGAGCCTTGATACGATTCTTTTGCTCTTGACTAATCTCTGCTTGGGATTTCACAATCGTCCAGAGCTTTAGCACATCGTCTCAAACTTTTTGAATGTTGACCGGGCCTGACACTGTATCGCTGCGAGCCATCTCCTCGACGTATGCCTCTAGTTTGCGAACATTTTCGCGCATAACCTCGGTGTACACAATGTCACCCTTACTGCTGACCTCTGTGTGAGGAGCAGTTGGGAAAGTAACTAGAAGAACATCAGAAAGGGAATGAAAAAAAAGGATAGACGACATACCATCCTTGTAGACAGGTGGCTGCCCAATGAACTGATGCGTGTTGTCTATTAGCTGTTAGCCAAACTCCTTGGCAAGCTTGTAGGTGTCGCCCTTGCTCGGATCACATTGGTCAATGTTATACTGCATGTAAGCCAACATCTCCGGATCGGCGCGGTTCAGCAGATGGATACAGCGAGCTGTGATCTCGCGGTCGACAGTTGTAAGACGTCCGAAAATGATGTCATAGTACATCGTTAGAGCATCCTGTCGAACCCAATTCCAAGAAGAGTCAAAGCGACGGGCTTTCAAGGGATCAAAGACAGGCATGATACCGTCGATGTAGAGATCACCGTGTTCCTTAGCAATACTGTCCAACTTAGCTTGTAAGGCCATCGAATTAGCCTTTTCAGTGTCGAATGCGATTTCGCCAGAGCGAGAGTCCCGCTTAAGGTAACGCATGTAAAGCTCGATATGTTGAGCAGCGAAACGCTCCTCCTCGGCCTGAAACTTTGTGAACTCTTCGCTGTTGATCACTGCGCCGCCACTGCCTCCTCCACCCCCGCCTCCTCCTGCGCCAGGAGATGCAAGAGAAATTCCAGATCGTTGCGCATACGCCGATACGACGCCGTCGAGCCAGGTTTTCGCCTCCACTTCAGATCCCAGACGCTTAGCGGGTTCCATGGTAGTTCCAAGGAGAAGAACACCGTCCGCACGTTGAGGACCCAAACCCCAAGTCTTCGACAAATGGGCTTTTACAGCAGACGAGTTGAAGCCACCAGGCAGTTTCCCTCCAACCAAACGTGACACGAGACCAGTGGTGTATTTACCTAACGTTCCACTATGTCCAAAACCCAAAGCAGGGCCCAGCTCGTCAAGAGGTAGCTCTTCACCTTTCTCGGGAGCTGAAGAGAACTCTTGTTGTAGATCGCCCAAGATTTCGTTCTGAAGAGTCGACTTTCCGCCAACAAGGTCTTTGATAGACTTCGACGTAGAAATGTCGCTGATTTGTTTTTTCGATTTCTGCGCGACATTGGCAAGAAGGATGTCCGACGATTTAACGGGAACGTCTTCAATGCTGACAGCTGGACCTGTAGGGACAGCAACAGGTAAGGGAACGGCGGTGGCGGTGACAGGAGCAGCAACAGACTCGGTTACCTCTACGGGCACAGATTCAGCAACCGCTTCATCTTCAAACAAGTAATAAATCTCCTTTGAATGTTTCGCATGACAAAGAATTTCGCGCTTCAGAGAAACGCAATCGTCTTGAAGCTCGTACTTAGCCTTGAGAGTACGAGTTGCCATTCCGGTAAGAGTGGGGGAAGGGCCAAGCTCGATGAGTCTTTCGAAATTGAAGTGGGAAAAGAGGAGGTCCTGGGTTTGGATCCAGCGGACTGGCGAAGCAAACTGATAAGCCAGAAGCTCGACGAGGATGATGTAAGTGAGGTTTTGGCGCTGAGCGGCAGAGCCCCAGTTCTCTTCATCCCAGTTCTTCAAGACTTTGTCGAGGCGAGGCGAGGAAGTCTGATCATAAATGATTTGAGCATAAGCTCGCGATACGTCAAAGGGTTGAGCGATGAGGTTAGGAATATATGGTAGGAACGACGTCGACAAGGGCAGAAATCGCAAGTACATCAGCAATAGATGCCAACGCAGAATATTCACCCAAAGAGTGACCAGCAAAAGCGCAGTCCGTTTGAACAAATCCTTTCGAACGCATGTCTTCGAACGCCGCTTTTTTGGTAACGACGAGTGCGATTTGAGCAAATTGGGTAGCGAAAAGGAGCCCATTAGGATGACTAAATGTATACTTGGGTGTGCGAATGTCGATGTCGGCAAAGAGAGGGAGGGTTTTGATGTGACCATCTTTGTCAGTGGTGTCGTAGGACACGTCCATATAACGCTGACGGATGGCTTGTCCCTTGATACCACCAGAGTGTACCGTCTTTTCTTTGGGATTCTCTTTGACGATTTCGAGAATAGAAAACCCATAGATAGCTCGAAGATGTTCATCGGCACCATCCCAGACCGCACGAGCAGTAGGAGAGTTATTGTAAAGATCTATACCCATATTAGGTTCTTGAGATCCCTGTCCAGTGAAGACATAGGCAGTAGTTGGTTGGGACACCTCTGCAGAACCTTCCAAGACCTTTTCACCGAGTACATTAACAGTCTCGATTTTGACAACGATATTGCCATCCCGCATTCCGGTGTGCCGAAGGTTGACGGTAAGCTGTTCGCCCGGAAGAACCATTCCAACAAAAGATACATCGTACCTGTAATGGTTGTTTAGTGTGAGGAGACATGTTAAAATGGGCGAGAACTCACGAAAGCACGCGGTCAGGATGACCCTTGGCGACAACGTTCTCTACGTATTTGCGAGTTGCAGCACTGGACCATAGACCATGAGTGATTGTCCCGGGTAGACCGGCGTAGCAAGAGAAATACGGATTGATGTGGATTGGGTTGAAATCGCCCGAGATCCCGGAGTAGGGTTCATTGGTAAGTGGCGAAAAGAATGATGTTGAGCCCTCCGTGGTAGTGAGTTGATAGCCCTCATTGGCAAGGGGCACGCTCAGACCTTGAGGAATGCCATGCCTTTGAAGGTAGGCAACGACAGGGTTGCCGTGCGCATCATCTGCTTGGAACTCAACAGAACCTACTTTCTGTAGGTTCTTCAACTGGTCGCGGACAAAGATTTCACCAGATACGGATAGCTCCCGGTAGGAAGTGCGATCCATGAAAGAGACCTCAGACTGTACACGGAAAATCAAAGGGATTCCAGGAGAGAGAGGTCGAGTATCATCTTCCCAATCAAACCATTCCTTCGATTGTAAAACGCTAACGTCGGCGTCAGCCGCTAACGTCACAATGTAGTCAGGTTCTTCAGTGGTTTCGAATGTGTTCTCGTAGTCGGTGAAGACGCCGCGGTAAAGGAAAGCAGACACAACCTCGACGACCGGCTTTGCATCACGGTAGACATGTCCCTTCACTTTGACGACCTTTCCAGGCCCGCTATTGACAACGGAGACAATCTTAGCTTCCGATCTGCATATGTCGCCAGCCTGGAAGGGTCTCGCGCCCTTCATCATGCGGAAACTGTTCGACAAATGTACGAGCTTGAGGAGATCTCCATCAATCGATGCAGGGAAAATTGACTTGATGATAGCCTAAAGATTGGGAATGAATGCATAGTTGAGCAACTTTGAAATCGAAGAACGTACCTGCCAACCAGCAACGATAGCAAAATCCATCGGAGCACTAATGGTGGTGGTTCGCACTGACTTGAACGACTCGTCGTTGTTACCAACAACAGAACAGAACTTCTCTATGTCCTCTGCCTTGAGGGTGACATCAGGACCGGTGAACGTATCATGAATATCCAACTCGGGGAGAGACTGGTCGTCCCCGTACCAAAGTTTCCAATAGAACGCCTTGATGCGCATATTACGTCCAGTGACCACTTCGTGGATGGGGGCAGATCCCATCGCGGATTTATACTCAAACTGCAAGGTGAGAGGTACAGCGACCTTGTTACGCTCTTCGAAGATCGTCACGTCAATGAGATTAGTTGAGGAATTGAATGTAATTTCCGTGGCCTTGAAATTTGGGTCATGCAGGCCATACGAGCGAGCTCCCCCATACGCGACAATGGACGTTGGTTGTCCATTGGAAAGGCTAACAACGACTTTTTCGTGAGGGCGAGGGTAAAAGAGTCGGCGGATGGGATTGCTGATGTAAGAAGAACCCTGCACAACACTCGTGGACCCAATAAGCGCCCCGAACCAGTTCAATTGAGAGCCAGCGAGGCAAGCAAGCCAAGATGCATTCGTAGGGAGAGATTTCCCAAACTGGTAGACAATTTGCTCGTCGGTGGTAGTGATCTTGACACCCGCAGGGACTCTGGAAGCACGGCGCGGAGGAGCGAGATAACCAATTGAAGGAATGGTAGAAGCATCACCGTTGTAACGTAGCTGTAAGACCTTTTGAATGAGGGACGAGTTGATGTTACCGAGCAAGTCGCGAATGGGCTCATCCTTGATCACAGAGTGCTTGACGGCAACAGGGCCTTGTAAGATACAAACACGTTCAGGATCTTGGTCGAAGACTGCTTCAACATCTTCAGCAGCCCACAAAGAATCCTAGAACGACATCATAAATATGTGGCATGCGTATGGCAATCAGGAGTGAGACATGTACCTTCTTAAACCAAACCTCAAACGACGCATCGAGAACAGGTATAAAAGGAACGGGCTTCTGGCCGCGCCTCTGTGAGATAGCCAAGAAGTAACCAGAGTCATCAGCAGAAAGAAGTTGCTGTGAAACGAGAGGGTAGGCTTTGAAGAACGTTTCAACGCAAGGGAGAGGATCATTCAAGGAGTTGTAAGACTGCAGGACGGACGGTTTCGTGCCAGACCCATTGACGCCGGCAAACCTTTCTTCGATCCTTCGCATCCAGTCACCAGTAAGGTTACGAAGAGAAATATCAACCCATCGATTCTCATGGGCGACATACATCAAGTGCACCATACGAAGGACAGTCTCCTCATAAGTCATGTCTCGTAATTCCGCAACACTGCCATCCTTCTTCCAGCCGAACCATGGCTTGCTGAAATGCTTGTTGAGCTTTTCGATGACCTCATCACGATGCTCAAGTAACCAAGTCAAACGCTTTTCTTTGGGTAATTTGAATACGGTGTCATCAAACTCTTTCCAGAGCTTAACGGCACGCGTAGCGACCTTGTGTATAGGTTCACCGAGCTCCAATCGAACAGTAAGAACACCGCCACTCGGTTTGGTATAAGTGCCCTCCCATTGTTGATCCTCCACTCCAGCGCACGCGACGATGAGATCTTTTACGAAAGAGCTTGTATGTGCCTCTTTTGCAACCATGACACGGCTTCCGAAAAGAAAACCATCACAGGGCATCGGCTGAACACCATAAGCCACTGACCATTCGCCAGTAAGGTAGGGCCAAACGTCTTCAGCAGCACCGGATCCAGAACCACCAACAAGAATAATATTCTCATGCTTACGGATGGAGCGGTAGGTCAAAAGCATGGGTTGATGGAAGTCTTCATAGGAGTGGTGGCCTCCAGCACGACCACCGGTCCACTGCATGATGATCGGGAAGTCGGGATTGGCAGCAGCAATGTTGACAACTTGCCGAATACCATCGACCGAACCCGGTTTCAACCCAAGGTGCTTGATTCCGGAAGACCTGAGACCGTCGATGATTTCAGCAGCCTTTTCTTCGAGTTACGGATTGATATTTCGAGGTGAGCACTATTTTGGAGTTTGGCGGGGATGTGCAGTGGGATTCCCAAAGGAATTTCAAAGATGGTGTGATCAGAGCATGCGAGGCACGATCTGGATGATTAAACAGAGCAGAGGATGGAGGAGACGGAAGAACGGTGATGGATGGAGTCGAGCAGAGACCTGTTCAGAACGACGGGCCGAAACCGGTAGTATCATGTGACCTTGAACTCACAGTTTGTTTCGTTGTCGGTCTTGTTCTTTCGACTTGTTTGCTCGTTCTTACTGCATTCTTACCTGCCATGGCTAAAGCAAAAGGATTCTCGGGAGGAAGAATGACAAAGCAGACTGCCCAAAAGAGCACCGGAGGTCCTGCGCCCGTCATGAGTTTAGGGCCAACAAAGTATTCTGCTACCGAAAAGGACACGATTACTCCAGCTGCCGCTACCGAAAACTCTGGTGGACCTGAAGATGAAGAGGCGAACGATGGGATGCTTAGTTCTGTAGCTCTTCGTAGATCTGCTAGGAGTACTCGCCGTCCCCAGAAATATTTCGAGGATGACTATCAAGATGCGGAAGTCCCTGCCAAAAGTCGTCCCCGGGCCACTGCAATAACTACATTGGAACCGTCAAATCCGAAATACGCTGCAAAGAGCCAGCAGCACATCGTGAGTCTTCTGTTGTTTACCATGTTCTGGCTAACGCTTCAATAGTACTGTGCTGGGTGTAAGGACGGTGGCAAACTTCTCCAATGTGATGCTCCTACTCTATACCCTGTACTTCCGCATTGTGGGCGTTTCGTTTGCTGGGGACATGAGGGCAGTCGAAAGTGTATTGAGGTGAAATCGGGAGTCACTGAGGCCCTCCTTGAAGATGAAGATAATGCTTTTCTCTGCCCGGCTTGTTGGAGTATGATCTCTAAGATGAATTTAGTCAAGACGAATTGGGACCTTGCTTACCCAGTACGCATACTTGTACATGCACCTCTCACATACATACCTAATTGGATTTGATTTTGCAGGGGATTGTTATTCGAGAAACCTTGGCGCCGATTCCCAAGATGATCCATATGGTTAACAGTAACAGCCGTACATTTTTCAATCCTCTTGACATCCTTCCCATGGCTGTTATCTCTATTTCCCTTGAGGGGATGGCCATTGAGCCATTTGATACATGTCTTGTTGAGCTTCGGGGCTTCTACAAAGATACTGATGTCCCATTCATAGCGCCTCGTATTGAATTTGATCTTTACCATAAACGCGACCAGTATATCGAAGTGATTGAGAACCTTGTCATCGAGCTTAAATCGTAAGTCATCCTGTCCTGTATTGTCTATATCTGCATTGATGCAAATTACACATTAGCAAAGGAATAGAACGTGCGGTTGTATTCTTTACTACACACTCTACCCCAGATGGAATGCTGCATTTCAGCCCCGGTGGTGTGAATGGAGCTAGTACTAATACTTGTGATGTAGGTTCTTTCTTGTCGCTCTTGAGTTTGAGTTGTATCTATTCATTGTTTGTCAGGTTCTGGCCGGAATCTTCACTGAGGAATTCCAGGAGGTACTCGGCACCATGGACACTACGCTGTTCATATTGGCTTGTGGTGGTGCCTTTATGTTGAAGGAGTCATTTGACTCCATCGGCGCATTGGCAAAAACGTAAGATATTGATTCAGTCAACTCCTTGCAAAGACTGATCTACTGTTTTAGGAGGACTTTCGACCGTATGGCAGCGTTTCCTGCACATGACTTTCAGCCAAACAATGCTTCGTCATGGTGCAATTTGTTCATTCGACGAATCTTAATTCAACGCGAAAGCGTGGAACGTGTACTTCTAAGTATATGTGCTGACTCTACAAGTCTTGGTACCCACAGCCACATTTTAGTCTGGTTCTACGATCCTACCCATCCAGTGTCCGACAAAGATGCTCAATCACTCCAAGTTCAAAAAGCGATTTGGTGTCAAGAAATCGAGGCACCCTTCGGCATCCGTATTACAGAGGCTATGTGTCGCGACTGTGGTGTCCTTCGACAACGTGAAATAGTCCATCATCGGGGACAACGTTTCTTCACCATACGCTGCCGGGGTAGGGTACAGCCACCTGCAAGAGGACCGAGGGGGAGAGCTGTACCACGAAGCCTGTCCCGCCCATGTATGGATCGGACAGTTGCACTGTTTGGAGCTCATCGTGAGGCTCCGAAGGGACCAGCTCATGTTAATGGTGTGTGGTTTGCTGCGCCATATGTCTGGTCATCTCAGGATGGGAAGGACTCTTTTTGATCTCGGCATGCAGTAGTTGCTCACATATAATCGTACATAAACTCGCGCCATAATGACTACCGTGTTCAATATTCATTCTTGAACTGAAAGCAAAAGATTGAAAGCGATAAATTTTGTAATTATTTATTATGAGACAAATCAACTGAATTTTCAGTCTTCTATGAACAAAGCGCAACATTAAATTGAGGATACTCTAAAAGGTAACAGACTGAGTCCATTTGAGTATTATACAGTAGTGTATGACCCAATGGACTCCAGCATTTGCGTCAAAAGCCAATGATGGATTGCAGCACGGGCATTTTTGGGTTCGGCATTGGCATTATATGTGGCTTTGAGTAGTTTGATGAGATAGGAAGCTGGAATTCTCATTGTACGTGTGCAAGTTTTGAAAGCACATGTCCCAGTTGAAATATATGAAGAACGTACTCCCTCCTCAACTGATATGGGAATATATGTGCTATCGTCATCCTCAACAAGAAATACCTAGTTTGCCATGAATACAGAGAAACTCATATAAAGCAGGGTACGCACTCTGATGGGTTCACCTTCATCTATCACTCGAGGAGCACCTGTAACAGCCCAACATAATAATCGCAACCGAAATGTTGGAGACTGGATCCCTGAAAGCTTGACCTCAGAGTTAAATTGGTGTTTCTGTGCATCCAGTAGCTGAGGGCATGGAGAGCCAACTTCAGTGAGAAATTCCTTGAATATTTCTTCAAATATTTTCCCCTCAAAGCCTTCCCCAGCCTCAGCACAGGCAGCAGCAAACCGATCCATAGCCTCGATGCCAAGACGGCAGATTATACGCAAACGCAGGTCATAGAAGCCATCAATGGTGGAATTTTGGGCACTCGAGATAAATTCTTCAATGCCACCCAGAAAGCTTCTCGCAATCTGAAATTTCATAATAAGTAGAGCCAATCGACTAATTTCTCTAAACTTACATCGGGAACATTAAGTGTGTTAGCACATTGCATATAGAAACCTTTCTTGAAACAACGCCAATGATCGGCATCCATGCTCTCAGTTCCAATGACAGCATATCGAAGCATTTCCCAGGCGATTCTTCGATGACCTGCTTCAGAACGGCCATTCAAAGCGCCAATCTAACAAGATTGAATTCAGGATACCAAAATGAAGATGCATGAGACATACCGGCAGGTTATGGAAAGTTGCAAAATGTGAGATGAAGTCCCAAACATCATCATCCGGTCCTATGTGCAACCAATGATCCAATGTAGCACAAAGAGATGGGGCATGTAGCGCAACAACTTCACGATGGAGACAAGAAAGATTACAATCGTTCATAAGGTAGATGAGAAGCAAAGGATTGAGACGGCCAGGATAATGACCATAAATAAGAGCTAGTGCTGTTACTGCCCCAAATATAGTCAATTCTTCACGCCGTTTATCAGTAATGAGTGAAGCAGCTGGTGACAATGTTGTATACTCTTCATACAAAGGAACGCAGAATTCAGCTTCACGTTCCTGAAAATATAGCTCGAAGAGATAGGTCATTGTATCCTGCTCAATGCCAGGACCCGATGAGACGTATTCTTCCCGCAATGTTTGAGGAGGGTCCAAGCTACAACACCTGTTAATGCCTATTGAAGAGATAGAATGAGGGACATACATGAGGAAAGTACGATCTGGTGATAGTACAATACTCCAGTCATTATTGTGAGCACAAGTACGTAATACCTTAAGAAGCTCCTCTGCAAGCTCTTGTGGATTGGCTCCTTGGAGTTGGAGTCCTGGACAGTCACGTCTGAGCTGGGTAGAATTGCCGATTACTTCAAAAAATTTTGAAGTTCGCTCATCACCCTCAAATTCGGGGATCCAGTTCAGTGGATGCAGTTTGATGAAAGTTTCATCCCACAATTTCTGAGGTAATTCTTCTTCATGAACGATCATATGAGATTGAATCTAAGGTTGGTTCCAGTAAAACAAATCTGTACTCATATTCATTCAACATAGCTATACTTACCATAGGATCCGATAATGTGTCTGGCTGAGAATTTGGAGTGGGAATCAAAGACTGTGCAACAATAGCTGAATCCTGAGGTAGAAAATCAGAACAAGGTATTTAGATTAGAATGCATTCTTACCTCCACATCTTCGACATCACTTTCCTCATCACACGAAACTTCCAGCTCATCCTCATCAAGTTTGTAAGGGTCAAGATCAGCGTCAACGTCATTCCGAAACATGCTTAGAAAGCGCTTTGAGAGGCATCTATGAATCCGCACATTTGTATCAATGCCTAAGTATATATCTGCAAGGGCAACATTGGCTTCAAGAGGATATTGACGTATAACTACATTAATTGAGATTAGTGAATGCTGAGGAGACTTTGAAAGAACTACGCACTGGCTTGGATGTGGAAATGATTATCCCGGGTTATAGCTAAGCGTGGGATTGCAAATTGTTGGCCATCTGAGAGTAAATCTTGCAATGTAGTCCCATTATCGAACGGAGAAATGCGCATTTTGACATTTTTGTGAGTGCCATTGTTGCGACCATTATTACTGTAAGCCAAAAGCTGTATAGGGAGACGCTCATGGGGTGGAAGAGGCAATGATGTCGAAAGAGAAGGAAGGTTGTACTTGGTTCTGAGCTTTTGTACAATATTATCAAAGATCGCACAGATTGTAGTGGTAATAGGAAGATTAGGATATTGATGGAAGAGATTCAGGGCTCCAAGAACCATCCGAACACTATCTTGCGTACAGATATATTGAACCATCTGAGGAGAAACCCCGAGATGCTAATAAACTCTGAGTAATGAAGGATAATAGTTTCAGTATGAGACATACCCTCAATTCATTGTTTCTGGGTCTCGGAAGGTGAATGGAGACATCGAGATTTACAACCTGCTCCCCTCCAGCAGCTCTCTGTAGGCAGTCCTCTATTTTTGGCTCTGGAGCTCCCCGCTGAACAAGGCTTGGTGGTCGAATTGCTTTTCCACGTTTCCTTTCTGAGTTGGTCTTGGTTCGCGGGAGCGAGGTACTGGCATGCTCTAATCGCTGCTGATTAGCCCGCCCGAGGACACTCATCCCAGGGAACCCCACAGAAGTTGTAGTGCGTGGATGCCCCTGAGTTCCTAGCAACCCTACTCCGCCACTACCACTATCAGCCATATTTGCAAACATCTGAAGGCTAGAATATGGGCGGCATGAAGATGGGTGTGGTGGCCAACCTGGTTGATGATTATCTGCGCCAAAAGACTGCAGTTGATGTGATTGTGTACGATCAGGCGACTGCTGAGGCTGAATAGTGTTCAAAGATGATGATGATAAGGGTCTTGCTTGGGGAGCTGCTGGTTCGATTACATGCTGCTGAAATAGTGTCGAAGCCAAAGGCTGTTGAGTTGAAACTTGTACTGGAGCTTGCTGAACTTGTGTCGGAGGAGGTGGCGGAGGCTGCGGAACTAGTGTCGGAGGTGGAGGCTGCGGAACTGGTGTCGGAGGTGGAGGCTGCGGAACTAGTGTCGGAGGTGGAGGCTGTTGAACCATTGTCGAAGCTGAAGATCTTGAAGAGTCATGTTGTGTCTGTAACCATAATTGAATAAGCTGATTCAGTAACTGGGAAACCAAACTCCATACCAGCAGAGCCTGCGCTGGAGGGACTTGGTGGGTTTGAGAGAAGGACTGCAGTGGCCCGGGAATTTTTAAATTATATCTGAAAGTTTGACAGAAAGATTGTAGGTACCTGGGGAGTCTGATAACAATTTTGCTAATGAGTTTCTGCAGAAGTTTAGAATTCAAAACAGTACCTGTTGGACTTGAGACGAAAGGGATTGTGAAGATAAGGGCTGCGCATTTGAAACTGGTTGAACCTCTGCAGAAATTAAAGATTAGGAAACTGTACCTCCAGGGAATTTTGTGCCTGCAATGGTGCGGGCCAGAGTCCCTGACCCGCCGAAGATGTAAGAAACGACTGCATAAGCCTCATGAGGGCCTGAGGATCTTGTACAACAGGAAAGCCAGTATTATGTGGATTCATAATTCGATAGAAATAGGAGGATAAGGACAATCCAATTAAATGATGGTGGGGATACGAAGAGGGAGACAAACATGAAGATTAGTACATGCTTTTTGAGCTCCAAGGACATCGATAATATTTACGAAAATGGAAAGCGTCAATTGACATGGGATGCAAGCAATGAGAACTAGGAAGGTAGAATATACATACTAGTTAGTGAATGTTCCAAAAGCGGTCATTGGAGCTATAATTGAGCAATAGTTGAGCAATAGTAGAGCAGTTGGTGAGCAATTGGTAAAGACGTAATGCAGTTGTTAACTGTGGAATAACAATTGGTAAGTCTCAAATTATTATCAGTAAGTTCTGGTTGAAGGCTCGCAAATACATTTTGAGAATCAAAGCAAGCAAATATAGGACTCAAACGGAGAATCATCTAACATACAGCTGAAAGCAGCGGTTACATCGAACAGACATCATACGTACAGGTTAGGCTAAATATTCACCGAGATTGTAAGCAAAGATGCCATACATTAAACAAAGCTGTATTAAGTTAGAAGTCAGACACTTAACGGTCCATCGATTGAGGCTCTGCTATTTTCCGTGAAATCTGCCTTCATACCAAGGGCCAGTATGATGTCTGCAATGATTACTTCTGGGTTCAAGCAGGTTCAAGCTGGGATGATATACATACAGTACTTAGTAGTGAGTGTGTGTACCTTGAGGGTGCGCCAAATAAATGAAGATATAAATCACCTTGCTTGCATTGAACATCCATGACCTCAAGCGCCCATGCGAAATTTCTTTTTTAAAGTTGTCTTTGTCCGTTCCGACGGCGGGGCAGAGGAAGGCACTGGCAGAGTCAAATTCTTGCCTTATATGGCAAAAGGGATCCGGATGCAGCCCTTTTACTTTCCCTTTATCTGACGGGGACTCCAACCTTGGCCATCGGTGATTTCCTTGACTCCTTCCTTCCTTCCCTCTTCTACACTTCACTTGTGCTGCTATAGAAAAATTCGCTTCCAAAGGTGAGCGTGCGCTACTTTCCTTGCATTTTCTTACTGGAGTCTCTAAATCTCCTCTTACTCGAAGGAATTTTGAACCCCGCGAGTGCTCTCTCCGCCTGTGACATTCACGCTAGTCCATCGAAATCGAAGGGAGAATCTGCTGGTCGGATACCCTTTACCTTGTTTCTCAAGTCCGTTCACCCCTGTACATATGTGCGTTCACACCATACCTTGTTTATGTGCATGCAAAACTGATATTATCTGTTTCCTTGAAGCTCATTAAAAAAACTAGCTTGAACCATCAGCGATGTTCAATCTGTCACTATTGCGCTTGTTGGCTACGTTCCTCCTGTTGCTACTGTCCCTTCTTGCAGTCACCGCTGCTCCATTGACGGGCAGGACAGATATTAATCCGAGAAGATGTGAGCTATAAGTTTGCGATACTTGACACATACCTTACGGTCTCTCTCTAACATTTTTCTTCTAGTCGGAAAAATAATGATCAGATACACCAATTGCGAGAGCGCTAGGATCTACGTTGGGAATCTCAACAGCTTCTTACCGGTACTTCAAGATGGACGAGGAGCAACAGGAGCAGGAGGAAACACCAACTCGGAGATATTCATAGGCCATCATCTCCTTGATGTTCAATGTCAGGTGAAGCCCATTGCAGTTGTTGACTTTGAAACTGTCAAGAGAAATCGTGTGTACATGGACTTGAAGACGGTACATGGTTCATCAAAGTGGGACTATATAGCTAAGGCAATGGGATATTTACAACAGAAGGAGGGGCTAAGATTCACATTCGAGAATGGGGGCGAAGAGATGTGGAATGGATTGTTGGAAAAGTGTGGTGGAAAGCAGGAGCCAAAGACATCGGAGGTGCACAGTTCCACTGCTGGCAGTGGATATGATAATCCTGTATCGCCAAAGAAGTTGCCTACTCTCAGCAATATTTTGATCGGAGGGGAAGCAGGGAACGTTACGAACGCAGTATAGTAGTTTCGAAACATGCTCACAGTTTCTACAATCTACATAACATAAAAAATAGACGCTACAAACTTTCCGCTCCTGCGCACAAGTGGTCATTCCCTATCGATCCTTTCATCGTGGACCAATGATATAAAATCCCCCATCGATATGGCCAATGGCTACCTTCACCCAGCTAAGCTATGTCTTCCGCCACTCAATAACCCAAAGAATATGATTGCCTACTCATTCAAAGGAATACCAAGTCGAGCCCATTCTCGAGAGCTCTGTTTAGTATAAGTGAGTCGATGTTACGATCCCGCGATCTCCTATTCAATACTCCATCCTCTCTTCAAATTCTCTCGGCGTACAGAGTCTTATCCGTTTTCTAGGTGGAAGACTGATTCAAGTGCCTTCTGCCACCGACACCCGCTTAATTCTCTGCCTAGGTTACATGTCGGAACTTAGCTCTCTTGTTCACTCATCATACTAGAACAAGCAGGAGCAGCTAGTGCATACATCAATAACAACACCAAACATTCCAGTGGTAATGCATGACAACGATGAGGCGCATAATCGGCGAAATAACATTAGGTCATAGTCCCGTCCCGATTTCTATATAAGCAGCAAGCCTTCGATGTTAATTCCCTTCTATTCTTCAATGTCATCCACCACCAAGAAACAAAATACGCTTATAAATCGTGGATCCACCGAATCAGCTCCGTTGTCACGCACTATCTTCGTCCTCGCCCGCGCCCTAGATCTGCCACTCCAATATGCTATTCTTTCTTCTCGTTCTTTGACCGCGCCTTTGATTCACGCTCTAGGCGGAACAGCTATCCTACCTACTGGACGCCCGCTCTTCCTCATGGGTACCAACACCGGCTTGTCTCCCCAACGCGCCATTCTATTCGGCATGGCCCTAGGCTCGTTCGTCAAGCAAAGTCACTGGGTGACTGCTATTTCCCAAGAACCTATGCCGCTTCGCGCATCCCTCTTCGTTGGAGTGTTCAATTCCATCGCAAACTAGATCAACACGATCTTATTCACCAATACAGCCACTTCAGTCTTGGCCTATCCCACTGTCAACGGAGATGAGACGGTATTACCCGTCCCCACCATCTTTGGTCTTGGTTTCTATGCACTCGGAATGGTCTTGGAGTGGGGTTCTGAAATTCAAAGGTTACGATTCAAGAAAAATCCAAGGAACAAAGGTCGTGTGTATACCAAAGGCCTTTTCGGATTAGCCAGACATATAAACTACGGCGGATACGTTCTTTGGAGGACAGGATTCGCTATGGCTGCTGCTGGATGGACTTGGGGGTTGGTCACTGGAGCGTTTTATACGTATAATTTTTTGACGGATGGGATACCGGAGCTAGATGGGTATTGTAAAAAGAGGGTGAGTGCCCTTTACTTTTTGTTCGGCTATGCTTTTGTTTCCAACTCTCACCGCCCTTTACAGTATACCGAGGAATGGAGCCAGTATAAAAGAGATGTTCCGTATAAGCTGTTTCCTTTCATTCTCTAAATAAGACAAATAATGTTGTACAGTATCGTAAATTTGTATGGGATGTTGCAAACCAACGCAAGTTTCTTCATTCTGCAGATTAAATTTTACTACTCAGTACATAAGTGCTTACTGCCTTTGACGTTATGATCGACGCCGATAAATCATATAATAAACGGATACGGCACATCTCTCTTATACTGCCCCCAATGTTCTGTTCTCCTGAAAAAACCGAAGAACTCACCCTTTTCGCACAATGATCATCCAACTCCGGTATCCCCTTGCCCACAAAATAATACGTCGGTCAACTTCCAGATACCAACCCCCAAATCCACCCGGCAGAAGCCATAAAAAATACCATCCTCCAGAGAACGTATCCGCCGTACTAGTTGATATGCCAAGCGAATCCAAAGAAGCCGTGGGTGTATGCACGACCTTTATTCCATAAATCTAAATCCTTTTCGAACTTTAACCTCTGGATCTCGAAGCCCCATTCTGATACCATACCAATGATGTATAGAATGATACTGACGATGGTGGGTGTGAATAATACCGTCCCGTTCCCGTTAACGCTAGTTTGATAGCTAGTAGTCAACATCGAAGTTGCGGTCTTAACGAACAAAATTGTGTTCATCGAGTTTGCAATGGCGTTGAGCACCCCAACAAAGAGGGAGGAACCAGCTGACATTGGTTCTTTTGGGATGAGGGTTACCCAGTAAGTGTGTTTCGCGAACGAGCCAGAGGCCATGGCGAAAAGTATTGCCCGGTGAATTTGCGACAACGACTCCAACAAGCCGGTGTTGGTAGTGCTTGAAAGGAGTAAGAGTGGGGGTCCGGCACTGGGTGGGATGGGTGTTCCACCTAGAGCGTAGATCAGAGCGTAGATCAGAGGCGCTGCAAGGGAGGGGGGACCTGAAAGGATGGCATATTGCAGAGGTAGGTCTGGAGTTCGGAATAGGACGAAGAGGGCACGGGCGAATGAGGTGGATTCGGTGAAGCCGCGGGGAATGAGTCCTTTTATCTCAGGTGTAGTTTCCGATGACATGGTGGAAGGCCAAGTAAGAGGATCAGGAGGATTTTCGGGATGTGTTCAGTGCTTCTTTTTCTCTTGACTAGCTTGACTCCCCGTACTCTATAGCGTTTGGCAGGAAAAAAATACGATGATGTTCAACCGTTAATGACAACACGGTCTCATAACAGATTGAAATGCCACCTCCCGTCCAAGTCTCCTATTCAAAGACACCAGTGTACGAATTACTTCGGCAACAAGGCCATTGATTGTAATTGAGGGGACTCGGAGGGCCGATGTGTCTGCAATGATTACTTACATGCCGGTCAGAGTCCAAAGTTGATCACTGAATATTCTGTGCACAAATCATGTTCATCATTGCTCATTATATGTAATTCTCTCTCTACCATACCCCAGCGAATCACCCAGGTCCCGAAACGCCTTGAAAAATTTAGCAGTGAATTATGTATCTCAGCCGGCATCGCATAGGAAAAGCAGTGAAAATAGTAACGCCTGTTTTAGCGCTCTTCGGACTTACGCCTGCTCGTATGCTTACCTATGCTGGATTATGCCTTATGAATACACAGTATATGGAATACTGACTCTTGTAGGGTATATAAGCATACTTGATTGTATTATGTATGTACTCTAGGTTATCTAATAATATCCAGAAAACTCCCCAGTTACAAGTTCTCTCGACGACCTACCCTAAGTCCCCATCTCGTGGTGTTACTGTGATTCGTCACGCTACCGCTACACCATGTCATCCAATGATCTCTTTAACCGTGGCTCGAGCCATTCTACCCCATTCTCGCGTGCCCTTTTTGTCCTCTGCCGGGCTCTAGACCTTCCAGTTGAATATGTCATCCTCCTAGGTGGTACACCCCACCGCACTATCTTATTAGCCATGGCCCTAATCTCATTCATCAAACACACCCACTGGGCCACTCGGATCTCACAAGAATCTATGTCTCCCAGAGCTGCACTATTCACAGGAATTGCCCATTCATTTGGGAATTTGCTTAATACAGTGTTGTTTATCGCAACGTCCAGAGACGGAGACGGATTGCCTGTACATACGATCATTGGCATGGCCATATTCATTCTCGGCATCTTGGTCGAATGGGGCTCCGAAATCCAAAGACTGCGGTTCAAGAAAGATGTGAAGAACAGAGGACGTGTGTATACTAAAGGACTTTTTGGTCTCACCAGGCACATCAACTACACCGGATATCTCTTCTGGAGAACAGGTTTCGCTCTGGCTGCTGCCGGGTGGATATGGGCTTTGGTAACATGTGGTTTAGGGGCATATAAGTGTTTGACCAGTATCATTCCTGAGCTTGATGAGTACTGTGAAAAGAAGGTGTGTTAACTTGCCTTGTTCTCGACGCTGTTTGTTTAAATGTTCACTTTCAGTATACCAATCAATGGACGAAATACAAGGAAGATGTTCCGTATAAACTCTTTCCGTTTATCCTCTAAATAAAAAAACCAAACTTGTATCTCTCATCGCAGTCGACCGCACAGCGCAAACTTCACAAACGATTTAAGATTATTTACTCAGTCACTTACTCGACGCCACTGGCGTTCATTAGTGCTTGAGCCTGAGCCTAATATAGCTTGGATTTCGTGTTACTCGAGGTTACTCGTTCATTTGCATCAAGACTCACTAATATACCCTCAAAACTTGCAAATCCGAAACTATGTATGTATGTTCGTCTCAAAAATGCCTCTTAACTCACTCACCGCAATATTTAAGTATGTCATTCTACCTGGGCGATGCACGAAGCAACTTCAAATCCGCAGTTGTAGCTTCCAATCTCGTCAACATTTCTTGGTGTGGTGTTCTACCCTTCAGATTAACTACATCCGACCTCATAGCCGTTAGCCGCAACTGCCATTGCCAGGTGAGGCTCCACATAATCATTTCTTTACTACATGCATCTTGGACGTATATACGCATGGTATGGATCCCGGCGGTAGCAAGGGACAGCATAGAGGAATCGCAGGGAGGTCGCCCTCCCGAATCAATTTTACGTTCTGGATAACTGTCAAGGCTCTTGGCCAATGGTGACAAGCAAAGAAAGTACTACTTTGAATTAAATAATATACATGATGCTTACTACTACAGGCGCGTTCGGCATTGATCGTGCGGGCCCGAGCAGATCGTGGACTGACATTCGCACTATCCAACAGCTTCCTCTACTTTTGAGCAATCAACTGTAGAGTAAGTAGTCCTTATGGTTTGAAGTTCGATCTGACAATCTGGGGAGCATAGAGTCAGCTTCATGAGAAAACCTTTCACGAAACAGTCTCAGCGGTGGACAAAGCAGATTCGGAAGAGATGATCTGCAAACCTAGCAAAATCCTTTTTGCGCGCCTTCTACCTTGAGCCAGTGTTCTATAGTTTTGCTGTACCCGATAAAACGCAGCTCAGTCTTTGTGACACGTAATCCATCCCTTTCCATGCTCTGTAGTAGGTGCTCTAGGGTTCGAATGTCATTATGTCGTAGCGACTTCCCCCCACTAAGCACATAGGCTTTTGTCTGTCGCAATTAACAGTGAAAAGGGGCAAGAAGAAGATTATTATAAAAATTTCTTACCTCTTCAGGGAACGAATACTTATATTCACTAGGCGTAACCTTAAGCCCAGTCCCACTTTCAAACTCCCCTAAATAGTACAGATGGCCAGCCATGCCATTTTGCAAAAGCAAATGCCCTCTCCAGTGTCTATCAAATTTTATCAAGTTTTTGCAAGGTGTCGCAGCATTTTTCGAAACTGTGACTAGTGTCTGATTTCGACTATCAGTGTCAGAGAGCGTGAATAGAGCTTCTGGACACTTGAGGATGCAATAATTGACTTCTGCTTCGGTACCGATGGCCTGCGTAGGTAACCTCGATAGTCCTAGGACATACATGGGCAGATCAAGTCGAAACACACCTTTTGACACAAATCCTTGACCGTTTTTCCTGTGGAAGGAACCGGCAGCTTTGATAATATTGGCTCCAGCGATTTTATACTAATGCGCCACGAGCTAACGGAGTCGGCAGCTTCCAACGCCTTCCTCGACAAAAACGGAGATTAGTTAGTGATAGCCTATTATTGAACTTTCGACATACAGGAGAGGTAGAAACGGAAGGCAGGATTGTAGCTCCTGTAGTCTCAGGTAGGATAGGTAAAGATTTATCCCTCAAGAATTCGGTTTCAGCGGAAGCCACAACTTCCTGCTTCAACGCACGAGGTGAGTTCAATAGCACAGAACAAGTGATTGAAGACATAAACCTTGTCGTAAACATCTGACTCTTGTAATACGTCACCCGGCAGTCGAGAAACAGCGGCCATATCTTCGACAATTCTTGATTCTACATCGAGGAATTCCCTAAAAGCTTCCCGACACTAGACGATGTCAAATATTGAGAAATTCAAGAATCGTAGGATGTTAAGTGCGGACCTACATCCTGACCATGAACGTCGCTGGATAACTTTCCAGTGGCAAAGCTTTCATTAATACTATGCCCTCCGTAAATACTGGTGGTTGTAAGGTCGCTCTGAAATTTCTTTAATTTGTGTCAGCGCGACTTCACATTAATGGGTCAACATACAAGAGACGTATCAGAAACAAATCCATCGAGCGATTCTTCCGCCGCTTCCTCATCTGCGTTCGTGTCCGGATCCAAGGACTCATATCCAGTCACTGCTTCTGGTACAGACACCGTTCCCGCGAGCAATGGACTTAAGGCAGTATCGAGGCTCGCACGAATAGCTTGGAGCTCTATCAATGTTGAATCGTGCTCAGCTTGGAGAGTCTCTATAATCGACTTCATAGTTGTCAGTCGAAGTTGCCATTGCGAAGAACTTTTGACGAGGTGTTCAACATGGGATTTAGTTGCTGACAGAGTATGAATAGCCGTGTTCTGAATAACAAAAAGTGTTTACCTGTTCAAATTTGAATTTGACTATAGGATCAAGAAACACACCTTGAGGTCCTCAAGTTCTTTTCGCACTCTGAGCAGTTCTTCACCTTGTTGGCGAACGATATTAGTTACAGCGTCAACGTCGAACGATATATTCATTTTGACCAATGCAGAAGAATAGAGAAGAATCGACTTTGGGGAAGCTTAAAAGAAGCTTTCTGTCAGTTTCTCCCACAGGCCACGACTCGGAAACAAAAGTGATGATTGATTTACCAAGACTTACTGTGGTGTTACATGCATGTACGTCCAGAGGAAAACACTCTATAGTGATTGAGCTTACCCTGATGGGAGTACAGTGAACACTAGACTCGAGCCAGTAGCTTCGGATGTTGACACTTTGGAAACTGGCGCTCCCTGCCGAGAAAGTGATTCCGCATATCGCTTCTCTGCAGCAGACTGGTTCGAGTCTAAGTGAACACATGTCGAGATGTACTAGTAGATTCTCAAAAGAACCTCAAGACCTCAAACCAAAGGCTTTTTTTTCGTGGAAACAAAATCTATCATTTCGTTAAAAAAAGTTGCGACTATGGAAGATAGGGAAACTAGGAACAGATCCAAAAGATTCCTCTTTGCCTCACAGCGGGGCGGGGAACTGTTCCGATTTTCTGCAGATCGACCACAGTGGTACATTGACCGCTCCACTATGATTGCGGATTTCCTCAAGCTTTGCTTTCCGTGGCGTCCCCTGCGCTCCCCCCTACCAAAATGTCTGTGAAAGTAGGCATTTTCCCTTTCTTTCCAAATTCTCCGTACGAGGGTTTCCTCTCTTCATTTGATCCACTGGAAGTGTGCACTCCCGACGTCTTCAGCTCTCCTTGCTGCTCCGACCCCTTTCCGCCACACTTTTCCAGCAATTTTTGCCACCTCTCTTCTCCCCCGGTCTCAAATTTGAATTCTAGTTGACTCTCTGTAGCCTTTGTCTGCAGATATTTCATCGCCTTGGCAATATAGTCCCACTTGGATGAACCTTGCACAACTGTCTCCAAATCTTGGAACACCATGTTTCTGGTGGTGGTTCCAAATTTAACACTTGCAATGGGGTTCGTGTAAGATGTTTTCTCGATCGAATGTTTGCCTTTGAATATTTCGGTGTTTTGATCTTGTCGGACGGGCTGGAAGTTATTCTTTCTTCCGAAATATATACTAGATTCTTCGCAACTATTGGGTGCAATCAAGATTTTAGCTTCAAGTACTACGACAATATTAGAACCAGGAGATATGTCATATCGCTAACGATGGCTTACTATTTTTTACTTGACGCTTTTCAACCCGTGCTGCCATATCTGTCATGCTCGTCAGCGGAGCAGCAGTAACCGCAATAAGGGACGATAGCAGGAGGAACGTCAAGCGCAATAATGACAAGGCGAGCATAGCGGTGGCTTTATGAGGTTCTGGAATCGCAAAGGAAGCAGCCCTTTGGACGAGAAGTATCAGTTTCGCATGCACATAGAAGGTATAAACACACATACAGGCGAAAGGGGGAGACGTGAAGGGAATCCAACCAGCAGATTCGCCTCAGATAGAAAGTTGGCGTTGAGAAAGGTAGCTACGGGGAAAGCGTGAGGGTCAAATTCTTTCCTTCTTAGTAAAGCAACGAAGCGGCGGTGAGGCGGTATGAGCTCGTACATACGAAAATTTTATCGTGGATTTATATAAACTGGAAATTTGAGATCTTGGAGTTCGATCTAAGACAAGCAGTCCTAGTCAGCTTCCAGTGAGAGAGAGGAACAAGGACGAGGAGCAAAAGAACAAAGGAGGCACAAACCAGAGCCGTGTACTATTAGTATAAGTGTGATGAGAGTAAGGTTGTTGGGGGTACATGAACTGCCGCAAAATATTTGGTGCACCTTCGGAAGTTTCAATCGCCCTTCGGAAACGTTCTCGCTTACATAAAGAGGTAAGGCGATGAGAGGTATATTACTTACTTAGGGCTGCTCAATTTCTGATACAAGCTGATACACCACAGGGCCGCTAATGCAGTGACACACCTGATGACACGCTATTACACGGCATCGAAATCTGGATAGTAGAGGAACGTACATAGGCAAGAAGTGCAATTGAGAACGACGAGAAAGACTATGCGATGGTTCTGCGATTCTGGAAGTGCAGAAAGCACCTTTTTCGAACGTGAATAGTTTTATGAAGTCCTCGGACCTGAATAATACACTAATGCAGATATCAGTTTCTCATGCACATAGAAAAAGGCATAGACCCACATACAAGTGAAGAGAAGAAACAAGCACAATACGGGTCTGACCAGCAGATTCACGTTGGATGGACGAGTATTGAAGTAGGCACTAAACTACGGGAGAGCGTGAGGGTCAAATTACGAGGCTGTAGTTTACGGAAGTATCGTCCTTATATACGCCGCTGCATACAATTTTGATTTCCTTTTATGGTAGTAGTTTCACCTTATTTGGCCAAATGTAACACTGAGTTGAATTGTATTGATTTCTTGTGACCGGCACGGGATATCACGGGACTGTCACCCTCTGTCACAATTACTTTTTCTCGTCTCATTCGGTTATTCCCTGTTACTCCATATGTAGATAAGTAAATTTACTTTTATTCTGCTTTTCTCAAAGAATCAATGTCGGCGCCTGAAAGGCGCCCCCGTTTTTTTGATTCCATAATATTTAATTGATATTTAATAACCCACAAGGAAGGAGCCGAGTTTTTGCCATGCACGGTAGTGCAGTGGCCTACAATCGCATGTTCATTCCAATTAGTGGAGGGACTCGGTGAGGATAAACGCTATTGTCATGAATCTAACGCTCACCTTGGGAGCTCTTTTGAAAAGGATATTCAGCGAGAAATAAAGCGTCAGTGGAATGGAAGAGGAGGAGAAGGAACGACGGGATAAACACATAAAATTTATCGACGTAAAAAAGGCAATGAGCTCCACTACCGAGCCTCTACGAGATCTAACAGACCATCCAAGGAAAAATTCACAAGTGGAAGCTCTCGATCTCTCGTTGACATTGATACTAGATAGGACCAGAATACAGGTCGAGATGCACGTTGGACATGTTGCCTGAAGATTTTGTCTTTGTATGTGTAAAAATTAACATATTTGTAGAAAAAAGTTAGTGATACAGTACCATGTAACAAAACATGTCATAGAGGAGAGATACATAGTATTAAAAAGCAACACATAATAAAAGGGCACTTGAAGTACAACAAGAAAAGCGCTGAAAATATTTGTTAATTGATAATGCGTTCAGCGTTCTCATCACGGTGATTCGTCCAAATCACTCGCATTCGCGTTCGCGCTAATTTCAGCCACGAAATCAGATACAACATCCTGCAATTCTCTCACCAACGCATCCCGATCCCACTCTGTACGATGCCGCCATACGCACCCAAGGCACGTTGCCCGTAACTGTTCCAGTTCTTCAATCGTCAAACCAAATGTGCTTTCCCGCAAACTTGCGTGTAGTTGCTCTAACAATAGGGTATCGACATGGAAATTAGGCAATGGCGTTGGCGTCCGCTCGATTATGGGCATCGGCGAAGCGGCTTTTTCCGGAGGAGCAGGGGATTTGAGGATGGATGTAGGGTGGGCAGGTATCTGAGGCAGAGGTGACGCGGATTTCCGATTTGGTACGTTACGCGTAGCATCGGAGACGGTCAAGAATGGATTACCATCGTCGCCTGGAACAGGAGCAGAAGGCTGATGAGAATTTTGTGGAGCGGGAGATGGTCGTGCAGAAACCGTCCGTTCACGCTCTTCCCCAGGATGGACTGGGTTGAGAAGCATCGCAACCCCGCCGCCACGAGGTGTAGATGGAGGTTGAGGTTGATCAACAGACATTGAATTATCATTCTGCATTATGTAAGGTACTGGCGTTGGGTTGGAAGAACTTTGATATCCCGTAGGACCAGGGGGCGGCAGCAGCTGGGGAAGGTATGAAGACGATGGTCGTTGGGGGTAGAATGGAGGTTCCTGTTGCTGCTGCAACGGGAACGGCACCTGTTGGTGGTATTGGGGTTGTGGTTGAAATGTGACATCCTGGAAGGACGACTGTGGATGGAATCGCTGTTGAGGAAAAGAAGACTGTTGTTGAGGTTGATTCGAGAAGTCTTGCTGCGAAGAATAAGAAAACGATTGTTGCGAGTACGTCGTCTGTTGAGAGGGGAAAGATCCAGATTGCTCATTGATTAGTCCATTTTCGAAAGAGTTTTGTCGAGGATACGGATTCGTATTTGAGCCTGATGCGATGGAAGGGTTATAAAAGGGGGTTTGAAGATGCGATGAAGACGAGGACTGTCCCATGAGCCCCATCGAAGGCTGAAACTGATTTATATTCATGTTCATCGACCCGTATTGCTGCTGGAACCTATCAAACATCGGAGGCTGGTACTGCGATTGATACTGCGGTTGGTGCGGATGATCAGGATTTACTGACCCCACTGAGGGCGCAAACCGTACTCCGCCAGGCCGCGGTGGGGTAGTTATTGGGGTTATGATATCCAAAGGGTCTCGGTCGTTCGAATCCCCAAAGGTTCTGGACCTTTTCGCATCTCTAGCACCATCCTGATCCATTTCCCCTCTTGGTCCTGCATCACCTACCGCACCATCAGCACCCTCCCTTTGTCTCTTCAATTTCCGTTCGAGTGCAACAGGATCTGTGATGGCCAATTCTGGCCTCTGGCCGTTATTCCTTGCACTTCTGCGGGTTCCGTTGAGGAAGGGAGGTGCTTGCGCTTCCACACCCTCTTTCTCCCTCTCTTTCTCCTTCTCCTTTTCTTTCTCCTCTTTCCTCTTCATCTTATATTCCATCCTTCTCTTTCTCACCCTCCCTGCCATCCTCTCGCACTCCTCCCTTAATATCAAGTCGAAATTGTCCTGCATACTCACCTCCGTGGCAGTAAGCATTGCCTGGGCTTTATAATGTCGATCCGGATCCCGGTGAGAGTACATCGCTGCGTTGTGCACAATCTTGCGAACGTCGGCGAGGAATTCCTCGGGGGTCAGGTAGCGATCTTTGTAAAGAAGCTCGTGCATCTTTTCAAGATCCATGTCGTAGAGTGAGGGTTGTGGCGGGGGCGAAGGCAGATGCGGTGTAGTTTGGACAGCATCCAAGGGCTTGGGGTGAGATTGGGTCTGAGAGGGATCGATATCGAAACCGGCGGGGGGGACTTCGGCACCGTTCACTTGTCCATTCAAGGAGGGATCTCGTTGTGGCTGTGTTTGAATCGATTCTTGGACGACGTCCATGGCACCATCAGACATGATTTCAATAGTTGAGACCACAGCCTGAGCTACTGGGTCAGACTGCGCTGAAGACGCAGCAGCAGCCATTTGTTCATTAAAATCGAACTCGACCTTGTACTCTTCCTAAGAGAAAAGAACCATCTGAGCTACGCGAATGAGTCCAGTGACGACAAAGAGCTGACCTGGGCCCTCTTCGTAAATCTCTTGAACTTCCTCTTCAACTCACTGATAATTGGTCCTAACCTATACCTCAAGATTGTGATCGTCTTTTGGTCATTTTCCTCCTGTACCGCTAACTCCTTCTCAGTCGGCTTCCTAGGTTCCAATGGGGGCGCAATTGGTAGAGTCTCCAATACTCTTTTCTTCCTCTTTGCTCCCATTCCATCCGCAAATTTATTCGGGGGTCTCTTGATATCGTCTATCAGAGGTTCAAAGAAGGTAGAGCGCTGATTTGGTGAGGGTGACAAAATTTCCACCGAGTTATCTTTGATCGCGGTTGGTCCGAACCATGCGCGGACGTCCCTAGGTAAAGAAGAGAACTTCCCATCTACAATGGCTAGAAGGAGGATTGAGTCTGTTGGGGCTAGGGTGTCGAGCATTGCCCGCACAGTGGCTCGCGCAGTCTCAGATATTGCAGCGCACCAACCGACTAGGGAAGGAATATAGATAACTGAGGGTGAGTGGCGCTTAGCTTCGACGAAGAGTTGAACAAGGGCTGCTTCAGTTGTCTTTGTGAAGGTAAGAAAAATAAGCTGGACCCGAATGTAAAGAGGAGAACAGAACAACTCACTCTTGCAGAATCACCCAAAAGGGTCCCAAGCTCCAGGCTCTGAACATGATATCCTTCAAGGTGATGTAACAGTGCTGCCCCAACATAACTCTGTCCCATTCCAATCTGGCCATGTAAAATCAGTCGCGGTCGATGGATTCTTAGAACCTCCATAGCTAAAAGAGAGAAACGTCAATTTCGTTCCGTCACTAGATTCGATAGAAAACATGATTGTGACTGATACAGAAATGGAATACTTACATTGCAACCTCATCTCCCTCTCCAGCTCCCCTCCGTAGTCCTTTCCGTCTCCATCATCACGATTCCCCTCATCATTATCGTGGTAATCCTCAAACTCAGCTTCCTCCAACGCTGTGAGCTTCTTCTCCAGTGGAAGAACTCTTCCAAGGATGTTTTTCGCTTTTTGCAAGGACTCATGGAGGAGCGGGACGAGTTGGGTAGGTAGAGGCGCTGCGGCCGAAGAAGAGGATCGGGCTGATGATGGCACGAGTTCTACAAGAAGTGGAGATGGAAGATGTCAGTGACATCTTTCAACAAAGAATAGAACGCACATACTCTTGATAGCAACCATAAAGTCTCTTAGTGCAACCGATATCGTTTCAGGTTGGAGTAAAAGCCGATCTTCCGACTTGTATATCTGGGGATACTTGCGTTGAATGGCATTGAGCGCTGCTTCAGTACATAGAGCCTGCGCGCAGAATAGAAGTAGAATCAGCATCTCCGGTATGTACAAACGAACAACATAACCTACCCTTAAATCAGCTCCGCCATACCCCTTAGTCAGCTCCGCTAGGCCGTTCACTCTTGCCTTCACTCTTGGATCCTCCTCTCCCGACCCCCAGCCTATCCAGCCCTTGGTCATAATGCTGAGAATTCTCTCCCTCGCAATCAAATCTGGTAAAGGGAAATAGAATTCTCTATCAAACCTTCCTGGCCTCCGTAACGCAGGATCAATCGCATCCGGTCTGTTCGTAGCTCCAATGACCACTACCTGCCCTCTTCCATCCATGCCATCCATCAACGCAAGAAGGGTAGACACAATGGAAGCGTGGATTTGATCTTGTTTTGAAGATCGAACAGGTGCCAGGCCGTCTATTTCGTCGAAAAATATGATTGAGGGAGCGGAGGAACGGGCTTGGGAGAAAAGAAGACGAAGCTGGCGTTCGGCTTCGCCGACCCATTTGGAAAGCGCGTCAGCGCCTTTGCGCATGAAGAAAGCTAGAACAGTCATCGATATCGGTGTACTGTTATTAACATAGAAGAAGATGACATACTAATCTGCTTCCCATTTGAACGACAACTCGCAGCTAACGCTCTTGCAAGGAGCGTCTTACCTGTCCCAGGGGGACCATGGAATAGCACACCTCGAGGGGGAGTGACATTGAATTGTTGAAAAACTTCGGGGTATAAAAGCGGCAAGACGGTCATTTCTTTCAAAGAGTTGATATCTATAGAGGGAAGTATGAGGACATAACCGAATCTAACAAGGAACGAGATAAGTCACGATCGTCTAAACCGCCAATTTCGTCAAACGTTACGTTGACGTTGACTCCGAGTGGATCCGCGTCGGCAAGTGCTAGATAAAATGGAAAAAAATAAGTATGACACAGGTAGCAGGAAAAACAAGACATTTACTCGAATCATCGACTTTGCCCAAATTTGAAGGAGTTCCAGCAGCAGCAAGATCACCTGAAAGTAATCCCCCACCGCCGGCAACGGCACCCTCAAACCCTCCAGTCATACCCACTCCACCAAATGGCTTTCTCGGTGTCCTCGTTGGGACATCCGAATCAGAATCGTCCGCAGGTAAGCCCATCCACTTGCCCAGCTCAGCACCGGACGCACTCCAACCCAGCCCGCCTTTTCTCCGACCTCCATGATATCCTCCACCCACGCCTCGTCCACCGCCAGCGCGATTATATAACCTATTATTGTTCGCGTTGTTGGATCTGTGCGCTGGCGGACGAGAAAGATCTTCTAGTGGGGGCGGGATGGCGTAGTTGATTCTCTGTCGCTGACGAAGAGCATACGGTTTACCGTTTCCAGTCCCATCTGGGCCTGAAACGTCGTCTTCGGGCTCTGGTTCTGGTTCAGGTGGTGGTTCCAATTCCAAGTCCAAATCGTCTGTCCCAGGCGCATTATCGTCGTCAGATCCATCAGCATCAGCAGAGTGGGGTGAAGAAGAACCAGGATTATAATCGTCTTCTTTTTTGGTTGTGGCTCTAGTACGACGACGTCCGGTACCACGATTGTGGTCTTCGGATTTTGTCGTCAATGTGCGACCGTTGGCCTGTCTAGACCTAGACCTGCCGGATGGTCTATTCCGAGTCAACCGAGAACGAGTATGCGGTCTATTGTCGGCTTCGTCGTCGTCATACTCTTCTTCTTCGCCTTCATCTGGAACAACAAAGTCGGGCAGATTTCGACTACGCGTTGAGCGTCGAAGACCCTCACGGGTATCTTCAGCAGATGCCGAAGCTCTTTTGGAGCCCCTAGTTATTCTCCTGCCTGGTGCATCCACTTCTTCCTTGAAGTTTAACAGATCATCATCCTGTGCCTCTAATTCACCTTCGCCATCTTCGTCTCCGTCGCTTTCAACATAACTCTTCTTCTGAATCATTCGCCCTCTCTGTGTCTTCATTATTACTGGTGCTTCTTCTTCTTCCTCTTCATCTTCAACTTCCGGTTCTTCGTCCATCATTGACTTTTCACTTTGCTGATATTCGGAGCCTGAAGGTTCTGACCCGCGATGATTACGCGACGAACGTCGAAGCGGTATAGGTGGTGAACCAGCGGCAGGTTTGATAGCCATACTGCCAAGGATATTTGGGATTTTAATTTTGAGACGCGGCGCGTCGGTATCGTTGGACTCCGGGTTGCGAGGTTGCCCAGAGGGGGAAGAATTCATACAATCGTGTCGCTGCCTTGCTAGACAGCAGCAGCCACAGAGGCAGAGTTCGTCGTTAAGAACGACGAGAGGGAATACCCCAAGGTCGACCAGAGTGATTCGGTGTAATGGCCCTGCTTCCTTGATGTCGCTAAACAATTTGACTTCTTTGTCGATGTTTCGGTCCAAACAACGGCAGCAGACAGGACAGGAGTAGACAGATGACAAGCAAAGCGCGTGGCGCTCGAGGGATACAGATTCAAAGAGTCAGTCCAAAACGTCGTGAACGTCGAATACGATGTCAAGCTTCTTTGTTTATTGTTTGTGCAAAAGGTCCGAAGTTTCGTTCCCACGGATCCTGATTGGCTACGGACATCTTCTCCTCCTTCTCCTCTACCCGTGGCAGTCAATTTCTCCCTCGCATCCACAAAAACTTTGACATCACTCGGAGTGTCTTCGCTTTTATTTCAAGTCGGACAATCTACCTGAACCATTCTTCAAAACTCCATCTATCCAGATTTTCTGAATTTGCCTGGAAAAGAGTTTGGGGTTCAAGTTTTCTGCTCTGTTGCACATGGAAGGAAGAAACAAGAGGGTTGAAATCGAAAAACGATGATTGACCTTTCCTCGATACCCTCTGTAGCGTACACCTCGGCATCTCGTCGGCATGCTGACCACGAGGTCGGCCGTTTTCGGCACGATCATTAGCGCGCCCGCTACTTTTTTCGGTCGTCAGTTCGCTTTTTACAGTGGTCGACTAGTGAATGTATGATTTTTATAAGTTCTGTAAAACTTTCATGTCAATAGCCAGTCTGAGGTTCACCGGCACCACTTGGTGATTTCTGCGTTGTTCCCACGCATCTTCTCGCTCGGAATCTTCGACGATCTTTGGTCCACTGTATGAAAGGCATACTCTTCCGGAAAGTCCCCAATGGACAGTATTGACTGTTTATATGTAGCTCGTGTATCCTGCACCTTGAACGGTGTGGCTTATTCCAATAAGCCTCGTGTCTTCTCATTTCCTTGTTCCTTAAACTTGAACAACACATCCACCAATCGTTACCATCGTAAAGTCGACGAGGACCAATGTGACGAGTTGCTGGAAGTGCAAAAGGATCTGGGTAAGCGTATAACACATCAACCTGCCCAAACCACACCTTGGCTGTGATCAATGTAGATGTTGTGTTCGTCCTGCCATACTAGTCTAAGGCTCGTGCAGGAATATTACTCAAGCGTTTGCGTGGTAACAATTTCTCCATCTACAATTATTGGTTGAACTACATACCTATAGTAATCGAAGCCAGGCATATGTACAAAATTCTAATGATAGGGATCAGTCTAAAACTCGCGAGTCGGAGGAGTTTCTTGGGGTTCCGAAGTCTTTTCTCACAAGTATTTCATCTTGTCCCAAAGCCTTCACGACAATTTCGAAGGAATGGGATGACTCGGATGAGGCTATCATACAGATGAGGACCAAAGGAACTTTCGGAGAAACACCAAAATAAATCATTTTCGGGAAGGTTTGGTATGAACTTCGAAGGTTGTTGCATAGTAATTTTTTGCCAGATCTGAAAACGCTACAGCGAGATCCCGAGAAATATTAGACGTACCCGGTGCGAAGACTCAGTGAGTGGGTGCCCGAAGAAGTCTGGTCGAGATGCAAGAATTTTGTCATAGCTTGATGGGAAACTATGCAACGAATATAGGACCAAAGTTTACAAGACGCAAGAGAATACACATGCTTTACATATTATCGGCAGTGTTGAGGCATCAATGCGACTGGAATTGGAGTTGAGAACGGGGGATACCGAATCAGAAGAGGGTGGGATGGACGAGGATTCTGACCATTCTGACAACGATGATCCAGGACTGATTTGTTCATCTTCGGTAGGAGGTGCTCCTGCGACGAGTCTGTCTATTACTTCGTCCTCAATGGAATCACCTGCTGCATCTGGTACATCAGATTAGAGTACATTTTATATCCTAATATCATTTCGAATCCATGAATTTTCATATGACAATATCTGTGATCTATGTATTGCTTAATTGGCCATACTACTTATTTGGAACGAGTAGTCTCCAGATATTGTATGATGAAAATCGAGTCTATGTAGTCTATATATAAAGTGTTGATTAATATCACAGGGAGTCATGCTGAAGTCTACATGCTCTATGGGCTACTATGCTGCGTGCAGGGAGAGTCTATGGAGAACTATTAGACTTTCGGCCACTGCTACTAGTGACTACATAGTACTACAGATTAAGGCACTTGTATATTTGACTATTATTGCAATAGGGTTTACATATAGCTATGGAGAATTTTCCGTGTTTCCTGATGTTTGTGGTGGATGAACTGTATATAGAGCTACAAGGATTCAAGAATGTAATACTAGTGACAGGCGAACTATTGGTTGTCAAAGAGCGTTTCATCACGATCCTCTACCCAAGGTTCTGGAGGGACTGGAAAATGAAGCCCATTCACCATATTCAAGTTGGTACCCACCCAGGGGCCATGAAATCAGGAGTGCCCTAAAAACCAATCAACAACTTCTTCACCGAGTAAGCATGAGAAATGTAATTACAATATTGGGTGCAAGAACTGAGGAGGAACAACAGATTCGTGAGCATTCGAGATCGACGATAATTCCGCGGTCTTGATAACACAAGCAGTCGCCGCACTGATGTCTCTATGAACGTAACCAGCTTAACACAAATAATTGAAACCTTCGTGACCATGAGCAGGTAAATAGTGAGAACGACTACACTTTCACGAAATCAATCATACAAGTCCCACCTCTTGTAACTCAAACAAGCTTCGGACAGTTGTAAGATTGTGGAATCTCATCAACCCAGGTTGGGGTCCTAGGGACGTGTTCGGCGTATCCGTAATATTGAGATGTTGCGTTCTCCTAAACGAGTTCGAATAATGCATAGTCCGCAGGAGGGACGGGAGTTATATCGGGGTTGACCATGACTTGAACGACTTATTTGGACTATTGTAGAAAAAAATTGTACCTTCTCTGACAAAGAGCCGTCTTTGAAGACTTTTCTGACCCTCCAAACACGCATAGCCCCAGATAGAATATCGTATGCAGCCATTTCGGAGACAGGATACCCGATAGTCTCGAGGATTACCTCCCATAATGTACTGGTAGAAAACTGTATCCCATTTGGAAGTCCTACAGACGTTACACTTGACAGAGTTGTCGAGGCCGTGCTGTTCATGGGTACCGTAGATTGTTGTCAAAAGCAATCGGATTCAGACTTCAGGATTCTGAAAGCAAATCTTTGTTCTATAGTCTAGCGAGAGGCAAAAGCGACTTTGAAAAAGTTGAAAAAGGCGACAGTGTTTCAAGCTCGGTCAAAATGCCATAATCGAAGATGATGTTTGAATCATCCACGAATCGACAAATAAAGTCGCTCAAGAGTTGGGTCGCACCATTCAGGATGTTGATCTGATTCTGGTCGACAGCCTCAGGCTAAAGGAAAACCGCTCACCTCTCGCCCCGCAGCTTGATCATCCACTTTCTTGAATTGACCCATGTCCAAAAGACTTCCATGATGGCCAGACAGAGATGAACGAGAGTTGGCGGATAAGATAGTTTTATTCGATATACGTAGAATTGCATGAGAATCGCCGTAGAAAGTGTTGCCCTGTGTTTTGCTCTGATAAAAACAAGGAGTGGGTTTAGGTATGGCCAGATCTTCAATGATTTCTGACTCTATAAGTGCGGATGTTATGGCTTGCAGTCCAGTATAGACGTAGTCTTCGTCCAGGCTTTGCTCATTCGGATTGATTGTAGCCCTGCTGCTGCGCTCAATTCAGGTAAGTCTTGAATGGAGGAAGATAAGTCGTAAAGAACTTTTCAGCGCTATATCGGATTACGGAGCCATCGTGCTGGAAGCCACCGTCGAGGATACCGCCTTGTTGTATTGATGGAAGCCACGGAGCCACGAGCGTCACCTCAAAATGCTCCCTTTGGCAGTTCCCACTGAGTTTAGTTCCCACGCATCTAAGGTTTGGTCCAAGCTCTCTAAGTCTTTATAGATATCATAACCTATACAATGGTTAGTGACGGCTTTCGATGTAACTTCTGGATCCAGCACCCACAACAGCCTTCAACGGCGTGGCATGTGAGAGAAAACTTATTAGCTTCTGTCTTCTCACTTCATGCTCGTCAACCTCTCACCTTCACATGTCATCCATCGAAAGCACGGATGTCGACCTTGTAACGACTCTCGTCCGTCAACAAGGTGAAGAGTTGCTGAAAGTGCGAAAGGATCTGGAGGAATCCAAGGTAAGTACAATAGCCTATTCAATCAATGCCAGTTTTTATTTAATGTATTTCGGTCAACCAGAAACTCTACACTACGGCTGTCGATGTTGTCTCCACATCCAAATTCCGTGTAGAAAATGCTATAAGAACATCGTCGCAATGGCAGTCGAAATTTGCGACGATGATATCCGATTTAGCATTTCTTCAATCCGAGCACGAAGCGTCATTGGCCGAATTGAAAGCCACCAGCACGGAATTGCGTGCCACGTTGGGATTGTTCAATTCAAGAGATGTCCCGACGACTGTCTCTGCATCCGAGTCTCCCATCTCGAATGCAAATCCGGCTGTACTAGCAACTCCAGAAGATCCAGTAGATGGTTATACCAGCGAGTCGTCTATTGTAAGTTAGTCTTTCAAGATGTGAATCACGATTGCTGATTATGAACACACGCTAGAGTGATATTTCCGTCGATGAAGAAGAACTTGACCTCGATGAAAGTCATGAAACGCATATATCCGTAAATGTAAGCTCCTATGATCGTTCTGTGATTACCGTGTATTCATGTTGCATTTTCTCTAACTAGCGTGCTTCTGTTGCGGGGTCAGCCAAAGTCGTGGCTGGAGATTTCGTGAACGTCGCTGCTGTGGAGACAGAACTTAGGTCGGTATCATCGCAGGATAGCGTACTCGACGATGTTCCCGGGGTCGACGACTCCTATGTAAAGGGGGATGATCACTTAAATGATGCAAAAGTGAATTCACGATTCGACTCTCCTGTACTGCCATTATGAACTAACAAATTGTATCTTTATCTAAGGTCGGTTCTTCCGTTCCCAGAAGTGTTCCTCAATCCCTCTTATCGGCGTCGACTGCGACTCCTGTTTTGGAGACCACAATTGCAACTTCGGACACCGTTCTCCCGACCCCTTTGGCCCCGGTCGAGACTGCGACTGCCGTACCAGATGGCACACCCGAGTCTGACAAGCCCAGGTCCAACGAGCCCTCGATCGCAGCTTCCTTTCCCAAGCCCTCCTCTTCGGCCCTAGGGCCGACTGCGCCTGCAGTGCCAGAGAGCTCTAATGCAACCTTTAACCGGCTCAATGGCACTTCGTTCTCCTCATCTGTCTTTGGGCGTTCCTCTTCCCCGGCTTCGGTCCCGACTGTTACCCCCATACCGCAGAGTTCGAACGCCATTTCTGCTCAGTCGAATGGAACATCTTCCGTTGCTGTTCCTTCGACCTCTATTGCGCCTACCACCCCCAAGGGCTCAAACTCAAACACTCCCGTCCCTACTATGCCTAAGGCTTCTTCCTCCGCTTCAGTCCCGACTGCGTCTGCAGTAACTAAGAAGCCAATCCCTTTAAGCTCCAAAGCCTCCGCCTTGGTCCCAGCCACGACTGCTACTCCCGTACCGAAGAGCACAAATCCGATTACTGCTAAGCCCAATGGACCCCCGCCTGTGATTGCTACTTCTTCCGTGCGTCTTCCCTTTCACGTCTCTGAACTGTATCTCATCTGTGCTTCAGAGTGTTCAGGGCTTCAGCCTTGCTAACACGCATCTCAGTATGGACTCTGCGAAACCGATATGCACGAAACTGCCAGCTGTCCATACCCGGAAGGTTGTAAGAGAGATGTGTTTGAAAGTAAGTGACCAATACCAGGTATCAATTGTTCGTTTTTCCTACGTCTATACAGGTGATCGGAAGTCCCGAGAAAACAAATTATCACATCTTTAAGATCCCTGAAGTCTTATTGGCATATCCTTCTGGCAGAAATCTAGCGCTCATAACGGTCTCAAGAAGTGCAAACGAGGTTTCTTCCGATCTCATCAAATTCAGGAGACAATGGAAAGGGCATGTGCTTTTACAGAACAGTGCGACAAAGCACCTCTTTTTTCTGGGTGAATTTCAAGGTGGAGGGTGCTATAAACTATCTGTCAACGAGTACAACTTGCTTCCGGCGAAGGTGAGCATTTGAACTATGTTCATTTCAATGGTGTTTAAATCTTGCTTCGTACAGACAAAAAAGTGTGTATTCAGCGCGGCGAAGTCACTTCGGTATCAGGACATCCAGGACCAAAACCAGATGCTATTAAGCATGGGTAAGGATAACGGGATCTATGTTGCGAAGACCGAATTGCGTTTTACTAGCGATAGCAGTGCTATCGAGGCTACTATGAGGCAGGAAGCTACGAGAAGAGGGTTCGTGTGATTTGGTGCGAAATCATCTGCACTTTTAGTGGGTTCAGACTTGTAGTTACTTATGTACCATATTAGAGCGCGAATTGTATCTATGTACGGTGTATTTAACGAAAATATTTTTCTTCCAGGTTCTGGGACTTGTAAGATCCATTCGTTTCAGGTGGTATCCCCGGCCAGAAACAGATCTCATAAGTACCTGCCTTGGAGGTGTGCGCTAGTGCAACTGTCACAGATCAGACTAGGGAGATAAAGATAAAAACGTGATCCGCTCCCGAGCATGGTCCGTGCGCATCTCCAAAAACCCTATAAAAGCCTTCCCTCATCGTCTTACATTCTTTACCACTCTGGCCTTTTGGCTTAGATCAAGTGTAGTATCTGTTCTTAATAGTTTAACCACTATTACGAGGGCACCGCCCTCCGTATTTGGTTATCTAATTTTTGCCGCCCTTGCTCCTTCGTGCTCTGCTTGCAACATGGGGGACGTGATGACCTTGCTACTGCAGTACTGGCTTGTGTCGTCGGGGGATCTTGTTTTCTTTCTCTTCTTTGCTTACACCTTTGTGATACCGTCAGTTGACGGTTAGCGGGTTGAAGCAACGATGAGATGAAAAAACCTTTCTTTTTCTAATTTTTGGAATTCGGGATTTGCTTCCTATGATCTATATATGTTGGTAGTATGTACCAAAGGAGGTGGTTTGCAGGTCAGGAGGAGCGTAACTTGTGGATTTCAATACGCATGTGGGTTATATACCCATTAATTCATATCCTATCCTATCTCATCATCTTCATTGTACGGGCTCTTAATTGAAGTTCTTTCCTCTACTGGATTGGATTGCTGGTGCTCTGGGCGGGATGTGGTTGCACGGTTTACACTATCTAGTATATACAGTGTACATTGCTATGCAAAGGACAATGTAAGCAGTGGTCGTGTAGGCGGAATGGGAAGATAGCGAATGAGAGCAAGTGAAATCATGAAATAGCATGAGTACATAGATGAATGACATTATGTAGACTCGAACCAGTCTGCTGCTGAGAAGCGATATGCGGAATCACTTTCTCGGCTTCGCTGACACCTTTGAGCACCAGTTTCCAAAGTGTCAACATCCGAAGCTACTGGCCCGAGTCTAGACATTATGAAGTAGCGAAAAAAATTGGGTGTATATCGGTGATAAACAATGTTGGGCATGCAAGAAGTGTTCAGTCGATCTTAGAAACTCCTTAGCGCTACGGAAAAATGAGAACTTGGTGAAGGCTGGGAAGGGCAGTCTTACCTTCCTCTGGGCTCTAAGCTCAGATATCTTCTTGTCCACCTCCTTGCTTGACATCCGCACAATATTAATGTACGTATACGACTCTCGATGTTTGTCCCGCGCATGTTGTAGCATATCATGTTCATAAGCCTTGTTTTTCGGGAATGAAACCACGTTACACAGTGGAAGGTTTTGGCGTTGGAGTTTCCGAGCGTTGGTGCTAAATTGACGGAAAAAACATCATTCGGAAGTCAGTGAAACATGCATCATACAAGGAATCTCATAAATTCAAGGACTCACTCGCAACAAGCACAGATCACACTTGAAGATGAATATATGTCTTTCCGGTACAGTAATCTGAGATGCCACTTTTGAGGCCAAAGGTCGGGCTCAACGCATGTATCAAACGAAGGAGAATTTGGACCAAATGTCGGAGCTGGATTTTGGGCAATCAATGTAGATTAGTAGGTTCACTATCAAAGAATGAGCTTGCCTGCAGGAAGATTCGATGACTCAAGATTGGTTATTTCAACAGCATTTGGATTTTGGCCATTCATGCTACTAGCTACAGACAGTTGGGCGGAACTTTGAGGAGATGGAGTCGATTTCAAACCCTTCCCCGAGTCTGTTTATAGGCTCAGCATTGGCATCTTTCTTGCTCGAAAATTTGACATACTGCGATTTTTCCTGTTCAAAGATCTATTTTCTCTCGAATGTCTCTGAGAAGCCTGAACGTTGGCTTGATATTCTTCGAGAGAAAGATCTACGATATCAGGCGAATCTCCTCTTGAATCACTTTGAATCCTTTGTTTACCTGCAGGGAAGTCCATAACGCCAGGATCATTCTCTCCGAAATCGTCCAGAGTTGTGAGATCGATAAAGGATGAAAGTTTTTCATTACGCTGACGGATTTTCCCCGGGTCAGTGAGTGTATCTCGACGTCCATTCGAAATTGCATCCGGTGATGGAACATTTGTCGATTTAGACACCGTCCCTTGTAAAAAATTGGTATCATCGTCGTCGCTCTCGATTATGATGGGGGTAAATTTCCGGTTTGATGCCTGGAGGCCCTGGCGCCTTTCCTCAACAGTGTCTTTGTGACATTCCAGCTTGTCGGTTTCCTTCGTGATTTCTGTCGAACAGGACGAACGCTCAGTTTGAGTTGAAGGATTGGAACGGAAGCCTTTTGAATCATTCTTCGCCTTTTCTTCATCCAACTTCGAATTAAGATCACCCTCATCCGAAAAGAGCTCATCAACCTCATCCTCCGAAAGTTCGGTCTCAGCAGAGTCATCTGTAAATTCACGTTCAGAGAACGCGTGAATCTTCGGGAGGGGTAAACTCGAATATTGGTTGACTGGTGATAGATGTATTGGTCCTGAGGACATTGGTAATATGTGAGGACTGGAGGCAGAGCCAGTCGGTGGTTCGGAAAACGGTTGAGAGCAATCCTGGCGTACTTCCGACCCCGATCTGGCCACAAAAGAAAGTGCGGATATTGGAGCAGGCTCTACCACACCAATTTTGGAATGATTAGCATCTACATGGGACTCAGCTGTTTTGATACCTGGACGTATTGGAAGTCCATCGTTATTCACCAGCGGAGTGCATTGAACACTTTTGGCCAGAAAAGAGTCAAACGAGTCATGGACATCCTTCCGTCTACTCCTTGTAGGCGACACCGAATTCCTCAGAGTAGCAGGAAGGGGTGAAACTACCAAGACTCTGCTACGTTTACTGTTCGAAGCACAGACGGAGGAGCAGTCATTACTTGCCGCGTAGTCATCGACTGAAGAATGCTTTCGCTTGGGCGCCGGAGATTCTGAAGCTGTTGGTAAATCGATTTCTGCTTCTACTTTAGATGAATCGATGACTGATTTCAGCACTTTCTTATAATCTGTCGCAAAGGAAAAAAGTTTACTGGTTATGAACAATTTATCATATATCAGCATCGGCTTTACCTCTCAAAAAGAATTTGTTCTTTGGTAATTGTATAATAGAATTGGAAGAAAATTCTAATCGAGAATCCACAATCCACAAGTACCTATTCTGGTAGAGCGGATGTGGGATTCGATTTTTAAACGATCCATCCCAAGGTAGAGACCATCCTTGAGGATCGTCAAGATGAACATGCAGGCTTCCTGCCTTCTCGTTGATGTAAATATCCCCTGGTGCTCCTAGAAAGCGAGGTGGCTTTCGACGTCCATGAAACTGGGTGAATTCACGGTAATCTAGCCGATGAGCGCGGTCATCATACGGAAAGAACTTCCTTTGGATAGGTCTGAAATCCATTTCAAGGTTCAAAGATAAAAGATGCCAAGATTCTGAGTCGAGTTGAAGTTCAATCAAGTTGGCAATGGAAGTTCTGAGTGATGACGGGCGCTAATGCATTTTCTGTCCTGACAAATCTCTTCAAACGCCAAGTTTGCGTACTCATTTCTTGTGACCTTTTTGCAATTTCCTCCCCTTATTGGAATGGATTCGGTCTAACGCAAGCGCTTTCGTAGCTAGGCTGATACCTTCCTGCTTTACCAGCAACGTCCATCCATCGAAGTTGAACATGCTGGCCAGATTCAACCAGATTCGTATATCTGTATGTATCGCATGCCTTTCTCTATGTGCTTTTTAATCCGACCATCTACGTCTAAAAGGCTCCCTTCACAATACCCGGATCTTGTAAACCATCCTCAAGTCCACAGTGATACTATTACGCTAGTCGGCTTATATATACCTCTTGAGCCACCCTGCGAATATTCCTCCTCATTTCCCCTCGGGGTCATCTTTGCTCTGTTGATGGAGGTCACGAAAGCACGGGTACATCGGGTCGAGGAGATCAGACAGTGGAAAAGGACCAATGGTTTCGATTAGATCCTGCAGATAATCTTGAGAATCGATTCGCATTTGTATCCCAGTTCGACGATACGATTGCAAGTTACTTTCTATCTATCTATCTGTCGCGAAATGACGCGGTTTTTGCGTATGCTTCTTGTTATCCCCACGAAAAGTAACTGAGACTTCCCGATACAGATATCACAGAGACCTAAGAGCTCTTTGACTTTGAGATCAAGTTAAGTGAGGGGCAATTAGAATTCCATTCTTTTGCGAACACGAAATGGGAAGAGTTGTTGGCAGAATGTCGGCCTAAGTATGGTGAATTTGGAAAGAAAGGGAACATGCCTTCTTTCAGGGATATTTCGGTGAATGGAGAACCAGGGGACTCTACTAGAAGCGCAGGGAAACCAGCACACCCCTAGTGGCTCAAATACTTTGGGTCAAGGAGGTAAAACGGAGGAAAACTCGGACAGTCCTGAAAGGGCAAAGTATGGGAAGGATATGTACGCTTCGCTTCCTCGATACCAACTGTTTTCTTCGATTCGTTTCGCAGTTTGCATTCCGTAGCTACGACCTTACGATTGCAGCATCGTATCCCTACTACTTTAATGTGTTGTGCCCCCGGTGCTGTCGCATCGAATGTACTTTCAACGACCTTTGCGGACGAACGACTGATTCAAGAGCATCTTTCTTTGGGAATATCTTAAGGCAAAGGAGAATGATACGAACTAGATATGCAGCTTACCATTTACTGCCCTCGTCCTGTCATTTTTCATTTCCACTCAACTTTCTGCGAGGACGACGGCGCAATCGTTTCCGCAGAGTTAGCCTTCATCTGGTCTTCATACATACATACATACGTTGATCAATTCTACACGCACGCCTTTAAAGCTTGTTGCGGCATGGAATTCGTTTTGCACGATGCATGAATATCGGATAACAGTGGCACTTAGTCGAATTCAACCTCGAAAGACTATCCTTAACCATGGTGTTATCCTAGAGCTTGATGAACTCGGGTTGGCAAAGGAAGACGCAGCACACGTTCCTTGAAGATCGGCTGATTCCTGCAGGAAACGAGTCGTTATCTGGTTCATGAAATTCATTTCTTTCTCCTCATCCCATGCTCTTTCGCAGGCATCCCTGGCCACCCGAGGGCCGATGGTGTACAACGACGGCGATTGACCCCTGTTGACTCTGCCATGTTTGATGCTCGTGGAGCTTTGATTTACGGTGTTGAGATGAAACCGCATTGATGATGCACAGAAAAGCAATAAATGCTGCTAAAGTGCGGTGCAAAATTGATTCGAAGCTTCCGGCGGAATTGTGAGTTGTACGATACTGGAATCTGACTGTAACTTTGACGGAAATCCATTGGCACACATGTATAAGGATCTATATGGGTCGCAGCATTCGTCGTTAAGTGGGCGCGAAACTGCACGAAAGTTTGAAGGCTGGGAGAGGCTAGGTGGGGGCCTGGTGTACAGCCATGGTGATGGATAAATTACCAAATGAGGATATCAACAACTCCAAATTTGTATCGCTTAAAATTCTTTATCAACCCGGTCTTTTTCGCCGGCTTTCTTTCTCTACCTTTCTTTCTCTTCCCTTTCTCCCCTTTTAGTGTTCACAAAGGCTCGTCGTCGAATCACCTCCCATTCTCTTCCTTGAGCGCACTCATTATAACGGATAACGAATTCACCCTCTCTAACTTGATTTTTGTCCACCACAACACACTCGCTCTGCTTTGATTCGACAACAATGCACGCCTCTACACTTTTTGCTTCTTTTGCTACCGCAGCTCTTGTATCTCTCGCCAATGCCCATGGAATTGTCTCCAGTGAGTTTATTCACCTCACTTTTCATGTTCACATTGCTAACAATAAATACTAGAGATTGAGGTTGCTGGCCAGACCTTCGAGTCGCCTCTTATTGGAGCCAGCGGAGATAATGGACCTTTCTACGTTCCTACAGACAACAGTCCAATCACCGACGTGACTTCGGAGAATATGTTCTGCGGCTCCGTCGCGACGGCAGCGACAAGTACTCCTTCAATCGACCTTTCACAAGGCAACACGATATCCTTCTACTGGGAAAGTGGATATTCTACTTCTAACTGGCCACACAACACCGGTCCCATATTCTTATACATGGCTAAATGCGATAGTGACTGTACATCCCAGACTGCATCTTCCACCAACTTCATCAAGATCGAGCAGCAGGGATTCGTCAACGGGGCTTGGGCACAAGCTGCTTTGAACACTGGCTCACCTGTCACATTCACGATTCCATCGGACCTCGCGTCAGGCAACTACCTCATCCGTCACGAAATCATCAATCTCGCTTCCACTGATGAGAATTTTCCTGCTTGCTCTCAGTTTGCGATTACGGGTGGAAGCAACACGTACTCGAGTGCTCAGACGGCTCAGTTCCCAGGAGCTTATTCTGCCACTGATGCTGGTCTTGCTGATGCGGGAAGCGCGATTTACTCAGTCAAGACCAATGCAGAGTATACGTTCCCTGGCCCTGATCCTGTTCTTTCTTCCGACGGATCTGACTCTTCCGCATCGGGAAGTTCATCAGACTCTAACTCTGCCAGCTCGTCATCTTCGACTGTTGCAAGCATTAGTAGCTCTGCTGGTGCCACTGCCACTGTCGCCACCGGTGCTACATCTAGTTCCAGTACGGCTACTGGTGTCGTTGTGCTTCCTTCTTCTGTCCGCCTCGCTTCCGCTTCAGTTACTCTTGCTACAACCACTTCTTCAGTCTCAGTATCTGCTGTCACCACTCCAGCCGCAGCCACCGGTTCCAGCTCTAGCTCGGACATTGATACCTGTGCAACCCAGTGGACGACGTGTAACGCTGCCTACATGAGTGCAACTGCTTCCGATAACTCGACCACTGTTGCGTATAGTTGTCAGACAGCGTACGTCAACTGTGTGGCTCAGGCTGAGTCTGCTGTCGAGAGCTCTTCGGTTGCCACTGCTGTCACTTCTGAAGTTGCCAGTTCTTCGAGTGCCGCCGATGCAATGGCTACGATCGATACTGCTGCTGCTACCAGCACTCCCGTCGTCAACTCTCGTGCGTTTGCCAAGCACCTCCGCCGTCATCACGCTGGTGTTTCGAGACTCGATTTCCATTAAATCACTCATTGGATCCCTGTCATTCGTGTCGCTTTGCTTTCGTCGCTTTATCCATTGTGTATCATGTTATTCACCATATCCACCCTATCCCCTTCCCCCAAACACATAAACACCCGTCTTTTGATGACTCTCTCTCCATCTCCCTCTCACCCGTCCTCGGTGACTGTATCTTTATTTTTATGATTTTTACTATTTATTTCCCCTACGTCATCATCATGGAAACTAGCAAGATCTAGTATTCCTTTGCTCGTCCCCTCTTTGTCTGTGCAATCATGCGTGCATATTGCGCATTCGTCTGTTTTAGTGCTAGGCGCGATTCAATGGGCATAATTGTAGCTAGTCCTACCCGGTCTATTTGCTTGCTATTTATCGTTGTTCAACGTTGCTTTCTGCGATGCATACTGTGTATGTATTACCCACGTATAACGCTCATCAAAAATATGAACCCATGTACATACATGAAGTACTAGTGTGATAACTGCAAGCTTCCCCAGCTTCAAGGATTGATCAGAAATAAAATGTGGAGTACCCAGTTGACCGAGGTCATTTACATCGCGTTATGGTTACCTCAATAATAGCGTGTTTATTTTTTATCGTACCTTTCTACTTTGCCTCCCTACCTCCTCCTGCTTACTCTAACCCTCATGCATTCGTGTACCTTCCACCTCCTTCCCTTCCCAAAATCCACTCATCTTCATGAAGCATGCTGCCCTAATGCTACCATACGTATATTCATTTCGACCGGATACAAACGCCGGAGAAGCAGGACGCAAAGAGATTAAGTACGAGGGGGAGGAGGTAAAGAGAAGATACACGCTTCTTCCCCGAACTCCTTTTTTCATTTATGATCCATCAATCAAATGTACGGGCCATGCCTACACGCGTTACTCTTCGTTGTACCGATCTTCCGAATCGAACTCGATAAGACAGCGCGTTGGACAGTCTGAAAACGCGTTTATCCGACCTTCGAATGGCTGTCGGACTTAGAATTGGAACCTTGACAAGCTTGTTCCGACGAACTTGATTTTGAATCTCGGCACAGAAAAATCGATGCATAAATTCATGTATTTGCCGTGAATTCAAGATTATGTACGATCTATGTATTATTATTGAGATGCGACACGAAGCGAAAGTGCGCTGGAATAGAATTGTCTATACAACGACTGTATGGGACGACGAGGGTTGAAGTACCAATGTTCTTGGATATCTCCAAGGTCAGAGGTATGGAGGGGAGTTGGACTATCGAGAATGACAGTGTCAATATGACTACATGAGGAAAGAAGGGTTGAATATCAAGGCTTCCTGTAAAACCACTAACACTCACCTCTCCACCAGGTGCTGTTGTAACTTAGACATGTCGACCTCTTGATGACAGTGCGCGCAGCAAATGGGATCATTCCTTCCATCTATCTTGCGCAGGATTCTTTTGGCGGCCTTTTTAGATTTTTTCGACATGTTAATTTTGAGGTCGTGCTTCCAATGATCACGGGAAAACTGCGAGAGATGAAGGTATATATGGGTACAAGGGGGTATCCAATAGAAGACAAGAAGATTGCTTACCACTATGGGCCACCAAAGACAGAGGGATTTTTGATCAAAAGAACAGGTTACACATTGAATAAGAGGATTAGCAGAGTACAACTCTTGTATTGTCGTTGTTGTAGGATCAAGAGAACACGATTTGATGATTGTTTGCATCACCGGAAGACAATGATCACTGAGAACGAGTGTGCGAGGCGTCCACGGCCCATACTCGTGAAAATCATAGTAATGTGACTGAAACGTCTCCATGCGCTTGTGACTGATTTTGCTCGGGCATTTATTCCGGAAACAACAACGATGATAAAACATTTGAGGATAGTGCATTGCTTTTTTGCACTGTATACACTCGAAAATCGACGTGGCCAGATAGAGATCGGATTCCACAAGCAAGGTTGGACCTCGCTTGGATTTCTGCACCACCATCAGTAATTCTTGGATTTGTGCCAGCCTCCACTTGTCAATGAAGTGAGGTAGATGTTCAGAGAGCTTGGCTGAAAAGTCAACTTGTTCTTCAACAGGGGTATCCCATATCAAGTTTTCGAAAACATTGGCGGTAAGGATATCGCCTATAGCAGGGAGAGGCTCTCGAAAGTCTGATTTAGAGTTAATTCGTTGATACGCCTGTGATAGCTGTACGTAACGCGCTCTTATGACATGAACAGTTTCAATTTCCAGCCGCGCTGTCCGGTGATTCGAGAGCAATTCCACCAGTTCGTCTTTGATGTTCACCCAACCTGAACCAACACTCAGAAAAATGCGGCCAGGTAGAATTGAACTTCATACCTTCTTCTGTGAGGTTTCTCGATTGATTCACTATCCTTGCGTATTCGAAATATATTTGTTCGTGAGTCCGATACATGCCCCTCTTTTCGATGTGTTCTACTTCTTCACGCCAACCAAGTTTTCCTAGTCGGGCAAGAATACTATTACGGACGTAGATTTGTCGGTCAACATGACTCAGTATGAGAAAATACTCACTCTGTCTTTCGGTGATCACAGAGATTGTTAAGTTCTATCGCGCGTTGATCCAATCTATTTTGATTCCACTTTCGACATACACACCTGAAGGAGAAAAAATTCCGCTCGACGGAATTACCAAAATTCAGTGCAACTGATATATCATGTGACCGGCGATATACCCGATATAGTTTATCCGCGGTCACATGATATATCAGTTACGCTGAATTGTTACGATTCCGTCGAGCGGAATTTTTTCTCTTTCCGGTGTGATAAATGACTATGCTGGAGAGTCGTTTGAGCAGGAGAATATTCTGAACTGCGCTTTGAGAACACACCTCCCTGATTTCCTGTAGATCTTTCTGCTTTTGACGAATCCATTGCTCACGGTCGGCTGGCGTTTCAAGTGCTTCATACGTATACTCTGCTTTGTAGCGAGTGGCCCATTTATTGCTTGCCACGGTTATCGACGCTGGTACAATTCCAGATAAAGCAGTGTAATGTCTAATCGCAAAGAGGGGACTTACTATTTCCAACCCAAACTACCTCCGACGGTAGAATATCAGAGTTTCGGTATTCTGGAGGTTGCTTATTGAGATACTCGTCGTTGTATAGAGGGAGCCTTATGTGAGAAAAGAGGAATTCTTGACCAATGCAAAGGAGTGATACCGAGACGCTTACACTGTAATAACACAATTCTTGCAGACTCTAGCACGAAATCTCCATAGCACGTTCTCGCACCGCCCTTTGTGGTTGCAAACCTATATGGAATAATTGATTAGATACACCTCATAATCTTGACATAGTTATAGTTTAGCTGAATTCACATAACAATAGGCATCATAAATAAGACGAGCATACTGAGGTTCGTTTAAGTCGTTAGGACGAGGCGGAAGACCTTTCACGTTTGCACGTGCGACGCGCCAGATGGCTTCTAAAGACTTGCTCATCAAGAGCCCTCGAAGGTCTTTCGACGTTCGAGCAAGGCGTAAAAGATCACCAGGATCAAGGTGACAAAAGATCTGAACAACGTATCATTAGTACTTGATGCAGCAATTTGTTATCAAACTATTGCTTGCCTCCAAGACCACATCCAACGGAACGTCCTTCGCTAATCGTTCCAGTTTTCCACGAGCATTCTTGAATCGTTCAACGCTCGTGCCTCTAGAGGGCTGGGTGATCTTCGATGTGCCCTTCCGAGATTTTTTTCGGGGTGGCCCGCCTTTCTCTTCATGTTCTACTAATTCCAGTCCCTCTGATGTAGACTCCCTGACGCGCTTTCGGCCAGCTTCGGTGATAGCAGAAGATGATTCCTTGAGCACAGGAGTGTGCTGCTTTTGGATGGCCGTGGCTTTGACCTGAATACGAAGGGATCGACGACTCATGAAAGTGATATTACAGGAAGAGACTGTCGAATGTCAGGTTGTGGTAAAAAATCAAGTGCTGAAGCGTTACAAATTGAAATAACGTCAAATCACGGTCACGTTGCATGTTCCACTGACTCATTCGAGCTCATTCGATGGTCTGTAGGTACGGAAATTTCTGGTGAAGACCAGCAAAAGTGATTCTGGCTAGCGAAATCAAAGACGACAGTCTGAGAGAGTCGAGGAGGGGGTATATAAATCAAGAACTTCAATGGTCAGAAGAAACTTTGAATGAAGGAAAATAGAGAAAAGGAACGAATTAATACATAAGTGGGGAGGTAAGAACATTATAATAAGATAAGAGACCTTCTCTTTATCATTGTACCACATAGTCGCCCGAATTAAATTCGACGTGTTTGAGGTCCTTGGCCTTCTAAAGAGACCGCACCCTTGTAAACGTTGCTTGTGCTTGAGAACATATTCCTTGGAGTGAAAGGCAATCGTAACCATGAATTTCGTCATTGAAGTATACAAGAAAAAAAGGCAAATTCTTTAAGATACGACACCGTGCATGCGCAATGGTCAGTCGTAATAAAAAAATCCGACATACAAAGACTGCATGGGGACACGAGGATTGTAGTACCAGTGTTCTTGGATATCTCCCAGGTCAAGGCTAAGGAGAGCAGTCGAAGTGTCAAGAATATCTTTGTGACTATATGAGAAAAGAAGCATTCATATCAGAGCTTATTGCAAAGGACCATTAATACAGCGACGACACTTACCCCGACTCTAAGTGATTTCGTAATTGACTCTTCCGAACCTCCTGATTACAATGCGCGCAACAGATATGATCGTCCGTTGAGCTTGACGTATGCATGGCTCTTTTTGTAGCCTGCTTATATTTGCTCAATTTGTTGAACTTGAGCTTGTGGGACCGATGGTTATTGGAAAACTGCGATGAGATGTGAGCCATAAATGGGTGTATCAGGGGGAGACTAGAAGACTGCTTACTGCGTGGTTCCACCCTAGGCACACAGTTCTGCGACAAGTGGAAGAGCAGGTTACACATTCAATTGGAGGATTGACAGAGCGCAGCTCATGTACCGTCGTGGTGGTCGGGTCAAGCGAACAAGCTTCGAGAAGTTCTTCCATCATCGGAGGCCACTTGTCACTCAGGACGAGTGTGCGAATCATCCACGGCCCATACGCATTATAACCAAAGTAATTCGTCCGAAACATCTCCATCCGTTCGTGACTGATCTTGTTCGGTGATTCATGCTGCAAACAACAGTTATGATAGAACATTTGAGGGTAGTGCATTGCTGTCTTGCACTCTGTGCACTCGAAGATTGTCGTAGCAAGATGAAGGTTAGATACCGCAGGCAAGGTCTTACTCTGTTTTGACTTCTGCACCAACTTCAGCAACTCTTGGATTTTTGCCGGCCTCCACTTATCGATTATGCGAGGTAGGTGTTCGGAAAGCTTTGTTGCAAAGTCTATCACTTCTGTAACAGGAGTGTCCCATATCAGGTCTTCGAAGACCTTGGCCGTAAAGATATCTCCCAAAGCAGGGTAAGGGTCTCGACAATCCGACTTGGAGCAAATTTGACGATATTCTTTTGATAACAGTTCATAACGCGCCCGCATGACACAAAGTCTTTCCGTTTCCAGACGATTCGTCCGGTGTTCCGAGAGCAATTCCACCAGTCCGTCCTTAATGTTCACCCAGCCTAAACCGGCGTCTAGAGATATGTGGTCAAGCAAAAAGAAACAAGTTCCGTACCTTGTTCTGTAAGTTTCCTCGGTTGATTCACTATCTTCACGTATTCGAGATAGAGTTGTTCACGAGTGCCCCTCTTTTCTATATGTTCTGTTTCTTCACCCCAACCAATCTCTCTTAGTCTAACGATGATACTGTAACAAACATGGCTTTGTTAGTTGATGCGACTCAGTTTAAAAGATTACTCAACTCATCTCTTCGTTGATAGCGGAGGCCGTTGATTTCTCTCGAGCGGTCGTTTAACCTTTTTTGATGCCACCTTTTACATAAATTACTATGCTGTTAAGAGTGATAAGAGGGACAAACACAGCCTATGAAACGTTTTTGTGACAAACCTCCTTTATGGCCTGCAGCTGTTTCTTCTTTTGACGAATCCACTCCTCACGATCGCTAGGCGTATCGAGTGCTTCATACTCCGCTTTATACCGAGCGGTCCATTTGTTGCTCGACACAATTCTGGACGCTGGTACAATTGAAAATTAGCAAATATTTATTAGGATAAGAGAGGGGCTGACTGTTTCCGACACGTACTCTCTCCGACGGTAGAATACCAGAGTTACGATATTCGGCAGGCTGCTTATCGAGATACTCATCATCATATAAAGGAAGACTGGATATTGAAGGGTTTTGTGATCAAGGCATAAGAACGATGTGGGGACGCGTACACTACGGTGACACAATTCTTGCAGACCCTAGCACGAAATATCCAAAGTACATTCTCGCAACGCCCTTTATGGTTGCAAATCTATAAGGAAAGGTTGTTTAGATACACCCTATGATCATGATCATGGTATGGGACTCACATAACAATAAGCATCATAGAGAAGACGAGCATACTGAGGTTCGTTCAAGTCATCAGGACGAGGCGGAAGACCTTCCACGTTTGCACGTGCGGCACGCCAGATGGCTTCCGAAGACTTGCTCATCAACATCTGTCGAAGGTCTTTCGACGTTCGAGCAAGGCGTAAAAGATCACCGGGATCGAGGTAACAGAAGATCTGAAGAGTACGCCATTGGCGCTAAACTTGACTAAGAAGCACTGCATACCTCGAAAATCACGTCCAGTGGAACGTCCTTTGCCAATCTTTCAAGTAGACCCAATTTTCCGCGGACTTTTCTGAATTGCTTAGGCATGCGCTGTTTCTTTTTTGTGGAAGTTGCGTCCTCGTCCTCGTCTTCTTCGTCTTCGACATCACTCAAAGGCTGGGCGGTATTCGAAGTGTTCTTCCGAGCCCTTTTCCGAGGTGGCCTGCCTTTCTCCTGCTCACGTCCTGCCACTCCCTCTGACGGAGGCTCCTTGACGCGCTTTCGACCCGCCTTGGTAGCAGTAGCTGATGAATTCTTTGATATTGCATTAGCTCCTTTGCTAGCGACAGTTTTTTCTTGAATTCGAAGAGATCGACGACTCATTGGGTGATGCAAATTGAAGCTTAACTCAAACTCAAGCGCTCATAGCCACTTGAATATTAGCGCCCATGACAAACTTCTAACTACTATACGGTCGAATCGATTGCGAGTCCAATATGATATCGAGTCCATATCCGAATCACTTCCTACCCCATGCAGGCGCAGTCCGGATCAATCTCCTCATACAGCTCTGCGGAGCTTCAAGCTCTCAATTGCAATCCGAGACAACAGATTGACCGGCAGAAATGGCTTCGTTGAGCTTGCTCAGAGTGCTGGCCACAGCGGGGTCGGTCCTGCTCATAACAATGATATCTCTCTCGTAAATGGCTTAGAATGTTCTGATACTCACGAATTAAGGCCGCTTAGAGCAGTCAGCGCCGTCTGCAACCCATCCGCCGTCTGGTCTCGCGCATCGGCGGGAGCGGTTTGGCCTTCGATTAGCGCGGCTGCGATTGTTTTGATTCCATCCCCAGCGCTAGACAAACCAGACTGAGCTGTGGAAACGGCTGAGGTGGTGGCGGCGTCGTTTCTGAATTGTTTTTGCAGAAATTCAGGGGATTTCGAGAAAGAACCCGAAAAAGTTTCAAGTTGGTAGGACACGGTGGCGTGGATTTAAAAAATATTGTTAGTTGAGAGGGTGACCAAAAGCGAAGGAATAAAGTGGACGCGGGACACAAAACCTCACCCATTAATCTTGTTCAGCAGGTTTCCGGTCTCCGCCAAGTCGGAGACAATCTGCAGACGAGCAACGTTACATTGGACATCTCCTATTTGACGTGATTTCAAGGGGGCTGCATGGGTGAGGCAACGGTCAACAGATCGTTCATCATTGCTGTATCTTCATATGATGGACTTACCAGCATCAACGAGCAGGATGAAAACAGCCAGTAGGACGAAAAGGGCAGCAGAAATAATTCGGGCCATTGCGATCGAAAGACAGTTAACGATTGAAGAAAGCGCGATCTGAAATATGAGAGGAGACACCAGGTCAACAAAGTCGAGGGAGGTCAAAGAATTGGAAAGGGCGAAATAATAGGGACGAGGAAGGGCAAATCAAGCCGCTGAATCGAATCAAAAATAGAGAAAGAAAGACCGTGAAGGAATGATACATTCGAAGTCGTGAGCTTTATAGTATGTGCAGTGGTATCTGATGGAAGTCTCAGGTGACCGAACTTGAGTATTGAAGGGATTCCTCAGATGCAATATCACCCGCATATCATGCCAAGCTGCGGGTGCTATCATATAACGACGAACAACAAGAGGCAATGGTGGAAACCTATTCAGCGTTGCATCGTTCCCAGCCTGATAGCGACCAGCAATGAGATCTTGAAGGGCAATCTGAAAAGCCTATTCAGTAATTACTACTATGACATGTTCAATATTCAGCGGCGAACGAATTTATCAATGTCTTGTGCGACAACATACAGTGTGCTTGATACAAGACGACAGGAAGTCCCCCATGATTTTCGAATTCAAGCAATCCTATACAGTTTGTACAAAGTAGATATAACCATTGGGAAACTCTTATTATTATTATTGATTCTTCTAATCGGTGGGTGATTCTCTAAATCCCAACAGGAATTGCATGACTTGGAATGCAGCCTGTATGGATCAAAAAGTCAATGCGCGTGCAAGATGAGTAATGAGAAACACGCACAAGAGGAGAGAATTGAGGAATCCTGCGTATGAAGAGTACACGGGTAAGAGTAGGTTGATATCGAGATGAGCAAGCTACGAACATATGGCCACTCTGGACTACCTCAACAAATGTCAAGTTCCGTTCAGTATGAGAAGTTCCGAGCGAGACTCCTCCAACGATGAGACTGTCATTCGCAATGGGTGTTTGGAAACCTTGCAAGCCTCCCCAAGTCATACTGGATGTTGACGGGTCAACAATTTGTACTTGACTGTTGATCGAACTTACTTTTGAATCACGATTCTCGCTCTAGATCACAATTCATAACGTCAGTCGCTGTAGAAACGTATAGATGATTGCGAGGCGAACACACCCTTCAGCAATCAGAATGAAGTCGGCCAGTCCATGGGCAATCACAGATCTTTCACTCTTCTCAATGACATTCGGAAGAACCGTAAATGCTGGGGGAAGACTTGAATCCCCACGAGGGAAAACATCCACATTAGAACATTCAGTCCAGTCAACGTCGACTGGTGCGTGGATGGCCAATTTGACGTCCTCTCGGTCGAAGTACAACGGCGAAAGTTGAACGTCGGGGAAGGAACCACTGGAGTGCGATCAGCAACAAGAAGATCGGGGCAAGAAAAGTGACACGCACGGGAATCCAAGAACATCCCATAGAATCGGAAACACATCGAAGACTCGGTAGATGTTGAATGCCGGGTTGACGGCCAATGCTTCGTCAAAGATGGTATCCCAGACGTCACACCCGCGAGCAGCTTCCGTAGAGTCTCCAGGAAGTGGGAGCGGGCCAGCAGGAGGGAAAGTTACAAATTTGTCCACATAACCTGTGTAGTTGCACTTCTCAGCAGTAGCGTCGAGCTGGGCCATTACGGTTTCACTGGAATAGGAATGAGTATCACCTTGAGCATTGGTCGACTCGTCAGCTCACCTGAGAGCAAAGACATTTTCGTATTTGTGCACGAAATCCACTGCCGGGATTTGCTCTTGCACGACGTCCCATCCAAGCACAGCTATATTGACGATGAGAATGACACATTCGCAAAACAAGAAGAATACCTACGATCCGAGACCCAGATACCCTTGAGGTTTAAATCCACTATACCCGGATTCTCGTAGATAAAGTTCGCAACATCTGTGACTACATTTCAGGATTTGACGCTCGCCAGAGGCATGCACATTGGCTTACAGGGAACATACATCCCAGCGTACTATAATTATAATGTATAAGCAAACGCAGTAATACTAAAGCAGGAATGTATGTGGTACGTACACTTTCACCCGTCAACCAGAAATTCTTTCCCTTCAATTCAGAAAAGATGTCCAAAAACTGATTGAAAAATCCGACTAGTTGTTCTGCTAGATCATTCTCGTTCTGTAGTTCACGTTAAAATGAAAAATCAACATTGTAGATCTTGATTGGTATACCGTAATATTGGGTGTTCCCTGTGAGAAACCCGTTCCGACTGGTTGCTCGACCCACAACACGCTGGATAGATTGGTCCAACTTTGCTCGTTGACAATGGGTTGAGCAGTTCCCCAGCTCCACGAAAACGGCTTCATAAACTTTGAGTATCATAGATTGCATAATGGATGAGAATCATACTCCGTTTTCTTGCAGGATTCCTTCCAAAGAAGAACACCCGGGTCCACCATTCGTCCTGCGAACTACTATTAAATTGATGTTTCAGAAGGCAAAAATTGACGAATACCAAAATATAAGGTCATCCAGACTCCCTTCGGGACCAGGAGGGAAAAACCAGAAGAACAACTAGGAGATCCATCAATGGTGCTTTGATCGCAAATGAGTCCATTCGCACACCTTCCGAGTTTCGTCTGGAGAGGATGATATAGGCAACAATCCTGCCCAACTTGGTCCAATGTCAAAATCTACTTCAGGGAAATTCGAACCATCCACCCAAAACTCTGGAGATAGAGATAATTAGTTTAGTTTGTGATTTCTGCTTGACCTCACCAGAAGCTTTCGGATTAGAGAATGTGATGTTTTGCACGCCGGAACGTCTCTCTACATGAGGTCCAGAAGTTACCGGCGCCGCTCTTTCTTGGAAACGTTTTGCTGCTTCTTGCTGTCGAGCATGCAGCTCACTTTTTCTCATCCGACGTGCATCGGTACCCGATAGCAACGTGAGCACTAGTAGAACCACCTGAAAAACCTGAGGAAACATGGTTGCGATAACCAGGGGCCGTTGAGGGTTTCTCGCGACAACAGCTCACCATTATATAGTACTAGAGTGATACGTGGAAGATCACAGCGTCATCAGATACATAGAAGTCATTGATGGACACGCTGAAAGCCAAACACAGTCAAGGCAGTCACACGCGTTACTTCATTGATGATAAGACAGCTGGTCCACTTCTATTTCTAGGAGTTGTTGCTCCTCCGAAAGTTTAGTTTGTCCGAGAATCTTTGCAGAGTGCGATACGCAAAGTATATAGAGTGTGTATTCTCAGGCACAGGGGATGTGTCGAGAAGATACCGCAGTATACAATGCATATGGATACAGTATTCAACTGGCACACGAATCGCATGGAAATCCTGATGGTTGTTCTATATGTGGGTACTTATCAAGTACGAATACAAGTAATCACAAGTACGACTTACTTATTGTGTAAGCACACAACTTTGGACGAAGTATTCGTGGAATCGGTCATCTTCAGTCAATTCCGGATGGAAGGTGGTGAGCAGATGGCGACCTTGACGGAGCGCGACAACGGTCCGGGGATCATCTTCTGTCATGTTTTCTTCGATCAGAGAAGGTGGAAGCAGGTTGAGAGGAATGCGGGCCACGACTGTGATTGGTGATTCATCGTGGAGAGACGAGAGCTCGAGGACTACCTAATATCTGGTTCAGCCGAATGATAACCAATCAGGATGAGAGATGGCTGACTGGAGCGCGTATAAAGAAGGCTTGAAATGGTCGTGTGGATTCTTTGATACCGTTTAGCTCCAAGGGAACTTCGAAAGACTCTACCTTGTAAGAAAATTAATTATCAAGAAAGTAAACGCTGAAAAAATTCTCCGACATACCTGGGAACCCCATCCGTTCCGCGCGATTTTTATCGACATTCCACCAAGGAGTTCTTGCCCTCCTTTTTTCGCTCCAACCACAGATTGTGAAAGCAATATAGCTCCGGCGCAGGTTCCCCATACTGGCTTAGTTCTGGTAAACTCCTTTAGAGGTTCTGACAATCCAGCTAGTCGTGCCAGTAACGCGATCGTAGTGGATTCTGAAAGGAGATGTGAATACTTGATTAAACCTTGCAGAAACTGATGGCAGACCTCCTCCAGGTATTATCAGAGCATCGCACCGTGAGAGATCATCTGGAGTGCGTACAAAAACAACGTTGAGCTTCCTGTTGTTCAAATCGAGCCTATTCAGTGAGGCCTCATGCTCAGCAAAGGCACCCTGCAACGCTGATTACATAAGAGAAACTGACGATATATTCACAAGGCGAGGCTTACCAAGTATACCGATAGAAATCACCTCCATAGAAAGATTACTACGATGTCGATGAAGAAGACGAAAAAAAGCGGAGCGCCGAAATCGATTCGGATTCCGCTTTTGGTCCGGGCAAAGCTGACTATACCAAACACCTGCTATTGTATTTGATAATCATTTACATGTCTAAGTATTTTTGCTCTATGAAATTTCGAAACCCTGGACCGACATTTATAAAGTATCTATCTAACTGATATACAGTAACCAATTCTATTTGAACCTAAAATGTGATTTTAAGGTTTTGGATGCAAGACAATCAAAGATTGCGGTATGCTTCCTGCAGTTTCGAGAACATATAATCTATATGATCCTCGTTAGTACAGCTTCTAGCTATCAGACGCCAATCTCACCATTCAATGGAGAATGAGCAGGAGTGTGCCTCATAGTGGTAAGGACCTGCTGTAACTTTACATCGACAGCCTCTTCCCTTCCTGGAGCTCGAGCGACTGCTCGAAACTGGTGCTCAGATCTAAGTCTGCGGAGCTCTTCAATCAAAACTTGACCTACTGTCATCCACAATGACGGGAGAAGTGGATTTGCATGTGCTGTAGAGTCCGAACTGATATTTCCTGCTATCATATCTGTACAGGCCTCTGCCGCCGAGAGCACCTTCTCTGCAGATTCAGATGAAATATCCCTGAGCTTGCTATGCAGGGTAATGATGGCAGCCTTTGTTGTTAGGTGTGTAACAAAGGCATATGAAAAGTACTCGGATGAAGCCGGGGCATTCTGGCTCAAAGGAATTAAACTTGAGTTGAAAGAGCTCAGCAAGTTATCCAATGCAGTAAATTGAACCGAAAAAATCTCAGCTCTTTGTTGCCACATATCTGAAGGAAGAAGTAGTGCTATAAGTCCATTCATTCAAAATTGAGATGAGTCAATTTTGCATACCGGTACGATAAATTGCTGAGAGAGTAGCTGCACGGACAAGAAGTATGGAAGATTTTGCATACATGGAGATGAAAGAATTATCTCCTAACGTGAAAGTTGAATTTTGCTCGAGGAACCTGGTCACTGTCTCCCTTCCCAGAATATTAAAGGGTAAGAGACCCTAGAATGGATATCCAATGAAGCTCCGGACGTAGACCGATAAATATGAAGTCATACCTGTTCATACCCATCCATATCAAGCGGCCAAGGTGTATCAACAGTTGGCCCAAAGCTTTCTACTATGAAATTTTGAGGGGAATCAGCTGCGACAGCCCAACAATTACTCATAGTGAATGTTGTCCAAAATGCATTAATCCGTTCACCCTCAGCAATTTGATCTAGCGGAACATCTAACTGCGAAATATTGCCAAAGATATCTGATGAAGACATTCCGGGAAAACCGGGATCTGTATTCTGAGAACGAATCTTGTGCAGCTTTGCGGCAATTGTGATGGAGAGAGCGGCGTGAAGGTGATATTTACCCTCTAGAATGCGACCCGTGCTAAAGAAGTGTCCAGCAAGTAAGATCTCTGCTTGTATGGCATGCACAGTTCTATCGCGATGTGGGGACGACAGAATGTTAGCGACATCGAGGAGGGCGCGTGATAGGTAGGCTTGTTCTCTTTGTTGGACATCTCCCACATTCAATCCCGAAAGATGAAAGCCTAGAAGGTATACCGTGCTGATTAAACCCTCAGAAGGTCTTCCCGGACTCCCTTTAGGAAGCGACATAGAGTCTCGAAATCGTGGGATATGAAGAAAAAAACCCAGTTCGGTAGAATAACGAAGAAATATATCAAGGCTGCCAATCTCGAGTTCAGTGGTAAATCTGATTCACGGATTGGCTGAACGTACAATGGTTGGGACATATTTTCGTCAGTTTCCTGTTAACGCGTGAGGATGAAGACATAAAATGGTTCTGACGGTCATACCTGTAATTGGCCTGCCAACAAAGTTAATCAAAGTAAAAATGTGAGCGATAGGCTACAATCCAGTCTGCCAACTGGACACTTACCACCTGATACTCCAGTATGAAATTCATCCTCCAACAAGGGTGCTGGAGCCGACGAAGCTGCGTAGGGTTGATACAGCGTGACACCAGCATCGTCAGTCTCTTGTACAACCTCCAACTCACGGATGCGATTTTGTAAGACCTTTATATTTGCTTCTAATGCCTGTATTTCGGAACGATTTGTGGCGGTATACTCGCATACCATCTGTTCAGTGGGACTAGAAGAGCGCATACATTGTGAACATGTTGGTCGTTTGCCATCACATTTCTGTAAGAAGGAAGAAGGGGAAAGGTTAGATGATCAAATCAAATCTAACCGAGTATTCGTGAACCCACAATCTTGCGCCTCCTGAGCCGTCATTTTAATGAGAAAAATAATTCAAGAAGTGATGAACGCTGACCTGCAGTTAGAGCATGATTGTCCTCTTGCTGTGTATGGACCTCGAGGTTTAGAAGATCTTGACGCGCTTTGTTCATTGCTGACACTTGAAACAGACGACATGAATAGATAACTTGGAAGGCTTGAAGACTGTCCAGTAGATAAACGCATTAGGAGATACTTGTCCTACTGATCAAGCTCGAAAAGAACGCGTACCACAGTAACTGTTGAATTTTACGGCCATTTGGTAGCAGACTTTTATACAAGCTACCTTTGCAAAGGCTGCCGAATGAGTTTACAGTGCTGTGTCTTTCGGATTAATGTTGAGGGCATAGAGCCCAATTATTTGACGCGACATTACACGGAAATCTGAGTTGAGGGGGTTTCGAGCTGAAGTCATGATCGCTCGGAACAGGACGGGTGGTTCAGGCAATCGGGCTCGGAAAGTTCGGAACGTTCAGCTTCAAATTCTGCCACTCCCGATCCTTTTTGGGTGCTTTATCAGAAGATGGTCGAGACGAGTTTGGAAATTGACTAGTTGATTCTGAGTGTATCGTCGAAAGTCCAGCACCAACCTTGAATAGACATTGACCAAATTTGGCTAATAAGCGCTGAACGATTATACCCTCCGACCGTTCCGACCTCCAACCTCTGAAGAAAGTTAATCCATTACCGTCATCGACGGAATGAATCGTACAGATAGACATAGAGAACCCGGCTGAAAATGTTCCGTTATGGGCAGGACGAAACAGGACGAGAAAGAGAAGTGGTTTCGTATTTTCTTCCAGTAACTATTAGTGTAATCTGTACTATTCATAGCCATACGATAAATATACACATTTCCAATGAGCCAAGCCGAACAGTACAACGCATTACATACTTTGAAGGGCGTAAACACTTACTCTGCCTCTTCCGGGAACAACTCTTTTGCCACTTTATCCGCGGCGGCGTCAGCTTCGCCTAGGGGCCCATTCTCTTTGGCTTTTTCGTCGTTCAAAGCTGGTAATATCACAGGGTCCATGCCTTCCACATCTTCTTCTGGCGGTACAGGTGATGAAGTTTGAATCTGCACCTTCTCAGGCTCTTTTTCAGCATTCATTTGGAGTTTGTCATTCTTGGCTGTGTTCCCAATGTACTTTCCCTCTCCGACTGTCTCTTCCCCCTCTGCAACTTTGTTATTGTCGTGCTGTTCCATATCAGGGGACTGTGGTATGACAGAGCTGATTAGCTTCTCTTCGTCCTCTTGGGGAGCTTTTGGTGGTTGCGGAACGTTTTGGCTGCGGATATCCTTTACTGGCGCTTCTGCAAAGACGTCTCGCCCTGGCTCAGCTTTGGGAATGTAGACAGACGTGTTTTCTTCCTCTTCAGCTTTTTCGACAGATTGAATTCTTCGTGAACATTTCGTTCATAATATTATTAGATGGAGCTCACCTTGTTGCTCTTGTTGTCGCTGAGCAGCGGCTTTGTCTTCAACAACAATTTCACCACGGAAGGGATCGCTTATAGTGGTTTGAACGATGGCCTTGGATGGTGTAGGTGGTGCTGCTCCGGTATTGTATTGCGATAACTGTAATGAACCACGATCAGCAACCGAAGTTTCATAGTGAATTCTACTCACATTGTCAAGGAAATCATTACACGAGAAATCCCAATGTTTGCCCCACTTGGCCGCCTCGCAGCTTTGTTTCGTCCACGGAGTCCCATATGCCAATGGACTGAACTTTGAGAAGTTCCATATTGCGAGTATACACAATACCGCAGCGATTTGTAGTCGAATTTTGGGCCGAAGAGAAGAGGTTACGAAATCGAAAATTCCACAAGAGAGGAGGATGGCAAAGTAGAGCGCCGGGAAGTAGTGGTGCAGAAAAAGTTGACGACCCATGATCCAGAAGGGACCGTAGTGCAAGGCCCAGCCCATGAACAGGAAGCCACAGACGCCGTCATATTTTACGACAGTGGCTGCAAATGAAAAAAATGAGTGACGACTCCTTGCGTATGGGTGAACGGGGAATGGACGTACAATTGTTGAAATCTTTGAATCCTCGCTTCTCTCTCAGGATCAACAAACCACGAACACCCACATACGCCACAACAGCAAGTGTGCTCAACCACCACACCATAGGATTGCCGATAAGGTAGATCTGGCGATGGTCTTTCACCCAGAAATTCTAGAAAACGTTATGAGCTGGTCTCGGGATACCAGAAGGATTCATAATCTACTCACAATTCCTCTTCTCAATCTTGGCCAGGCATCTGGTCTTGAATCGAATAGATGCCTATCTGTCAATCCAGCATTGGTTGTCCACATAACTTGCTGCAACTCGAGAAACTTGGCAAAAAACCCAGGAAGACGATAATTCACTTTTGGGGCATCGGCGGGGACTGTTATGACGGAAAGAATTACTGAAAAATTCCAAAAGGCCAAACAAGGTCTATACTTACGATCCGGATGCATCGCCGTCTCCACAAACCACAATGAATTTGCCCGAACCGCATTCTTATTACAAGTCACCTCCTGCTGTTCGAATCCCCATTCTGGCAACTTGACCTTGTGGGAGAATAAATAGCACCCAGTCAACGCATGCCTCAGCCTAAACTTGGTCCTTAATGTCCTCAACCTTTTTACGGCCTCCCGATCTCTCCTATCTCTACTGGCGACCTCGTCAATCTCCAGAATCCAATCGTCATTCGCATCACCCTGGAACCCCGGTGCGCCATAGGCCGAGACCTCGTTTTGGAACTCAACTTCAGAGACCGGAGGACGAATATCGTGCGAGTGAAGCATTTTTTCCGTAGAAATATGGCGGAGCTTGATGCGCATTCCGGGGGTGATGTATCGGAGACCGTTGGGAGATTCTGAGATAACGGGTGGGTCGATATGTGTGGCGTTGACAATGCGCCAATCGTTATTGTGGTCTCGATGAGGATAGAGCGTGATCTGTTGCTGTTTGGAGCCACCAGGGTAAACAGAGGGATGAGAGTGCAGATATCCTCCTTGTGTATTGACGTGTCGAAAGGTCACCTCAGAACCAAGGGCGACATCTGAGAAAATGGTGAAATTCAAGCGTTACCGGGAATATGCGATACTGACCAGCAAACGTGTCTTCCATGCCCCTGCCGCCAAGTGTGTGCTGAAACTCGGAGCTCATGAATCCATCTCCCTCTCCCGAGCTGCCCAGAATCAAGAAATGAATTTGAAACATGGTCATGTAAAACAGGACGGGGATGACAATTAAACATAGCGCTCGAGCGGCAAAGTGTCTAATGAATAACTTGGGTGGAATCCGGATATCGGTTATAAGGACCCAAAGCTGATAGATCGTGCTGAATCCCACGGTGGCGATCGTGAATAGGCCAACCCATTTACAACTGACGACGGCACCGAGAGAGAGTCCGGAAAGAACGAGCCAGGTCCACCATGAGTCTGTGAAGGGCTTGTGTTTATCTTCGTTGCAAAACCCGACCCAGGAAAATATTGAGAGCGATGTAAAGAAAATGAGTGGAGAGTCAAGTAGAATATGTCGTGACTGCGTTACTAGTCCATTCTCAAATGTAATGAAGAGAGCAGCGACTAGAGAAGTAGTAGCTCGGCAGTCGAGTGCACGAAGAGTGAGGTAGGCAAGAGGAACAGTAGCAACTCCAAGAAGAGCTGGCACCATGCGCATTGCAACGTATGGAACATTTTCATACACTCTGGGCTACGTTCAGATCCTAATTCGACAGTTACTCAGTAATCACTCACTTTCCAATATCCTTGAAATCAAAATGACCGTCGTATCCGAATAGAAAAGCAGCAAGAGTGATGAGAAGTTTCGCCAGCGGGGGATGTACATCCACGAAATACTGTGTTTTGATGTATCTGCTGGCAAATTTGCCAAAGTGAACTTCATCAAAACTAGAAAGATCATGAGTAAGTGTCAGCTCCAGAACGATATCGGCTCACACGACACTATTCGGTCTCGAAATTCTATAAAGCCTGACCGCTGCTGCCACTAGGACTAGACCAATTAACAGCTTTACTTCGCCAGAAGTTATACTGAGCCCCCCAGAGGAAATGTTAGATTTGAGTCTCCCAGGCGCAAAGCCCTTAGAGGCTGCCTCTCTTCGAGCATCTGCATCCAAATGGTCTTGCCGAGGATGCGGGAATCGTACTGCTGTTAATGGCACTGCTGTCGACGGAGGGTAACCAGCTCCTGGAGGCGGTGAAGCTGGCCGGCGCGCTCGAAAGTTACCAGACATCAGCCTGTGTCAATGTAAGTAGGTCGTGAAGAAAGTTTGAGGCCAGTAAAAGAATTTGGAAGAAGATTAATGGAAGAAGGAGGGACGATGCGGGTTAGTTCTGAAGATCTGAACTTCTGAACTGGAAAAGACGTGCAAGCTGCGCAGCCGGCCCGGAGCGCCCAGGACAATTGGCGCCGGATTATTTAGAACAGCTTTGCTAGCTACTACATAGTACATGTAATTCCTTTCCCATGTCTGAAGGCGAAGAACAAGTATTATACAAGAAACGTCGCCTGCAAAATTCATGCGACCACTGTAAAATCAGGAAACAGCGATGTAAATTGCTTCCAACCCGACGTCGACGTCCGCTCATTTATTATCTCCAGGTGATAGCGCCAGTAGACCCGGTAACATTTGTTCTTCATGTATTGCATTCCAAGTTGAATGTACCCATCTCGCTGCTTCGGCCAGAAAGGTAAGTGGGCTTGGAACGCGAGAATCTCCCATGGCTTACTCTTATGTAGAAGCGCGGTCCACCAAAGGGGTGAGTACCTGTACAGAACATCTTCCGACTCATGTGTACATAACTTTTCGCCCACAACTCTAGTACGCCCCGAGGCCAACGATCGGCAAAATCTGTAGTCAGCTCCATCCTCTCAGGTACATACCAACCTCCGACTGAACCTGCAGCAATCAACAAGCTCCTCTTCCACCTCGCGGAACACATTCAAACCCTAGATGAAGAAATTTCCGCACTTCGCCTGCGGCTCAGTCAACTGACGACTAGCACCTCCTCCACTCTTTCGGTATTTTCTCCTACACAAGATTCCACCAGTCGGTTTTCCCCTGAAGAAACTCTTCTTGCTGTCAACCGACTACAACTTGTCTCCAATCCACCTCCAGGATCATATTTAGACTCAGACGTCCATGCCATTGAAGGACTCAGTGAACACCTCCAACGTCTTACATTTGCAAACGCAAAGGATCGTCATTTCGGCGGATCCAGCAGTCTTATGTTGGTCAAAACTGCTATAGACATCAAGAACGAGTATTCAAACTCTTCCATTTCATCGTCAAATGAGGATTCTTCAAAAGAACAAAACGACTACGAAGGTGTAGATTCAGATTACAAACGACCAGAGTTCTGGATTATACATCCGGTAGGTCTTTCTGGGAATGAATGCTTTGACATTCGTATCAACCTACTTACTCCCTCTTCAGTGGCAAAATCTTCCTGAAGATGATACACCACCTTTTGTTTTTCCTGATGCGGACCTTATCAACTCTCTTGCTTCTTTGTATTTTACTCACGTAAACGCCTACTTCCCAATCCTCCATGAACCCTTGTTTCTCCGGTCTATATCTCTAGATCTTCATCGTGAGGATAGGAATTTTGGTGCGCTCGTGCTGGCAGTGTGTTCATTGGGCGCTAGATTTTCTCATGATGAGAGGATCTATGAGGACGGGGTTAATCAAAGTCATGAAATGGGCTCAACTCATGGTGCTAGTGAACAGTCGATCGGATGGAAATGGATTCGACAGATTCAACCAGTGAGACGAACGTTCACAGCACCTCCAAGTCTGTATGAAATACAATTATATCAGGTATATCACTTAGGCCAATCGTCCTTCTTATCTCCGAAGTCTTACTCTCCATCTTTTAGATTTATGTCTTCTTTATGCAATCAAGTTCCACCCCTGAAATATGTTGGATCCTTGTTTCTATTGGAGTGCGTTTCGCTCAAGATGTCGGTGCTCATCGGAAAAAACAACATGATGCAAAACCCACAGTAGAGAGTGAACTATGGAAACGCGCTTTCTGGATGCTATATGTAATGGATATTTTTACGAGCGCGTTTTTGGGAAGACCAAGAAGTATTGGGATAGAAGAGTGCGTGCTGGGAGTCGACCGTCTAAGGACATCCTGAACTTACTGTGTATATAGTTTTGACATAGATCTTCCAATAGACTGCGACGATGAATATTGGGAAAACCCGGATAATCCTGACCAAGCATTTCAACAACCTCCTGGAAAACCGTCTCGAGTATCATATGTAGTACGTTTGATCAAACTAATGGATATACTTGGTCTGGCGATGCGTACAATTGTGGGTTCATTTCGTGGCTACTGTATGCCCGATTTTACTCAAGTTGTTCGTGATTTAGTACTCGATACGGAGGTCAGATATGTGGACAACAATGGGACTGACAGCGCTTCAATGGAACGAGAAGACTGTGGCAGAACTGGATTCATCGTTGAACAAATGGATCGATGAGCTTCCCCAACATCGTAAGCATATCTTAGCGACATCAATCCAACATAATAATCAATATCCCCGACTCAGTTCGTTGGGACCCCAGCAGAGAAGATTCTGAACATTTTCGCCAATCAGTCATGCTATACACAACATACTAGTGAGTCCTCACTGCTTACATTGATATCTCTGTCTCATACGCAATGTTTCAGTTGGGTGCAAATACAAATTCACAGACCTTTTATTGCTCGTCCAGGGGAGGACTCAGTCCTCAGTTTTCCTTCACTAGCTATATGTGCCAATGCGGCGAGGTCGTGCTGTCACGTTATGGAGGTTCAACGAAGACGGAATGCAGGACTTCTTGCCATGCCAAATCTCTTGGTGCGGTCTGTCATTGATATCGTTATTGGCATATTCATACAACAATACACTAGATGGCGTTATTCAATGCCTCGATAGTGCTGTTAGTCAATGTTTGGCGGGGACGTAGGTTGAGAGGGACAGGAAGAGACGTGAGGAAAGAGCTGGTGGATGTTTATCGATGCATCGATTTATTAAGTCTGCATGAAAATCGGTTGGTACATAGAAGCTTGCCATATTCCAACTCTAATGATGCTTGCTTATTAGATGGCAGCAAGCAGGCCGTTTCCAGTGTGTATCTTATTTATGATCGCCGAACAGGGCGCTTGATCTAATAATGGCTCGCACAGTGACATCCTGAGAGAGATTATAGCTATCAGTCATTTTCACGACGACCAGTGTCCTCCAGACACAGGGCCGTGTTCGATGAAACGATCTCTGGAAGCTGCTTCAGACGATACAACAGAAGACAGTTCCAGTGTCCGGGCTCGTGGTAGCAACACCCCAGAGGAGTACTGTGACCGCCAAATCTCAAGCGACCACAACTCAATGGATACAGCAACATTACCTCGCTGGATGCAATCTCCACCATTCCAGTCATCCGGCACGCATAATGACACCGATTTTGAAAGCATGTCCTTGTTGCCTACACATAGTTCAGAACTCGGGAGCCTACCCATATACGAATCCTTTACTGATTGGTCTATGGATGAGCAATGGTCCTTCGACGCTGGTACTTCATCGTCCAACTCTCAACAAACACGGTCAAATGCTGATCCTCATATCCACGCATCGATGACAATGCAAACCCAATCTGCAACCTCTCTATTGCACAATCGATCCTCAACTTACTCGCCCACATTGGTGTTCGATAGCCTGAATACAACCTCTTTAGGTACGTTTATTACTTAAATCCTCAATGAGTAAACAGCAACTGCTAGATGTTTCCAGAAATTGAAAGCCGTGCCACTTTTACCGCTCCTTTATTCTCACCGGCAGGTGGCTCTGCGATTTCTCAAGATGTTACAGGGACTGTATCAGACAACGCCGACGTACTTAGAAATCAAGATACAAATCCGAACGATCCCGGGTACGTATATTGTCCATTAGCAGTTGCGTCTTTAATCTGATGGGAGATCTCAGCTGGGATGATTGGGGTGCATATATGGCCAATGTCGATGAGGTACTGCAAAGTATGAACCCTCGCTTATAAAGCCAGGTCAAAAATGCGAGCCGTGGCTCCGTTGGACTTTTACTAAACTTTTACCATTAAGGCTTGCAATGTGTGGCCAGATAGCTGGCTAACCGGTTTGGGAGTTGTAGGACCTCGCAGGAGAATTTAAGACGAGATCCTGAAAAACCCTCAATAAACCTATGTAAACGTTCCATAGTTATAGTATTAATATGCGTAGTTTTACACCCACAGTGACTCACTCTTGCTTCAAAATTGACACCGCCAACTTGGTAATTCTACCCTCTGGGAAGCATCCACTTTCACCTGACTTTCACCGCCCAGGGGTAGAGTATATCCCTTTGTGGATATCCAATCGCTTAACACAAATGGAAAAGACAAGTGTCCCAGGATCTTTTCACCATTGGAACCACGTCGATTTTACCTGTCTACCTCACGAGAGGTTGTCGTGTGATCATATCGTTGTCTTTGAAATAGAGAAAGAAATCAATCCAGGTAGGTCACGAAGAGGACACCCGGCTCCTATCCGGACTCCTACTTTGAACAGCTTGGAACACCGTCCCATATACTAACCTCTTATCTTCTTGCTCGCTCGAGTTCACCACCGGACGAAAAAAACTTTTCGGACCGGTAAGTACATGTGCGTTACGGGATCAATGCGGCACAAGCGTATCTTGTACAAGAACTATTTATAAAAATTGCGAGTTGCAGCGTGCGTTCTTTCCCCCTTTGCTCATCTTTCCCTCCTTCGTCGTAGACTAGTCGAAGGTCTTCGCTTCTGAGCTTATAAAAATGGCTGGAAATAATGGCAACCTCAAGGCATCCAACGATGATTTCCGCGAGCAGAGCCTCAGTCATTCTGAGAAGATCGGAGATGTGGACTCGACGGCAAACACCAAATCTCAGCTCGAGGAAGAGGATATCTCGGACAAACATGATTCCCAAACCCATAGCAAGAATGAAAATACCGGTAAGAGTATTGAATTAGACGCCGGTGATCTCAAGGTCCGAATTCGGGGTCGATGGTGGCAATTCTGGTATGTACTATAAGTATGTTCTGCATGAGCCACACTAGTGACATAGGCGCGGTGCAAGGCTTCCGAAAAACCTCCCTCCACCTCCTCCCGAAACTTTGAATGATGTACCTGTATGTTTTTGATCGAGGTATACGGATATTTCGTAGACAATATCAACGCTACTTGTTCTACCTAGGTAATTCCTGTTAGCACCGCTTCTATATTCTCCCAATGGACCTTTACTTGGATTAATCCTATCATGGTACGTGACGTTTAATTGATTTAGTGGCGTTGTCAAAGGCTCACAAAAACTCAAGGTCCTGGGTTATCAGAGAACCCTTCAAGCCTCTGATCTGTGGAAGATGGACCACAGCCAAGAGTCAGGTTATCTTTCGGAACAATTAGATGCTGCCTGGGCGCGTAGAGCTGAAGCAGCCAACGAGTGGAATATCAAACTCACATCTGGGGAATTGAAGCCGGGAATCCTCAAGCGCATTTTATGGCAAATCCAGGCTACCTTGAAGCTAGGTTCTACTGTAAAGGGAAGTAGACGGGAACGCATAGAGGAACTGGAAATACAATGGAGGGAGATTGATGGAAGAAAGGAACCTAGTCTGGCTTGGAGTGTGAACGACGTGTTCGGAAACATGTTTTGGATTGCTGGTATATACAAGGTCAATGCGACATATCTTATGACTGCACTGTCTGAATATTTTGCTAGGTATTCAGTGATACTGGTCAAATGATGAGTCCTTTGCTTGCAAAGGTAAATATTTCTTGTTATGTACATCTGTATTCTTTCCCAACCGCAATCTTCTCAGGCTATCATCAATTTTGCAGAGGAGCGTACATCTGCAAAGGAAAATGGTTCTCTTACACCTAATGTAGGTCGTGGTATAGGTATGGCAATAGGTCTCGGCGTCATCGTCGTCTTTGCGAGCCTCACGCAGCATCAAGTATGTTTGTTACAATCAATAATGTCGTGATCATGATCATAATGTCATTAACTGCAGTTTTTCTGGCGTTCAATGATTACTGGAGTTCTTACGCGAGGAGCTCTGATTAATTCCATCTACAAGCGGAGTGTCGTTCTTAATGCAAAATCTCGAGTCAAGCATCCCAATGCTAACTTGATTAATCACATTTCGACCGATGTGCGTGGTTTTGCCCATGACTTTCATTGGCCTCATGTAACGCTATGTGTACATTGATAGGTCAGCCGAATAGACGCTGCAGCCCAGTGGTTCGTGAGTAAACATACGGATTTTTTCTTGTTCAAAGTTGATTAAACCTCAAAATCAGCATTGCGGTATGTTGCGGATATCCCACTAGTAACGCGATCGATCCTTTGCCAACGGTTTACATTTTTTCTCGTAGGCTAGACTGCTCCCATACAGGTCTTAGTTTGTTTAATCATCCTGCTTGTTCAGGTTCGTCTTTCTTGAGGGATCGGCGGCATAGCTCCATATTTTACATAGCTTGGACCATCAGCTTTGGCGGGGTTCGCGCTGTTCCCTATTGCGGCTCCACTTCAAGAACGAATCATGGCCCATAGGCTCAAAACCCGCAAGACCACGAATAGATTCACCGAGCAGAGGGCGAAGTTACTTGCGGAGAGTCTAGGTATGTCTGCAGGAATGAGAGAATGACACATTGTTATACATTACAGTATTATAGGTGTGATGCGCGTAGTTAAATATTTCTCATACGAAGGACCATTTTTAGACCGTGAGTGCATTCACATTGTTACTATTTCATCCAACTTCACTGAACCCTCAGGAATAACTGGAATGAGACGTAATGAACTGCAGGGAGTGAGATGGATGAATCATATGCAATCAGTCAAGTAAGAATCATAGAGTGCTTTTGTTATATACTTATCGAGCTCATGCACAACGTTAAAGCGTTGCCTTCGCTTATTCTGTCCCGGTGTTGGCTGCGACGCTTTCATTTGTCACATACGCGCATACTTCTGGGGGACAATTCAACGCCGCCGTCATATTTTCCTCCCTGAGCTTGTTTCAGGCAAGTCTAGTTATTTTCCTCGAAGTAGTGAGTCGACTTTAACAGAAGATACGCTTTTCCCTTGAAGCTTCTCCGTCAGCCAATGATGTTTCTTCCGCGTGCTATGTCAGTAACAACAGACGCCCAGAATGCTTTTTCGCGGCTCTCCAAACTGTTCCACGCAGAGATACTCCACGACATACCTTTCGTCATAGACCATGGACAAGATTTGGCATTAGATGTAACAGATGCTAGTTTCGAGTGGGAGGTTATCGCTACCCCTGATGCGAATGACGAAGACACTGAAGATTCCAAGAAAGCATCTTTGCAAAGAGAATTTTTGAGTAGTGCAGATCCTTTTCGAGTACGGGGGGTCGATATGAAGGTTCAACGGGGTTGTCTTGTCGCCATTGTTGGACGAGTTGGAAGTGGAAAGGTCAGTTTCAACGCATCCTTCGACTCAAAGTAACAGGAATGCTCAATTGAGTTGTCGTTTATAGTCAAGTTTACTTCAGGGCCTTGTTGGAGAAATGAGAAAGACATCAGGCGACTTCTCGTTTGGTGGCCGTGTAGCATACTGCCCTCAGACTGCGTGGATCCAGAATGCTTCCCTGGTTAGTAACTTTTCACTTGTCATTAAAGCCAACCACTGATTTTTTAAACCAGAGAGACAATATCCTGTTCGGACAACCGTTTGAAGAGGTAAAATACTGGAGGGCTCTAAAACGTTCTTGTTTGATCCCAGACCTGCAAATGCTACCCGATGGCGATCTTACAGAAGTAAGTTGAGTTTTACCCTAAAAAGTGCGAGGCCAAATTTTCTCCTACAAGATTGGAGAGAAAGGTATAAACCTTAGCGGCGGTCAAAGACAACGAGTATGTAGCAGTCTATGCCTTGCTTATACTTCCGAGTGAAACTGAGTCTTGAATACAGGTCAACATCGCTCGTGCTCTGTATTACAACGCGGACGTGATTTTGTTCGATGACCCTCTCTCTGCTGGTATATTCATGGCTCACTTTGTCTAACCAAGCTCCTGATTGAAACTTTTCCCAGTCGATGCTCACGTTGGGAGAAGCCTATTTCATGGTGCCATCCATCCCCTGGTAAAAGAGGGCAAGACTGTGATCCTCGTTACACATGCCCTACATTTTCTCTCCAACTGTGACTACATCTACACAATGGACGCAGGAAAAATAGCAGAACACGGATCGTATGTAAATCTTATTTCTTGCAACGGGGAGTTCGCGCGTCTCGATAAGGAGTTTGGCGGTGAACTTGCTCCTGAAACCCGGACACAATTAGTCAATGCAGCTGCAGTGGAGGCGATGCAATCAAAGGCTAATCGCGTTGAACGCCAAGGTGCTGGGGTGGGGAGACTGGAAGGAAAGCTTATAGTCAAGGAAAGGCGTACCACGGGCTCCTTGTCATGGGCTGGTACGTTCCAATAACCCGCCTTGAAGTTTCAAGTCATGAGCAACTGCGCTTATTCACAGTTTATAAAACCTATCTAATCGCGGGAATGGGATGGTTCACTATACCCTCAATCGCATTGTCTATCTTATTGATGCAAGGGAGTCAGATTGTTAATTCGTATACTCTGGTATGGTGGGAGGGAAAGTGAGTAGTTTCTATGCACAAGATGTTAACTATGCCCTGCTAAATGTCTTTAATAGTCAGTTTGGATGGTCATTTCCCTTGTACGAGTTGCTCTATGCTGTTCTTGGGATCTTCCAAGCAATGTTCACAGTTGTTCTGTGAGCATCCCATCCCATCCAGTTAAATTTTTCTTCTTATCTTCCTTTTCAGCGGTCTTGCTATCGACATGATGTCTACTTTTGCTTCCAAAAACCTTCACAACGACGGCACGCGGGCTGTCATGTACGCGCCAATGTCATTTTTCGACACTACAGTAAGCTGGCTAGTCCTAACGTGAGGGATCTACGGCTAACCTGAGAAAAATCTTCCTCAGCCGATGGGAAGGGTACAAAGCGTTTTTGGAAAGGACGTAGACAGTACGTTTTGGATTTAGCAGTCAAAGTTGTTCTGATTCACATTTATCACTAGACCTGGATATTCAACTCCCTAGTAAGCTTCATTTTAAGAATACTGTATTCTCGATCTGGACATCCGTGAAACGTCAACCCAGCTTCTATGAAAATGAGTAAGTCTTATCTATTCAACCTTTAATTCACAACTAGCTCACCGCTCTTTCAGCTGTACTCCTTATGGCCAACGTTGTTGGGTCAGTGATCATCATTTCCATCCTTGAGCCTTTCTTTCGTAAGAGCTTTCCTTGAAATGTGAACGTGAATGTCGATCACTGAAAATCTTTATCATCAGTCATTGCAGTTTTTGTCATTGCGTTCGGATACCAGTACTTTGCCTCCTTTTACAGAGCGAGCGCCAGAGAAGTGAAGAGACTCGATGCTATGCTTCGTTCCCTCCTATATTCTCACTTTTCCGAGTCCCTAACAGGTATGCCAATGAAAATCATCGTAGGTGTTGTTGACTGGCTTTCTACGATCCAGGATTGCCCACCATTCGAAGCTACGGAGAGATCCCCCGGTTTGTCCGAGATAACAAGTTTTATATAGACCTGGAAAATCGTGCTTTGTTTCTTACAGTCACAAATCAAAGGTTTGCAAAGTCTTATATCTCCAATACGGTATTGAATTTGTATCTTTATTGCATTTCTAGGTGGCTTGCGGTGCGCCTTGATGCCCTGGGAGCATTTCTCGTGTTCTTTGTATGGTTGGCTTATATTGTGTCGCTTCTACCATCTCACGCATCGACCAGATTGCAATATTTTCTGTGATTGGAGTCGGTGGTATAAATGCCGCTGAGATTGGATTGGTCTTGACCTACGCCAGTGCGCATACAACTCTGTCACTAAGTGACTCCGCTGATTCATTCCAGCCCAACTCACACAATTGCTTGGGAGGATGACCAGGCAATCAGCCGAACTTGAGGTTGTGCACTTCTCTGTTTCTAATAAACAAGCCGCTTAAGAACCTTCTTCAGAACTACATGAACTCTGTCGAACGCAGTGAGTCCTGTTGTGATATATTGGTCATACAAGTACCAATTGTGCGCGTAAATCAGTTGCACATTATAGTCACGCCGGTTATATCGACCAAGAAGCTCCGCACGAGATTCCGAACCATAAACCTCCTCAGGAATGGCCTGATCGGGGAGCTATTCGGTTCAACGACGTATGCATGAGCTACAGGCCTGGGCTTCCGAATGTCCTTCATAATGTCAACTTGTCTATCGATGCTGGCGAAAAGATTGGCATTGTCGGTCGCACAGGTATGTTGGGGACTCTATATCTGAGAGATGGCTTCGACTTACACACGGACAGGCGCTGGAAAATCTTCGCTTACTTTGTGCTTGCTCCGGATTGTGGAGTTCTCTGGACTGATCAAAATAGACGAGTACGTTTGCTTTCAGGTTGTCTCTCCGAAAAGTTACTTATTTCGAATACGCCATAGCGTCAATATCTCTGAGATTGGCTTGAAAGATTTGCGCACCAAAATTGCCATTATACCACAAGATGTGTGTGACGGAGCTTTCCTTGAAAACATCAAGATAGCTGACTCTATGTTCAACCCAGCCCATATTGTTTAGCGGTAAGCCAAGCGCAAGTAAGATGTAGAGCCTCGAAATGACTGCTTTGTATTATAGGGACGGTCAGGTCAACCTTAGATCCTTTTTCCGTTTATGACGACGTACGCCTTTGGGATGCATTACGACGATCGTTCCTCATAGAGGACCGACAATCAGACGATTCGGCGACGGATATTGATGAAAGTAGTAATGGCTATATTACGCTCGATACCGTCATTGAGCCGGAAGGAACGAATCTCAGTCTCGGTCAAAGGTCTCTACTGAGTCTTGCCAGAGCTCTAGTGAAGGATTCGCGAGTCGTGATTCTTGACGAGGCAACGTCCGTGCTTTACTCGATAGTCTATTTGTACCTGATCAATAACTTATCCAGCGCGTCAGTGGATCTACAAACTGACAAGAGGATACAAGACACAATTCGGTCTGAGTTCCAGGACCGCACCTTGTTGTGTATAGCTCGTAAGTTTTCCAGTTCCACCATGCTTGATGTAGCTAAGATATAACGCTTAGATCGACTTCGGACTATTATTGGGTACGACCGGATCCTTGTCATGGATGCTGGCCGTGTTGTCGTATGTTCTCCATTTCACTGCGATTCGCGAGGATTGTGATTCACATGCTCTTTCTGCTCCACAGGAATTCGATTCGCCTCTCGCCCTTTTCCAGAGAGATGACAGTATATTTCGCGGTTTGTGCAATAGGAGTAACATATCGATGTCGGATATCGAGAAATCATGCGCTTCCTGAAATTCCCGGTTGTATACGATATTACGATTAAAGATAGAGAGTATAGTTGTTTGAAGTAATAAAAAAGAGAAACAAAAGTAAACCAAGAAAGTCCGACAAGCCGACACGGCCGACAACGCTCAGCGCTTAGCGGTTCTATTCTTACCTATTCTTACCCACCACCGTAACACAACAACTCATTAAACAGATTGAATCAGGCTTTTGGGTCTACTGCTCTCATCTAAACATGAGCACCGAACCTTGTTCAAAGTACACGATGATCCCCAGTACTTTTGTTTCAGTTACTTACTCAGTTTCTTTTTCAGACTACGACGAGTCTACGACTCGTTGCCCCCAGAAGCTCAGAAAATTTTGGTAGATAAACACCTGAGTAAACTTTTGAAACTTTTACCGAAAGAGAAGGCGAAGAATGGTCAGTAAAAGAACAAGTATATATCTATAACGGCGAAAGATCTGACGTTGTGAATTTCAGTCGTGTCCGCGGCCACTCGACTACAGACTAAATATTGCCATATTCCCAATCTCGATTTGAAGGGCAAGAAGAAAGAGATACGCTTGCTCTTGAACGACTTACGACGCGACAGTAAACGCGCCTTTCTCAAAGAACAGTCCAATCGCGTGGAAATCTTGTCGGAGATCGTTGAAAGCTTGACTAGCTGGATCGCGGATATATGGAAGCTGGTGTATGAGCACAAAGTCTTCTTTTCTCTGGCGCATTCAGCCTTGCTTTATGTTTGTGAGGTGATCGTCGAACTAGGTTGCACCGGAGGGTACGTATCTACTTCTTTTAGTGTTTCACGATAAGCTGACGTTGAGCTGTAGATGCAAATGTGCTATGGACTCCATACCCGTATATCTGAGTATCAAAAGTAGCTCAGGAAAGCTAATAAAACGATTCTCACATCCAAATATCCAGCATATGGACAGAATGCTACTCTGGGTTTGGAGAGAACTTTTTGTATCAATGTTGGCAGCTGGTGGTCGCCAAGCTAGGAAAAAGATATTAGAGATGCTTGTGGATATTGAAGACAGTCTCGGATGGGAGTCTTTAACAAAGATAATACATGGTGGCAAGAAAGGTGACTTGCTTCGCATGGGATTCACCACCACAACTAATTCATTCCAGTCGATTATGATGATGATGATGATGACGATGATTACTTTTGGGACTCAACGGGCTCAGACGATGAATCAGAGGAAGACGATTTTGGAGATTCCTGTGACGAAGACGGGGGTAGATGTACCTGCGAGCTTCATGCTCGTCATTGGCCTTCCGCAATCAATGATCAACGCATTCATGTTCGGGAACTCGTAGTGGAACGTCTCTGTAACCTGTTCGAGTTAGAACCTTCCCCTGCTCTCTATCTCGCTATACTTGCTGTTAGTGATCAACCGGGCAAAACAACTGCGGAGCTCATGAAAACTGTATCTCGTATTGCAACGAATTCATCCTCCACCTTTGCCGCAGCCCTTGCTATCTATGCCATAGAATGCGAGGCGCTGAAAATTAGCAAACTCCTCGACACGCACTCTCACCTTCTCCGGTCTCAAGACGTGAAACCTTACCAGGCAGCCGTCATAGTGTTGATCCAAGAAACTAAATACCGATCACGCGCTATCAAAATCATAGAGAAAGAGCTCCAAGAAACTGTTCATTCCCTCCGACTCCTCGTTCAATCTTCCTTTTGTGGCTTGAAAGTTGAATCCAACAAGACAGAACTTCGACGGATCCTCAAACTTCAGATGGCCTCTCAACCTCGTATTGACCGAGTCAACAACTGGGTCGACGCTGTGATCACACCGTCGTCGGCTCTCATTCATCCTGTGGCATTTGCAGCTGCAATGGTGATGGGCTTTCCTCCAGGGCTCGAAGATGGCGACGACAATGACGTGATGAGCTACCTGGACCTAGATCCTGATGATCCTGACTTGGAAGACTTGCGGGAGGAGTTTAGGCCACAGTTGAGGGACCGATTCGACGGTTGGGTAAGTATTGCTTTAGGATTCACAGGAGGTCAAACTTTGTTGTCCAAACTGTATATTAAGATGGCGGAGGAAATGCCATTCCTCTCCACCGCGGATGTAACTCAAGAAATGCTTAATCGGTATGTCCTTTCAATCCTATCTGGCGGCCTTATTATTATCCTCCTTCGACTTCTTTTCGCCCTCATATACTGTCTTTTAACTGATTGATGTCTTAGCCTTGCTGAGCGTCCCACAAAAGAATATGTCCTGGATGCACTTGAGGGATTGAGCGAGTTCGCCAAAATGCAGCGCAAGAAGAAGGCTGTACGACAATCTAAAAAACGAGAAGGGGTTGCATCGAAAAATACTTCGAGCTCAAACTCGCCTGCACCACAGCTAGGTTCTACCTCCAGTTCTAGTCCTAGATCGATCCCTTCGTTCTCGGTCTCGTTCTCACCGCCGCCGACCTTTCCTCCTACTGGTACATATGGCGGATTGGATGACGTTGACTGAAGCTATTTGCTCTGAAGTAAGTGCAACAGACAATTGTCCTCATTCATTATACGCTTGCATAACCATTACCAACCGTTAGTGGTTTACCTACATACGCTGACCACTTTGTTTTTTCCCTGCATACATAACATCAATATTCTGTACTAAAGTCACAGTCCAATTTCTCCTAATGTTTTTGCGTTCGCAAGTCTCGTGCATATGCTATCTGTTCTCCTAGTCACAGTTATACGTCCATAAATTACTGACCCGATTGTACACACTCTCATGCCAACCTTCCTACTTAGTGTCTGGACCTGGTCTGGACCCCACATCTGGTTCAAAGTCATTCCAAAGTACCAACGACGATCATGCCCATATTCGATCAGCAACTGTTCGACGCTTTTCATTCCTTACTTGCCATAAACATTTGACATCCACATCTCAGAAGTTCTACTGTGTAGATTCGGGCCCGGGTCCGGCTCGGGCGTTCGTTAGTCTCATTTTAAGCGCCACCGAAGCTGGTCATTTATCAAGCAGCGACAATCACTGTCGGCTGCGGGGCCAAAAGAAGTACGGAGAAGTACTACGCTTTGTCTAATATTCGCTATCCTCTCTTTACTCAAGTCACTTGTGACTTTACCTTTCTCGCTGAAGTCTCCGTAGCGATGACCGAACCGGATCATCGAAAGGGGCATCATGATATTTCCATATGATCTTTCTCGACTGAATCATGTATTCAATTTATCGCTTCGAGCAAGTTTTTGACTGACACCACTACCACCAACACATTACTATCCATCCATCTATATACAACCTATTCTAACCTTCATTTCACAAATCTATGCTTGTCACTACTAGTCTCTCCTACGCTCTCTCGTTGGCTCTCGTTTCTAAATATTTCCAGACAATCTCCGCAAATTCCTCGGACTCGCCATTCAACCCCAGGGACTACGCCAAACGCACAACAAACTGCAAAGCAGTGAAGCGGGATGCTAACAATCAGCTCGTTGATATTACCTTGAGCGAGTTCCTCAACATTTGATCACTGGTCTCCGCTAATGATCATAATAGGCTACGTCGACATCAACCCATCCGCCAACACGACTCTGGTTATGCTGCATGGCTGGCCAAGTTTATGGAGCACCTGGAGCAATCAAATACAAGAGTTCAAAGTAAGAATGGATTGGTATTTGTCGGGTCGCGAATTGAAACTCGCATAGCACGACTACCATCTGATCATCCCGGACCTGCGTGGCTTTGGTCCTTCAACACATCCTGATGATGTGAAGGGCTCGGGAACGTTGTACGACCTCGTCGGAGACTTGCAGTGTATTATTAAGGATACCAAAGTGGAATCGGTTGTCTGTGTTGGGTTCGTTCAACTCTCTCTCTTCGTTCTCGCTCAATCGGCTGATGCATGATCTTCTTTACAGACACGACTGGGGCACAGCAATTTGCTATGAGGCAGCGCGATCTCGTCCGGACATCATCACGGGCGTAATAGGCGCCGTCGTTCCCGTACGTGTCTTCCTCTTTGGCGCATAAGATCTACAGCTTGCTAAAGTCTAGAATCTTCCCTTCTCTTGAACTCAGTATATACCCTCCGCAGGCGCATATGTCCCTATCAAACACCTAACATCCGCGATACCCAAACTCACATATCAACTTTTCTTTGATGGAAAGACAGCGGAAGCTGTCGAAGAGCTCAACAAGGATATGCGCCGCACAGTGCGCGCGACACTTCGAACCAAGGACAGCCCCCCTCCAGATGACTATTTGACAAGTCCCTACTCGTTTCTGGACGCCTGGGGCCATGTAGAGGAGGTATGTCTCTACCGACTACATCTTATCATGTACGGCGAAGAAGTTCATTTTGATTTTAGATTCCGCCAGTCCCCTTCTTCACTCCTGAGGAGGAAGATTACTTCGTTGAGCAGTATCAATTACAGGGCTTCAAAAATAGTACGCTTTCTGCCCTGGTTTCATGTCTTCTAATTTCATACATTCCTCAGCTCTTCAATTTTACACGGATGAAGTGAGTGTCTGCACGTTAACGTCAAAGTCAATCTACGCTAATCACTTCCCTTGACGAATTAATTAGAACCGATACGCTTCATGGAAATTTGCTCATGAACAAGGAAATCACACCATCCCTCAGCCTGTTTTGGCTATTTTACCTACTGACGTCCGTCCCCGTTTACTATCATCTGACTCTTCAACTGACAATTTCGGGAACATTTTGACGCGTAGGATCCAGTGGCGGATTGGGTTTTAGCCAGTCGACTGCTCCATTCCGAAGATTTCTTGCCGAATTTAACCACAGAGGTGGGTGGATTGGTTTTCTATCTGCGCCGCGTTTCTAACGCGACCCTCCCGTCAAACCAGCTACTCTCCGGTGCTCACTGGGTACATCTGGAAAACCCTCGACGATTCAACAAGGCGATGCGGACGTGGCTCAATAGGTATTTCCCTAGTCAATCAGGTGCAGAAACCCTTGTTGTAGATGATAATTACGCTGGTCACGTCGAGGGTGAGCTTTGAACAGTAGACGAAACATGCAAGGGAACTGTAATATCTCAATGTGAATACAAGGACTGTATGTAGGTTTAAACTACTTGGGGATTGAAATGATTATAGTAGACATGCAAATTATGAGCTCTGTGCTGATGATTCCCATATTGAGTAGATTAAGTACCAGGATGTTGCAACTCGCGATACTGCTATAATAAATGAGATTCTCCAAGAGCTGGCAGTCCGTTTTGATTGTTCACTCGCAGTACCTACGTTCGCCGAAATCACCCAGACCAGGGATAATATAGGCTTTCTCGTTCAAACCCTGATCAATCCATCCTGTGATGACCTTGAGACGAGGGAATTTTCCAGAGAATGTTTTCAGCCCTTCAGGAGAAGAGATCTATTTTGGATTAAGTTGTATGTGACTAGATGTGTCTGAAGAGGTACGACGTACAAGGTTAATAAAGATGATACGGTCCTCTGGGACACCATTTTCCATGAGTACGTCGACTGCTTTGATAGCTGAACCACCAGTTGCTACCTCCGAAATCGGTCACATAGAAAAAGAACACAAGTCGCGTAACATACCTAACATGGGATCGAGAAGCAACACGTAGCGCTTAGCGATGTCTTGAGGAAATTTTGAGTAGAAGAGCTTTGGCTGCATGGTCTCCTCGTCCTGGATGAATGGAAAAAAAGATGTATGGGCTATAGCACATGGATAATAAATGTATATATCAGCATACCCTTTGAATTAGGATCTTTCCGATACGAACACTACGACAGACTTCGCGTAAGCCCGCTTCCATGGCCTGGCGAGAAAAACGTGTGTCGGTTAGAATTTTGAAGATGTAAACTCCTTGAAGGGAAGAAAATTCACCTCCCCAGCTCGTAGGATCGACACTCCACATATCTTTCCCTCGAAGCCAACACCATCGTAAGTAGACCCCTAAATAAGACTTAGTTAACACTCTATTAGTATCTGACACACCACTGGATTGCACCCAGCGCGGGCTTTTCTCCCCCAGTGCATGTAAATAAATGGAAGCAGCGAACTTACAGTTGGCGTGATTACGCTTTTCTGTACCACAGGGAGATGATTCAAACCTTCCTCGACCAACAATCGGATGATGCGGTCTGAATAGAACAAAAAGTCTCCACGAGAAGTATCTTTATCTCGAATGATTGTATAAAGAGCTTCAAGTTGAGCGGTCTGTGGTAGAGTGAAGACTGAAGAAGGTAAACCGTTAGTAGATGCGCCGTTGGGTGAAAGGGCGTTGGGTTGAAGAGAAGGTTGAGGCGGAGGTACAGGTGCATCGCCAGTTGAGGACATTGTGTGATTTTTTGGCTGTGTTCGTGACAGCAGGAGAGAACGAGGTGATGGTATGAAAACAAGCCAGAACCGTTATGAACCAACGATCAAGATAAAGTACGGAGCGGAACCGGAACGGCCCGGTTCCGCAATTGCCAACAGCGACGATCAAGCTCAAGTCTCGGAAGCCCTCCATCTTTTCCTATCTTTGCTCCAACTCTGCACACCAAAGCCTGGACTAATGGCTAATTCTTACGACGAGGTAGCCATATACCAATTACCCCACGAGATTTTCCATTGTATCTTCGGTTTCCTAGTTTCTGAGGATCGTCATCAACTCGAAGTAAAGATATCCAGAAGACCCATTGCTGCCTTCACAGTTTCGCAGGTCTCGCAGAGATGGAGGGATATAGCTCTTGAGCTCCCTTTTATTTGGACAAATATTCGGATATTTCATTTCCGTGATTCTCAGCGGAATATGGTCAAAGAACTCATAGCTCGTACCAAGGGCCTTCCCTTGAGCATCATATTGGAATATAACCAGCCTTTGACTGCATCACAGAAGAAGAATTGCTGGGATATCTTACTAGAAATTATGTCGTGCGCTTCCCGCTGGGAAGCCTTGCGTATCGCGGTGAACGAGGACCTCTTTACCCAGATATGTGGAAATTTCGGTGGCCGGCAGGCACCGATACTACAACGATTGGAGTTGATCATACTCGGCTTTCATGAACTCCATGGTCGACATCACCAACTGCTTGTATCACCCTTATACCTTGAACTCAGTCAGACCCACAAACTCAAACATTTAGCCCTGCTCGGAGTTCGGTTACGGATGCCGTCCCCGACTTATATGGAACAGTTGGAAGTTCTTAGTTTGGATTATGCTCCAGGAATGGACATGCTGGACAGACCAGGCCTAGACGTTGAGGCACCCCCCCTTCCGACACGTCTGCGTGCTCTCTCTCTTACTGGGATAGTACTACGCAATCTACCGACGCGTTCTTATCTATCAGAGTACACCGCCCTCCTGACAGTCCTTTCGTTGTCGAACATATCTGGCTATAATTCAGCTGACGTGGTCCGTCTCTTTCAGCACCTTCCTACAACAACTCTTCAAGAGCTCTCCATCTCAAATGTGGATGTCGCATTTTGGGATGGTTTATTAACTTCCATGACGGGCGCCGATCCACGTTATCCTGCTGTGAAGAGATTGTCTTTGCAGAATGTCGAAGTAGGATATGTACAAGAAACGGAACTCCCTCCAACACATTTCATTTCGGCATTTCCAAAGCTAGAGGTGCTCGAGCTGTATAATGTTCAGCACATTACAAATGCCCTCAAATGGCATAAGATGTTCCCTGGTATCCACACTCTCAGAGTGCGGGGTGTACTCTATAAAGTTCTTTGTGATGTGGTTGATTTTCGTATCGAACATGATGTTCCATTGACTACACTCGAGGTTGATACACCTCCATTTCTAGATTTGTCGTCCTTGTCGTGGCTTCAACGAAAAGTGCCAATATTCAAAAGAAACTCAAAAGAAAACGCATACTGAAGTAAATTCTTGTTTGTACAACGTATGTTATAACAACGGTAAATGTAGAAATACGTCCACATAACTTGTAAGGCATAGGCATAGGTTTTTTGTGTACACATAATGTGTGGTGAAAAAAGATAGGATGCAGACATACGTGCATAAATACATAAAACCTATGGGCGTGTAGACTCGGCGACAGGATGTCCATCTCCAAGCACCTGCTTTAGCAAAAACTCGACTCGTTCTCGGTCCTCACTCATCCTCCGCATTTCTTCAACCCACCTAGCTTCCCGTTGTTCGTACATGTTCCTCATAACATTCAAACTTCCAAGCGCAGCCTCCAGTACCCGCTTCATATCCTCCTTATTCGATTCTGAACTCCCGTCAGATCCATCGCCACTTCCGCTCGACGCATTGAGGAATCGGTCCACCAATGAGGCCTTATGCGAACGCGACGTTCTTCGTTGAGCAGCGACCTGCCGGAACCCGGCACGTACACCCTTCAGAGCCTGTGAATGTCCAATAGCAGGCAGCCGCCGGATCGAACGAGAGGTGACGAGATGGAGCTTCGTTGAGTGGGACGGAGCAGCCAACAGAATCATAGTGGCGTCGGTTTGCCGATCTAGAGCTTGGAACTGCCAACAAACAGGGTCAGAATTGCCTAAATTGAACCCACTTCGAAAGAAAGTGCCCTTTTGAACTGGATTTAACAAAATTTTCACTCACAGCTTGCAACAAAGCATCCCACTTGGTCTCCCAACGACGTCGACGTTTCTCGACATTATTCACGTATGTAGGATGATATTCTAATTCCAACAAATCCTCTTCATCTTCTTCCTCATCTTCGTCAACCCACTCAGCCGACGCAGTATCATCAACAATAGGAATAGGAATCGGAATCGGGATCGGAATCGCCGAAGTAGTTCCGTTTACCCAGTTACCTTCCTCGGAAACGGCGAAGCGTGTGTCCTCTCCTGCGGTCTCTTCGCCAGAAGTTGAAGGTTCAGGACTGGTCTCTCGCGGCTGTGTACTATCCACGCGCGGAGGGGGTTTTCGATTGGCTTTTGGAGCAGGACGATACGCACGTAAATTTGACGAATCGGATTTCCTTCGTAAACTGACCATTGGGGGATGAGGAGGGAGCGGGATGGGCTCGTGGCTTGGACTCGACTGTCTTGTCACGGTATCCGGAATTTGCCCTCCCATGAGACGTTGTGTGTGCCAGTACGCCCACGGATTGTATGTGGGCGGGTAAGGCGTCGAGGAGGGCGAAAGAGTTGAGTCTGTTATATTGCCAGAATGATTCTGGGCGTACATCTGGAATTGCTTGACGAATTGCTCTTGGATTACCGCAGGGTTTAAACCAAGATTGGAGTTCGTTTGCGAGTGACCAGAGTAGCTCATATTCCTACGAACATGTGTGAAAGGATATGGATAAGGTGAACCGGCAGGAGCAACTGGACTGAAGGGAGGATACGAATCCTTTGGGTTTTCATATCGTCCGGACAGCATTGGAGATGGTGAAGGAGGGGACGTCTGGCTATGGGGTGTTGGTGGAATGGGAGCATCTGGTCGAGGCGAACGTAGGTACGCCTGAATATATGCAGATGTTGGGTCATCCATAAGGCCCTGAAAATCATCAGGATGCATATGTTGAGCATAATAATGAGCATAAGACTCTTGTATAGGATCAGGCCTGGGTATCGGTTTAGGAGCTTCTGCATACTGAGGCGGCATCTCGGAGGTGCGAGCCTGCTCCACTTGCTCGAATAACGAGGTATCCAGTCCTCGTAAACCGAGTTGATCAGTGGATCCATTTCGACCGCGACCTCTATGCGGGGCAGGAACAGCTCCCCTAGGTTGAGTTTGTTGAGCGGGCCGAAATCGATTTTGCTCTGTGTTTTCTGCAGTAGGAATCCCGGCCGATGGAGAACGAGGAGTGCCACTGCCATCGTTCGAACTCTCCTGTTTGTCACTTTTTTCATAGAGAGTATCTTCATCTTCTGGTCGAATGGCAGCACGGCTACTCCGGCCATCCTGGATATAAGATCCTTCGGGATTGAGATCCGATGAAGGCGTAGGAGACCCAAGTTCTGGTTCGCGTTGCTGGTGTATCTGGTGCATGTAGCGAGAATGTTCTCGACCATTCACCTCCGCTTTGATAGCTACTGGGACTTCTTCCTCAGGTTCTTCCTGTAAAGGTAAGGATTTGTCTGGTGTTCGTGCACTAATCGCTTGCAGTGGAGGCGTCTGCGTAGCCAATGTAAGATTTGGTCGGCTATCATGCGCGGGTCTGCGAGCAACAGAAGCGGGTTCGTGATGGTATTGATTGTATTGCTCCCCGGGTGACCCAAGAGGAGTGATGTACGGCGGCGATTTCCGTCGTTCGGGAGTTTGTGATTGGTTAGGGGAAAACGAGGGACGATCGCGTGCCTTTGGGCTCTCTCGACTTTCTCGAACCGAGGGACGTCGACCAAGTTGTCCATCTACTGCTTTGGGGCTCGACTTTTCTGCAGCCCGAACTCGTTCCACACCGGGATCCCTCAGAGAACTATCAGTTTTCACATTTGTGGCGTTGTAACCAGATCCAACTGGATAAGAGGGATAGATGTGGGCGGCAGCAGCCAATCCTTGTGCCTGTTGCAGATCCGCCCGCTCAATCTCTGCCATCAGCTCATCAGTCATTTGCCAGTTCTGTTCAAGATCGTGCAAGTTGGACAGAAACTGAGGAGGTGGCACACGATTCATGGGACGGGGATAATGCGTGACGTTATTCGGCTGATGAATGGGAGGGGAAGCACCGGGACTCATCCGGGGCTCACTGCTGAGTTCCTGAAGGCTTGGTGGATTAGGATGAGGGGGTGTAGGCAGCAATCGCTGCACTTGAGAACCCTGCATCGGTGGAGATCGACGAGAAGAATTGGAAGATGTTGGGCTGGATTGTTGTCCAGGATAAGACTGTTGACTAACAGCAAAAATTTGTGCAGCGGTTGGTACTAGGGGAAGTGATTGGGCCTTCAAAGTACGCTGTCTGTCTCGAAACGGGGAGGGAGAATTTTCTCGTCCGGGAATATTGTGTAATGAACCTATAAGACAAAAAAAACAAAAACGAAATTAGCGAGACACTTCCCTCAAGGCTCGAAGGAATCTATGGAAGATAACCGTGGGTTCAAGCGGCATGCGCAAGTGTATTGACTTGACCTGTTTCCCAACAGATGTTCCATGGATCATTGTATAAAAACTTACCAGGTGTAACAGGATGCTTGCGCTGGCGCTGTGGGGAATGACTAGACATCTTGTAAGAGCGTTATCGACCCGTAAATATGAGAGGGGACCAAAGAGTTACGAATGTTGCGGAAAAGGAGGATAATGAACCTTTAGCTTGATAGAGACTGCGCGCGCGATTCCAACGTGTTATATGTTCTGTTAGACGCCTTCAGGCAACGAGGTCGGCAACCAGGTTTGGAAGTTCTGCCTCGAGGCTGAAAAGACACAAGAACAAATCCCGGTCCGATAAGTTCTTTTCATTTGATGAAAAGAATATTGAGCGCATTATGGAGGACAGAATTGAAACAAACTGAGAATAATAGCGCTATGATTGTGGCGTTGTAATGTGTGGATAATGGTTTCCATTGGGTGGCACAACAGCAGAGATATTATCCCGAGTTGAAGTAAAAGTAGAGGAGCAAAGAAATCACGTGAAACTAAACTCAAATGGAGATAATTTTCGAGAAATGATATCCATGAAGCAAGGTCGAGGCAATAAGCATCGAACAGAATGAAGGTGATCTCAAATTTGGAGAATGGATACATGGAGCGAAGAAGACCGGTACCAGAAAAAAATACCGTTACCAATCGATGAGCAGTACAATCTAACCTAATCTAACGCATGATGATAATATACATGGTATTGGTGGACAAAGACATCCATTTACATTCGTCGAACTACTCATGCTAAGTTTGCGTCCTTCATCCTCACCCACAGTGCCTTCTGTTGTCATGTATCCATTAGAGTTCATTTCCAATTCTCTCCTAAAAGTTGATCACTGACCTTGACGTTCATCGTTAGATGTGTTGCATGCAAAACCTTGTCAAGCCCCTTAGTCGTTCCCGGCGCAGGTTTCCAACTGGCAGGAGGCTTGGATGATTCAGGTTGTACGTCCCAGGCGATCTGAAAATCGGTGAAGGCTTGCAGGAACTTGATCAGAAAGTATGATGTTTCGTTGTACGCAAACTGAAAAGACACATCAGCCGTTGTAGTTTACAAGATCGACAACTAAGCTCACCTGTTGACCGAGGCAAATGCGTGGGCCTGCATTGAACGGGAGGAATATGAAAGGATTGGGTGTCAAGTACTTGTGCAATCGTTCATCGAGGAAACGATCGGGGTCGAATTCTAGCACTGATAGACAGGCGTACTTTAGAACATATCGTAGGCACCGGCATAACTTTTGATGCACAAACCATCTGGGCCCCAAAGGTCGGCTCGACGATGCATCAGAAAGACACTGTACAAGCACCTTGAGTTGTACACGAAAATCAGATAAATTTGTGGTGAGACACGATGAGAATTTACTTCACGCCAGCGGGAATGTAATACGCCGGTTGGGTTTCTGTCTGTGGAAGAACAACGGGACTTCTAGTCGTTCTGCAACAAGAACGGTCAACGTTACTATTCATCGAAGAAGAATAAATTTTGCAGCCGGCTACCTTCCGTCGAATGGGACTGCTGGGTACAGCCGAAGAGTTTCTACGAATTGATGACATGAGTAAATTCTTCAAATGAAAAAGACTTACGTACCATTAATGAAAGCACGTAGGAACTTCATCTCAGAGATGATTTTGTATGTGGGGCGAGCATTAGGCCCCACTTTCTCCAGGACTTCGAGTCTTAGTCTTTCCGTGATGTCAGGTCGTTCAGTTAAGACGTAGATACAAAAGGTCAAGAGGGAAGCAGTCTGTATGTGCGTCTATTGTTTAGTTCAAGATATTCGGATTACTGGCAACAGAAATCAGACCGTATCACGTCCAGCGACGAGTATATTTACGAGTTCATCCTTGATGACTTGATTGTCTGGATCGGACATTAACAGCGTCAGCATTCACTTCGACAAAGGGAACTCTGCTCGGACCTGCGGTATGTTTGATCAGATGGTCCAAGAACGTCTCTCCCTCGTTATCATCATCGCTGGGCTTCTCCGCTGCAAGATGTTGTCTCCTCTCTTCGAGGATCGGATTCACAAATTCATCGACTTGTTGCCGGTACGGTGACACCTTGTCTGACCAAATCTCCTTCAAAGGCCACAGCATTCCAAATCTAGCTCGAAATGCTGTGTGAATTTGACCTTGCATGAAAGCACGGACAAAAACATTGGAAGGATGGTTCAAGATGGAGGGATCGTTCGCCAGGGGTGAACTTTCTGGGTAAGGCAAGTTGGCTCCGAGCGACCCGACATCCTTCCCAAATAAGAATTCGGTTGCGGAGTCGAGCGTGAAACGAGCCACAACGTCCTTAATGAAGAGGAGCATCAGACGAATCGATATTTACGCAGTGGAGTTGTGTCTTTGCGAACCTGGAAGTCAATGGGGTAACCTTGAGTTAGACGAGCCTTAATGGTAGAGATGGTGTTCTCTGTGTGACGTTCAAAGTTATCAAAATCGCTGATTCTGTTCCTACTGAAGAAAGGACGAGTCATGTTTCGATGAGTCCTATGCAAAAGGGAACATGATGAGGCTAGCGAACAACAAGCACTGAATGGGTTACGCTTACTTCCATCTTTCTCCTGTTAGATTTATCAGTTGTGGTAGCGTCGGGGATTGAGAGGAGATCATTACCGTCAGAATTGAATACACCTAATCCTAACAGAGAGTGAAGTTGATCAAAAGTAACAGGGCCTAGTTCGATGAGAATGAATTCCTCCTTCATCAAGAGGTTAAGAATCTCCACCTTTCTCGAAGTTCTCGAATTGGGTAGCTAGAAATGCCTATACATGGCGTCGTCAGCCAAATAAACTGATATTGTGCCTGAAGATCGCGTTACCTTGATGTGCTCAGGCTCCACCGTCATGAGCTGAGAAATTCAGTCTGTGAGTAACCCAATATATCAAAATGAGGGATCGTACACGGGTTTCCCCGTATATCTTCAATCTGAAGGTGTATCCGTACTGGTTCATCCATTCGAAGTAACAATCACCTGAAAGGTGCAATAGTGAGTTCAACATTCACATGATCCTCAAGTTACTGACATACCCGTGTATCCGTGACTAAAACTTTCAATGATTGCAGACCGTAGCTCGTAACTGCTTCCTTGAACCGCTGGAGGTTGTATGGCACCCAGTACAGCCGCTCTGCGGTTGCCTAAAACTTCGGCACACTGTGTCTGAGCCCATAACACAGATATTGTAAATAATACACTGGCACTGCCAGTTTTTAAGGTTTTTTGATTTCACTGGCTATAGTCAGTGGTTATATTGTAAATAATCACTGACAGGGTCATTGGACACAAGATACGTCCATATTCGGAACAGTATTACATGATGTGTCCCGATTTAGAAGAATATTACGAGATAATGGCAATCAATAATGTCAAAAAGAATGAACAACCCCAGCAGGAATTGAACCCAAGAACTCTAGGTAGAAAGGACAACAACAATGCTGATGCTGAAACCACTTGCACCATATGCACACAAGAAACCTGCCTCATTATTGGTAATTATCCTACTCTGTGCATCAAATATCAGGCCTGCACTCCGCTCCCCTCCCCTCCCTCGCTACGCTCAGGGGGTCCCCCGAACCGGGGAGTCGTCGGCAGGCACTCTAAAGCTTCATTTGATGCTTTAAATATCTGCAAGCGCCTGCGGCGCACCTAACCCCTAACTGCGCTTCGCGCAAGCCGCCTTCGGCGGCACCTAACCCCTAACGAAGTGTGCTGATTGTGTGGCAATGTTCAGACCCACTCCGTTATGTTGGGGCTAGCATAGCTAGCCCCAACCGGAGCGCGCCTTCACATTGCAGTGTGTTAGTTACTGTAGTCTCACTGTCGTTGCCACTAAAATTTGATTTTACAACCACTTACTATAGCCAGTGAAATCAAAAAACCTAAAAAACTGGTATTGCCAGTTGATTATCAATTATATCTACGTTACAAGGTGTGTGTCTGAACTAAAAAGAGCACTGGGTGGACGAAGATCGCGCAGATGAGATAGATCCACGTAGAGTAAGCGGAAAATGCAGGTCGCTGTCCGCTAAGGACAGTTAGAGCCCCAAATACTGCAATCGAGGACAAGATTCGAGGGAGGACGAGGCGAAAGAGGAAACTCAGTCCTGGAGGGATTGTCATTGATTCAGTTGGTTATTCTTCGCTCAAAAAACGACGTAGGACTTTTCCAAGCGTTGTTATAACAAAGCCTTAAATTTATATATCCTTACTGTACGGTGGGAAGAACGCGGATTTTAACCGGTCGTGATTTTATCCCGATTACCGGAAAGAAGCACAAGTATGTGGACTCATACTTTAAGTTCTCGTTCCTGCATCTTGACCCATAAGCCATCCTGAATGATGAACCTCGTCAGCAAAAAACAGATAATCTCGGCGCAAAACAAAAAAAGAAACAATATACCTTCACCACCATCGTCAAATGCGAGGAGAGCTTTACCTTCTCTCTACCTTTCGTTGTTCCAGGAAGGGGTTCCCATTCTGCAGGAGGTCTTGAAGACTCCGGTTGGACAGCCCAATCCACCTGAAAGCCAATGAAGGACTGCAGAAATCTGATGAGAAAGTACGATGCTTCGTTATAGGCAAACTAAGCCCGAGGGAGTTAGCAATCATGGAACCAGCGTGGAGTATAGTCGATGACACCGACCTGTTGACCGATACATATTCTCGGCCCAGCATTGAATGCAGCGAATATGAAAGGATTTGGAATCAGATATCGTTGTGCTCTATCATCAATGAAACGGTCGGGATCGAATTCCAGCGCTAAACAAGGTTAGCCTTGGATTGACGCTTGTAAAAGTATGCGCTCACAATCAGGACCCCACAAGTCCTCTCGGCGATGCATCAGGAATACACTGTAAACGCATCTTAGTCGCGGGACAACGAAAATCAATGCGAATTCACAAGGAAAGTAAGATGAATGTTTACTTGACACCTGCGGGTATGTATAAAGGCGGTTGACCGTTTTTCGCAGGAAGAACGATAGATGTTTTGGAATATCTGCGATACGAAAATCAGTTACAGAATCGGTCTAATTCTTGAGTTTTAACAAAGCCAACCTGGAATTGAAGGGTACTGCGGGGTAAAGGCGAAGAGTTTCTGGATTGAACTTCATAAGTATATGAGACTTCCAAGCTCTGAATGTCAAACCATTTAGGAACGCTCGAAGATATTTCATATCCGCAATATTCTTGTATGTGGGGCGAGCATTAGACCCAACGAACTCTAGAATCTCCTTCCTCAACCTTTCTGTAAGTTCTGGTCTTTCAGTCAAGACATAAATCGCAAATGTCAACAAAGAAGCAGTCTGTACGTTGTTCAGCAAGGAAGAACTTGGAGCTGGCATATGTCGGGTCTTACAGTGTCCCTTCCGGCAACCAATATATTCACAAGTTCGTCTCTGATAATCTGATCGTCTAGGAAGAATTCGGTCTGATTTCAGAAGTTCCATGGACAATGCAACATACCGTCTGTAGAGCGAATTAGATGGTCGAGGAACGTTTCGCCTTCCCCGTCTTCGTCGCTCTCTTTACTTCGACTTGTCGTACCCCTTGCTAATTGCTCATTTCTCCTCTCTTGGAGAATTGGGTTTGTAAAATTATCCACGTGTGCCCGCTGAGCCTTGACTTTGTCTGACCAAAATTCGGCCAAAGGCCACATATCTCCCCGCCTTCCGCGTAGGGCAGCTTGGTCCTGTCCTTGGGTAAATGCACGAACAAAAACATTAGACGGGTGATTGAAGGTCGATGAGTCTTTTTGGATAATGGGCGCGCCTTTCGGATATGGAAGTCCAGCACCAAGGGATCCGACATCTTTTCCGAAGAGAAATTCAGTTGCAGAATCGAGAGTAAAGCGTCCAATCGCATCCTAAAGTGCGGTCAAGCTTCTGAGATACTACATGATAGTTTAACGTGAGATTACCTGAAACTCTATAGGATATCCTTGTGCCAGACGTTGCTTCATAGCAGATATAGTATTGTCCGCATGACGTTCGAATATATCGAAATCACTGATTCTGGTCTTGCTGAAGAAAGGGCGAGTCATATTTCTGTGAAATCTAGTTCCAACATCGAGCAACATCATCAGTACTGAGCAACTAAAGTCAATCGACGAACCTACTTCCACATGTCACCTGTTATTATTTCACAGTCAACGGTGCCGTTCTTTGAAGTCATATGAAAGTATTTACCATCCGAATTGAATACTCCTGAACCGAGAAGAGATTTCAGCTGTTGATAATTAACAAGACCTACAACCATGTTCGTGAATCTTATATCAAACGACCTGAACAAGGAACGAACCTTTTTCAAAATTATTGAATTGAGTGGCAAGAATCGCCTACACAAGGAAAGGGGTAGTCAGCGTACAAACACGCGAGTTGATCAAAGCGAAATTCATACTTTGATGTGTTCAGGCTCTAAGGTCATAACCTGGGGCGGACATGGGTGAGCTGATTTCATAGACCACTAGAATGATCAATCTACCCGAGTTTCAGTGTAGGCTTGATACATGTAAGTGTTGCCATATTTTTGTGCCCATTCAAGATACGCCTCTCCTTTAAACCGTATAGGATCAACGGTCGAGATGGGTACGGGTAAGTGATAGACGAACTTGAGCTTACCGATATATCCATTACCAAAACTTCGCATAACAGAAGCTAGCACTTCCGAGCTACTTTCTTCGACCAATGGGGGCAGGACTGCACCTTTTGCAGCCGCTCTGCGCGCGTTAAGGATATTCATATACGGTCTGGCAAGAAATAGCATCCAAAGGGGTCGTGCAAAGAATGCACCGACGTAAAGCAGCCATCTGGTGGATGTTGGGAATGTATGACCTTGGTTTTCGATTGCGGTTTTAATTGCATAGACACAAAACACAAACAGGATTTGGGGCAAGACTAGACGAAAGATTAGTGCTGGGCCAGGAGGTATCATGGTGGCAGCGGATGAGGCACTAGTGTAGCGAGAGGCTGGAAAAATAGAGTGCCTCAAATATGGCAGCGGAACACGAGGCGGGTCAAAGATCAGTATTCGCGCCTTCTTATATGTGAAAAAAGCCTGGCTAAGACCGTCAGGAACCCTCACCAGAGGTCGTCCGAAACGCATGTCCAATGTATAGAAATCTTATGTCCTTGAAACTCCAGCTTCTCCGAGAGTACGACAACCAAGCGCCCGAGAGCAAATGCCCGAATATTCGAGTTCTGGCAGCTGAAATTTGTTGGATGGAATCCCGCAACCGGTCACAGGTGAAATCCACCCTTCCGATTGAAAAGATAAACGGGGATCTGACGCAGCCATTAAGGTCTCGATGAGGATCGAATATTGAGTCTGTGTTACACCCATCAATTTACTTTCAAGCTCATGAATCTGTCGATGATGGAGTAATACTGTCCCAGCAGTACCGGTAGTGAAATTTCCGAGTGATTGATTCCGTAAGTTTATAGAAAACATTTCACAATATAGCTTGATTCGGGCTGAAAACCACCGGAGCCTTAGTACAATCCAGTGAATGGTTTTGTTCATGGAAAAAAAAGATTTTCGAGTCTTATCAGCATTACGTGATGCCATACTATCAGGTCACGTAAAAATCGAAGCTTTCAAACATCTTCGACAGCGCAAGCCTCGCCCATCTTCAGCCACAATCCCTCCTGAAGATCATCGCTTACTATCAGAACTAAAATCCTCAGAAGAAGTTGACTGACTCACCGCGACATACATTGTCAGATGTGTCTTGAGTTTCACCTTTTCAATTGCCTTGATCTCTCCTTCCTTCTTCCAGCTAGCAGGAGGGCGAGAATCCGGAGGTTGGCTTGTTTCTGAAAGCTCAATATCCGAGAAGTTTTGCAGAAGTCGGACAAGGAAGAACGAGGTTTCGTTGTATGCAAACTAGATAGGATTTACAATTCTGAGAGATGAGGTGAAAAGTAAGAGTGCACACTTGCCTGTTGTCCTAAACAGATACGTGGTCCAGCATTGAATGGGAGAAAGATAAAGGGGTTTGGAGTGAGGTACTTGTGGACCCTCTCATCCAGGAAGCGGTCTGGATCAAATTTCAGAGCTGCGGAAGGTCGTGTAAGGACTAAAATATGATGCATAGAATACTATTCCGGGAGGATGCGTACCATCTGGACCCCACAAGTCGGTACGACGTTGCATGACGAACACACTATAGATACACCTGTGGTCATGGTGCCTGGTATGAGCAAAGCACGATGTTATTTAATGGTTACCTACCTAGTCCCAGCAGGGATAAAAAATGGCTTGTCACCTGGGTTGATAGGTGGCAACGTCGTGTGTTTATTCGATTGTCTGATGGATCATACATAAGAGATAAACCAGACGGGAAGAATGAGAGAGCGACTACCTCATATTGAACGGCCTGAGACGGAAAAGGGTTCATGAGTACACGAAAATTTTCCTTAACTCTCGCTTACACAGGAGGATATAATCTCAGCGTCTCTGGGTCAAGATTCAGAATTAGAAGCCAGTGACTTGTAGTACGGTCCCCTCACCGTTCAAGACAGCTCGAAGATACTTCATATCTCTGAAATCATCGTATGTGGGTCGCCTGTTTGGTCCAACAATAGCCAGTATTTCGCTGCGGAGCTTGCGTAGAATCTCAGGGTGTTGAGACAGCATGTAGGCGGTGAAAGTTAGTAAACTTGCGGTCTAAGTATCGGATATACGCCATGAGTCATGCATTTTACAGAAAGTTTCGCGAAATTTTACCGTGTCTCGACCGGCCACAGCGAGGTTCATTATTTCGTCGCGCAAGATGATAGGGTCTGTCAAATTGTTGACTCTGAATTCGCGGAGAAGAACGTGGGGATAAGCTCAGGTGCTTACCATCAGTATGCTTGATCAAATGGTCCAACACTGTTTCGCCCTCTTCTTGCCCCATCTCTAGCGCAGCGGCTTTACTCTCTTGAGTCAACTTTGATCTTTGAACACCTTGCTGTATGATAGGATCCAAGAACCCGTGCACAACCTTCATCATCTCCTTTGGAATGTCCTTCCAAATCTCTCTCAATGGCCACATATCACCAAAGCGAATACGAACGGCCGTAGCTGTTTGAGCTTCGTTGAACGAACGTGAGAAGCGAGCGCTGAAAGTCTGTGTAAATGGAGATGCGGAGTCGTTAGAGACCGAATGCGAGGGATGGAAGAACGGGTACGGAAGAGGATCAGATAGTGTGCCAATATCATGCCCAAACAAAAACTCGGTCGCAGAATCAATCGTGAACCGGGATACGACGTCCTGAAAGTAATCAGTCAGATTAGATCAAACTCCACCGGAAAGCTGGAAAGGAAAGGATAACCGACACGGTGTTGGAGGAGTTGACGTACCTGAAAGTCGGCAGCATATCCTTCCTTAAAACGCGCCTTCATTTTACGAATCGCTTCGTCGGCATGCCGATCAAAGATATCAAAGTCGGTGATTCTGTCACGACTGAAAAATGGGCGGGTGATGCTACGATGAAACCTGCGGATTTGTGAAGGAAAGATCAATTTTGGAAGAACATTGGACATACTTCCAAAGGTCCCCTAGAATCGATATCAAAATATGTTAACACCAAAGCACCATACAATTGGAAGAGATCTACAAGTACCATCGTTGGCGAACACCCCCGTTCCCAATAGTGAGTTCAAAGTTGTGAGAGTATCTTGACCTATGCGTATCATAAACCAATAAGCTATCGTCATAGGTTTGGCTGGACGACCCACCCTTCTCGAAATCCTCGAACTGAGTGGCTAAAAGGGACTGCAATGATATTGAGAAAAGCACGATAGGTTAGCTGATGAGTTGACCTTTATATGACTAGGTTCTGACGTGACAAGCTATCCATTATAGCGTTAAGCAAAGAATGTCAGAATGCGATACGAGCACATACCCGATCCTCAAAGAATATCCTCAAATTGAACGTAGGCCCAGTCGAACGAAGTCGATTTGTCACTGCCTGACCTAGAAGAACGATTGAGATTTCGTCTTCAGATGCTAAAGGGTTGAGCCAACCATACCTATGTAACCATCTTTGGACTCTTTCATTATCCCGTAGAGGAATAACAGCCCGCCAGGTGTGGGGTCCTCCATGAAAGGAGGCTCCGGTAGCAGAGCTGCTCCCATACGAGCTGCTACCACACGCTTCAAAATTGCTGAATACGCAATGCCAACAGACAAGGCCAGCGGATATGAGAGCATGTACAAGAGCCATCCCGATGGCACGTTGCGGTCAACGTAGGAACGATATGTTGATAATGCTGTGAAAACAACTATAGGAGGAAGAATAAGCTGGGGGAATCGTTTGATGAGGAATGATATTCCTGGAGGTACGTTGGAAAACATCGTTGTTGAGTAACCGTACCACAGAACCCTTATATGGTGGCCAGGTATAGCCGCATCCGACGGTGGATCATGCTAATAATTGCTTACGTCGTGGAGTCCGAGGGCTGGTAAAACTTGGTAAAAGCGATTTCGTAAATTTCCTCCGGAGATACCCAAATTTGGCGCAACCGACGGGTCACAACTTGAAGAAGCCTTTTTTGTAGATACAATCAACACTGCTGCACAAAATGGACTTGAAGACACCAATTCACTCGGACTCGGATTTCACGTTCTCGGGAAATGCTCATTCTTTTTAATTTCCTCTTCACAACGGTCACCCCGCTTTGTCCTGCAGCTGCTTCGTATGCCTTGGGTGAGACCAGGGAGGACCAAAGAGGTGGACTGAATGGGTTATTGAATGGTCACGATGGCATGGAACAATTTGAGGGAGTTGAAGGATCCCTTGTTCAGCGATGAAAGGTGGTCATGGGAATGAGCTTGGAGGTTTTTCAAAGGCGGAGAACACAGATACGCCCGTGGAAGCCTACGGAGGCTTCAGTCATTATGTCCAAGAGGAAGACGAAAAGGTCTTCATTTCCATTTGCAAGATGGAACACACTATCTCCAGGATAATCTATTCTTGAAATCGTAGTAAGTCCATTCAACTCCAACGTGGCACGCCCGTCGCATCTACCATCACCCCCAACAAAAAGTCGCGCGCTAGTCTGATTCTGACACCCAACCGATACACAGAGTTGTTGATAATATCCAAGTTGGCAGTGTTCATGACCGTTGCGACGATATAGGTTGTGTTCTTGAGTGTGACTCTTTGACGCGATTTTGAAGAGGAGGTGGGGCTACATCTGCAATAGCTGGTGCAGAGTTTGTTCCATCGAGTGCAGGGTGTTCACTGTTAGAGAACAAGTATTAATGGAAGTGGGAAGAGTACCGGTCCGGGCCACACCTGTATCTTTATTTCTCAACTCCGATGACTGAAGATGCTTCGCGCTGCAACACAGAGGCATCGTAACTGACTATACAACTTTATGGAGACCAGAAACAAAATCTTCATCGCGCACTCACAGACAGGTGGAATAGCGGATACCATGTCTTATAAATAGGTGATCCATCATGCTGGCGATTTCGGTTCGTGGTTGCCTACATCCACTCACACTCATGATCTGACAACTTTACTGTAGAGGCCTCACTGAGACCGAAGTTACAGTAACCACGTACTCCTTATATATAGTACGCATCTGCGAACAAGACAGGGAAAATCGTACTTGAAAAAGTCCGGTCGACGATTTAACAATCATCGAACGAATGCTACCAAAGTTTCAAATATATATTTGTGTCGAACATGAAAGAGGAAAACTTGAAATAAGCTGGAACATGGTGGTATCTAGGTATGTTCGAACCGGCGGCGGCGGAACACCACCTTCAGGTTTCTCTTGGAGGATGACTCGGACTCGGATACACTAGGATCAGATTCTCGGAACCTCGCTGTCGGACTGGACATACTATGTGCACTGGACAATCTGGCAGAAGTCTGTTCCACCAATCTCTTTGAAGAGTCTGAGAAGCTTGTCGATGAGGGCCTGTTTCTCTCGTTGACAGAGAAATAGTGCTTCCTCCAACCTCCGAACCTCACAGTCCACCTGGTGGCGCAGATCCCAATAAGGGCTCTTTGCGCCATGAGGCAGCGGCGGCAGGACGGGGCAGGCCAGAGGGTAAGGCCCATCAGGACCAACTGGCTGGTCGGACTGACCGCACGCCTTTCCGGTGAAAGGTGCGAAGCGCAGCACGCCCCAGGGCTGAGTACCGACCGGGCCAATAATAGCAACATGAGCCCAATTACTGTCGTCGAAGTCGATCAGCTGGAATCTATCAGGAGGGGGAATATTGCCCGCGGTCAACCAGCTGGCATCTGTGACGAAAGTAACCTGTGATCCATCTTCGTATTGAACAACGCCGGTGAGGATGACCCCATCCACGCTGATGACGTTAGTTGCGTTTACTGCAATGACATTTTTCGTGTGGCTGAGGGAGACACTGTAGATGTCTAGCTCGCGGAACGCGGAACCACCAGGGTCACCTCCCTTCCGGATATTATCTCCGATTTCGACTCCATTGACCCAGACAGTGTAGGCGTCGTCGCTGTTGGATATATTATCATATAAGGTACATATCTCATCACTACATTAGCCTACCAGCAAAGAAATCAAAGACACTTACGCAGCAATCGCAAAGGTGACACAAACGGCCCTTGACGTCCCCTCCGGAAGTGTCTTGCGGAAAGCCCGCATACCAGGGATGCCGGGGGGCTCTCCAGTCCAAATCCAGAGTGCGCTGTCAAGAGAGAGAGGCGGGATGGTATTACCCGGTACTTGAGCATTAACGGTCTCGACACTGTTGCTGAGCATGCCCAAGAGTGCGAGTGCACCAAAAAGAACTGCAAAGAACGGACGAACGCGGTCAAAATACGAACAGGTTTGAAAACCAGAGTTTTGCTCACATCCTGGAGTAAACATCGTTGTGATATTCGAGGGATTGGTAGAGTTCACTGTCTGAGGATTCTGTTAGGAATTGCCTTGTTTTAAACCTTACCCAGCGTTTAGGTTCTGTATCAAAATTAGAAGAAACGCTGACTGAACGGTAGCGTATCTTGGGACATGCTCATGTACCCATTGTATTAGTCGTGGCTTATGCTGAGAGGCTGTGAGAAGTCATCGAAGTTGAGATCATGATGATCAAGTTCATCCTACTTAGTGTTGAAGCTTGAAGCTTGGAATGAAAGGTGAAATGGAATTACAAAAATTGAGTGTGAACTACTTTTCGGATATTACCAGCGAGGATTTTAACGCTCACACTACGGTAAAAACTAGGATCCGATGACAATGGTAACTTAACAAGATATAGTGTCAGAATGCATAATCATATTGGACTATCTGTCTACGTGCTAGAGAATCCCGAGACTTTTATTTGAAGAACATTGAGAGTGATGGAAGAAGAAATTGCAGGATAGTTGTCAGAAATGCACAGTTCCCATACCATCCGTCATGATACTGAAATAAGCCTCGGTGGGGTGTTGGAGTAGCTCAATAGAAAGGACATAATATCACCAAAGAATGTCTCGACAAGGTTATATCATCACACAAGAATGTTCCGACAAGGTTTCAACAAGGACAGAAAAGATGATACGGATTTGTGAATGTTCAACGCGACCTGGTTGTTCGTATTATTCAAAGGAAGCTTGATCAGTGTAGTTGATGATTATCCTGTTTTGGAGATTGTTTGTTCAACTGGAAAACCACTGGACTGAAGATCCAAGAGCTCGAGGGATTCTTCATGAGGAACAGAAAAGAAAGGTCATCCGAAAAGTACTTGTTGAATCCACCACATTCTAGTTATCGGGCTGCTCCAAATTTTGATTTGTGGTTCAGCATGGCATTGTTGTACCCTATTTACAAGTCTGGTGGCTATTCAATGTATTTGGCACTCTGGACATCGAGCTCGATGATGACTGGTCACCGGTCACCTTGCACACATTTTCCGGCCCAGATGTGCCGGCTTGCTGCCGTCACCGGTTTATGGGAGTACTCATGTGTCTGCAACAAATGTTTTCCCTGGAAGTATTCATGTGTCTACAAGTGACTGCAACAAAGGATCATGGTGTTTGTGCATAGTGATATGAACTGCAACTTGCCTAAAAGCATAGAGTTGGGAAACTGAAAATTTGTATAGATTTTACTCAGCATGCATTATTGAGGCAGGGAAGACCGTGTATTTTTCATGAGGTTTTTTTTTTTCTGCTTTTTCCTCATCAAGACTGAAAAGTACATAATCACCCCCCTGTAGTAGAAATGTGTGTTCCATTACTGTAATCTAAGTAGAAGATGTACAGTATGGTAAACTGGTCGTTCGGGAATCGGACCTAGCCAGTATAATTTAACTATCCTATCCTATCCTATCCTGATCAGAAGGACTATTGGTGAGGATTGGCTCAGTCAGAGCGGGCCAGAACAGTTGAAGTGATTGGACCCGTCACATTAACAATTGCCTTTCGCAGACATCCAATATTTCTGTACAAAACTCAAAACTTTCTACAGAACTGAATACTACTCCAGGGGTTCCATGCGGGGGGATTTGTAATTAGGATTGGTCACAGGGAGCGATTCAACTTGGAATCCAATCCCCTCCCTCTATGATAACAGCGGTACTAAATGTAGGTTGCTTGAAGTAGTGGCGGCGGATGTAATGGTCTCTGAACTTCATCTCAAGCTATCTCAAGCTGCTTCTAATAGCGACCTTGGATCGTAACTCTCTCTGGCATTCGGAGGCAAGTGATCCCAAATAGGCACATTAATTACAACTCGTAGATTGCCAGACCTACATGTCGTACCATCTTTGATTGTGGGATTCAAGTGGCCCGGTCAAAGCTGGAAATCCGAAAAACGATAAGTCTATTGCCGCCACGTGGAATCATTCTGTTTCTTTCCTCCACCAATACTACGACTTAGGAAGTAGACATTACGCCCTGTCGACCTTAATATGTTTTCCGTCTTTTTACTGCTTGAACAACCACAGCGCAATCGCTATTGAGATTGATCATGTTGGGTATATCGTAGGAAATCCGGGATACGCAAGGCATTCATGGTAAACCGACTAGGGCATCATCACCAGCAATTCTAATCAACATTGATCCGACGTTATTCATTTTGGAAAAGCTTAATGTAACTGACGGGCAGGAACGGCGTCGATTAGCAATGCCTTCGTCGTACCCATCGACATATTAAGAATGCGGCCCCGGCTTTACTCACTTCATATAATCCTTGTTCTCAGTGTCAATGCCTTCTCAGCGAAGTAGATCGAGAACTCCTCCTCAAAGGTCCGAGCGGAGTCCTTACAGTGGTGGCAGAGTAAGAGCTTGCGGAAGTTGCAGGCAAGTTAGGTCGTGCATTGCCTGTGGCTTTTTCTAATCCTTTGAAAAACCCGCAGGCGACGGAAAGTGGTATGCATGCCTGTTCGATCATATATGTTGAAGGGCTCTTAGGTTTCTCCAACAGAAATGTGACGGCGTCAAACCCACTTGTTCTCAGTGTATCAGACTTCCTCCTTCGGAACTAGAGGATCAACTTTGTGAATATTCTGACCCAAAGCTGAGGCGAACTGAAGAGCAGGTCCTCAAGGAAACTATTAAGACCTTGGAGGCCCGCATACGCGAGCTCGAGATCTCATCCGACGCTTCTGTGGTCAAATTGCACAGTCCTTATCAGGTACAAAAGTCAAATTCTGAGGTACGCAACTTACGATTCCTAAGCCCGAATACACCTCGATTCCTTGTACATTACAGGGTTTTCTCAATCCACCGGAAGATGAGAATATTCTTAGTCCTCAATTGTGGGTACTGTCCGATCATTATACTCCTGTATAGTTGTCTGAAATGGGAGTTAGACTGGAAGCGTTCTTTCGTCATGCAACTGATCTCAACTTCTTTCTTCATACCCCACGTTTCCGCCGTGCTGTGCTACTTCCGGTCGACTCGCCTGGTCGACCATGTCAAGGTTTAATTAGCGTTGTCCTCCTCCTGGGGTTCAGCCTTTCAGAACGCTACATCCTCAAGCCTGAGGAATCACACTCTCACAACAATATCTTAAATGACGGAGTATTCGCCAGTGCCAGCGTTAGCTCTCAAGAAGCTCTCTATCTCTCTCGTGCCCAAATCGACGTTGCAGGAATCCTCTCATCCTCACATCCCGACCGTATTGTCCACGGTATCCAGGCCGAGCTCCTTCTCTCCACATACTTATTCCGCTCGGGACGTATTCTAGAAGGGAAATACCATCTCAGTGCAGCCACGTCTATCGCTTTTGGTGCCAAGCTTCATAAGATCCGTAGCTTGAATAGAGACAAAGATATACTGACGTCTGCAGCTCTTCCTTGGGTTGTCTGCCTCACCTCATCTACTTCCAAGTTCGAAAATCGACTCAATGTCGATTCAGCGAAGGACCCAGAGCCTTTGTTTCCTCATTCTGTGGATCCAATCTCAGAGGGGGAGCGCATCAATGCATTTTGGACGGTTATTACTATGAGTAATTGTTGGGCACTTGCCGCTGATTCGAGTCCGAATCCCACACTCGAGCGGTACGTGGAAGATATTGATACGCCATGGCCAATGGATATCGAAGATTACGAAAAGGTAAGTATTTACTCACCAGGCCCATCCAATCTCATTAACACGTCCCCTGTCATGAGAATTTATCTCCGGACTATTTGGATAGTGCTACCGTTTTGAAATTATTACGAGGCCACCAACCTGGCAGTACCGCGGGGAAAGGGTACTCGAAACTTGCACTGTATGCACAGGCCTCAATTTTTCTGTCCCGAGCAGCTTCAGTCGCTTTGGCATATCATCCCAGTATGTATCCATGTAGTACATATAGCCAAGTTCTAACTCCTCAAAAATCACAGATATGCAATCATTACCTGCAACTGAATTTGCCACTAGCTTTATTGAGCTCGACAGCGTCATAGACCATTTCAAAACAACCCTCAAACTACCAATTTCAAACGACAGTAACGAATCGATACTTTTCACCACACACATGATAGCCCATCTCGCAACTATACTTCTCCATAGCAAAATAGCAACAATGGCTCCGACCCTTGACTCATCCCTAAACTCATTTCCATTAGAGGCTAGCGAAAGCGGTCAGAAACGATTAGACGCTGCAGTAGCTATAGCAGAACTTTCCAGAAAACAGTGGTCACTCAAGCGCAGTAGTGATTTTGAGACGAGCATTAACTTTGCTGATCCCAATCCCAATCCGTTCCTTGGATCCCTCTGGCTTGCCGTGGGTCAAGTACTGATTGAAGAGATTAGTCTAGTTCGAGTCTTGAGTAATGGAACTGGATTTTCGCTGAATGTCGAGTTGGACTCGGATGAAAACAGTCCTAGCGAGAGAGAGGCAGAGCTGATGGACAAGCTTGAATGTGTATTTGAAAGCGCACAGATGTCGAGGGTCTATCATTCTCCTCTGGCGGGTCAGTGTATTTCTAATCATTCTTATTTTAATATCTCATCATGGAATATGTCTGTAGATTACCTCTTTAACAAACTGCAGAAGATACATCGGAGTAGGCTCCATGGCGTGGACGACGCACTTCCTAATATAGCAAATAATCAAATGGGAAAACCTGAAGTAGCGAAAGTCGGCTCCTCGTTGTATCGGCATCGCATAGAGAGACCGGGAAAGGGCCTCGTATTGAGGCACTGACCTTGCCTTCATTTTACAATATATCACAATTTCGAAGATGTTTTATGGACAGAATAGTGAGCTTTGGTACAATTTTTTCTCACAATGTGCACCTTCAACAAGTACATGGCATTAGTCTCCAGAGCACAAAAGGCATGTAGAAAACACAGAAGATGTACAAGCCATATCTTTAACATTCAGATGAGGTGGTTGGGCATTGAGATAGTTGGAGCAGTGAGCAGATGGGGGACAAGCCAGGCCGAAAAGGAATCCGTGTTGTGGCATATTTGCGTTATGGAACACAAACTGCGTCAATTAAAGATGGCGAAAAGGAGTTGGCCAAGCAAGGTGATTCATACATATCTACAGGAAAATGCATTCCCAACTTCCCACCACTATCTGGTGGAAAAACATGGTTTAAGGTTTTCGGTCAGTTCCTTCTAGCCGACTTGAACGACTGACCTCGTCATTACTAGTGACGCGCTCTACCAACTGAGCTAAGAAGGACTGCATAGCTAATTATTAATTATAAACTATAAGTGCGCAATTAAAACATATTAGTTTCCTGCTGCGAAACAATGCTATTGTACCAACGCGATACTTCAACTACCTCGATGACTATCCTGCCAGAGCAATAGAACCTTTGTTTTCTTTGCCGGCCTTCCCAGCTTTCGAACTTTTCTGCAATGTCTTTGTGTCTTTGCGCTTCGAGATAGGCTTGTCGAGAGTATATGAAATCGAACCCCACCTTGTTCCTTGCTCTAGAGGACCTAAATAGCAGTCTTCCTTGAACAAATGCTCAATGCTAGGAACATGGGCCGCTCCTTTGGATTTGGAACTTGTTTGGCCCCGAGGATTGGTAGGACTAGGGTCTCCACATAAGGGCGAGCGTAGAGAGTGCGGCAAAGATTGCTCTCGAACACCATAGGTTCTATTCATGGTTGACGAAGAAAGCATTGATGATATACGGGCTTGCTGAGCAAGAATACTAGTCGGGGTGCCGGACTCTGGAAACGAGGGGCAGACATATAGTCGAGAATCCTCTCTAGCGCGTAAGTATCCGTCATGAGAGTTCAAGACCGAGTCGGATTGGATCCATTCGAAAATTTCCTTCGGCGATGTGGATGGCGGAGAACATAAGGCGGGAATTTCATTAAATATGTACGCAGGTAAGGGTAAAGAAGGGTTTAAAGCGGGAGAAGCGAGAGCAGGACGAGTAGTGAGCGGCGCACGCGACATTGAAGGCGGTTTCTTCGCATCGAGTTGGCGAGAACGGTACGAACGATTGAGACGTAATGAGCCAGGTGGTCTACTCGGTAGAGAACTTTGGATATTAGCTTGAGCGAGGTGCATTTCGGAGATGCCTTGAAACAAGGAGGAACGCTTAGCATGAGCAATCGTGTTGGTGTTTGTATGAATGGCGTGTTTCTCTTCCAAGGCAATTTGATTCTTGGCACAAAGTAGCTTGAGTGGTTTCAACTTACTGTACTTGTCACCGCCATCGGATTTCACCTAGAGTGGGAATGAGCATAGATTGATGGATAGAGCGAGATGATAATCTTGTTGTTATCATCTCGTGTACCTATATGACACCGACCTGTGAGACAAGATAGGCTCTTCCAGTCCCAGAGCTAGAGTAGAATCTCTTGTAGAAGATGAACCCGAACGCGGCGAAAGCGATGGCGATTCCCAGTCCTGCGGCACTTGGTATTATGAGAGAACGAATATTAAAGGAATGTAGAGAGGTTTTCGAATGCGACGTTGACGAAGGTGAAGAGGAGAATTGTGGTGATAGAGATGTAGTTCCAAGAGCAGCAGGGTCATGGATAGCAACCATAGTAAAGACAGGATGATACTAGTAGATGATAGTGGCTAGAAACAACGATTTCCAAATAAGCGCCCGAATATCCCAATTCGACTGAGCTTGTCACTGTCGGTCCGGACCTGTCCGGACTAAGTCTCTGAACGCGGAAAGAAAGGTAGATCATTGTTGTCTCGCACTACCCGCACATTGCAGAGCAACACATATCTGCACATTACACGCGCCCGATAGAAAAACTTGTTTGGGAGACTCGGATAGCATTATTTCATTGGTATAAACAAGATATGTATAAAGCTAAAAGGCATTCGCTCCTTCCTTACGGATCTTATATCGGGTACATTACTGATGTTCCACCAATCCTGATAGAACTAATTGCAATGAGCAGTCCTTCCTCGTGAGCAACACGACAACTAGAGTCTTTTCTTCACCTCGGCATCGTCCGCGTAGTATTCAGGAGCTTGCAGCTTTGCTCGTGTAGAGTAGATCATATCCGTAAATGGCCTTCAAAACCAACGACAGATTGACACAGATTAACATAGCTTCAAATGCTGATGAGATATTTTACGCACCCTTCAAATTGCAAAGCGATAGCATACACTAAGTATACCCATAGAGAGACCAACAAACCTATTGGGCGCTCACCCCTACGTTCAACCCGAAGAATGAAAATTCACACAATCCGACCTATGCATACCAGAGCTCACCAAAACGCGCCACCAGTAAAACATATGGTACTCCCAACATACATAGGATCTCGAAGAATGTTGAATGGGAATCTGGGACAAACATCGTCAGCTAGTGATCTCGGAAAAGTCAATCCATACCCTTCAACTCTAGAGTCCTTCAAGATTCCGAAATAATCGCCCATATAGGTTCCCGTTATGCCTAATTGCCATGTTGAACTCATTACTAGGGCCTGGCCGCCTATTATTAGTGCACCACCCACAAGGGTATTCCAAGGTTGTGGCAAAAGGAGTTCATGCGGTTGTTGGAGTAGGGCATGACGGTATCTGCACCGTTAGGAACAAAGAATGGGGACTCGTCTGCAACGCCTCAAACAAAGTACTTACAGGACGTCCCTCAACATCCCAAACGAGAATATCACGGCGGCGAGAAAATAACAAGCCGCTCCGGCATTTCCACCGAAGACCTTGCGTGTCAAGGTGTGATTTCGGTATTCTGCATATGGTATGACTGTAAGCAAAGTCATGAAGCCAAATAACAGAAGGGCAAATACTAAGACAGGGTCACGGTGCATTCCCTTATTTCCAGCTTTCAATAGTACCACCAATCGTTAGCTTTAACTGCCTGATATGTCAGGAAATACCCAGATGTACAATTTGCCGAAGGTCCCATGCACTGGCCCCATGTCCAGCCACAGAAAAACTCACCGTTTCTAGCGACGATATTCCACACAGCCGGACTAAGTGCAATCGATGTCATCGAAATCCACAGACTGGGTTTAGATGGGTCAAAAGGAATGAAGCACTGCAAATATTGCAGGGAAAGTCGAACGAAATCCATCTGAGTTGACTGAAAACGATCTGGTGGAAAGGAAAGGAAATTTATCACACGGCATGGTCCAAGAACTGAACGCCGGTTTCCAGAGGTTCTCCCGATGCCGGCACAAGCATCATCGCCTCTGGGACTGTCGGGATGGAAGAAGGAATTCAAAGGGCCTGGGGCCTGGGAACGGTGAGCTCCCTCCCGGTCCGGGTTACCCCGATAGCATAATGAGGTGCTCCCCTTGTTTGAGACTCTGAAAGTCTATCAGAGTTCATTTCGAGCAGAATCAGAATCAGATGTATTCGAAGACACTCAGGAAGCTCGTTACTCTTGAACAGATCTGGTGCAGATTCACTGGCTGGTATGATTGTCCATCATGATCATGATGGAAACATCAACTTATTTTTACAAAGGTTTTCTAAAATACTGAGAGCTGCGTATCTATCTATCTATTTAGGGAAAGGTTGAATAAGCATTTGAGTTTTCCCCCAACTAATCTCAGGGTACTTTATGCGGAATCAAATGCAATGACAATGTGGTACTAGTAGTGCTGAAGGGGAACATGAAAAAAACATAGTATCGTAATCACAAGTAATACTGCTGTGGCTGTTTCGACATGTAGGGCTCCATGACCGTGACAATAATAAATGTAGGTAATACATCATCCTCATCATCCTCATCATCATCCTCCATTCTGTGTTTAGACACATCCCGAACATGTAGCACCAGTCTACAGCACAGAATGGAATGCATTACCGTCAACGGACTGAATGTGTGTAAGCTCATTTAGATGAAAATTGCATCAAGATAGATGAAGACTTACGCATCCAACAGTGCCAGAAAGCCTGCCTACAAGCCACATCTATGTTAGTTTGAAATTCAAGCTACAAGATTTGGAAAACTTCACTGTGGCACTGAGAAGAACAGCTACATTTGCAATGGTGAATGCTACTCTTGACGTTCAATTTCAGATAATGTAGAGTTTGCAATAAAGAGCTCACGCAAGATCAATAAGTAGTAAAAAAGACCTACCACGGAATTAGTGAGGGTCAATTCAATGTAAGCTTTGTTGTCACCCACCTTCACAGTACACCATACTAACAACTTGACTGACATGAAATCCGGATTTATGGTCTAGTCGTTAGCAATAATGCAATGTGAGAAAATGAAATGTTCCAAAGCCGTGTTTCTTGCTCACATAAATCGAAAGTTTTCCAAATCGTGAGCAATGTCACCACTTATGAAATAAGAGTGGTCAAATGAACCAACAGCATTTGTTGAGCAAGTTGAATGACTCACCCCATTCACCCGCCAGCAGAGAAATATAACAGACCAATACCACTTTTGACTCACTGGACAGGAAACAAGATGATGAACCTCCAGTACCTTCACTCGCTAGTTGAAATAGTTCATAATCCGATTGAAATCAAACTTCAATAAACATACTCACCAGGAATCGAGGCTGTAAAGCGGATTATAGCCCAGACACATGCAGCAGAAATGACCTACAAAGCACGATACAACGTCTCAGAACAAGAAGATCAAGATTCAAGGATTGGACTGACCACCCATGACAGCCCAAAGATAGCTAAAACGCGGCGAGATTTGTTATAGATGGAATAGGTTCTGAGCATCAAGATGACTATAAAAAACAGTGGAAGTTTTTGGTGTGTCGATGGAATATCTCCTTACGGTCAGAGATCCCGATGGTGAACCCAGCGAAAACTAGAGACGAAGATTAATACCTGATTGGACGCTAGGTTCAAAAAACATCATACTTGTGGTAAAGGTCATCTTGTTGCATGTCTGCCCAACGAGTATTCATGAGGAAGCAGCCAAAAAACACGTTGGTAATATATGACTTACGGAAGAAACCCTCTCTGTTTTGTCCCAAAATTTGTTCAAACAAGAATCATCTGCATCAGGCCCGAAGCTCGCGATGGGTCGGGACTATTACACACCCTGGGCTGATATAGCCATCACTATAAATGGTGCATATCTCGTGTAGAGATACAACACTTTTACTAGGCTCCATCTTGATTGCCATACACGAATAACCTGAAGTGGGGAGACAAATAGTAAGACGATGCGTTGGTAAGATCTATCGTTGCGCACCTCTCGACTCAAGGATATGAACCAGTCATATACCTGGGGAACAACGGGGCAAAATTCAGCCTCAACCTGAATGTTATAGTCGATGTCAGATCGAGGATTACTCACTAACAAGGCAAGGAACGAAACTGGATAGAATTAGGAGAACGATGAATCAGTTTAAAGAGTCCACGAAGAGAAATAATCGATGAATCGACCGAGGGAAGGCAGCAAACACAAGAAAGCTTACTAGTAACATACTTCCAAGAGAAATGGCCACACAAAGTGACAGAAAAATAAGTAATCACTTTATCGGGAAGAACGGTGCCACTTACAGTGACAATTTTTAGCTGAAGTTCCTCTTTGAGGGTGTCAGAGTCCATGCTACCGTGCTTGTCTTTCGCCGTGGCCCACTGGGTCACTAATAGCGAATGTGTCCGATGGCCTCTAAAGAAGAAAGAAAACGAGAGGGATAAAGAAGGTCGTGGATATATTTAGTCTCGAAACTCCCAGTTACTTAGGTCCAATATATATCCTCTCGCTCGTGTATATACTTACCTGTCCATACAACATTATGATGATCAAAAATCTTCGTTGGCAACTGATACCTTCGAAATCTCGCACTTTGTGAGGTTGAATCTGAATTGGGGCGAAACAAGAACGAAATCTTAGGACCTAGCGGACGGTACGGGCACTGCATGCATGCCACACGTCGTACGATAGAGTTCCGATATCAGAAATCTGATCAAGAAACAAGAACGCAGACTTCGGACCTCTCAGGTTAGCCTCAACAGACCTCAACAAAGCCTCAGGATATTCGAGTCAATTATCTTGCATCGTTTGAAATCCGCCAGCTTGCTGTATGGTGTGGATCAGTGTGGATGTTGATAAGGTTTGTAGTTCAATCATCGTGTACTTATATTGCAGATGCATTGAACAAAAGAATGATCGCAAGTATCCTTCATTTCATGCAATCCGGATGCGAATACATCATGGATGGATTGAACGACCCTCTTTTTGAACGAGGGTGCATCAGAAACAACTAACCGAGGAGACAGCCAGACCCTTCAAACCCAAGGTTGAAACAAGGGAGGGAACACTGGATGGACATAAGCAGATCATAGACAAGCGAGAAAAGCAAAAGACCCACTGGAAGCATCCTTATTAAACATGTACGGTACTGTAGGGTTAGGATATAGTGGGCTTGGGCAACCGGTCTACATAGAATCATAGAACACATTTGAGCCTGCTCAAGCTTGGATCTAACCATCTCAGTCCATTCAAACATATTATAAATGTGAATTACATTTTGGTTGCTAAGGAGGGCCTTAAGACTATAAATCTCCAAAGAGGTACTTTGCCTCGCCTTATCCTTCTATGTAATCTCTACAGCTTTTCATGGCTGCGACAAGACCAGAGCCATTAGAAAGCATTTATGCAACGAAAGCCTTGCCCTTCTCGATGTTCTTCTTGAGCTCAGGCAAGCATGCCTCGAGAAGTTTTTCTTCCTCGGCAGAGAGAGGGCCAATAGGGTGAATCTTCTCGACACCATTAACCTAAAAGAGACATCATTAGGACATATAAAGACTGTTAATACTGTGAACATACACCGAGCTCTACAGGGGAAGAGAAGAAGTCGATGCCCTTATCGGCGAAGAGCGGGTTCTTTACAAAGGTGGGGGTAATGACACCCTTCTCTCCGTTGAGACCCCGGAGGAGCGAGTTAGTAAACTTGGCGCCGGCATAAGCCATGGAGAGAGTAGCTGATCCAGCACCATCCTTGGCTTTGACAACCTCATCACCACCGAATTGGATTCTGTGCACGAGCTGCTCATAAGTTTCGCCCTGTAGTCCTTTACCCTTTGCAACCTGCGAGAGCAAAGGAACGATAGTAGGACCAGAGTGACCTCCTACGACAGGAACATTACATTCTGAGGGAGTGGTGCCTGAAACTGAAGCGAGGAAACGCGATGCACGAACGACGTCGAGAGTGGTGACACCAAAGACACGACTGGGGTCAAAGACACCGGCTTTCTCTAATGTGGCGGCTACAATTGGAACGGTGGAGTTGACAGGATTGGAGATGACAAGGATGTGTGCAGTGGGAGCGACACGAGCAACGGCAGCAGCGAGGTCACGAACGATGGATGCGTTGGTCTATAGGATGGAGTTGTGTACTGAGAACCTAGGCAACGATATACGACTCACATTGAAAAGATCATCGCGGGTCATCTTTGACACGCATTTACATTTAGAACAAGATGAAAAGCATGAGATTTAAACGCAGGTACTCACTCCAGGCTGCCAAAGAAATTCAGGCGCGGTTTAGAAAGGAGAAAAATGTTGCTCACCTTTCTCGGTACACCAGCAGGGATCACAACAACCTTGGTACCTTCAAGAGCAGCGTCCAAGTTTTCCATAGCGAACCCATTCACCTAACAACATTAGTTAATTGTGTGACACGAAATCTTGAGAGAAAAAAACAAAGTACCTCACTAGGGGTGTCAACGTGACTGACATCTGCGGCGACACCAGGAGCTCCACGAATATCGTACAGACTCAAATTCGACACTAATGGATCCAACTTTAACAGCAGAGACAGAGGTTGACCGATTCCTCCACCAGCACCAAGCACAGTGACTTTTGTCTGACGAGCAGATGAAGAAGAGAAAAGACGGGCGGAAGGAGCAGTGAAAGCTCTGGCGGCGTTACGTGCAAACATACTCGTCGTGGTCGTGGTTTGAGTGAAAAATACGGGCAGAAACGGAATTAAGCGGAACTGCAGGATCCTAGGGAACTTTCCCGGCCCGAGGAATCGCTAAATTCTTCCACCACCAGGTCTTGTCAACGCAGAAATTCACATTGGATGATATTGGCAAGGAATCAGTATCTGGGTTGTCCTGCCGATTACTACGACACTACTGGTTTCTTCTCAGTAACTGATAGATGGCTCCAGAGTCCAGGAAACACCAAATAAACAACACTGTCTCAAATCTAGCTATAGGATCTTGACCTTCATCGCTGTTCTCATTCCAACAATATTTACTTTGAAAGCCCGATCTCGTTCTCATTATTCATCCAGGACTGAAATTCGAACCGTCCGATGTTATGAGAAAGGCTTTAGAATACGTGCTCTTTCACATATGTGAGTTTCTACATATCTTTGGCTACTAAGTGGTTGCGTGTCGAATCCTAGGAGAGGGTTCAAACTTCAAAAGCATTGAATGACGACTCAGGAGAAATCCTTCTTCCCAATCATTTGTCTATTAAACCCCCATTTGCTGGTGAATTGTTTGAGTGGATATTTAACCATTTTCCTGCTCATGCAAGTGGGGATGTCGACGTCGGTAACGTTTGAATTTGTGAATTGAGCCTTGAGGAGTATGAAGGTCATTTATTTGGCTGTACCACAGCTAATCTTGTGTCAAAAACTCACTCAACAGCTTGACTGAGGCCTTTGTCGTTCATGAAGATAGCACTCTCGGATTACATTATACAATGTACAACACAGCCATAGGTACCCCTTACATCCGTCCTTTGATTTAAGCCAACATCCTTCAAGGATCCACCCTCCGCCAGTGCCTGTGATGCAGGTAGTCACTACTGATCATGACCGATTTCCAGATCACTAAACACAAACGGGAAGTTGAATTAATGGAGAATGAGTTTGTTAAAAGGACTCACAAATAAGAACCAAAGGTTTTTGAATTCCACCGTAATAGGAGCACTACCACTGATGGTGAATGTGCAAAGGTCGGACCACAAATGTCCTTCGAGAAAACCCTCAGGTTCTCCATCAACTCTGAACTTGACTACTCTGCTCAAGGTATTCCTCAAGGGAACACCAGTGAATTTCAATGCTACATCTCCCAGATATGCTTTAATCTTCTCCGATTCGAAGACCTTCTTGATCTGGTTCTCTGTTGATGATTTCTCCTCCGATGTTAAGGCATGTAAACGATGACCGCCAATAAAACCCCTTCCATACCCACCCTCTCCTACATATGAAAGGGAAATGTGTCGAATAACTGATGAGAAAATTACAAGAAGCAATTTGACATTCAATTGAGAATTAGATGAGGAGGGAGAGCACCTTCTCCAGTACGAGGCAGAATTTCCCGATCACCAAACTGGGATGTTTGGTCCAAGATGTCGAACTACCAAATTTGCCTGCGTTAGTACTGAAACATTTCATTGTGATACAGTCAATTACAGGTCGAGGTGCGGCCCATATGATAGAAGCAAATTTATCCCAAGTTTATGCGAAGCGGATTGAAGCTGAGTGGAAACTGCCATCAATTATAGATACATACATAGCAAGATTTCCAAGTCTAAGCGGTGATGAGCTATATTTTAACATACTTCGTCGTAGGCCGACTAGCTCAGTTGGTTAGAGCGTCGTGCTAATATTAATATAGAACGCGAAGGTCTTGGGTTCGATCCCCACGTTGGCCAGTGAATTTTTTCTTCGACGGGAAGTGAATGAAGTAATTGTTCTTAGCAGTTGCTTACGATGTGCCCGAACCCGAATCTTGTCGACAACGATCCTGAAACGTTGGCGCATTTTGTCCCGTTGGATCCCGTTTCTCGCCGTGCGTACGCTCTATCGTGCAAACATCTCCCTCCCGCAATCTTGAATCACTCTTTGCGTGTCTGGATCTACGCAGCGACACTCAGCGGGCTTGAGAAGCTCTCTTCTTCTCGACTGCCTCTGCTATTCACTGCTTGTATCCTCCATGATATCGGTGCTACCCTTGCTTTCTCCAACTTGGACTCGGAGAAGCTTCAGCGTTTTGAAATTGAAGGAGCAGACGCGGCAGCGTCTCTTTTACGAGAAGCTGGAGATTCTTCCATCTCACAAGATGATATCGAAGAAGTTTGGCGCGCCATAGCTCTTCACTCTACTCCCCAAATTCCAGAGCGAATGGCGGGGCTGGTTCGCATTGTTCGACTTGCCGTTTTGAGTGATTTTCAGCGAGGCACTGTTGCTGGGAAGGAAGGGTTACAGGAAGAGACCGAGGCTCATTTTGAAAGATTGGAGATTGAAAAGGTTCTTGGGGATGCTGTGGTTCAGCAGGCATTGTGCAGTCGAGTGCCAGAGGCAAAAGCCCCGGCCGCAAGTTGGCCTCACGACTTATTGAGGGCTCATCGAGAATATCCTGAATGGGAAGGAGTCAATAAAGGCTTTTAGCGTGCGATGTCATGGTTCTGATCACACAAGTTTGTTTTGTGTGAGTCTATGTTGCGGGTGCGTCGTGGAGTCAGGGAATCTAATTTACAAGCATTCATAGAGATTTGCGGTGCTTGGAATTATGATGGCCTTGTAAACTTCAATGGAATAAAACAGAACGAACCAGCCGTGTTCGATAGGCTAAGTCCTAATGTCCGTAGTCACAAGAATTAATCCAAGTTTCCATCCAAGTGTCCAGTAACACCCTTCTCCAGATCGATTTCAGAATCCGTGCCTTCTCCTGCTCCGACAGCTCCTCTCAATCCAAGCCCAAACAATGGACGACGTGAAGGTTGTTGTTCATCGGGGATGCCTTTGGTTCCAACATGTCGGTCTCGTTCTCTACCTCGTATCACGTCAGCAGCTACGTCGATTGCGGGACGCCGACGACTACGATCTGCCGTCAGTGGAAAGTCCTTGGTCTGTTGCGTGCGTAACTCTTTCACTCGATCGGGAATGATCATCGTATGAGCGTCTGTGCTTCTTCTCCGCGATGTTCCATGTGTATCGTGCGGATAGGGAGTAGTACCTTCCCTATTCTGAATCTGAGCTTCGATATATACCCGAGTCCTTCCACCATTCCCAAAACCATTCGAGCCATAACTTTGCAGTGTGCGCACTATGAGAAAAAAGTACAGCATTCCGAGGAGGAAGACGAGCGTGATAGCGATTCGAGGACCAAGCGCCGCCCTGTTACTGAGCGGTGCGCGTTCATCAGGATCGGATTCGGCACCAGTTCGCCAGACGAAAGATAAGATCGATACGATGAAGAGAATCATGGACCATGACATCCAGGCTGCTGGCATTGCAAGTAAAATCCAGACATTCCACCAAACCACTGTCTTCGTTTTCTGCGCTTCCTGTGATCGGAAAGGTGAGTTTAGGAATGAATTGTCAATGGATAACAAAGATCATACTTCAGCCCAGATAGAAGCACGATACATACTCCTCATCGTCCCAAAACGTACAATATACATACATCCGTATGAAAGGCTCATAATAGCACAAATTAGAGAAAGCAACGCAGCGGTTCTCGTGAGGGGGTCAGTCGCAGCATCCTCGATTTGGAACATGGTCAAGATAGCACTAGAATTGTAATTGTAAGTCGTGGATATCGTCAAAGAAGAGAAGTCCGTACGATAATAATAAAGCAGATACAACATTCAAAGTTTTCCATTCTCTCATCAATGAATCGACGAACGCCTCCCAAGAAAGCTTGAAACGTATAAGCGACGAAGATACCAATGGGAGGCTCCACTCTTCTGGTAAAGGTAGCGGAAGGTCGACTACGGAGGCTGCTGCCACTAAATTTGGAGCAGATGTTGAACGCAGGTCAGCACCGGCGGTAGTGCTTAAAGTATTGTTTGGAAGCGGCATCTTCATGTTTGTTCCTGCGTTAGCAGCGTCGATGTTATGGGTAGTCGCAGTTGCGTTTGTTTGACCGTGTTGGAAATGACTACCACCCCTTCCGCAGGCATCGATCATGCGCTTAATATCAGGCTTGCTGACCTCTGCATCTTCAAATATCCGCGCGACACGCGAAAAATACATCGACGGAATACGCAAGAGCAGATGCAGATATATCAACCGTGGAAGAGTGTCTAGGAAAAAGATACGTATCATGTGAAGATCCATTGAGTGGACATGGTTGGATTTATGTACATGGGCAGCGAATGCGTTATCCTCCCTTTGAGTATGAAGGTCGGCCGAATAATGAGCAGCCTCAGTATGATGAGAGTGACTTTCAGTCTTCATCGGAAATCCCTCTGGGTCACTGGTATGGCTACGCAGTTGTTTCCGAATCCACATCGGAAGATGAATTCTGGGAATTCTGAGTCGCGGAGGGAGAAGAAATTGGGATTGAAAAGGATCAACTGGAATAAAAGGCTCTTCGTGGTGACTGGTGTGTGTTCGATGATGGATACCTTGAGACCATTGCTGGAGTATCCTAAGAGGCGACGCTGCCCTGGAGCGAGAATGCGATGGAGACCGGGAGCCAGCATTGAAATGACCTTCTTGTTTGATGACGTAGTCGCCAGAAACAACATTAGAGGAAGCAGTAGGATCACTGCCTCGGCGAAGCCGATGTAGAACTGGTACAACAGTCAGCATATACAATATAATGAAAAGATCAACGATATTGACCTTGTCTAACGCTTTGCATTGTAGGTAACGATGTACGGTCGCTTTCCAACGACGCCCGCCGAGCAGTGTCATGGTCGAGAGAGCCCTCAGACGCGCTGACACGAGGTCGTCTTGCATCTTTGGATGTTCCATTTTCAGCATCTGGGAGCGTTGGGCTGAATCCAGCGAATGACTCCATATTGTTTCCAGACTGGGATATACTCGGCCAAGATCTCGACGCATCAAGACTATGTCTAAATATCCGAGGTGACTGGCCATGATTGTTCGGTATAGGAGATCGGCCTCCACGATTGTTGAGATTTGGGCTGACTATTGACGGGGGCAATGCAGATAGCTTGTCAGAGTAAGTCAAAGTAGAGGTGGCGTTAGAGTCTAGTATGAATTGTTACATGTATACAGTAGTGATAGTGCTAATGCAGACTCACCTGGAGAAATGGACGGAGGAGTATTTCCGTCTTGCAAAGAAGGAAAAAGCATAGAAGAAGGCCCGAAGTCTTCTCTAACGCGACCTACGCTAGTTTCAGCAGTGTCCTCCACACTCCCAACCACTAAATTCTCTTGAGAAGTCATCGTGAAACAGTGTGTTGAGCTTGGTTGGTATTGTGGATGGAAGTTGTTCGTCTGGTTGAGTGAACTTCAAGTACTTATTTACTCGATTGTCCTTCCAAGGCTCGAGATGCCATAAATATCACAAGGGTAGGAAGAGAGGCTGAAGCTAGAGGAGCAGATAGTACAGTGACTGCTGTATTCAGCTGTGCATGGAACGTCGTACGTAGAGATTCGAGAAAGAAAGCTGGAAAAGGAACCTTTACGCGTGACGCAACAGCACGTGACACTGTGTAATCATTGACAAAGATCCGGAACCGCGTTTTTGAGTCACTCAGACTGGCACCATCTTCAAGACTTGCACTTTGCAGATTTTTGACTCAAGATTCTTCCAACTACTCTTACTGCTACTGCATAATGCCTGCTGTCCGATCTTCAGCTCAACTTATAGAACTAGACAATGAAGCTCGCGTGATCTACTATCCTGCAAGCCAATCTGAAAGGGCTACTTTCAGAACGATTAATGGAAAGGTAGGTTGTTATGAGATCTTTACAACTCATCCTGGCGTCTTCAATATTATCATAGCGCTTGACTGAGCACCAATGGAATGTATACGACTTTACCAAGTCAATACCGAGCGGAAAAGTATCGACTTACGCTGAGGTATGTCGAGCTGTTGGAGGCTCACCTCGTTCAGGTACAAGCTTGTTCAAACGCTTTCAATCATCTCCTCAGAATCATTGATAACATTACACAGTTGGAAACGCACTCCGACACAATCCATTTGCACCATGCGTCCCTTGTCATCGTGTCATAGCCTCCTCGCTCTACATCGGTGGCTTTGTTGGCGAGTGGGGTCCTGATAGCAAGACCAAGACGCAATATCATAGGAAAGTGGCGATATTGAAGGAAGAAGGCGTGATATTTACAGAGAAAGGTTTTTTGAAGGAGAAGGAGCGAGTCTGGAAAGAAGGCAAGAAATCGTGTTGAGGAGGACGTCCTGAATGACTTTGAAATAGTACACAAGCACATATTTTATGGTGATTGGTGCACGCACTTGTGAGATTGACGAAGAATACCATACTTCGTATGTACTTTGTTCTGTTTCTCTGTCAATCACAGATACGATGTGCAATGTACCAATGCAGTGCCTACTGGGTTGTGACTTGGTTGAAAGGAAGGATCGATCCGCGTTTCTCGAAGGTCCCGTTGAAGGGTATCCCCCCCGGAGGGAGGGAGGATTCTGTAAGAACAGGACGTGCATGCTTGATTTTACCGACACATTTTCAGCTAGAGAAGGCATGGTCAATTATTGGATGATGAGTCTCTCCACCCCTCGTGCAGCATGAATATGCCCAAAGACATGCAGTGTCAGTTGAAGGCGCTACAAGGCAGCCAGCAGGCCTTGACGCCCTGACCTATTCAAATCCAGGTGATGCGCTGGAGGTCCGTGATTTACTAAGACGTCTGTATGTAGCGGAATAACTGACGAGTCTGCTGCCTTACGCTTATACTGAAAGACCCATGAGCCACGTCTTGGAGTCAATGAACTATCATAGACAAGAAATTTTCGTCCGTTTATTATCATAGCAGTCGATGTATTTTCTAGTCTGGAAATTAAGAAGGGACACTCGTACGAATATCAGGTTCATCCAAAGCTCGATCGTGATTGCCCGCGATGAAAATCTTGTGTGGATGTGGCTGCCTGAAAATCCGTCGTAGTGCTCTGGTCAGCTCTTGATATGAATATCGCCGTCAGGAAGGGGAGGAGTTTCGTCGTCGTGATTGCTGAGATACAGACGACACGGAGCACGGACCGGGTTTTGGCGGTCAATTCTGCTGCGACGACTGCCAGAGCTGAGAGTTCCAGCAGTATATACGCTCCGCAAAAAAGTGTAAGGGATTGGCAACAAACAGTTTGAGCAATGTGGGTGGACACCGGTTCGAAATTTGAAAAGAGCATTCAAAGTAAGCTAAGCGCCGATAATTCCGTCGGTATTTTTCCCATCCATCAAAGGTCCATCATGACCGACGCACTCACAGCTGAAATCCTCAAATGCCTCTCTGTTTTTTGCTCTCATGCCCCTACTCAATCAAGCCGTTCTAGGGCTACAATTCCTTTTCCTGACTTCACTTTCCAATGCTGAAGATGTATTCGCTCATTTCATGGTATGTACACCACTTTCTTCGCCTCCCAAACATTTGTCCATTCGCTCGATGTTCCAGGTACAAAACTCATATTCCTATACCAAAGCTGACTGGGCCGCGGATATCGCCGCGGCTCAGGCTATAGGTATCGATGGGTTCGGTAAAACACATTCCCGAAATCAATGTATCTCAGACTGACTCCTTATGTGTCCAGCTCTCAATACCGCTGTGGACTCATATGAACAGACCAAGTACCCGGATGCTTTTGCAGCTGCAGAGGCTGTTGATTTCGATTTATTTATCTCATTTGATATGACATATGAATGGGAGGCGACGGACATGGTCAGCCTAGTTAAAAGTTATGCAACCAGCTCGAGCTACTATCACTGGGAAGGCAAACCACTGGTCAGCACTTTTGGCGGTGACAGCGACACCAACGATTTTTGGAACACATTCAAGACAACTCTTGCCAACGAGGGAATCTCAATATCTCTAGCGCCGGCGTTCATTGACTATCGAGATCCTGATGAAGCCGCGCAGATGTTCTCAATTTTTGTTGCTATCGATGGATTCTTCAACTGGTGGTCATGGTGGGGTCGTCACACACACATCTCTCATCGTCGTAAAAGCACTGACATCCCTGCAAAAGGCCTGCCGATGAGAACGCCAATCTTACTACCGACACAGATCTAGCTTATAAGAAAGCCCTCTCAGCGGCTGGCAGAACTGGTCCATACATTATGTGTCAGTGCGTCTTTCGCAACTCTATTTTTGCTGACAATGAACACACCAATTTAGCCGTTTCCCCTTGGCAGTTCAAAGAGCTCGGCGATGGCCAGGACTGGGTTGAGCAGTGTGATACCTTATGGAAATATCGATGGGAGCAAGCAGTTCACGACGTCGAACCTGATATCATTGAGATTCTTACTTGGAATGATTACGGTCCGTTCTTTCTGTCCTTGTCAAAAATTTACGACTGATAAATCCCTTTCATAAGGCGAAAGTCACTACATTGGGGATATTAACCCTGTCGTGAACCTTGGAGATTTGGCTCCCTTGTACGTCAATGGATTTGACCACTCCGGATGGAGGATAATCGCCGAACATTATATAACGTTCTACAAGAATGGGTCTGCACCGATCACCGTGAGTATGAACTTCCTCTGTAACGAACGTATAATGCTCATTATCATCAATTGTAGGAAGACCGAGTCGTCTACTGGTACCGAGTCTATCCGAATTCCATCACTTGCAGCCAAGGTCAGCTTCCCAGGAATTCGCCCTTCCCTGAAGACGCCGTTTTCGCGTTCACGATGTTGACAGCAGCTGCCCACATTACCCTTACCGTAGGGGAGAGCACTACGACTTTTCTTGCCCAAGAGGGAGTAGGGATCAGTTCAGTGCCTTTTTCGAAAACGGACGGTCAAAAGCCTGAGATCAAAATTGTGAGGAATGGCCAGACTGTGAAGAGCGGAACGGGGTCGAAAGCTATCAGCACGACAAGTTGTGACTACTATAATTTCAATCCCTTCGTCGGAGTTGTCCAATAGATACGCACAAGAACTTCAACATATCAGGAACTTTCAATGTAATGGAACACCGGAATAGGGCAATGCTGCCCGCAACCATTCTTGGCGGAGACCTTGTTAACGGGGATGAGGCAGTTATGAAATATAAACCATATCCGTATCTTGTGAACAGTTCACTACGCTCGGACTGTAGGCCATATAAAAGGCCTTATAACAAAAAACGCGTACCAGCGCGTCATGATCAGGAGTTGATTGTTCCTGTTTAATATCTGGCATGGGAGTCTTAAAAAGGAAATTCTCGGAGCTTCTCCCGGAGCTGATCACTGCATAAGGGGTTTCCATGATGGTTAATCAATTTCCACTCACCGTCTTTACGCTTAGCCACCATCTACTATCAGTATACCCGCCCACTCAATCTTTTCCCCATAACTTTTTTTTATCAGTCTTTCATAGATGTCTAGCTCAGATGCTCCGACACAAGCGAGTGCTAGCGCACTCCCTGAGGGAATAACAGATCCCAACTACAAGCCCCTGCCTGGCCGCCTCGGAAATTTGACGGTCCCTCAACAACATGCGCTTGAAAAGTTCAAGAAGGAATTGCAGGACGAGGGTGTTTTTGTAGAGGAAAGGATGGATGACGCTACCCTTCTACGGTCAGTTCATCGATGGCATCTTGTTCCTCGTCGCCAATATACCTTATCTGTCTCCATAGCTTCCTTCGTGCACGAAAATTTGATGTCGCTCTAGCCAAAAAGATGCTTGTGGAATGCGAACAGTGGAGGAAAGATTTTAATGTTGAGGATATCGTCAAGTGAGTTTTGCTGGCGGTGGCAAAGTCACAAATCCTGATATCATGCAGAAACTTTGACTTCCATGAGAAAGAAGAGGTGGATAAATATTACCCGCAGTTCTATCATAAAATGGACAAGGTGTGTATTGTCTAGCTCGAATTGGTGTACGTTGCTTACACGAATGCAGGATGGACGTCCTGTATATATTGAACAGCTGGGCAAGCTCGATTTCAAAGCGCTTTATGCATGTACAACGCAGGATCGTCTTCTCAAGCGGCTCGTGTATGAATACGAAAAGTTCATCACATCACGTCTCCCTGCATGCTCTGCCGCTGTCGGACATCCCGTCGAGACATCTTGCACAATCCTTGATCTCAAGGACGTCTCACTGACAAACTTTTACCGTGTCAAAGACTATGTCATGGCTGCATCCAGTATCGGTCAAGACAGATATCCTGAATGCATGGGCAAGTTCTACATCATCAATGCTCCGTGGCTGTTCAATGGCGTCTGGGCAATAATCAGGCCGTGGTTGGACGAGGTGACGGTGTCCAAGATTGATATCATTGGGAGCGGTTACAAGGACAAACTCTTGGCCCAGATTCCCAAGGAGAACTTACCTAAAGAATTTGGTGGGACTTGTCGGTGCGAGAAAGGCTGCTCGTTGAGTGATGCAGGGCCTTGGAACGAGGAAAAGTGGCAGAAACTTGAGGCGGAGATGAGTAAAGGGACGGCGAATGGTAATATTGCACCTGCATAGTATTCTTTAATGCGATTGCATACAGGATAGAATCGTAGTACGTTTTAATACCAGTATCGTAATTAATGAGCGCAGTTCTTGAAGACGTTCTTCTGCTGAGCGCTGTTGATCTTGGGGCTTAGATTGGAAGGATCTCCTTCAAGGCAATTGCTGTCCCTTTATGAGGGACACCTCCATAGGTTTAATCGCTGATCATTCCTCCTAGAGGGCTCACCAAGTCCGCGATGAGCATACAACGAAGCTCATCTTAGGATAAGATAAGGCCGGCGAATGAAAGACGTCTAGCGCGCATTAAGCGCTTAAGCTTTTCTACTTCCGTCTCTCATCGCCTCACGTATAACAAGCTATATCTTCGTAAATTCCCCCCCATTCTCCATTCCGATTCAGTGTTTGGTCACTACACACCAAATGCTCCGGCTTGAACCACCGCATCCGGGCCATTTCCCACCCGCGCGGGGCCAAGCCCCAGCCAAACCTCACCTCAGAATTTCTAGAACAGGAGACTTCCGATCTTGATGAATATCCTCCTATAATTCCAGCACTATGAAGAAAGTTTGTTGCGCAGGATTGAGACGCCGATAATGCTTAAATATGGAATACGACGGCGAGTTGGACAGAAAGCCGCGTGGTTTCCCTCTGACCCACTTTGTTATAGCTAAGCTGCACGACGGGCGGGGAACCTTTAAGCACTCAGCAAAACCAATTCGGTCGACGAACGAAAGAAACGAACTGGGTTGCAGAATGCGTTTAATTTTAGATGTATCTCACGTCGGTAAACATCAATGTCCTCAACTTCTCAAACTCTTCATCGAGCTCGAACACGTAGATAATCTCCAAGAGAGGTCCAGTTCATTCCCTTTTTCGTACGACATTCGAGTTCGTCCAGAATGAATTGCCTGCTCGCCTCGCTGATGAATCTACTGGCATCGAGAGGTATCGAGCCATTCTTGCCAAGCTTTCTAGCCCAATCAATCTCGTTCTTCATCCACTCATACGTCTTTGCCAGTCGGCGTTCGTGATGACAAACTGTTCGAAAAAGTTGGAGGCGTTGATATAGACGTCGAGGAAACATTTCATGGGGTATTGCGTTTTGAGCCAGAGGCAATATTGTCGCAGTTCGTGTGCGGCTTGATGCTGTCTCTGAGTGACCACACGTCGCGGAATCTTTTTCTTCTTGTCGGAATTTTTGTCGTCGATTTCGTGGCCTCCAGTGACTCCTTGTTTGGAGGTAGGTAGGGTAGGTAGGTTAACCGACACGGTCCCATTGAGGTATTGTCGAGGATTTGGCTGTCTCACCAACAGATGGTCAGCTTCGCGTATATCTGTCAAACTGCAGAGTATTTAGAAACTCACTTTGTGCTCACATTGCCTACGAGACTGGTACCAGAGGTTATGGATGTTTATGTGTTGATGCTGAACTTGCTTCCAGCTTGTCCAGCGGCCCGGGTAACTCCAGATATACCAAATGCACCACCTGCAGCTCCAGTGAATGCCCCAATCAGGGCGTCCCCTCCGGCGCGTTTCCATGAGATCTCTCCAACGCCAGCCTTCACTTTGGCGTCTCCGATGCTAGTAGCAATGCCGTACTCTGCTACCATACCAAACTGTGCAGCAGCCGCACTTCCGAGGCTCCCTCCAGCAACTGCTCCAGCGAAAATACCTGGGGGGACCGGCAACGACGCCGGCAGCTGCCCCTGCCATTGAACCCAGAACAGCACCACCCGTTGTGACTATTGCGTTTATGCCCTGTCTATCTATCGCCTTCCATGGCTTTTTTCACAGTTCATAAGATGATCATTCTTGAAATGAACAGACTCATTGAATATGCCCTCGTACATCAGCCATCCCGTACATTTGGAACAGTGGCTGATGGAGGGGAGTTACAGTAAGGTTTGATGCATTTCCGCCCATTCTTGTATCTTACTCTGATTCTTACTGAAATCGCGGCACTCGTGGACAAATGTCTATCCTTCCTATGTAAGCCTCCGTTCTTTCCATCCCATGCCCAAACTAGGGCTTGCCGTCGCTGGAGACCTGTCATCACAATGGGAATTGGGATGACGACGACAGGTTTGTCAGAAAGGTTCTGACTCTCTGTCGGATGGTCACCGATGGTGTCCGTGCAGTAATCAATATACTCGACTCTGAATTGTGGCCCTTCTAGTCCTGTGGTGGTGAAGTTGCAATATTTGGAATGGAGAGCTTGGTGCGATCTTGTTCCTTCTCTAAATAGTGAGCTCAAAGTTGACGACTCCGACATTATTTATCTAACCAGGCAAGCCACAAGGTTTGAAACTCTCTGGTATCCGAGTGTATCTCATTGTCAGCAATCGAACTGTCGAGAACTTTTTGACGTTAGACGTACCACCTGCATACCTCATCGCCATTTTCGCTCATACGCTTCCGAAGATAATATCTTTGATTGTAGCGTGTGCGTTTACATGAATTTTACATCGTACTAGCTTCTCAGAATTCTCGTTCATCCGAGAGGGACATCCACTGGACCAGCCAACATGCCCTCCTGCAACAGACGTGGATAGTAGCAGACGGGTCTACGACATCGGGAATGGAAAGCAAACCGTGTACTTTTTCCTCTGTCCTATTGGAGTCCCAAGTGGCACAACGGGCGGAGAGTAGCTTCTGAACAGTCAGCGACCGAATAGCGCAGATAAATCATAAAAACTAACCAGTTTCATCTTCAGATGTATTTCTTGTCGTCGGTCATCAACTTCCTCAACTTCTCGAACTCTTTATCGAGCGCAGTCATCAAGCCATGCAGACTGTCTCCGAGAGATGTCCAACTCATTCCTTTGCTCGTACGGCGCTCGATCTCGTCCAGAATGTATTGCCTGCTTTTTTCGCTGATGAATCTGCTGAGATCAACAGTTATCTGGCCGGTCCGGCCAAGCTGTCTGGCCAAATCTATCTCCTTCCTCATCCACTCATACGTCTTTGGAGCACCATGCCTTCCTTGTCGTTTATCTTCGAGCTCGGTACATGCAGCAATCACGCACTCATTTGCGTCGTTCCAGTCGGCGTCCGTGATGACAAACTGGTCAAAAAAGTTGGAGGCGTTCATGTAGACGTCGAGGAAGCATTTCAAGGGATGTTCCGTCTTGAGCCAGATGCAATATTGTCGAAGTTCGTGTGCATCATGATATTGTTTCGCGGTGACCACACGCTTCTTGTTGGAATCCATTGGATAGGATTGAAGTTGGGGGACGGTCGAGCGAACAATGGGGTTTATGTAGTCCAGCAACAATCTTGCCCGAAATTGTCAAAGGGTGTCGACGACAATCCTCAAGGCACCTCCGAGTCAAGCCGTACAAGACTCTTTCAGGTTACTACCATGAGGACTGTCAGATGCGCCACCGAATGGATGACTTCCCGTAGGAATTATTCGCAGGACACCAGACAATTAATTTGTGCCACCAATATAAGTGAACCTAAGCGAAGATGGCCGGACAGGCTTCGCAAAAACTGCATCAAAACCAACTTACAACGGCCTCCCTACCCTGTTGTAAACAGGTTTTTGGTGTAAGCGAGGGTCCCATCAATAGTCCGTGCGTCGCATATAATACCGTTAATAGTTAACTGCAGAATAATTGCAGCGGGAAGTCACCCAATCTTCCGCAGAGCACAGACTCTTCGTTCCAACCACTATACTGGCTCAAGCTCCTAAAATTTCGGCTGAATGATGAGAAAGGTGAAGAGGGAGAGACTGAAGCTCAATCAGTATCGGGAACCCACCGAGTTCATCCTGGTTATTTTCTTGTTGACAACCCTAACTCGAATGACATGTATGTATACAACATCGAGTCCGACTTATTCGAAGTTCTTGATCCCCAGGTCAGACCCTGTTAGACCTCACTAAGTCCTACACGTCGTAAATGTTAATGAGGAGGCACCAGTAGGCACCTTCCTATGTTCATAATTTACAGTCCTCAATCCGCTACGGACACGCTTTCAAAACTTCACCGACGTCCGCAGCGGTCCGCTTGTGTTACGCGCGACATTTTTGCCATCGGAACATTGTTCCAAGTCATGGGCTTCAAAATATGAGGCTGCATCATAATTAATCGAATAAGTCAGATGGAAAGCTACCTAGAGCTATGAAGAGAGAATTTGTGCCGATTCGAAACGCTAAAACACGCGTACGGTCCCCTTTCCTCCTGTCCTTGCCCTTGTTTACCCCGCTTGCAATCTATCCTGCTTTCAATCTATCCTGACTTGTCCAGTAGTGTTGGCAAGTATTGGTGTGTGCCCTGGCGCCTGCCAACTGACATCAATTAACCGACTGACAAGGACACCTTGTCCAGGAGGGGACGGAACCATCATGGAACTAGGTCCGGTGAGTCTAGCCTAGCCTAGCCTAAGAGGTTTTGTTTTGGAAGCAAACGAGGACTAATGGGGCTGATAGACAGTGAGTGCTTCATCGAAGCCGAGAGAGGGAGAAATAGAGGGATTTGTATCACCACCGCAGGGTCACCATTTCGGAGCCAAGAGCGGGACAAACGATGTACCGAGCAACTCAAGCTGTCCAGTATGAGATTGCAGGCCTCCCTCGCACTCTGCTCGCACTCATATACTTACATAAAGTAGATCTTTTCTCAACGGGCAATTCAGGTTTTGCTGCCTCCGATATCAGTATAGGTATACGATGTGCACAACGTACATGTGTTCTTAAAGGCAATCGTAAGTCAAAATTCATCCCGCCTGACCTTAAGCTTATGCCACTTCGTATCCACCCAGGTTACACTCTCAACCCCTCCAACCCTCATATGACACTCAAAGCCTTCTGATCGTCATCTCCCCTCTTTCTCGGTCCTCCGGCCACATCGTACATGCTCCCAGATAGGAATTTTTCATAGGATCTAAGAATACTTCATCGTCAGCAAGCCGGCTATTGAGGAAGATTGATATTAGACGTACCACATTATTTTTTGGAAATTGGGCAATGTCTTAATGGTCAGTTTCGCAGCTTCGGCCTTAGCCGCAAAATCTAACAATATCCCGTTCACATATTGGAAAGGTGGTGCGACATTTATAATGTAAGCACGCAAAAAAAAATACGACACTGACCCACGTAACATTGACCTTGGAAGGAAGATGGGGCACATTGGTATGGGATTATATCATCTCCGAAACCGAAGGTGGAGTCTTGCAATGTAGTATTCAAAGCTCCTTGAGCAATGGTTAAAATAAGAGTTGGAAATATTAGAGACGCACATACTGCTTTGAGTTGTACCAAACTGACAGTAAAATTGAAGATCCCGGCCAGAGCACCGCATCTTCATGTTATACCAGTACTGTCCCAAAAGGAGGGAATCAAATCTCGAATGAGAATGATGCAGACGTACATACAGTCCCCTCTTTTCGAAGCTTTGAATTCCCTGAACTCCTCGATGGGGAGCTTGATCGTAAAAACTTGAACGGAGGAAGGTCTTCTATGCGTAATATTCTGTACCCCTTTCTCATTACAACGGCTGCTGCTTTACGTGGTTTGTAATGTCCTATTTAATCTGGTCACGGTCTCGAAGATGTTAGCTCCATCTGCATTTGCATCTTTGGATCCGTGCATGGCTTCAATTGGAGTAACGGTATATCCAGGACAATGTTGATCAATGATTTGAGTGATCTACCGACTGTTTCTTAAATTTAGGTGAACAGTACTGGTAACTGATCAGACGTACAGTTATCGACAGGGTTCCAGTCGAGACACATATGAAGCACTTAGTGACCATCCAAACATGTGCAAGGCAGCAAAGGAGAAGAGAAAGGCCTATCAAAGTTATTCCGAGGGTAGCCCACAGTATGATTGCTTTGCTTTGCATGCAAGATGTGCTGGTGACCGCCCCGTCGACGGCGGCAAATGCCATCGTTCCCGGGTTTTTGAAGCGCATGTTTGTGTTTGCGGTCGGAATGGTCGATCCGTAGTCATTCTTATCGAGTGTAAATGGGACTAGAACCACGACGCGGTAGATTGACCGTAAGATTGAAATAGAAATGACACCAAAATCCGGATTCATGATGGTCCGCCTACGATCCCATATGTAAGGCATACGGGTCATTATTGCTGCTGTTGTTACAGTTAATAATTGCGATAAAGGAGTCCCGAGTATATTCCCAGTAGAGAGAGGATCTATCACGTTGAGAGTCAAGCCGAAATCGTATGCGCATGGAACGCGTAACTTACCCAGGAAAGACAGTCAAGGGCACTACTCTCCCGAATATGTTGCACAGCACCCGCGAGTTCTAGATTTGAACAATTGGCTGATGATGTTACGACGATATTCCCTATAGGTAAAAAACTTAGTACAATGTATTTCAAACAAGCAACATTCCCTCACCAAATTCTTGTTGGGGAATGTACTCCGTACGTACAGCTTTGACCTCGACCTTACTATTTCCAGACACCGTTCCCAATCCGTATGCGCAGATCATGATTACTACATACTGTACAGTTGTAGATAGATCACGCAGACGGACAGTACTCGAGCTCCCTCAGTTGCTTTTACATCAACTGAGGTGAGCTCACTAACGCACTAGAATACTCGCACTTACTGACGGTACCTACTAGATTAATTCTACGTCAACAGGTACATAAAACTATATACAGTTGCTTTTACATCAACTGAGATTAATTCTACGTCAACAATTCTGAGCCCGATGAGCACAGTAGATAAATTAGCCAATACGGTCACTTTTGTTAGAGTCTACCTCCGCACCGCGTACGCACAGTCCACAGCTTTGACCATTCATTTTGCTTCCGTCCGATTACATATACACTGTACAGTTTATAAGCCACCAGCGGACGGAGGATGGGGGGCTCACTCAGTTGTTTTACATCCAACTGAGGTGAGCCCCATACCATTTACCTTTACATACCATGCTCATGACATATAGAGTATTTACTATCTGACAGGTACCGAATATAGTTGTTTTACATCCAACTGAGAGTATTTACTATCTGACAACTTTCGCTCATGAATGGAAAAGAAACAGTGAAAGTGGAGACCTCGGGACAACAGCAAGTCTTACATTGACAAGATACACCGAGTTCACAATATACTTAACCCAAGCTTCGTCATCCATGCCGGTGGCAGCAAAAACGCGTGTTATTCTAATATCGATTGAGTTCTGAGAGATCATCCCAACTGAATTTCGACGATACAGGAAGACCCCCGTCCTTACCTGTCCTTACAGTCCAACAAGGAAACAAGGAAGTGGAAGGCGGGAACTTGAATGACGACCACAATGGAAAGGAAGATGTTTGTTGACTGATTATGATACAGGGCGTATACTTTGCAACTGTGCCTAGCATGGAAAGGTAGGTAGTCTCCCAAAGGCAGAATCTTTACCTCTTGACACTTTCGAGTCGAGGTGATACAGTGTGGCTTTTGGAATCATTGTTATTACGAACGGACAATCAGACGAAGAACGGCACATACCATCATCACAACCGTATCAATGTCACTTCTCAGTACTTCTACCATTTATGTCCGAAACCGTGAGCCTATCTGTTCCACCGCTAGCTCTGGGGATGCGCAATAATTACGAAATTCAGGGATCGATTAAACCGTTCCTCCTGAGAACGACTTGATTGAGGCTGGAGTGGACCGGGAAGATGCTGTTTCTTCGCTGTCATTAGGGAGAACGAAATTACTCAGGTTAATGGCGTTGAAGAGACTAATGATAGCTAATGATGCAGCAGAATTCATGATTTTAAAAATCGCATCAGAGGAGATTGTGGCTGACTGATAGAACGAAAGACAGAAATAATCGTATTTTGTTGCCACGGTACACGCCAAAGTTACAAGAGGGTCATTGAACGTATGTAGCTGAGCGTACGAGTTGTATTCAATAATTTCTGTGGTCCAATGAGTGGTCAATTACTCTATATAGTAAGTACAGTCCCGGTGTTACGTGTATTCCGAAGCCCTAACCTAACCATCCCGAGTTTCGGCGCCCCTACCTTCGTACAGCCAATTACATTTAGAGGCTTCCACTCCCAGTCACTGTTGTGAGCGCTTCATCATCCCTTTCCCAAAATCTCCGAGTCCATCAAATACGTAGAACATCGATGTTCGAATATTCAGACGTTCTGTGCTTCTCCCGTCTATATGGTGCTGGCAGATGTTGGCCTGGTACGGCGTTTCTGTGAGTGACCTAGGATGATTCTGACCTCTTTTGTCATACTAGGTCATACTAGTCAAAAACCTAGACTTGGCCGCATCATCTGATCCTGTACAATATACGGTCACCAGAAAAGTGGAAGTACTATGGTTATAAATTGACCACCTATTTTGCCGGTATAAATTCATTATACAAATCTCTAATAGAGTATACTAGAGTATACGAGAAGAATTACTCTGCGTGAGTTTCGATTCGTCAGCAATTCAAACACTGTGTGCAGCCAGATATGAACTTGGCACGGTCACAGCGCTTCAGGACGATACATCTTTTGGATGATGCATTTCATGAGGCATTCTAGAGTCACTAACTGACTGTTGCAAAAAAGGATCATCAGCGGACTAATTTCTTGAAGCTCCTAGAACGTATGGAGCCGCGCATACATATGTAAGCCCGGTTTTTTTCAGTGCACTCAAATCAAGGGCCCCCCACATCTGAGATCGTAGCGCACTTCGCCCTTGACCACACATATTCGAAGCATCCCAAATCACCCCGCGTATTTGCCGCATATTACTGTATCCTCAACCTAATCGTGCGCAGATGCCGGTGGTCCTTATTTTTGGTTTTCTATTGTCGAACTCTTCCTGATTCCTCCTGAAGTGCCCGAATTGTTCTACATGATTTGAAGACGGTGAGCAATTCAGCAACCCACGTAGCTTTTTACGGCTTACGTGGGGAGGCTAAACACCCATAGGCTTGGGGGTTTTTTTTAGTGCGCTCGACTTGAGGTGCACCTAATAGCTACACACGTGAGGCTGTAATGCACTTCGCCTTTGACTGAAGTATAAGCAACAGCGTATCTGCCGCATATACTATTTAAAACTTAATTTGCACAAGAGACCGGTGGTCTTTATTTTTTGTAACCTCTTTTGATTGGGAGAGGGTGATCTAACAACCCACGCTTTCATGGCTAATGGGGGTATATTCAACTTTTGGAGGTAATCCAAAGACTTACCTTCTAATACATTGCTTCTGGCTGAATTTTGCGAGCATTTTTGGCGAATCGGTCTTCTATAATCTTGTTTCCGTATATAGTATCAGTGTTCCTTCGTTGACCCCTGACATTTTTTTACTTTTGGTAATCCCTCTCGTTCCAATCCTACCTGTGCATAAGAGTAGGTGCAAATCTGGCACGTTGCTGCTGTATATGTAAGGATTTGCCGAAATTTCATGCACGTACAGAATTTCTAAAAAAAATCCTTTACATTAAGTGTAACGCGGAACCCGGTTGTTCCTTATTAGGACAGTGTCGATCTACCTACGTAGCACCTACCTTTGGAGGGTGGTCTGTATTCTACTGCCAATGAAAAAATATCAAGTGAAAGGTGTCTGGAAATAGAACAGCATATCACACCTGTAGTGTGTCAATGGTGGTGTTCTCCGTCCCTTACGATCAGTGTATTCGTTCTGACGGATTCAACCAATGAATTTCAAGAAGTAACCTTTTGCCTGGCGCAGATTTGGCAGCTACCGTTGAACACAAATTAAACATTTGAACAGCCCAAAGACGCCATCGTATCTGACTCTGCATGGGATATGAGTCGACTATAGTACTGTGGGCATTATTGTAGTAATAGCCCCTATTATCCACGATAGAGGATTCGATTGCAACTCTTCCTGAACGTCCCCTACGGAAATTTGGTCTACTTGTCCCTTTATCCCATGACGTTTCTGCTACGTCTGAAAATAGAAATATTACCAAAATGGTTTTGAGAAAAACCAGAAAGAGTTCGCGGGTGGTAGCCAAATATCTTGTACATACTCATATAAACCTAGCTCGTCGGAACGACTCGGCGTTAGTGGGATAACTTCTTGAGAAACGGAAGGGGCTTGTTCGTCGTTTACAGTTGCAATGCCTGCCTATGTTGCTTTGTGCAGGTCATATGCAGGTCAGGCCATCCCTATAAGTACTTACGATCGGGTAATACTGGACAAGAAATTAAATCATCCGTGGTGAGTGGTCTTCTGTTCATAGTCTTCACGCTAACGCATTGCATCTCATCGTCAAGGTATTACTTTAAACTGCAATACTCCTATGTCCCAAAACTCCGCCGATTTGCCTTCCTCGCTTCAAATTTTCAGAAGTAGATGCTCCGTGATTAGGATACATTTCTGAATAATTGTCAATGTACTCATACACGCAGATGGCAGAAGGAAATCATCTTCCACAAATGTGCTTGGAACCGTCAGTGTATGTAAGTCCTAGAGGTTAATTTTAGGAAATAAATTGGGCCCAGGCTACGGCAAAGAAAATGGCAACACGGTTTCCGCAATTCATTTCAGTGCGCGATTCAAGAATGTTCGACTTCAGATTAAGAAAGCATTATATGTATGTGTCTGCGTACCTGCGCGGATTCACCGAGTCAGGGCAAAGTCTAGTCTCAGCCTCCCGAGTTCGCTGACAGCGAGCGGGATAGGTCACAGAGAGCCTGGCCTCAGGATCTGACATACGTCGGGAAGTCGAAGACCGTAGACGTCGAGAGTCTCGACTCGCCCAGGTGACTGAAAGAGACGGAACTGGTCTGAGGCCTCTCAGTAAGTATTAAAATCAAAAAGATACAAACAACATATCTGTGATGAGCAAAGGACTCATTAGCGCACAGCTGGTGCGGATATGGTACCGTACGCCCTTGTGTTTTGCGGGGACGTAGAAGATTTGAATGAGTAATGAAAATAAGGATTCAGAGGTCGGTCTACCCCGGTCTTCACATGACTGAAAAGATTGATAATCAATGATGACGAATTTTTCTTCAACCAACGCGTTCAACTTCAACTTTGTCATTCTGCAACCAGACACTCAATGATCAATGTCGTATTTCTTCGCAATCCTTTTCAACTTCTGGCTCAAATGTACCGTCGGCAAATCATAACGTGGAAACTTAATGGGCTTCAACTCAATGCTCCGTCAAAGAATCGACCTCTGCTTCCTCAAAAGGTTCTTTTTGATATGTCCTTTAGAGGATGAGCTGTCCTTGTACTATCTGGCAAACGACCGTTCGTCGCCGGAGACCTCAGAATGCACATGTGTCTTTCCCGCCCTGGCAGTGTATGTTGATTTGCTCTGTGTCATTGTTGATGAGGCCATCTGACATTCTTTGGACTCCGAAGGGAAGGGCATTGCTCTCAGCCATTCGCTCCTGCCTTCTTACCAACGCCCGCTTGATGATTGAGTGAAACTAAAATTTAACTACCAGACAGATGTCAATTCGACGATCAATGCCAGGAAGCTCGGAAATGATCTACAATTAAGTCGACTTATGAATTGTATTCATGGTTATTTCCACTTCAATGGCAGTTTCTGATTTTTCCGCCTGCTCTCGAACGGATCAGGTCTCGCATACTCCGGTAGTGGTTGGCGTCGCAGCAAGACCCGCGGTCGATGGAAGGATGCATACTCAATTAACACGGATGAAAACCCGATGTTCTACCTTTTGGAGAATGGGGTAACTGAGAACGTTCTAGACAATTGGCTTGACATGGACGAAATATGATTCTCGGTGCAATGCGGTCTATGTAGCTTGAATGCCAAGTTCCTGCTATTTTCGTTTTCTCTTTCCTCAATTACGTGCCATTTAAACATACCTACTTTCACCCTATAAAAACCAGCTCTTTTCTGGATAGCCAGTCAGTTTGCTCCACCAGCTCTTATCCACTCATCTATCCACACAGTTTTCCAGAATGTTCGCCAAAGCATTTACGCCTAACTTCTACTTGGAGCCTGTTGACAACGAGCTTCAACTTCGCATTGGCACCCCCAGTCCTGCTGCACCAAAAGATAAGCGAATCCTCGTCATTGGTGGTGGTGTTAGCGGAATGACGGTAGGCGATATATCCTTCGTCAACGTTGGTACACCCCGATTAATAATTGCGACAGTCGGCTTGGGCCTTGATGGATCAAGGATATGATGTGACCATACTTTCAGACCGTTGGGCAGATCGCAAGAACCGTATTACCTCTCAAATCGCTGGAGCTCTGTAAGTATCACTCATTTGAGACCACATTTTATCGTTGATAGTCCATAATCGTCTCAGATGGGAATATCCTCCCGCTGTTTGTGGAAAGCACACAGATGTAAGAGGATGTAATCATTTTTACTGAACGACGAGATTGAGCTCTTTGTCTAGGCGATTTCTTTGTGTCACTCCAAGGGTTGGGCGATGACCTCCTACAAAATCTTCGAACAAATCGTGACGAAGTTAGGCGAAACTGACGGCATCGATCACGGTGTCCGAATGAGGATCGCCAATTTCTTCTTCGACACCCCTCTAGAAGCTCGTCCAGATCAACTCGAAAAATGGGAGGAGATCTGTAGCTTGTCGCACACGGTGCGCATTTTTTTACTTTCAATCATTTAGATCATGGTTCTACCTTCATGTGTTATAGATCAAAGGACTCAAGCGCAGCGCAGATCTTATCCAACACCATTCTGTTGACCAGAAAGCTGGGATGAAAGATGCCTATCAACTGCTCTCTCCAGCTGTTGATACCGATGTCTATATGATGTGGTTACACTTTGTTTTGAGTTGCAAAGGCGCTACCTTCGTGACCGAACGTATCAAAGGAAGTCTGCTCGACCAGGAAGAAGAACTTCTCTCTCGCTTTGATGCTTATGCGATAATCAATGCGACAGGTCTCTCGGCCTTGGAACTGGCTGGTGATGAAACCGTGTACCCTCTTCGAGGAGCAATCATCCGGGTCAAAAATGATGGAACTAAATTCCCCAAGCTCACAGAAGCTCTCGCGGTGACCCACGACGAGACGTACGGAACTGATGAAGACATGGTTTTCATTGTCCCTCGAAACGACAACATTTTGATTTTGGGTGGTAAGTTCAACTGATGGTGCCTTCCCACTCTGAATACTCACCGATCTCAGGTATCACGGAACCCAATGAGTGGAATCTCAACTTGACTGTCGATACGCCTGTTATTAAACGCATGCGCGAGCGCTGCAACGCATTCGTCCCTGGACTTGAGAACGCTGAGTACGACGACGAGACTGACCTTCTCCAAGGTTTAAGGCCTTTCAGGGGGTCGAATGTCAGAGTTGAGCGGGAGACCGCACCCAGGAAAGACGGATCTCATAGCCGCATTGTTCACACATACGGACAGGGAGGATCAGGATTTTCTTTGTCGTTTGGATGTGCTGGAACAGTAAGATCATTTTTACCGGACCTACTCCCTTCTTGCTGATTGATTGGTTTTCAGGTCGTTTCCTTGGTACAGGAGATTGAAGCATCCAAGCCACCTGCGAAGATGGAACTTGTGAACGCTGTTTGCTATTAATTGTGTACCCTCCATTTTCATCGCGGAATTGTTATACTAATCATGTATACTACATGTATCTTCTTTCACTTGTCATCAACTAAATTTCCCAATTTCAAAATAAAATTGAAATCACTCATGCGGGATGTGGTGAATCTGTTCTGAATTCGAATACCATGCACCCTTATGCAACGCAATAACCCTAATATCCCATGTATGACTTTTGCATTGCGCGACCCAGCATGTGAAGAGCTAGTAAAGGGATGAAGCTGAAGTTAGGCCCCGATTATTCGGATCGCCACTGCAAATCTAAGAAGCAGACAAGTTGCACGGCCACCACAGCATGTAAAACTGTAAAACTAGCTTTGACTTTTTCGGACCTGGAGATGTATCCGATTTTTGTTTGAATAATTCGTTGATCTTTGTGTACATGTGAAGGCACTATTCTATTCATAAGTATCTCAATGGAGCCCATGATAGCTACACTCATGGTACAATATCTAAAAAATCAGAATGAAAAACACATTCAGAGAGCTATTCAGAGGTGATCCCGTCGATTGAGATGGGACACCGTGTAGTTGCGATTGGCGGAGATAGCCAGTACACAAGATTGTCATACACATTATTGTAGGTAGAACTATCAAGCGATCGCGGAATTGCACCGCAAGGGAAAATGTTTATGAATTTTCCACTGAGTTGAGGGCAACTTTGGATTTAGAAGCATGCATAAGGTGATCCCGTCAGCGGCTTCAGTTACACGCGTATACATGATTTAAAAATGAGATAATGGAGATGTCAACATGCGTTCTCATGTGAGCCTCCCGAGGTGCTCGCTTCGACATTCTAGTTGCAGGGGCTTTGTCAATGATGGCGCACCTCCATACAAAGTAGCTGGTTCCGGCAGCATCTGCACACATCCGCGGGTAATCCGACTCCGTAGGATTGCGCGACAACATTCTGGATTTAGTTGTTCGACCGATTCGCCCGCAATGGCGAAACAATAATGTTCGAGTTGCTACGTTTTGGGAGGATCGCTTTGTATTACTGCGGTAGTATTATACTGAGTAGTACATGAAAGACGTCGAAACCATGTTCTATACTGTTCACGACGGATAGGTTCACATAATAGCGGGATGCATTCCACTCAGAGATGTTCGATAGAGTGTATCGGGGACTTCCGTGGCCACTGATGACTGCTTGATCTTGAATTTATTGTCGTCCAGTGTAGTATTTGAGAAGATTCGAGAGTGATGCGGGAGTGAAAAATTCGAAGGTACGTTGACATTTCCGTCTCTGTATAAGTAAGACCTAGTAAGACGCGCGGGAAGTGGACTGCAATTAGCCCTATCCGCCATCATGATTATCAAAACAGTTTACAGTCTGGGGGGGCCCCTTGAAACAATGAGACCTAGATATCCTGATAGATCCTGATTCTTACTGATTCCTGAAGCTCGTGGTGTGGCCTGAAGGGGCAACACCACGCCATCTACTGCTAGCCGCGAAAAGTCCAACCAGTCGCTGATCCTGTTCTTGTGTTTGAAGTCCCTCTACATAGAAGCCTCTGGCCCGAGAAAGATGGAGGTCCTGTGAGGTCCAGTTATGCCGGACGGTAGTATAATATAGAGAATTTCATTGGTTCCGAAGTGACATGGTCCGTGCGTGTCGTGCGCGTGACGGCACGGCAGAGTTCCGAATCTTAACGTTGGTCGTCGTGGTTCCCGATGCTCAAAACATCCATTCGAGGTATCGCTTATTCTGGTATACCGAAACTCCCATAATTAATACCCAAATTCTTTCTTTGCAGGACTTCCTCGTCCTCTACGCGCGAAAACACAACAATCTCGAAGGTCATTTGCGACAGTAACCGATACACCTGTTCGTCGTTACGGGGGTTTGAAAGACCAGGATCGAATTTTCACCAATGCGTTCTGTAAACATGACCATGGAATCAAAGGCGCAAAGGTGCATAGCAATCAATTTTCAAAAATTATTCGGATTAATTTTGTGCTTTTCCCCTTTCACAGTCTAGAGGCGACTGGCATCGTACAAAGGATATCCTCAATAAGGGAGATGCTTGGATCATTCAGACTATGAAAGATTCCGGTCTTCGTGGTCGTGGAGGAGCTGGTTTTCCATCAGGATTGAAATGGAGTTTCATGAACAAACCAAACTGGCAGGACGACAAGCGGTACGCCTTGACAGTATTCACCTGCTCCGGATCATGCTCATCTATGGAGGATACAGGCCTCGGTATCTTGTCGTGAATGCGGATGAAGGAGAACCAGGCACATGCAAGGACCGAGAAATCATGCGAGGTGATCCGCACAAACTTGTCGAGGGTTGTCTCGTTGCTGGAAGAGGAATGAATGCTAACGCCGCCTACATTTACATTCGAGGAGAGTTCTACCAAGAAGCGTCTCACGTTCAGCAAGCTATCAACGAGGCTTATGCTGACGGTCTTCTTGGTCCAAATGCGTGTGGTAGCGGCTACGCCTTCGACGTCTATCTGCATAGAGGCGCCGGAGCTTACATATGTGGTGAAGAAACTGCATTGATCGAGAGTTTGGAGGGGAAACAGGGAAAACCTCGTCTCAAACCTCCTTTCCCTGCTGATGTCGGTCTATTTGGATGTCCTACCACGGTGGCTAATGTCGAAACTGTCTCTGTTGCACCTACTATCTGCCGACGCGGTGGCGCATGGTTTGCTAGTTTCGGTCGCGAACGTAATCAAGGAACCAAGCTTTTCTGTATATCTGGTCACGTCAATAACCCCTGCGTTGTGGAGGAAGAAATGTCCATTCCCCTCCGAGAGTTGATCGACAAGCACTGTGGTGGGGTCATCGGCGGCTGGGATAACCTGCTCGGGATCATTCCAGGAGGATGCTCTGTTCCAGTGCTCAACCAACAAAAGAGCGGCGAGGTTCTGATGGACTACGATTCACTAAAAGATGCTGGGAGTGGTCTCGGGACCGGTGCCGTCATCGTTATGGACAAGAGTACCGACATTGTCTCCGCCATTGCAAGATTCTCCCAGGTACTATCCAGAGTTTTAGAACCCTGTCAAACTCTAACTGAACGAGAATTTGGTAGTTTTACAAACATGAGTCGTGCGGTCAGTGTACTCCTTGCCGAGAAGGTACAACCTGGATGATGAACATGATGAATCGAATGGTCACTGGCCGTGCTCATGTTCGGGAAATTGACATGCTACTAGAAATCACGTAAGATGGTCTCATATTACCCTCGTTTTTAATGATCTGATTTCATTGCGTGCTTCACCAGGAAACAAGTCGAAGGACGCACCATCTGCGCTCTTGGTGATGCTGCTGCCTGGCCCATCCAGGGTCTGATGAAAAACTTTAGACCCGAGGTGGAGGCTCGCATAGCGGCTTTCCGCGCTTCAGAAGGGGCCGTTGGATTCGGTGGACATTTAAGCACCCAGATAGACTCGACTTTGGCTATTCCAGATAATCTGGGTTTAAGATTACCAGCTTAGATTGATCATGTAATATTCAGCGGAAAATTCAGGTTCTTACCCTAGATTATTTGCGTGATTTTAGAATTGAGCAATATGTAAGGGACGTTTGTGCGACGTGCGCCCACAGATAGCCATTAGTACTGACCCACCACCACAACCATGCCATCCGCGGCCGATGCTTGGTGGACTAAGACTCTGACTCTGAATTCAATGCGCCTACAAACGCCCACAGGTTCAACGCTTCTCTCTGAGGCTGACAAGAACACCTTCACATCTCGCAAGTTTGTATCACTATTACGAGATATACAAAACTTTACAAGACGAAGGCCTGAGAGCCAATCGAACGCTACTACCTAGAAGAGAAGTTATATGCAATCGGGGTGTATATCGTATCTCTCTTCATTTTAATCAGCAAGTACTGGACGGCTTTCGAATAACTAAAATCTTGTCTTCCGGCGGCGCTGATGATCCCGACATCGTGTGGCTTCATAGGAATTCGAAGAAGGAACTTGTCGGTCTTGTCATCTCGAATCAACCCATTCAAGCATCTAGATGGTCGCGCTGAATTTCAATGGTTTGGATCTGAAGGAAAGGACGCTCACTCGATTGTGCTGTCTGCACTGAATGGAACATGGAATGTACCACGAACTGAAGAAATTTGGGTGTACGGTTGGCGCTTTCGAGCTACTTCCATGGCCTGAGGCGTCAATGAAGTGAATACGGACACCGAAGAGGACACGTCTCCTCTCAGGACAAACTCCATGATCATTACAGGAAGACCATTCTTTGATTTCATGTTGTCGTCGACGCTCTCTTCCACGTATCTAGAATCTTTCCTGTATGGTCGGCTCAAGTACTCCTTGACGTACTCCTCAGAGTGGGTTATGGCGTTGACTTGGACCATTCCCGGTGGAGGATTGGAATCTACCTCTGTCGGTTGGTGGAATATCTCCATGAATTTGCTGATTTCTGCTGGTTCTATCCCTAGGTCTATACGAAGAAGATACGGCAGCTTAGGGGACCGACGGGGGCGGTGGTTCGTGTTGATGATATCGTACGAGGTGATGCAGACGACCTCAATGAATCCGCGAAGAAGACGCTGAGCCAAGATCCGCATGACGATGCGACGAAGTTCTGCATCGTCAGGATTATCGGAGCAGTCGGATTTATGCAAAGGCCTTAATAGGAATCAATTATAAATCAAATTTGTTGCAAGAGATACTAGAGAACGTACCAGTGTTCTTGTTGGCACTATAATTTTGGCCGGAAAGACATACATCAATACTCAATCCAATGGATAACGGGGATGGTCACGAAATTCAAACCTTTGTAGAGCAATACCAGACGAGTTTACACTGCGAATACAAATATCAATCCAAGTTTCTCAAGCAAGATAGATCATTGAAACATACCCTTCCACATCTTCGCAGCCTAACAGCAGGGCTTTCTTCGGATGTATTGGATTTTTTGCATAATTCGCAATGCTCCTCAAATATAGGACGCAGATGGTTTTTGACGACTTCCTTTGGAGGCATGTCGTCAAAGATGTTGTTTGGAGTTGGCACTTGGGTGTGAACGAATTTCAAGTTCATGCGAGAGCTTCCGGAAGGTAGAGAGGACATTTTTGAGGGTTTGAACTGAATGTAGATTGTAGTTTGAATTTTTCAAGTGGCTACATATTTATCTGGACGAACAATAGCTGTCAATAAATTGTAACAAAGCAGTGATCAATGATTGCCAAATTTAGGTGATTGAAGGTCCGACGCCGTACGTCACTGTGACTACCACTCAGTGGCACTGACTACCTACTTACATAACAGCTCTCCGAGGTTATTACAAGGGTCTTTTATGAACTCTCGGCTCTCTCCAGTCTCAATCAAGGCTTGGGGTTTTGTGACGAGGGGTTCTACCAATTACTTACTTCAGTCTACGATCTTTATCCAGCCCCCCCCTCGAATCATATTCCTTATAGTAGGTCCGTCTGAATCTCGTTAGCTACGTTGTGATAAACCAGTGCAAGTTCCTTTTGCTGTAACAGCCGCTAACAGCCGTTGTTGTGCTATTATCAAGAAGTTGATCTCATCTACGCATTATGTACTCGGAGATTCTCCATGAGCAATTATTTGACAACTTTCTTTTAAGCTACCACAATCAGAGGCGGAAACCCACAAGCTCCATCAGAACTGTCTTCTAGGGACCTCGATCCTCCATGTAAAACATTCCAGATACATCTTCAACTCGCATACATCGTCTGTCTTGCAAATTCTCTATATCTGCTTATAAGCTGTACAAGTCCCCGGAGTCCGCTGAACGACGAGTACCCACCTGTACTTACTCAGTGCTCTCTTCAGAAGCTGAACTGCCTCACCCAACCGATTACCCCGTTAACTCAAAATCATTAGCATGTTAGGTGACCTACAGTTGGATCCTTGTTAACTAGGCTGAGTCTGAATTTTACAAGGATTTAGGTTATACTCGATGGAGATTGTGTGTAGTAATGAACTTGTGTTCGGGGAATTCCCTGCAGTGCATGGAGCTTGAATGCTTTTAAAATCACATACTGTTCATCACTATACGAAGCAGAGAAGCCATTTTGGGTACCACGTCTCGCTGTCAGCAGATTCTGTGTCTCTGCACCTGGTATTTGACGGTTCACAATTAGAAGAAAAGTAAGAAATCAGAATTGACTAGGAATTTCCTTTACCTAACTTCCTTCCTTCCTTTCGATTACGGAAATGCTGAAGAAGGAATTCGATCGCATATTATAAAGTATGGCGGCAGGAACCTTAACACCAGTAAGGAAACCTATCTTGACGAGGGTAAATGAGTCTGGTGGCAAAAATCTCTCGACGATGCTTGTTGTATCTACCTTTATTTTCGCCACGAAAGGATGGGTAAATCTAGTGGACCTTAGAAATTGGAATTCCCTGTGGCGAAGATAACGAACGCCAATAGAGAATAAAGCAGCGCAGGAGTGGAGAACGTGAGCTAATACAGATCTGGAACGAGTTCAAACTCACAATAACACTGGAAGCATTATCTGTGCTTTCAAATCACCTTGAAAGGGACCTCGAAATTAAGTGGGGGTTTCTAGAGAAATCTTTACTACACAAGGGAAGGTGGCAACTGGTCACAAAAGTCCCTTCGAAGCTAGATTCAATTCAATAAAGGTTACCTTGAGATAGACATTTCAAAGAGATCTCTGACAGCGATTTCTAGTTGTTTCTTATATAAGGTTGCTGAGGATTTCTGGCTTTTGGGTACCATGGAGAATGCCTTTGGAGTAAATAGCGAACTGTATCAAAGTAGAAGGTGGGAGCTTATTTGGGATGAGACATCAGGCATTTCAGCTGTGAGTCGAAAAACACAGGCCTGTTTAGAGTGGTTCGTATCGAGCGAATGGGAGGATGATGTATATTACAGCGAGTACGATTTTGAGCGATATTGCAGAATTGTTATGCTGAACGATGCTGTATATTGCATATGTACTGCTTTTTGTGTGCAGATTCAGTAATCTCAATTCGTGTTCAAAGATTTGACATGGAAAGAGAATCGTTGGTGATTTCTGAATGAGTTGTAGGACGACTGTACCGAGTTACCTCGACTCGACAGTGTCAATTCAAGAGGTATACATCCTGCCTTACCGTGTTCTAAAAGGCTTGGGAAATAAGCAGCCGTCCTGCTGGTAAGAAGGTAGAAATCGAGATGAGCGTTCACTTAAGCGCTCATGCACATGGACCGGGCGTCTTTCGGTTTTGTGGGTAGTTTGTAGGCGTCTCTCGATTAACCCTTCTGTCTCCGTCTAGCTCCGTTTCCGTCCTCTTCCTTTCTCCTAATTCCTTTCACGAAGATGGTAAGATATAACTCAAGATATGTTTCTGTAAAGAAGACTTATTAAAACTTAAAGTACGCAGATATTGAGGCATTAGTACTCTCTGGAGAACTCTTCAACGGGCCTGAACGATCATCGTCACCGACGAGATCAGTGTCTCCGTCTTCAGACCATGGCTGGCACGATGAGGACCTTCAAAACTTTGACGACGAGCTCAAAACTCCTCCAGAAACCGAGCCTGAGCACCAAGAATCCATAGGCATGGGCCCAGGCCGTACAGGCGTCAAGGGTGTCATTCGTGACCGAGACGAAGCTGAGGAAATAAATAGACAAAGAAGGATAACTGAAATGGACGAAATAAGACGGAAGATGGAGAAAAGCAGTTTAGGGGGTAAGACTTTTCTGGAAGAGGAACGGGAGAAAGGCGGAGATGAGAAGGTGGACGAACTTGTGGCGAAGGAACGGGAAAAGGAGAATGAGAGAAGGGATGTGTTCGGTAGACCTAGGGAAGGAAAGTTTGGTCATCTTCGAGAGGTTGACGTGCATAATTATTTGAATGCGGTGGAGAAAGAGGAGAAGGGTGTATGGGTCGTTGTTCATTTATATGAACCTGTGAGCAATCTACTACTCAATCAAGAATTGCTATTGACTTTTATCATTCTATAATTACACAGTCATTGGATCGATGTTTTCTCTTAGACGATGCACTCGCTCATCTAGCGCGTGTATACCCGGATACAAAATTCCTGCGGTGTCGTGCTGCAGCGCTTGGTTTTGCAACCACTTCGAAACCGAAACCGATCTCTGCTACGCGACTATCGAAGAGATCTATCCGAGACGACAATGACGACGACGAATTATTTGGAGAGAAAGATGAAAATGAAGATGAAAGCTCGTATGAGGAGGATAACGTCGATCTCGATATGCTTCCTACTATGCTTGTCTACCGAGACGGCGAGCTCGTCCATAATTGGGTCAGGGTGGATTGGGAAGCAGGCGATGCTGGTGTGGAAGAACTGCTTGACAAGTAAGTTGGGGTGTAAAACCCTTACATTGCCTTACTGATTTTAGTTATAGACATCATGTACTCCCAAAAACAGAGACCTTCTTTGGACGATTTTCTGTTCCTAGCGACAGCGAAGAGGACGATCTGATTTGGAGTGATGAGGATAGTTAGTCGCAATTCATTTCTTCATCGTTTCAATACGTTCAATCTCTGTGGATCGTATCTTACATACTAGCCTATATGAGGACAAGCATTATTCACGCACGCGCTCCACCGTTAGAAAAACAAACTTTTGCGCTATGATAGAAATTACACCGTGTTACACTTTCATTATATCGTAAACCCTGCTGCTGCTAATGACCCCACAAATGGCTGAATCACCCTTGGATCACCCTTGCTCAGAAGCTGCTGCAAACTCGATGCACCCGTCCTGCCACCCGTCCTTCCAAAAGCAACGAACTGCTCCCCGAGGAACTGCTGAGGATCGCTGACATACGCTACAGGATCAATCTCACTCTCAGCAGACTCTGAAGCTGCCAAACGTGAGTACGCCGCTTGATATCCAGCAGTTTGTTCCTCATGATCGATTTCGGTTATTCCAGAAAAACCTTCATCCTCAGAAGTTTTGGATTGCGACAAGTACTGGGGTTCAGAGAAGAGTTTTATGAGGGCTTGAAGAGCGGCAGGCCTGTATTATAAAATAAGGATGCGTTCCACGTAGAGGCAAAGTATATATTTGACTGACCAAGTCTGCACAGAAGGCTCTTGGACAGACAGGTTACTCTGGAAGAGCAGCCGCGTCATGCCGACCGCCGTCATCTTTCGTTCCTTGAAGGGCATTTTTGGTACAAGAGGTAACACGAAGTTCTTTAAAATTTGCCCCCATAGACTGATCATAGGACGAAAAGAGTATGTGAGCATACAAGACGAGTGTAAGCTGTCGAAGCACCCACCCTGGCTGAATGCTCTCAAACATTTCAATCACATAATCCGGTCCAAGGCCCTCCTTATTCGCCGCCATAATGAAAAGCACAAACCGCGTTAAAAGGTGAACGAATTTGTCCGTTTTGCTGTTTTGCATCCGGGTTAGGATGATTAACATGATAGTTTTTATGTATTGCTTAATTGGAGACCTAAACGGCGCAGAGGTTAACGTTTTGCTGTGGGAAACCAAGGATGTCTCGAAGAAGCTCACACATCCACAAACGCAAGCACAGCTTGCATCAGCTCAAACCCATATACATCATTGTTCTTCGACGGAATTAACCGCTGCTGCACAACCCCCAACGCTGACACTACTTGCCCCTCTTTGAGCATCTGAGCTGCGTCTCGTTGCAAGTATGCCTTTAGAAGCTTCACCAGCCCAGGAATACTTCCTTGTTGTACCCATGTAGTGGGAGTTAGAATATATGGTAACAGTGCTTTGTATTGGGCTGGACTAGGCTCAGAAATGGGACGGAGAGAGAGGAGTTGTGCTAGGAGTTGGAAGACGTAAGGCACATATTCTGAAGAGAAAAAGTTAGATCAAGCTGATGAAGAGGCAGGGGGTGAATCAGCTCACGATCAATATCCTGTTCAAGAATGATAGTGAATGGCGAGAAAAGAACATTTTCGAACGTTGGTATCGTCGCAGGAGATCCAGATGTCACGAATCTGTATGAGCAGTGTGTCGTCTGAAACTATTCAAATTTGTATGCCTGCGAAGCTCACGCACCTCATCAGCGCGGACAGGCTCTCGAAGATATACTGATCAAACTTTGGATTACTCGGATTTTTCGAGATGACGCCGAGGATAGCTACGAGCCGGTTGAGAATTTGTTCGTGAGATGGTGTCAGGGATTGTCGGGCAGTGAGTATTACACGCATGACGCCTACATGATAAAACCAATAGATGTGTAAGATTGTCTGGAATTTAGACCACAGACCCTCCGGACGTACATTTCATTAGGTGATCGTTCTCCGCCACCTTTTCCGCACTCCCAGCCCGCTCAATCTTGGATAGCAGGACTCCAAGAAGTTCAGAAGCAAAGTCGCGTATGTCAGCTTGTGCAAATCTGCATGCAGTAACGATAGTATTGGGTTAATTCTGCTAACAGACGCAGAGAGCCGCACGCACAAGAGCTGCCCATTCTGTCTAATGAACAAAATCCTATCAATAGTAATCGCCGCATATGTGTATGTGACGTAGTTGTCCGAATCCAGATGCTTGATGAGTAGAGGGAGTACAGAAAGCAATTGAGGTTTGGTTAACTGTCAGGGTGAAGCGCGAAGTCAGCTTTGAAAAAAACAAGCAAAGAAGTCGAAGTTCACTGTATGCTTACTTGGTTCCGGAAAGTATACAAAAACCGTATCGCATCGACCTGCAGGATTGGATGGACGCTCCCCGGAGCAGCTTGTAGATCCTGAAAGACGTGATCGGAGAAAAATTTGACGACATCCACCAGCGCATTGGTCGAAGTGACTCCTTGCTATGAAGTGCAGGTCAGCAGACATATACAAAGAATGTTTTGAAAAAGTACCTGTGTAGTGACACCTCGCGTAGCAACAGCCGTCAAAAGATAGATCGCGGTATCTTTTGCTTTCCAATTGACCTCCTTATTGGATTGGTACTCCGTCAAACCTTTGTTTATCCACCCTCCTACAATTTCAGTTGCTTCTACCTCGTATCCAGACGAGACGAGAGTTTGTAATACATCCATCGCGGATTGCCTTCGAGTAGCTGTATCCGTACCAGCAGCACTGACCGCCAAGTCCAAACGAACATACTCTAGGGGATCATCCTCGAACTGTTCTATGTCGTGCTCCCGGAGAGTGGTATTGGGCACGACAATGCCTTCAATCAAAGTAGGTATGATTCCCGGCGCAGAGAATATAGAGGACTTGTAAAACCCGGAACGGAGGGCCGTCGAGATAAATTTGAGCGACTGCGACACAAGCATGTCGTCAGAAACGTTCGGAAGTCGATTGGACCCAATCAAAGACCAAACGGCCTGAACGAACGTTTCGACGGCATTTGACGTCTGGAGAGTTTCTGGGAAGAGTTTGATGAAAAGTTCGAGGACCTCGAGGATACGGGTTTTTATTTGGGATGGAAGAGATGCAGTTGTGTCTTCAGAATCTCCCTTAAGTTCAGCTGGATCCCAGCTCATAAGTACTGTGAAATAGCCTCCGTTTGCACCAAAAAACTCCAAATGAGTATCTTCAATTGAAGGAGGAAGATCCTGGCATGTGAAGTCGTAGTAGATATCAACAAGCAGGACCATACTCTGAGCTAAAAGCGTGTATTGATCTTTGCTTTGACCAGGTTGGGTAAGTAATGATGCTGTTTGTCTGAACAACTGCAGGAACGGCGTCATGAATTTTGAGAATACCAGATTGATTTCCGTGAAGAGCAGGTCTGAACGGACGTGTGCGCGCCAATGACGGAAAATTGAGTGGCCAGTTTGTAGCACACCGATATTTATGTTATAGTCTGTGGGTGAAAGTGAAGCGACTAGTTGCTGGAAACCTTCGATTAGTTTTCCAAAACACAGAATTTGAATGAACACACATCGATTAGATTTTCCCAGCGCGTTGGGAAATCGAGTTCAGCAATCAGTGAAACAGCCTCTGCTATTTGCGCGCGTATAGATTTGTCTGCGGGGTTAGAAAGAGCTAGCATGGCTGGTACAAGCTCGGCCCTCAGAGCTGCTTTGTCTTGCTCTACGATTGGCTGTACATCCTAAGGTGAACATCAGTAGGCTTCATCGACAGAGGTCAGACGAAATACATACATCTTCCCATCTAGATTTTGACACATTCTTCAGGTAGACACTCCCCGATAGACGTACAGATTTGTTTTGTGACTGATCTAAGACGAGGCGAAGAAGATGAGAAAGAAAGCCTTGTTGTTGGCTGTAGGTAGAAAGACTGTGCTCGGCTTGTTTTCGGGTTAGAGGTTCAAGAGATGCAAGTAAGAGATCAGGAAGGTCTGACATTATAGTCAATAAGGAAGAGAAGAGACCAGATTTGGTGAATTCAGTGGCGAACACACCAGGTCAGGAAAACGCGCGCGCTTTTAGCGCACGTGACGGTTATATAACATATAGGCGCGCAGCGATCTGAAAGTGTAAGATGATCAATAATGAAGCTTTGAAGTTTTTAATTTTTTGTTCAAACCTCGAATCGCAGCCTCAGGGAGGTGGTGAGAAATGAGGCGGTGGTCAATCATGTTCCACGAATCTGCACTGGCTATCATGGTACTCCATCAGCCTCAGACTACCTAGTTAGAATTGCTAGGGATCCCTTTAAATTCTTCTGTACACTCTCAGGCCATCGGTGACAATTTCGAAGTTGTTCTATGTACGAAGTCACAATCGACTCGGACTTGGAAAGATTGAGTTTTGGAGTACTCATAACGAGGCATGCGTTGAGAACGGATCTACTATTATTGCAATGAAGTTGGAAGGTTTGAAAGATGCCAGCAGTGATTTCGAAGGAGGGAAAGTCTGAAATGAAATCAAACAATGCTCCTAAGATGAAGGCAGACAAAATGGGCCTTCTTCACACTTGGCTATTTCAATAGCTATGTAAGTAATATAACTGTTGGAGAATACTCCGTACATCCAGCTCTGATATTACTTATTATGGTATTTCTTCCTATCTATACTTCCGTTTGGCCACTTATCCTTTCACCTATCTATGTTCCGGCTTACCAAACCCGATCTAGTGATCGGGATATATATATTTTCGTTCCCTTACCTATTTCCTCAGTTGATCTTTCCTGCTCAACTGAGGTATGTTTACTTATCAATATTTCTTCTACTCGTACCTGTACTCACACAGACTTTAGCTTTATATTCTCCTACAGGTACTAATTGAGTTGATCTTTCCTGCTCAACTGAGCTTTATATTCTCCTACAGATTATGAGACTGGGCTCTTCCCGAGCCTGAATATACTGCACCGTAATTTACAAACCTACTGAATCTCCATCGCCCAAGAATGTCGACAAATCAAGTCAACGTTCCGATATTTCCAGAAGAGAGTAAACTCACTGGAAAGGACAGCTGGAGCAGGTTTAAAGCCGCCGTTGAACTCACAGCTCAGCTCAGGGGCTACACTGGCTATCTTGATGGTACCATCGTCAAGCCAGCCTCCTCTCTCTATTCATCTGCAGCGGGCAGTGTCTATCCATCAGTAACAGCTACTCCTGCTTATAGTCCGACCCCTTATCCCGAGGAATGGTACATGCGCGACCGTTTTGTTGCAGCTACTATAAATCTTAACACTGTCGACGCTACCGGTCTTGGAATTGATCTCGGCAAATCAGCTGCTAATATCTGGAAAGATTTGACGGAAAAATTCGAACGGAAGGACGAACAACTCATCTATCTCGCTGATCACGCTCTGAGGACAGAGAAGTTTGATCCTGACTCCTGTACAATGGAGGATCACGAGAAGAAGATGAAGAATTTGAAGAAGAAGCTTACCGATGTAGGTGGTACACTTACAGATGCCCAGTTTCGGATTATCATCCTGGCGTCTGTTCCCACCGACTGGAAGCCAGAAACTAGAAACGTTCCAGGCAAAGGTAGCGATGAAGCGTTCATCCACCTCTATACGGTCTACCTCGAACGCAAATCCGAGAGTAACGAGATCGAACAGTCGAACAAGGTCCGGGCGTTGATAGCGAAGGAGATTTTGGCTGCGATACCCGCCCAAAACCAATCTACCATTGCAGCGACAACCGGGACCCGACATGAACGCCTAATCTGTTCGAACCCTCCATGTCCTAGCAAAATCGGTCATACTTTGAAGAAGTGCTGGGCTAAAGGGGGAGGAAGTGAGGGTAAAGCTCCAGCCTGGTGGTACAAGAAGTATAACCAGGAGCCACCTACCTCGGTCAATTCAACATCTCCTATTGACACTTTCACCCTTTCAGCACGTACGTCTCATTCTACCTCCACCCAAACGCACCCTGACTCCCAACGAAACAGAAATAGTCGACCCATATTGAATCAGACAATTAGTCAGGGTGGCAGTGAGGATTCGAGTAGAGACGTACCTGTATCGTTCCGGAAACCGATGCCCTTAGACGGTTGTACTGTTTTTAGCAGCAATAGATGTTCCCTTTCCGCGAAACCAGTCAGAACGTATATCGATTCCGGCGCTTCGGAACACTGCTGGGTAGACAGGCATGATTTTACTGTTTACCAGGCAGTAGTGAATCAAGGGGGTCTGATGGCTGTTGCTGGCTCGAGCTTCAGGATTGAAGGGGTAGGAACAGTTGAATTCCTAACACGGGTAGGAGGCAAGGATAGAATTGTGCAACTGACAGGAGTAAAACACACACCATCGTTTGGTCATAACCTTATCTCCCTCATGACACTGGATCACAAGGGTCTACGAGGAGTTTGGGGTGGGAGAAGGATAACTGTGGCTGATAGAGATGGGAATATCGTGTTAAGTGGCACTGGTACTGAAAGCACCAATAGTACTGCTGGTGGAAAAATGTACGAGGTGGAAGTACTAGAGAAACCAACTGCATTAGCGAATTCCGCCCGTTCACATGAGAAGGCAGTCGACATTCACACCTGGCATCGTCGTTTGGGACACGTCGGAATCCCACGGATTCTTCGTATGTCAAGCAAAAATCTGGTCGATGGTTTAAAAATCACGTCGAAGAAGGTGGAGGGTATGTGTGAGTCTTGCCTCTATGGAAAGGCGACGCGACGGCCATTCGATGAGAAGGTGATACACGAATCGGAGGTATTAGAACGGATACACATCGACCTCTGGGGCCAGTCTCGGACAAAGAGCAGGGGTGGTGCTACGTGGATGATCTTGTTCACGGATGGACGTTCAACATTAAAGGTCCCGGATTTCCTGAATAACAAACAAGCGGCCACAACGCTTAAGTCGTTCCACCGTTACTGCCTTAAAGCTGAGTTAGAGACAGGGAAAAAGGTGAAATGTATTCGCATTGACGGAGGGAAGGAACTTGACAACAGTCTGATGGAAAATTACTGTGGGGAGAAAGGGATTAAAATTGAAAGGATTCCCCCGTATTCATCGGCGGCTAATGGAATGGCTGAAAGAGCCAATCGGACAGTCATTTCGGGTGTACGTACTCTGCTGGATGAATCCGGTTTAGGGCATTCCTTTTGGGCAGAAGCCGCAGCAACGTACTGCTATGTTGACAGCTTTGTCCCATCCTCTCGTTTCCCTGACGATATCCCTATTGAAGTGTTCACTGGCAAACGGCAGGACGTCTCTCATCTCCGACCCTTTGGCTGCGAGGCTTGGGCAACCCTGCCTGAGAGGCGAAAAGACGGAAAGCTGTCACGGCAGTCAGTCAAGGGTAAATTGATCGGGTACATGGATCGAAGAGGGTACCGGTTGTGGATCCCAGAATGGCGTGTGGTACTAGAAAATCGGGATGTACGTTTTGAGGAAGGACAAGCTAACAGGACGTTCTCGCGACAGCTGGATACCGGTAACGTGCTCGGAGATACCGGCGACGGTGGTACATCGGGTATCACTGAGGATCTGCGTGGTTTTGATGTCGAGGAACTCGATGTTGATGACATGACGCCCGAGCCTCAGGACCCTCCAGCTGCTGTTCCACCTATTCCTATGCACGGTGAATTTGCACCAGAGTTTCTTCCACCTGCCGATGACGACGAACCTCGAGATTTACCTCCTGCAGCTATACCAGAATTTGATAATCCTGCTTTGCCAGAACTTCCACTGATACCTCCTCCTGTTCATGCTCAACCACTGCGTCGATCGGCACGTCTTAAAATACCAAGTACTCGATACCTCGAATCCAAGGAGTTTGAAGACAGAGAAAAAGAAGCTAACGATCAGGGGAGGGATTGGGCGACCGAAACAGCTTTCACGCGAATTTGTGCGGATCCTTGGTCGTTTGCCATGAGTACTGAGGTAGACAGCATTCCATCTGGTTACAAGCAAGCCATGAAACATCCTGAGCTCTGGAGAGAGCCGATGGAATTGGAGTATAAAATGCTTATGGCAAAGAACGTCTGGACACTGGTCGAACTACCGCCTGGCGCAAATCTCATGGGTGGAAAGTGGGTCTTTGCTATCAAACGTGGGCCATCAGGGGAAATCATTAGACGGAAAGCTCGTTACGTTGCTCAAGGGTTTACACAAGTTTTTGGTTTGGATTATGAGAAGACGTACGGAGGGGTAGCGCGAATGGAATCTGTTCGTATTGTACTCGCTATCATTGCCTGCTTAGGGCTTTCACTCTTTCAAGTCGACTTCAAATCTGCTTTCTTAAACAGTCCAATCACTCACGACGTGTATATGAAACAACCTGAGGGTTTTATCCAGCCAGGATGCGAAAACTTAGTGTGCAAACTACAGCGGTCAATCTACGGAACTATGCAGGGTAGCCATGATTGGCAAGCTACCCTGGCGAGTGGTTTCAAAGAGGATGGATACACGAGTTCCAGGGCAGATCCATGTATACGTTCGCGCCGTCGAGGAGGAGAATATGTTATAACGAGTACATATGGAGATGACATTTGTGGAGGAGCCTCTTCCGAGCCGGAGAGGCAAGAGGCCATAACAGATCTTGGGAAGCGTTGGGAGTCTGACGAAGTAGGGTCCGGGATGTTACTAGGAATGTCGATAAGTCAAGACCCTTCTACTCGAGCAATTACTATCTCACAACAAGGGTATTTTACACGAATGCTTCAACATTTTGGCCTACAAGACATACAGCCTAGGAAAACTCCACTCCCTGTAGGTATCCAACTCGAACAATCACCAGGCACTCTGCCGAATGACGAACGAATTTTCATGGCAAACAAGCCATTCCGTGAACTCCTTGGATCGCTAATGTGGGGTTCAACTTGCACTCGTGCAGACATCGCGTTTGCAACGGGATACTTAGCCAGGTTTCAAGCAAATCCTGGTCGAGCTCACTGGGAAAGCTTACTATGGCTGTCTGGTTATGTTCGCTGGTCATTGCACTACTGTATTGTGTACCGGAGACCTGCAGTAGGGGAGGTAACTTTAGGGAAAGGAATACAGCCCGCGGGCTTTTCGGATTCCGATCTCGCAAACTGTCTGGATACTCGTCGTTCAACATCGGGTTATGTGTTCTTCATGGCTGGAGCACCCGTTGCCTGGTCGTCCAAAAGACAAGGTTCTGTAGCGACTTCGACGGTGGTGGCTGAATACGTTGCTTTAGCTAGAGCAAGCGAACAGGCGACATGGTTGTCGGCATTCTTGGTTGAAGTGGATCTCGCGCAAGAGGGACCTGTAATCATTTCGGCTGATAATACGGGCTCGGTGAGTCTTACCGAGAATTCGAAAAAGCTTGGACTGGTCAAGCATATTGACACAAAACATCATCATATCCGGGAGAAAGTGGACGAGGGGAGGATCGCGATTAGACTTATACGTTCCGGTGAGAATGTGGCTGATATTTTAACGAAGGCATTGAATGGACCGATGGTCCACAAGTTTGTAAAGATGTTGGGCTACTGTACGGAGTAGGGGAGGTGTTGGAGAATACTCCGTACATCCAGCTCTGATATTACTTATTATGGTATTTCTTCCTATCTATACTTCCGTTTGGCCACTTATCCTTTCACCTATCTATGTTCCGGCTTACCAAACCCGATCTAGTGATCGGGATATATATATTTTCGTTCCCTTACCTATTTCCTCAGTTGATCTTTCCTGCTCAACTGAGGTATGTTTACTTATCAATATTTCTTCTACTCGTACCTGTACTCACACAGACTTTAGCTTTATATTCTCCTACAGGTACTAATTGAGTTGATCTTTCCTGCTCAACTGAGCTTTATATTCTCCTACAATAACTAGGTATAGCGAAGGTCCTATCTGCTAATGAGATGCTCTCTCCGCTGATCATTGAAATAATTAATCGAGCTGCGACCAAACGGCTATACTGCATCCAACGACTTTGACTTCGTGGGAATCTTAGTCGCCAATGTTCAGGCGATGTTCAAGGATATCCGTTCAATGGTTCTTATTCAAGCTCATCATCAGCTTTGTCTTCGACATTGTTAGAACTGTACATACTACACTATCATCAGCATGCATTTAGCTGGATCTATAAGAAGGACTGCGAATCCAGTTTGCGGTTCATTTTCTCATAAATCTTATCTCCTTCACAACTCAAGTGCAAATGGGCACTGTCCCGGAATTACATGAAACCGACCTCTATGTCTTCTCTCGCGCCCGGTATTTGACAGGTCTTGCTATCCTGTCTTCTGAGTGTACCATGTCCTGAACCTATGTATTCCAGGCGTGGCCTTGATTATTGTATTTTATGATCATCTTCTTACCCTGCACGAAGAGTTTTCCACAATATGGAGAACCAAAAAGTCGGCGAACCATCTACAAAAAGCTACCTTCCTACTCAATCGATACTTCGTTGAAGTAGTAGTGGGTTATACTGTATATGGTGAGCATTCTCATTGTTATTTGGGCGGTTCCTTCAATGCACTTTATGCTACTTTATGTTTCATAGTATTCAATGGTACCGCTAGTACACTGGATGATACCGTAGGTGATGATTACCTTTCTAGCATATTATTGTGGTGCTCATTGCCTTTTCTTCAGGCGTAAGAAACATGTTTCTTTGCATCGGACAATTCAAGCAATGTCTTGTTACGCTACAGATGCCACAACTACGTTTGGGTTTTCTCTCTTGTTGGAGTCGGTGTTACCTCTATAACACAGCGTAAGTACAATGCTTTCATTATTGCGGCTATTGATATTTTTGTACCCATAGTCTATATGATCCTTCGTGTATATAGCACTTGGGACAAACGAAGGAGTACAACTGTGATTTTTGTGACCATGTTTGTTATCTTCATCGCCGCATTGACTCCCAATGCAATCCTTGCTCTGATTGATGTGCAGTGTTCGTATGGACTCTGCTTTTGGACTGCGATGAAAATGAATTCTCTTCATATAGCCGTCGTACACTATATTCCCAAATTATCTGCATGCGCTGTTCTTGGAATACCAAAGTATTTCTCTGCCGTGATGGGTGTAATGGTATGCGACCAGTCTTTCACAAAAGTCGATCATCACTGAAGCACTCATAGCTTCTCTTTGACTTGTGTCTCATCTCACTAGCAGTTTTCAATGCACTTGAGTGGCCTTATAAAACACATGGTGATGTTTTGGATTCCCTACATAATGATGGAGCCAAACTATTTCTTGTAAGTCCATCTCTCTGAATGATCGACCACAGCTCAACTTGCCACTATGAACTCTAGGTGATCACTGGTGCGCAAAGAGCAAAAGTTTCGATCATTTGCAGCACTCATACACGTATATCCAGTGTTACGGCTCACTGCTTTTGTGATGAGTCTTGTGGGAGATGTAAGTTACGTCTCATATATCTGAGATTCGGGAGAATGACTCCCATTCATCAGCCTTCGGATTGTTATAGTGTTGTTTGGTGAATTCTGCTTTTTTATCTTAGAATCCTCCCGCATGTTGATTGGTTTTGACAGTGTGGTCTGGACCTCAACATCAGTAATCAACTCTCGCGTTCATATGCGTGTTGAAGGCCTGAAGAATCTGGGTAATGCATTTGGAGAAGAGTCCTTTGTGAGGCGGATATAGCCCCCTGAAGGAATAGGAATTTCAAGAAGCTTTTATTATCTTAGTAGGTATTTATGCGAATCGAAACGTGCCCAATGTGATGAGACTTGATGTTGATGTGGGTTTGGATGCCAACATTTGTATTGAGCGCAGAAGCTTCCGGAAAGGAACAAACATCTTTCGGAGAGAGTCTGCTGTGGCGCTGCGCGCCTACAATGATTTGGTCATCGTGGACTCACATCTAGTCCTTCTCATTGGGTTACGCTCAGGAGTTTGAGGCAGGTGCCTCAAGTAAACAACTTTTGCTTAGTATCTTTCACTACAGACGTTCTCTACTTGCAGTCGTGGTCCGCATGTCCAGGGTACGTACCTTGTCTATGCATTCTAGTATGGCGGTGACAGAGAGGCTCATTCTTTATCCCAGCCAATTGTGACCTTCTATGACCGTCCCGGGCTGTTCATGCCCACAGTTGAACAGCGCTCTCTCATTCAAGAGCTTCGCGCAGTGGCTGCAGCTTCGTTCAGTATGGATACGTCTCAGTTGCCGAACTATCAATGCCTCGCCATTGACGACCCTTCTGCTTTGTCCGACAAGCTCATCGCAGTTGGTCGTGCTCCATCTACTGGATACATCATCGGGTTTATCTCCTCTATCCTCGTAAAAATTCCAGATTTTTCGGAAGGGGAAGTGCTCCATATTGGACTTGCGTGCCTAAGCCCAAGTTCAAAGTTAGAAACTGTATCCGGTCTAGCAAAGCATCTGATGGCCAGCATTGTATACGGCTACCTTCTCAAAAATCCCTCGACTAACAAGGTCTGGGTTACGAATCGTTCTTCTAATCTTTCAACCCTCGGACGCTTCGCTCAAACTGTTGACGAGGTTTTCCCATCCCCCTCTCATCCAACTTCACCCCCTACCTCGTTACATGTAACTATTGCAAACGAGATCATTGGTTCGTCAAGTAGATCTCTCAATGTCACGCCGGGTGCATTAGACCCTCGAACGTTCATAGTTCGCAAATCGCTCTTTCATGCAGGCAAGGATGAAGACCAGAGGAATGATAGATACCATTACAGCAATCCCAAGATGTGGGAATTCTACAGAGGGTACTTGGATGAAAATGGGAGTAGAGAAGATGAAAGCGTCATTCTTCAAGTTGGTCACATCAGTCCCCGTATGCTTTCACTGCGGGGATGAGCCGATTTCCTCGAGGTGAAAATGTGGGTTTTATCTCGAGGTTATGTACAAAAATATGGCAGCAGATATTTTGAAGGGATTGAGCTGAGGTTATGGTAAAATTATGAAAAGATAATTCAAAATAAGCACGGCCCCCCGCCAAATTCACAATAGCTTCACAATAATCGCCACATGAAAAGTTTTAAAATTTGTGCTCAGGATTTTCGACGAATTTTGGTAAAAATCCTTGCATTTTCTCGACATTTTCACCACGAAGACATTGGCTCATCCCCACAGTGTTTACGTGCTTACACAGGCATGCAGTTCTATCAAACAACGGTTGACTATGGGCAATTGATGCGGCGGGTAAAATTTTTGGAATGTAACGCATAATCCGTAACATAGCCCAGAGCTCAAATGAGCCGTAGGCTCAAATTTTCAAAGCCGGGCTTCAATGCCGCGCCGGACGTTCCGACCGAATCTGACAGGCCTTTTCTTTCCCCTCCTCCCGCGCGACATAAATTGAGATGCATTTCATTGATATCTAAGTACACACAACAAACTACTAACACATGTTAATACACTACCAGTACGCACTTACACTGAAAGAAGGAGTCATAGTATGAATGTGGACATACCCATCACTAAATTACATAATCCATTCCCAAATGACTTGAAATTTTGACTTGATCATTGATGGGGTCTTTTCGCTCGAAGTTGGAAGCTTGATGGGGTCTTTTCGCTCGAAGTTTGAAGTTTGATGAGGTTCATTGGAATTTGAGTTCTGAATATTGAACATTGAGGTTGAGATCATCTTGTACACACAGTATTATTGGAAGATAGTCTTGAGGTGCATTGCAAATGTGCTGAATTGGAGTTATTCATTATAAGTCGGAATTTTACAGAATGGGAGCATGAAGTTGCATGTAGCTTTATGTTCGACATTGAAGTAGTATTGATGAAATCTTGGATGATGGGCAATCTTTTCCTGCAGAGATTGAAAGTTCATAAGAGCATCGGAGGCGGTGGTGCGAGAGAGAGAGACGACGCGGAAAATTTTCTTCAACAAAGATCACATGAGCAAATCAGATTTCCCGTTTCGGACTCTCACATGACTAGAGGTATAGACTAGGGATGAACAGAAATAATTGAGGCGAGAGATGACCACAAGAATGCGCCGTTGCTTATTTTCGGGCGTTGAGCCCTGGCATCAAGATTTTGAAACTCAGTTCATTTGATAATTTTGTCCCTTGCTCATACTCGATCGTTTGAACATGGGTTATATGAAGGTTTGACTGTGGTAGAGCTATCATGCTGGCCAAACTATGATGTACATATCAGAAGTAATGGGCATTTAAATTCTTGATGCTGAATCGTCATAGTCTGTTAAACAAAATTGAATCTGCACCATACATAGTCATTATTACAAAACTCTCATTCATCCTCATCATCTTCCTCGCTTACAACAGGTGGCCAGAAACTTTCTATATTAAGCTTATCTTCCTCTCGTACCGGCGGTGCATCCTGCTCTTGGGAAGCCTCTTGCTTTTTGGTGTGCTTGAACCTATTTAATGCTTTGATAGCCTCCCGAAATACCGTCTCAGCGTTCAAAGCCGATGCATCGCCTGAATCAGGAAGGGGCAAATATACAGGCAATGGCATGAGAAGGATGCTAGGTGATGGTGGATCTATAGAGTTTGATACTTCAAGGGAGGCACTAAGGTCTGTTGGCACAGCTGACGGAGTGACAGAAGCTGCACGGGGTGACGGAGACGTAGATTGGAGATAGAAGCTTGTGAATAGAGGAATCAAAGGTTTGACAGAAGATGTACTGGAAAACGAAAGTGTCGCTTCGAGGTAAGGTTTAAGAAGTGTTTCCGGGGAAACGACAGGGTCGGAGTTGTTATTCGAGTCCGGAGAGGAGGAGAGCATCGGGGTCGATATATAAATTATCCCTGGATACGCAGGAAAAATTGTTAGTTTGTGACTGTAAAAAAGAAAAAGGAGCGTACGAACATTTTCCTTTCGGAACAGAAAATGATCCTTCTCCGACTACGAGCACTGTTACAGCTGACGAAGCAAAACCTGCCGGTACTGAAAAGGGAGGGAAAACAACGATTCCCGTATCCAAAGCGGATCTGGACTCGGGTATATTGCTTTCGGGGTCCGCTTCTCCAGATATCAACGAATCCTGGGTAGGAGTGAGGGTCAAAGGTTGATCGATAACGCATACTCCCCGGGCAATCTTTATGGGACTATCTTCATCGGCAAAGGGGAATGCTGAAGGAATCCGCTGAACAGCATCGATATTCCTTATGAGTTCCACAGGCAAACGAGATTCCGAAGAGATTAAGAGATGACAAGTGATAGGCTCGGGAAAATCTGCAAGGGTGAGGGTGTATGTCGGAGTGGATTGAGCCTTCTCACTATTCCGGTTTCGAGTTATGGAAGATATAGGTTTTCCGAGAATGTATACAGCTCCAGCGACTGCAGCAGTACGACAAAATCCTTGTGCAATCTCCCCAGAACTGCCATAGTGCCCTATGAGAAAGGGAGAATGACCATAACGACCTGTAGAGCGGAGGTAACGCCGAAGACGATGTAGGGCAGGAAGGGTTTTGTCTGAATAGATGATTAACATCATCAAACAGGGTAAAAATGGCGTTGTTCGTACCAGTGGGCGAAGTACAATAGCTCAAAGCATATGTTATAGTTTCTGCTATCTCCTGGTTCAAGGAAAATGTCGCCTTGAGAAACTCAAGAAATGGCATATTAACGTTGGTACCCTCTAACTCTACCCGGCCTTCGAATTCTTCGTCTCCCGATGCAAAGACCAGAAAACGCATTAAACGACGTTTATCCAGTAGACTTATGGTCTTATCCTTGAATATATCTTCTTTGCTTCCTGGTACAGTTTTAACTTTGTGATCAGAGGAGTACACAGCAACATGTTCGACGAGACGAAAGCCGCCATAGCGAGATACACCGGATGCCACGAGGGACGATATGAGTGGACCTGTCGCTGGTATAACTGAAGGCGACAAAGAAATAGAGTATTGTCGGGAATCAGGCAGCGTGTCAGAAGGAGATAAAGATGAAAATGAGGAAAACTGAGTCGAGGTTTTGGGTTGAGTTGCCCAGTCTATGTACTCATCCAGTGATAAACTGGCTTCGTCTCCTCCGTAGTAAACGTTTTCATCCAAATGAGCAACTTTGAAGCCTGCTTTTGCAAGGGCTCTATTAAATTAATTTACTGAGAGGAAAGCGCGTTAATAGTTAACACCGTACATACGCGGCAGTGATAGATTCTGTGAGCCCGGTTCCAATGACAATCACGTCGAAGGCGCCTTCATCGTCCATGTCGATGCATGAAGATCAGATGCCGGTCCGCTGGGTCCGGTCATGCAATCTTGTGACGGGGCAGACGCGTGACTGTCACAATTCTGGTCAAACTTGGCCAAGTCTTTCGTTGACACTATAGATTGGAAGCTCGATGGACAGTTTTGGGCTATAACACATAGTCTATATACATATTATACACAGAACTGGTGCTGACTAGTCTTATCTAGCAGCGAGTCATAAATATCAAACACTTGGCAAGTAACTACAAAGAACTCGAGTCAGTTGTGTTTTGAAAATTAATTCAAATAAATCACTCACATGCAGGCTAGGATCTGTAAATATAATGTAAATGTATTCTTTTCTCCGTTCATGGCTGAAGCATTTCCGATGGAACCATCGTATGATGAGCCGCAGTGCTGCTGTCCGTCGGTAATGTGGTCGGGTGCGATGTAACGTCCGGAAGACAAAGTATTTTGCGAAGGGAATGCGATTCTGGGGCAGGCCTATTTGACTCTTCTAACCAGATATCGCACTTTTCTGGTCCCATCAATATATCATGAGGGGGTAAGGATGCTTCCGAAGAGGCTGGGGACGGGAAGAACGCAGGTCTTAGCCGAGAGCCTTCATGTGGCACCGAGTGGGAACTCCAGCTCGACATAGATGGGGAAGGAGAAGCGCGGGGTGTCAATCGTGTTTGCATTATGCGCGTGTTAGGATAAGCCAATTGTTGGAAAGTTTCCAGAGCATCGGATGCAGCAGATAAATCCTTCATCAGTTCCGATGAAGCAGCGAGCTGGAGTTTGTCAGTGACTTCAAATTCTTGGAACGATTGGGTTTATACTTACTAGTTGAGGATCCAGTGGCGAAGGGGTAATAGGTAAGCCGGCTCTAAGGGCCTGTATCTCTTGCTTCAATTGTTCATTTTCCTCCTCCGCACGACGACAGCGCTCCTCGAGTTCTGTAAGATAATGCGCTTTCCTGGCACGGTAATCGCGTTGCTGAGTGAGGGCACGAGTAGGAGGGATCGAAAGATCTTTTTTGCGACCGCGAGTCATAGGCCAATTTGGGCTTGCAGAAAGGCAAGGCTTCGAGTAAGTAGGAAATAATGGGGGATAAAACAAGGGGGGTCGCAGTGCGTAACTATTTAATGCGCTATCTTTGCCACAGAAATGATTCTGACCCTTTCACGTCCGTCGAGGTCCGTCGCTATCAATATCATTTTGAATTTGTTATGGCGTCGGGGCAGTCAAAGAAGGGTTCACTCGTCCGACGGAGTCAATGAACAAACATGGCGTCAACTCAACTCCATTGATGGAAGTTGATAGATTACTAGGGGTGAGCACTGTTAGCTTCTTCAGCTCCTGTAAGTCGTCCTTTTGCTCTGTTCCAGCCTTTAGCTCCGTTCTATAGTCTGTATTCTCTGTGCTCGCAACCCCATATACAACAACAACCATTCATTTGGCTTTTGTCACGGTCTACCTCCCGTCGGCCTTGCGCGGATATCCTGTTTATGGTCTTTGGGACACAAGAGTGTGTCGATTGAATGACAATACGCTAGTGCGTAGCAGAACGGGTACATGCAGGCGTAAAAATTACACGACAATGTAAGGTACAATGTATGATACACAAGATATGCGAGCAACAATGATGATACAAGTATATGCAGTCTAGCAAAAAGGAATAGCAGATATGTGCAGGGTGACAACATAAAGGTAAAAGAGTCTCAGCGTATAGAATCCACACCATTCCGTGTAGACAACGCCTTCCGCATTGTTTCGACAGCGCTCAAATGGAAAGGTAGGGAGGTGCCAGCAATATCCCGTCTAGCAGTTGAAAGGACGGACAGGGAATAGAAGGAATTGGTGATATCATGAAGAAGGTTCTGAGGAGAATCGGCCGCATCTGAAGTGATGTTGGGATAGGCGCATTCTTCGGATTTGGTAGCGTATATCAAATGAATATTAACCATTTGCGGGAGTACTGAGGAGTCAGGTATGCAGATGAGAGTGGAGCTGCTCAAGGGAAGCAAGGGGTAGTCATCGACTAGGGAGTAATCATCATCATCAATCGAGAGGGGTTTATTGATAACGAGATCGGTGGAGAGACCGATATCATTTAAAGTAGGCGGAACACTGATTGGGAGAGTATCCTTCTGCAAAAGCCCGTATGTTGTCGTAGCAGTATCAACAAAGAACTGATTCTTGGATGAGATTTTCACTGAGCCTGGGGTCGAGCGGAATAAGGTGGGATTCTTTGAATTTGGCGCGGAGTGGCCGGTTGACTGAGGTGCAGGGAATGGAAGGATAATCCATGGGACTGATTGTTCGACGTTTAGTAAAGAAACATGCATAGGTGCTTGCACGTTTGAATGCAGGGCGGTGTATAAATGAGTAATCCACGCTGAAAAATGTTAGTATCATCCATATCGTGAAGTGAAGACTTACCATCTAACTCGATAACGCTCATGTTACCCGATTTTGCGATCACGATCCTCCACTCTACGTTTGCTTTCTCTGCAAGCTGCATAGCAAAATCCCACACCTTGTTGACAATATACATTTCATCCGAAATCACAGGAACATCCACACCGGAATCGTCATTCTTCTTATTCTTATCCGTAGGTGTATAAGGCTGCGTGGACCAGACGCCCATAGCATGAGCTTCTCCTCGTTGGTCTATACACGCTGCAAGGATCCATCTCCCGCACAAGCTAATTCGATATCCAACATGGAGGAAGGTGTGCCTGTCTAGCACGTCGAGAGCAGGGTCGACTGAGGATGAGTAAGAAACTTTGTTCTCGCTCAATGAATGAGCGAGGGTGAATGCTGGGACTTCGAAATACCTCTTCTCCCTTTGCCCATATGTAAAGAACTTTCTTGACATCGCTCGATCAGTCGGGATCAATATCCGATTATACACCGAGTGTACAAAGGATTCCGAGCGAAAGTCGTGCAGGGATGAAGGATGCACAACAGTATTGAGAACGTAAGGTTCGGGGATGAGTTGGAAAACAGCTTGAACCTCAGAATATTGCGAGAGGACTTTGTTGATAGTTGAAGATACATGGTGAAGGGTCTCCGAAGCGAGATTCATGACAGCGAGCGGCACGAGGATGAAGAAAACAAAGCTGTCTCTTGGCGCAGGAAGACTTGCAATGAAAGAAGCTGAGTGAAATGTAATAAATAAACTGCAGCAGATGAGAACGATGGAAACGTACTCAAGCTTCTCCTGAAAGATGTACCAAACTGAAAGGACACAAGCCCATCCTTCTGGCAAAGACTACTTTTACCAAGGAACATTTCTCCTAGACGTTTTACCTATCGAAAGGAACATTGTTTATACCAAATATTGCTAGTTGCCAAGAGAGTGGACCTACCTTGTACAGCGCGCACGCATTTCTCAGCCAAAATCCTATCTGTTCATCACGCCAAATCTTAGCTTTCCCAAGTCTGTCGTGTTGTTCTGCCTCAGGATATCCTTGTTCATATAGTACGAACACAGTAACATCTTTCTTGCCACTCTTTGGCCCAAGACCAAGTTTGTCCCAAAATCGAAGGGCGGCTGGCATGATGTGAATGATGGCCTCCGATTTAGCAACAGATAGTAGGGGAGGAGACAACGGAGTCAGTATACAAGATGAGGTAGAAGGCGTCGATCCTGATGAGCAAATAGGTCGGGACGTTTGAGTGGATGAGGTCATCTTAGGAGTAGATTCTGGTGTGGGAGGAGACCAAGCTATACGAACGAATTAGACAGGTAAAATGAAAAGCAAATATCACAATACCCTCGAATAAATCTCCTAGACTGAGCATTTGGTCACCTAAAACGGCTTTCGCAAGAAGCTGCTTGACTCCATAAACGTCACTTGGCCAAACGCACTCCAGAGATTCATTTATGTCCCATTGCAGTTCTACGGGACAACGTCCATTCCTACATCTCGAGCTTTCTGGGTTGACGGCACCGTTTTTCGAATTACCCATGAATTCATCCATTGACTTCCATGCATCAGCCCAGAAGGGATTTTCCACACATTCTTGCGCAATACAGTTTACAGCAGTCTCCAGTGACCATGCTTTCTCCTCTTCTGGAATGAAGTCAATATCAGCGGAGGGGGTCAACGCTTGAGGCCAAGTCGGTGCGGGCGTGGGGAAAGACGCTGCTGAGGATCCGGCTAGTGCCACGGGAGAAACAGGGGTGGGAGCTACATTTGTTCGCAGGATTGAGACAGGTACACTCACACTCAAAAGAATTGAGGACATACCTCCATGGGTAGTTCCAACGCCTCGATTGAGATGAATTGGAGTTGGAGCAGAGTCATGAATCATCCCTTCGATTGTTGAAGTTTGACTGACGTTATCTCCTACAGCCATACTAGCTAGATGAACCCAATGGAAGCACGTTGATACCAGGCTCGGTCCAGGAGGAAGATAAGCGGGAAGAGGAGTCGCTGAACGCGACCATTCTCTTCCACCAGATCTCCTTGATGCTTTCATATCAGGAGTATCATCCAATTCTTCAAGGGTACCTCCATCTGTGTCCTGTTCCTCGTCGGCAGTTCCACCGTCTTCATCTTCATCATCTTCAGCCTCGTCTTCTTGGCTTTGGCCCGTATTGGCAACATCAATATGTCTACCGGTGTCATCTTCCCAGTCTTTCAGCCACTTTGGTCTTGTGTGAATTTCAGACCAACCAGCTCTCTTCAACCTTTTCTTCGACCTCTGTTTGCTCCCAGTGAGCCTACGCACCACACCGATACGCGGATCAGTAGCGCGATCATACCGGGGTCGCCATCCTGGACGGGATGTCTTATGTGTGTAAGAGGAGGACATCGATATGTCAGTGGAACCAGGTGGAGGTGGAGAAGCGTCTGAGATAGATGTAGGAGGTGGTGGTGGTTCGAGAGATGTATGAGGTTGATCATCATCTGATTCACCTGCTGAAGAGTCTGTGGTATCACTATCCACAGGAGGACTAGGGAGGCACCATCTTCCTTGACTAGGTCCATTTATCCTACTATCTTTCTCAGAAAGATCCACCTGTTCTCCGAAACACCCGTTAGACGATTCACCTTGCATAATTCCCGTCCACGATGCGGCGCGCGCGCGTCTAGGAGCATCCAGGGTGAAATACGCTGGACGATATTTTTTATGCAACCATCTACCGGAGTTCCTCAACAAGGCAAATTTGCCTCCAGCAACTCGATATTTACCATCTGCTTGAGAATGTGATTTAGCAAACGGGATAGGTGCAAACTTCTTGTCTTTAGAGGGTGAAGATGGTGCTGGTGGACTATAACTAGTGAGCGTGGGAGGTGGTGTGTGCACAGAAGAAAGGCGGAATGGGGAAGTCTCGGTTCCTTGCTCTAACTGGACTTCATAAGCCCTAGCAAATGGATGGTTTGTTTCCTCGGGCGGAGAGGGTAAACCAGGGTTCATTTCCACTTCGACTTCGACGTCAACTGTGAGTGGGGTGAAGCCTGTTGGGCCACCTGGTGTGGGATGAGATATGGAAAATGGCGTAGGATGAGAGGGATATCCATAAAACCCTGGAGTAGGGGCTGAACCAATGGGAAGAGGAGGCGCCAAACCTAAGCTACTGAAAAACGACGAAGAATCGTCGGAATTGAGGAACGCTAGAGGATCTGGACTTGTTGCTGCATTCGGAGGCGCGGAAGCAGACAAGATCAAGGAATCCGAGGTTGGCTCCACTGGATTCACTGTATTAGAAGCCTTGTTGTCAAAAAAGCTGAAATCATCGTCCGTGAAATCAGCCTCAAAGTCCATTCCAATACCGAGACCTGAACCAGGACCTCCGCCAAGCTGTTGAGTACCTGATGCGTTTGTCTGTGTTGGAGCGGTAACAGCCGGAGCCGTAGGTGGAGGCATCGGCTGACTGAAAACATCTGCGCTTTGGAAAGAGGAAAAAGAAGTATTGGTTGAACGTGTGTCTGCATACATGCCGGTATGGACGCCTGTACTAGATTTCGTTACTTGGTCCGAAGTCGAAGTCGATGGAGTGAGGCCGGACCCAAAACTGAAAGTTGAATCCATATTCCAATCCATCCCGCCTCCGAAAGAATCTAGATTTTCAAAATTGAACGTGTTACCTCCTCCGGCACCGAACAGCGTCATGTCCACATTGTCTGTAGTCATTCCATTTCCAGTCAAGTTATCGATCCCATTCATGCCGATGTTTCCAAGCATCCCTAATCCATCAAAATCTGCACCTTCACTACCAAAGTAAGTCCAGCCTGAAGTTGGATCTGAATTCGTTGCAGGAGCAGATCGGACGATGGGTTCTGGAGCAGTCATAGGAGCGGAGGATAATCTCTCAGTAGTTACAAGCGGAGGTGCACTGACATTTGTCAGAGGAAGACCGGTGTTGACGATGCCATTGTCTATGTCTGTACCAGAGGCATCAGTCTCTGGAAGCGGTCCCTGTGTAGTATCATGAGAAATTTCGATCGTCGATATATCCATAATCCCTTCAACAATTTTATTGACCTCGGACGTGGTTCCTGACACCGAAGGCGAAATCCTGCTACTCGCTACACTTGCATCATGCATTGACGGCAGACCTTGCGGTATTTGCGGAAGTAGGGCCGTTCCTTGGTAAGCTGTAGGACTCACTGCAACTCCGGCGGCTGAGACTGACGGAGGATTCGTCGGCGGAGAGGGATAAAACAACTGCGCATCTGTCCCGGAATGCATGATAGCACCAGTGAACGGAGGAGGAATTGAGGGAGGAATGGATATCGGCGGCACAGATCGGAGGCCAAAGTTGGAATTTGAACTAGCAGACGTTGAGGCACCGCTGTTAGCCACTGAGCTAGAGGATGTTACCCGATTCCGCTGCGCTTGAACTTCCTTCAATCTTTCTCGTTCCTTCTCTCGTTCTCTTGCAACATATTCAACATACGCAGAGACTTCGGCAGCTGTCTGGTGAAGGGTCGACGTGGTGGAACCAGGTATGTTCATCAAAGGAAGGGAAGCTATGGAAAAGATGAAGACGGTATTCAGATCGAGATACAAAGTGTTATATATTGATTACTCACATGGTGAAGAACGACCGCCAGGCGTCGGTACACTCACCGTACCGGGCGTCGGTACTCCGGGAGTGGGCACAGCAGCTGGGGTGTTCACAGGAGATGGGGAAGCGAGAGCAAACAGTCTTGATGCTGTGCTAGCAACTCGATGCGCTCGTAACAAGTCATTATTTGATAAAGTCCCACTGCGATTCGTATGAGAGTCCATTGAGGGTGACACAGAATGAGACTGTGTGAACGGAGAGGCCAAAGTAGAAGGGGCAGAAGTAGAGAGTGGGAATGGCGTTCCAGGACCTGCGTTAGTTCCTGTGCCTCCTATGTTACCTGAATTATTAGCGGCTTGTGAATATAGAGGTGGTTGTAATTGTTGCTGCCGCTGCGGTGGTGGTTGATTACGATTGAGACCAGGGGCAAATACAACAGGGGAATTCAGCGTTGGAAATGTATTTGCTGTCGCTGGGGGATATGAGGGGCCAAGGGGAGGGAATTGGTACGCTGACCTTGGTCCAGCTAAAGGTGAGCTCAGCGCACCATTTGTGGCCACTGAAGGGGTACCAGATACAATTGCAGCCGGAACCATTGGAGAGGGTTGAAGAGGCGCTGGCAACGTTGGAAGAAGAGATGCATTCATTGTTGGTCGTACACTGGGAGGAATAGCCAATGCAAGGAGAGAAGGGTATATAATCGTCAAGCCTTTGTGACCTTCGCTGCCAGTATGGACTGGAATAAAGACGATCACATATTTGACCACATCCTGAGCCTCTCCTCTGCCTCTGCTGTTCCTCTTCGAGCAATCGGGACCTTCCCATCCATCCACAGCAAGGCCACGGAGGGCATTTCGAAACTGAGCAGTCAAGGCAGACGTAGGACCGGAGTAGGCCGCGACGAAATAAGCTGGTGTACCGTGCGGTAACAGTGTCAAAGCGGTACCTGCAATGGGTCTCTGACCCAAAGTGCAATAAGGTGTTTGTAATACCGTAGGATGCACAATGAGCCTCGGAGACGGATCTAAGGTGGGATGTATCTGTACGTGCACGTAAAGTAGCGGCCTTGTCTGTTCCCAACCAGACGTTACCCATTCGTCCGAGTCTGGCCTCATGGTCATATTCGCGACGATGAATCCATTCTTCAGCGCTAATGCCCAATGCTTTTGAGTTTCATCCGAAGCTGTATTGTTATAGTTGACGCCACGAATAAGGGCAGCACGGACTGCGTCAAGGAAAGCATGCCACGGCCGACGCCATGGTCGTCTGGGCAGATATCTCGCAGCCGGGTACGTCGAGTGATAGTCAGGAGAGTGGCAATTGATACATGGGGTATCATGGAAAGAGCATTCCTCGGAGCATGGATACAGATAGCGGGGAACGATAGTCGATTCAAAGACTTTTACCAACCTCTGATCTTGAAGTGGCTTTGAGTTGGGGTTACTGTAGTTTCCTATGTAAAACAGCCATAGTCGATGGATGCTCCGAGAGACAATTTGCACTGCGCACAATGTCGAGAACAAGATTTCCGTGTGGTTGGCTTCATCTTCCTCTATAATCTTTCTCCTGACATCCCAAACGGCAGTATGGTCACCTTCGTACGCCAGGTATTTGACATTATCGGAATGAAGTGGAATTGAGGAAGCTAATATCGAGGCATTCAGTGAAGGTGATGTCAAGGTCATATTATGCACATATGTCCAGTAACTTGTGATCTTGAGATATCGACCTGCATTAAGAAGAGGAGTTCACAAACACTCGTGTAAAGTGATGAAGATGAAGGACGTACTATTAGATTCACATAAAGATTCAAAAGGAGACTCACAAGGTTCTAATGTGTAGATGTTCTAAATGAGGCGGTTGTGATTAGAGAAAAACTTAGGAAGAACCAGATCGTTTATTTAGGATGGGCGGAAACAGGCGGAAACAAATACTCATTTGACACGTGCTCATCTACATATTACTTCCTCCCAGCTTCCGTAACCTTATCAGGACTATCAGTCAGTATTCGGCTTTGCAAGCAATCGCGAGGCCGGATAACAGCTCACGGTCGAAGATTAAGAGAAAGACAACCGCAAGACCTCAAAATTCCAGGATTCTAGCCTTCTGATTTCGGCGCTTAATAAAAGTGGATTCAGCACTTACTATCATAGCGATGTCGCCAGCACATTCGGAATTCATGCCTTCTTCTACAGCATATCCTACCAATGATCACATTATTAGGCACACTCATCCCAGTCTAAACAGCATCTGGACCATCATCGCCCTCACTTTCGTCGTCGTCGTCGTGAGCTGCGTGGTTTGTTATTCGATCTACAGCTGCTATCATTCTGCAGTATACCAACAACAACTAGAAATTGCTGAATCCATACGCCAGCGTGCAAGAGCTGAAAGTCGCTCTAGGAAAGGCCTGTCTGCAAACGGCCAACTGAATGATATGCACCTGAAGAAACACGTTTGTCTTGAAGAAACTGCCAAGGTAACGTTCGTTCAAATTGAACCATTTAAGAGGCTCATCCATACTCATGTTTGTACCATAGCTCTCGGCTCTCCATACTGACTACAACGATTCTGTTACAAGCTTCCAGTCTTCAACAATGCCAGATATCACCTCGCCTGCTCTCGCTGTGACATACTCTACGCAAACACCTTTTATGCACCACGCCTCGCCGATTTTTCCTCTACCCGGTACCGACTATGAATCCGTAAAGTTATCTCCAGGTTCTTCAACGCCCATACTCTTCGATTCCAACAATATTCCATTCTACATGCCTGGATCACCTTTGATGAATCCCAAGTTAGCTCCCGCAGGCGGCGCCTTCGATCATCATCCATCTATGCCCCCACCTACCGAAGAAGTCCTGACTTCCGGTCACGAAGCCTGCATCAACGTCACTGCGGTCTCTTCTCGTCCACGATCGGCGTCAGGCCATTTTTCCCGCTTGTGCACTCCTGTTTCTCCTACTGCCGTCGCTTGCGGGAATACGGATCTTTCCAGAGCCTGTTGACCTCTTCCTACGCTTTTAGTACCGGGACTAGACCATCAAGAGACAGACAAAGCAAGACATCTGAAAGCACACCTAGCAGGAGTATCGGCCCCTAGCACTAAACGAGTTCCCGAGATATGTATTGTTCCCCGTTTCATCTTTTTCGCCGCATCAAGATCTAAAGCCAAAGCTCGGGCACATATCCCATCAAAACCTTCACTTCAGGACGTTCGTAATCCAAGCACAGAGACGGTGAAGAAAATGACTTGCCCTTTGCGGGGGCATTCTCTTTTCGGGTAGATTTTTCATGTACGAACGCGAACCGCTGCTTTACAACATTCATGTACCAATCCCAATATCACAGTATTCGAGCTGGGTAGCAGCTTATTACTATAGTCAGTTCGAACATTTATTCGCCCGCTTGAAACATGCTGGGCATTCTGTATATTTCGGAATAAGCATTATCAATGAAGAGTTACAATGGGTGTCGAACAAAGTACATAATTTCGAAATTGAGCAATCTCCATTGAAGGAAGAAAAACTCAAGGTCGTTTCCTTGACTTCACTTTTGTATTTTCCGCTTTCTGCATCGGATGACGAAAACACCATGAGAATTCATAGCGAAATAGTGGAAAGGCAACATTACCTTCTTCTCGCCCATTTGGGTCTGGTCGTGACTCTCACCTCCCTTGCGCGAGGCGAATCTCTACAATCGAACGTCAGAAACTAGACAACATGAATAGATAGGCGACCTTACACCTCTTCTGGCCGGGCGAGCACTCGTATCTTGCGTAGCCTTGTTCGAAGGAGACGCAGGCCTGTTCCGCTTTCCGAGTTTTGTCAACGGGATGTCGTCAAAGTCTGAAATGTCTTCCTCGAGTTTGGCAAATGTCGGAGTCTTAGGAGAACGTGACGGTCTGGCGCCTTGGGTTGGCGGAACAGGTGGTAGAGAAATTTCTGGAGGTTGCGAAAATGCGAGTGGGAGCGTAGAATCAATATCAGTGGCGTTCGTAGCATTAGCGGCCAATATCGGGGCATTGAAATCCGTCAAGGGAGACGACATCCACATGTTCAAATCGAGCATCGATTTCTCTTTGAGGGCAGGTACAATGAAGTTGTTTCCCTTGCCTTTGTCTTTAAGGAATTTTGCTAATGTGGACTCAAGCTTCACCACCTTTTGCTGAAGAGTGGTAACCATATTGTCGCGCTGGAAGGAAGGAATTGAAAACTTTCCAACTCCTCACTAGCATAAAATACACACCCTTCGGAGTTCGTTCTCTTTCGCTACCAATGCCTTTTCGTGCACGTCTTTCGAAAACTTCATCAATGAATTCACGAAGCGCTTTTCCGCGTCATTCTGACAATATCTTCAATCAAAAAAGAGATGTACCTCAGACTTTTTCCCAGACTCACCAGATCGCCTTCGTGGTACCTCTTCTCTAAATTCTGCTCCCGCTCCCGCAATCGTTGGATCACTCCCTCCAATTGACCAATCTTTGCATCTGCTACATCACCTTTCTGTTTACCACTCGAACCGGAAGCCACATTGACCGTCTCGAGCTGTATCTCCATACTAGCAATACGGCTCGTGAGCTCTCTTGTGAGCTCACCCAATCCCTGCTCCGCGGTTTCCGCTCTCTTTGTTACCGCACTCAACAGTCGTTCAGTAGCTTCCTCTTGCTTGATCAGGTTGGCTTGATACTCCTTAGATGCTTCGTCCCTTGCTTGCATTTGTAGCTTCATATCTTCTTGAAGGCCTTCGATCGTGGTGTGGAGCAGCAAGCGCTGCTCGAGCATTTCAGATAGCTCCGTTCTATTCTTCTCCATCGTTTGTCGCAGCTGGGCAAGGTCGTCGAGCAGCTTCTCGAGACTTTTCTGAAGACTGGTTTTCTCAGAGTATAGCACAGCGTTTTCCAATTCTTTTTTGGTCAAGGTAGATTGTAGCAAAGTACGTTCTTCCTTGAGACGAGCGAGGTCAGAATTTTGTTCCTGGAGAGACCCTACGCGTTCACGAAGAGAGGAAATTTCAGAGATACGAATATCCACGTCAGATTTAAGTTTAGAGCTGTCGTGGCGGTAGCGATCAAGGGAACTCTGTAAGTTGGTCCGTTCTTCTGCGAGAGAAGAGTTTTGAATGCGAAGTTTTTCTGAACTCGATTCTAGATTAGAGGCGTTTTGTCTCAACGTGTCGAGTTCGATTTGAAGTTCGTTTTGTTGTAATCCTGCCGCAGCGTTGGCCGCACGCAACTTGTCAACAGTAGATTCCAACTTGCAAATATCTTCTTGTTGTTGCCCAATAACATTCTGAAGACTGCTCTTTTGCTCTCCCAGTACTCTTAAATCCGTCTTGTATTTGCCATGGGTTGACTCGAGTTGTATTTGCACCGCAGCGTTGTCTGTACGTAACTTGTCGATCGTAGATTCCAACTTGCAGACGTCATCTTGAAGGCGCCCGACAACATTGTGGAGATTGTTCTTCTGCTCTTCTAGGACAGCCAATTCCTTCTTGTACTGGCCGTGGGTTGACTCGAGTTTGACCTGCAAACAACTTGGTAGGAGGTCTCAAGATGAAGTCGAAGAAAACTTACTGCCTGAGCTGTTTCACAAAGTGATAGTCGTTCCTAGATGCACAAGCTATTGTAAGATGCAGATGGTCCGGAGATCATCGACATACCTGTAAATCGCCGCTGTGGTCCTTAGCTAGTTTCAGGGTTATGGCTTGCGAGTCAAATCGTTCTTGAAGAACCTACGAAAAATATAGGTGGCGAGAATAAACGGTTATTTTCTCTAGCTTACCACGGCTTCAGTAATCCTGCGCCGCAAGCTGGAATCACCAAGTGAGTAGAAAGTGAATTGGAGTAACTCGGAATGTACTCTTGTTCGATCGCATCACAACTACGCTGCACTTGAGCCTTCTCTGCTTCAAGAGATTTGATTCTGTCTAGCGCCTCAGAGATTTTGGCGTTGCTGCTGGTTTCTCCTGCTTTTCTAAGCTTTACACTAGCCTCAAGCTCGGAAATCTCGGCTGCGTTTTTGCGCACACTGAGAAATTGTTAATGATTTTGTCTCTAGACTATATGGCCAAGGATTTACATGGCTTGCAGATCGCCTTTCGTCTCTTCCGAGACCCGTAGCTTCTCGCTAAGAAGGGCGACTTCTGTCTCCTTCGTCTGGACTCTTTGTCGATAAGACAAGCATTCTTCGGTACCACTGAGTAATCCATGAGACTTTGTAAATGGAAAGGAAAGAAGACACTCGCTCTAGGAGACGTTCATTTACAACTTCCAGCGATTTAGACTTGTCCTTCAACTCATCTACCACCGTTTGTTTTCTATAGAAATTGAGTATAGATGAAATTTGATGGAGATGTACCACTCACTCTTTCACCAGGCCCTCGATTACGGATTCTCTCTGGTCCAACCTTTGAGAGAGGTCGCCAATTCTACGAAATTTGTTGGTCAAATTGACGAATATCACAACGACCCTCTTACTTGTCGTTGGCATCTGAAAGTTGAATTTCCAGCTTCAGTCCTTCTGCCAGAAGTTCTGCGTCCTCTTTCTCTCGTTGCCTAAGCTTTGACGCGAGTTCTTCTACTTGGCGACCTGCAAGTGATAGATAAGATTTCGCGAAGATTGACAAAAACGAACCAAGCCTACCAGTCGTCTCCCATGAGTTGACACTCCGTGCCAAATTATTTGAGTCTTCCCTCCGTCGGTTCTCCAGATCGACCGTGTTTTCGTTCGCCTCGGCCAATTGAGTACTTAGATTATGAAGTTTGTCTTTTAGAAAATCGATCACTTGCTGCGCTGATGATAGTCCAATATTTCAAGGGGTATGTTAACGAATGAGGAAGCAAGACCTCCGTACCATCATTGCGATCTGTTTGTAGCTCTTGAATCAACATTCGGGTTTCATTTGCTTTAACCAGGTGGAGACCGGATGGATCCATAAATGGCTCGAGATCTTCAAGGGAAAAGTCAATGCTTGAAAATCCGAAATTGATGTGAAATTGATGTCAAGTTACCTTTGATGCCATTCGACGTAGCAAGACGTATCGCCTCAAGTTCATCCCGCATTTTGGAGATAGTCTCGACAGAGACCTCATAACGAGTTTTGAGGTGTTCAACAGCATTCCTGAGAGCGTCAAAGCTATTCCGAAGCTGTCAATGAGAAAGGAGGCCAGGTGAGCCAACACTACACAAACTTTTTACTCATGTTCTCGATTCCACGTTTAGCAGCGTCCTTAACTTTGGTAACGCGGTCTTCTGTGGCCCTGATCTTCTCTTCTGCGCAACGCAGCTTCTCCTGTCCGACACGAATCTGCTCGTCTTTATCGGTGTTCATTTCTAGTTGAGACTCTTTCGCGGACAGGGTTTCATCAAACATAAGCTGAAGTTCACTAAGTTGGCGATCCTTTAAGTGGGAATTCTCCAGGTTGCTTTGTGCAGCAACTTCCAGTTCCACGATATGCCGTTTCTGTTCGTCACATGTCGCTTTGACAGTAGTAAGTTGAGATCGTAGATTTGCACTGATGACGCGCTGAGAAGATTTGAGAAAGACGCATACATGGATAGAACCTAATCCCAACCTCTTCAGCCAATTGATTTTTGTTGGCTTTCGCCTCTGTCAATTTCCGGTGCATGATCTCTGACAGATCGAGGTTATCAGGGTCTGCGTCTGTTACCAAAAAGGGTGTTTCTGATGAAGCTCGAGACGATGCGCGTTCGCATGTTTTTGGAGTAGGCATATAACGATATTGTGGGCTCTTTGAATTGTGCATTTGTTGGTCGGTTTGTTCTTGTAAAATGCTTTCGGACGCAATGGCTCTTGTGGATGTGAATTCTTGAAAGTTGGTAGCTGATGCTGTATAATCTATCAGTGAACTTGAAATGATCCTTACGATATCGACTCACGAGATATCGATTCTATCTTTGCTCTAGGTCTTTGGGGTGTCGAGAAATTTGCAGGTGGAAATATACGCTGCTGATACTGAGGAGGCCGAGAAGTTGGTCTCCCCCGTGCATTAGCGTTTGCAACGGAAGGGAATAGAGAGAAATTTGATCCATGCTCGGGTTGTGGGTGCTTCGTTGAGTGATTGAGAAAAGAAAAGACTTTCTTGGAGGGATGAGCAGCGGTTCTGTATTCAACCGCTTCGTACGTGTCCGTCATGGTTAGGAATCTAAGATAATCCAAGAAACAATATTCAAGAAGGTTGCTGAAGGTCGTTAAACAAGTTATAATAATAGACGCGCTGTGTGCCCACAATTGCGCACGGACCAGGTTGTCTTCTCGAATGGAGTTTGCAATGAAATCACAGATGCATTGGGTATATGCTATACCAGCAAGACGAAACTAGCCCACTTTTGGAACTTGAAAGACTAGGGTGTAGGAGTCTCGATGAAGTCTTACTGATAGACGACAGCGAAAACAGAAAGTACAACCAATTCTGGTCTCAAAGAAGCTTATAGTCAGGACGTAGGAGCTAGTGGAGAAAATTGATACAATGGAGAGGATACAAAATATGATAAAAACGAGGTTGAGATGTATCATACGAAACGAAACTATGAGCCAGGTGGAGGAGGACGAGGTGGATTTGCATCAGCCGTTATCGTTGTAGGGCCATTTGATCCTGTTACATTCCCAGTACTAATGGGGCTTCCTCCAATTTTACGCTCGGCGGTGACTATGGATTGTTGCGGGGACAATGACGAAGCGATGGGTCACGAGTGAGAGGGATGAACAGGCAAAGATTGAATAATGTATCACTTGATTATGAGGAAACATCGTAGCTTTTACTCACCCCATGGTCGTCTATCCATAGGGCATTGTTGCTTTGATGCAGCCGTCCCTATCCACTTGAGAAGACAATGCATATGGAATACATGCGAGCATTCACCCCAGACTGTAAGGGATTGTCCGATGAAATGCGAGAAGCTTAGTCAGTCATGAGGGGGCAAGAGACAGTCAAACTGCTCACTTAACGGGCAATCATCTCCTGGAACCTTACACGCTGGGCAACATCCTTCATACGGAACGCGACAGATTCCACAAACATCTCCTTCATCATCGTCACCTTTGTTTGTGTCATCAGAAGACACGCCAGTGTCCCAACGCCATTGAGCCACTGCGTGCCAATGTTTGACCTCGACTTTCATGGGTAGTGGTTGGAAGTTGTCGCGTGGAACGCGTGAACGTGGCTGATAATTACTCATTCATTGAGCGCCTAAATAATGCGCCGTGCCGGAAGCAGTAGAAACCGCACTGACTTTGAACTCCCAAGTATCCATCCACCTACAAAATATGCTTCCCCGACATCTTCAAAGTTTCGTAGTGAGGAACGCTCTATCACGAAATATTTCTTCTCACCCAAACCTGTCTTCCTTGCAACCACGAAATTTCCAACCCACAAGTTCCATCCAGACGCGCCAGTCCCGACGTGGATTTCATTCATCACCTTTACGTCGAAACGAACTTCCCAAATCGCCTTTTCAGACGTTTGTGGATGTCCTGAAGGACGAATTGAAGAAAAACAGAGAATTGCAGGATAATGTCAAACAATTGCAGGGAGATGTGGATAAGTTCCAGGACTCGGAGGCAATGAAGAAGGCCAAGGCAGCGTATGAAAGGGCTAGAGTATGTATAAAGACCCTTTGAATCTTTTGGAAGATTAATCATCATCTTTTTGCGTCGTAGCTCACGTCCAGTATTAAAGAAAACCCTCGATTACGAGCTGCAGCTGAAGAACTTCGTAATACTGGAGTCAAAGTCAGCGACGCAGTTAGCGAGGCTCTGAAGACAATGGAAGAGTCAGAAATAATGCGTGCTATATCCAAAGCATCCGCCGCGGTTTCTAGTACGATTGAGAAATCTACTGAACCAATACGAAAGACAGCTGCGTATAAGAGTCTGGCGGAAACTGTGATTGATGCGCTAGATGACAGTGGGAGTGCAAAACATGCTGGCTTCGAGGAGAAGGAGGCACGGAGGCTCAGGAGGCAGCGAAGGTTAGAGAAAGCTGGGAGGAGTGGGAATGGATTGGGTGTTGGCGGAAGGGTGGCTGCCAATGCAGAGTGAGCACAATCCCAGGGTTTACTTTTTCTCAAACTGAATTAAATTGCAGAGCTGGCTCAGCGCTCGTCCTTCACGCCTCTTCGCCAAAACAAGAAAAATGGGAAACTCTCAAACAGACCAATCCGCTCCTTCGAACACTTTCTTCGTGGAAATCTGCGTATGATGATTCAGAAAACCCTGTGGTGTCGTCAATGCGAAGCGTGACTGATACCGTTGCTGGGTGGTTTGAAGAAAACGAGACGGCGCAGGTGGCGAGAATGATGAAGGCGCTGGACCCTGGGTTCACGCAGGATGGATTCGAACGAGAGTTGAGAGAGTATATTGTTCCGGAGGTCGTGGATGCGTATTTGAGTGCGGATCAGGAAGCGTTGAGGGCTTGGTGTGGTGAAGGTGTAAGTGATACGTCGTTCATTTCTCAAGCAAGCCCATGTTTTGTGTCGCTGACTGAAACTTGTTTAGACTTATAACGTTCTGTGGGCGACGATGGAGCAATACCTTCGTCAAGGGCTCGTCAGCGACTCGAAAGTGCTTGATATACGACAAGTCGATATCTCTGCAGGAAAAATACTCGATAACGACCTTCCGGTTTTCGTCATCCAATTTAATACCCAGGAAGTACTCTTGTTTAGAAATGCCAAGACGAAGGAGGTCATGGTTGGTGCTGAAGACAGGGTAGAACAGTGCATTTATGTTGCAGTGGTGACGAGGGTGGAAGAGGAATTGGGGAATGAGCTAACAGGTGGATGGAAGGTTATCGAGGTGAGTTTTCCCTCGACGCTTTAACCATAAATTGAATAGTCTGCTCGTAGATGGCGAGACGAAGCGCGAGAGCGTATCTGTGATAGACGTTCGAGAGGGTTGAGGGAAATCATCATTTAAAAGTATCTGCTCAATTAAACGTTCGTTTAGACTGCAATAGCCCCTAGTACATACTAATCACAACCCATCTCTCATGCTACATGCTCTATATTACATTTGCGCAACATACATAATACTATAAGCCTGAATGATAAAAAACCTAAGAAGCGCCCACAAGCGCTTAAAACGGCATATCAAGAGTTTTTTTCCGGCGGATAGAAAATTTCTTGTTCACTTCCTCCCTTATCCATATCCTTCGCACAACACACCCTTATTGTCCTAAAAATGGGCAAATCCGACAAAAAGGTGTCTAAGAAGGCCGAGAAGGCTGATACCAAGGTAGTCGAGAAGGCAACCGACAAAAAGGCTGGAAAAACATCCAAGGCTATCAAAAGCAAAGCTGCCTTCAAGCAGACGCCTACGTCGTCCAAAGATATCCTTGCCAAAGCGGTAAATTCTATATTCTATTGTATGTGGTCTCTACTCATATTTAGAGTGCACAGAAGAAGGCTGCCAAAGCCAAGAGCGACTCGGAATCTGACTCTGACTCTGATGAGAAAGAAAAGAAAGTCAAACCCAAGGCGAACGGCAAAGTGCGTTTTTTTCTATCTTCCTTCTGATAGTCGCGGCTAACAGCATTTGCTTTCAGGCAAAAGCCCCTGCATCTTCCAATGAGTCTAGTGAGGACTCATCTTCCGAAGACGAAAAACCCAAAGCTGTTCAGGTAAAAAAAGCGTTGGCAGCTGCGAAGAAGGGTTCTTCGTCGGAAGAGGATTCCTCAGACTCAGATTCCAAACCTCAAAGCAAGGCCAAAAAGCCCACTCCTGCTGCCAAACTCTCCAAAACCGCCCCATCATCATCATCCGCTGATTCCGATTCCGACACCTCCGCCTCTGATGGTGAAGGTGCGAAGAAGCCCCTTGGGAAAAAGGCTGCAGTTACTGCTTCACCGGCAGAAAAGGATTCCTCGTCAGAATCAGAATCTGATGACGAAGAAAAGGAGGACCTTGTAGCTGCTGCTCCAACAAAAAAGGATTCTTCATCGAGTTCTTCCGACTCATCCTCTGATGAAAGTTCTACGAAGAAAACCACTACCTCAAAAACGACCAAGGATGAATCGTCCGACTCTGATGATTCGGATGTCGAGATGGAAGAAGGTGTTAAGGTTGCGCCGGTCGTCAATGGTCAGTTTCATTTTTTCAACATCTTTTACGTTCGCTGACGTTCATCGAAATCCCTGTTCTAGGCAAACGTAAGGCCACTGAAGATACCCAAGCACCCCCCAAGAAGGTGAAGCTCGCGAACGGCGAAGCTTCACCCGCAGAAGAGGAAGTTAAATCGATCTTTGTTGGACAGCTTTCCTGGAACGTTGACAACGACTGGCTTGGGCAAGAATTTGCTGATTGTGGAGAAGTCGTGTCTGCCACTGTCCAGATGGATCGAAACACTGGTCGTTCACGCGGATTTGGATATGTGCACTTTACTAGTTCTGATGCTGTCACAAAAGCTCTCGAGATGAACGGGAAGGAAATTGACGGTCGCCCAGTCAAGGTCGACAAAAGCACACCCCCAAATAAGGATTCTGTCCGGGAAAAGAGGGCGCAAACCTTTGGAGATCAGACTAGTCCACCAAGCCATACACTGTTCGTTGGAAACCTCAGTTTTTCGGCCAACGAAGATTCCGTTTGGGAATTCTTCAATGACTACGGTGTAAAAACTGTGCGATTACCGACGGACAGAGAGACCGGAAAGCCTAAAGGTTATGGTTATGTCGAGTTTGACGACATCGAGGGCGCGCAGAAAGCATTTGAAGCTATGAGCGGACAGGAACTCGATGGCCGATCTGTCAGACTTGATTATTCACAGCCAAGGGACTCGGCTGGAGGTGGACGTGGAGGTGGACGCGGCGGACGTGGTGGATTCGGTGGTGGTGGTGGACGCGGTGGATTCGGTGGTGGCGGCGGCCGCGGTGGATTCGGTGGTGGTGGTGGACGTGGTGGATTCGGTGGCGGTAGAGGTGGTGGTGATCGAGGCCGGGGTGGGCGCGGCGGTAGAGGTGGTCCCCGTGGAGGGAACCCTCGCTCAGGGGGTATCGTTCCTCACGAAAGCAAAAAGATCACTTTCTGATCAATTTTGTTTATGAAGTATCTGTGTTTATTGTTATGCCATCCCACATATAACTGACAATCGTCTGTTGAATGACTGCCCATTTTGCAAAAACCGCCTGCCCAAATAAGCCTTAGTCATCTTGTGTGTGCACGCGCCATTAATTCCTATATTCTAAACAAGCTTTAGAACCCGTGTCTTCGCCACGGTGGCTCGCTCTGCTCGCACCGTGTGCTACAGCAGGGTTCACAGCTTGTTGGGGGCAAGCCCCCAAACCCCCTTAGTTGGTGCCTTGCACCTCCATACTTTCATATTTATTATGCAGTATTCTGAGCCACTTTTGTTGTAAACAACATACTTTTCCTATCTAGAAGAACTTCTGGGTACACCATATTTGTAGTAAGGCAATGTCTATCTTCTATAATGGAAAGTTTGAGACTTGCTACTGATTAGAATATAGAACTTACCTTTACCAGATAGAACTTTCACTACAGCATTTATTGTACTTCACATCTGTAAAACTTGTATATATGCCAGTGCAAAACACACCTGACCGAGGCACTTTTTCCGCCTGAAAAATACAAGGGGAAATCACCTTGCTTGCTAGGTCCTTTGCCACCCCGTCTTTGCCAAGCGCCCGTGCATTTTTGCACACGTTAGGCGCTTTAATGTTGTTTTCAGCCATTTCAACAGATTCTATTCTCTGTTTCTATAATCTGACTCATATCCTTGCTTGTTTTTCCATCCTTTGATGGGCACAGAACTTTTGCCGTAACCCCTGCGGCACCAGTCCCACGCAGTGCCGCACAGTTCCGCGCAGCTCCGCGCAACTTTATGCAGCTCCATGTAATCTGTAAATATGCAATATTGTGTACAAAATCCTACCACATAGTCATATTGCTTCTCAATTTGAGCTCCAGACAATGATATTGTACAATGGAGCTCTATAGGTCCAATGTGATTTTCCTATCCTGAAATTTTATCCAATCCTTAAGTTTGTACAGAATCACTGGATCACTAATTAAACTATCTATTCTGCATCTGCAAAACCTGGATTTTCGGGTAAAAATTTCCCAGCACTTCCCAGCATTTCCCAATGCTTCCCAGCAAAAATCTCATCATGAAGTATCTGTTGAGTGCTCTCAGTGCTGTTGATGCTCTCAGCCGCTTTGGATGCTTTCAAACTGACTAAAATCTAAAATTGATGGAAGAGAAAGGAATCATGGAAATAACAGGAATAATGTTGATATAAACATAGACATAAACATGTAATGCTTGGACCTCCATAATCGCCTAGTAGTACTTTTCTTCAGTTAGTTTTACTATTTTACTGTACTGGTAAGACAAGGATTGACTTTATCTAAAGTAAAAAAGAGTTCTTTGTTGAAATATTTATTCAAGAAAAATTCGTCGCTATGGTATTGGCTTGAACTTCTTGTTAAAGAAGTGTGAGGAGTACTTCTATAACGAGGGCAAATATCCACCAAAGAGCGGAATTGAGAGACAGGTATAATATCACCAAAAGGAGTGCCATCAGCTCTTCTAGCTCTTTTAAGGATAAAGCATCCTGAGGAATAATCAGGAAAGTGTGAGGGCCAAGCGTTATATCCAGGAAGACTTCGATACTCAAGAGGTGGAGGAGGCTGATTTACTACATCTAACCGTTCACAGTAAGCCAAAAACCTATGAGTACCATCCACGGGTGGAGAGGGCTTTCTAGGTTGAGCGACGGTAAAGATTATTTTCACCAAAACAACACAGTGTCCTAGAAGGGAAACAAGTGCAGTTAGATCCCAACAGACACAACGGATACAACAAACTAAGTATTAAGCCCACCTTCCAAAGAACTCCTTGGCCATTCAAAGCTTGAATTGATATTAACAACTGCAGCATTTTGTCGTCCAAATTCCCAGCCAGGGCTAGGAGGGGCCGCAAATATAGTATGGGAATCCGCAAGTAAATCAGTGTTAAAGTAAGTCTTTGTTTGGATACGTATCCTAGACCAAACTTTCACTCTTGTAAAGGGTAATGAAATCGACTGATTCAAGGATCTTCTGCCCCCTATAACAAAAGTCTGTGTTTTTGCTTGAATCCGTTCCAGGAAATCGAGACAAGCCCCAGAGAAGTCAGGAAGAGAATAGAGGTTACTGACTTGCTCTATCGTTAGCGTTTTGAGGTCAGGATCACGATTAACCTTAAATGCTGAGATTTCTCCAGAGATATTATCTGTAAAGATACGAAGAGGTAGAAGAGCTGAGACATCCTGCTTCATGTCACGAAGCGGCAGAGGCGGAGTGACTAACGGAGCGGGAAAGCGGAGCGACTAAGCAGAACGGTGAGGCGGAGCAACTGGACAAGGCAACAAGGCGGAGCGACTAAGCAGAACGGCGGCAGGCTGGTCCCTGGTCCCAGATAATGACAGAGATATATTGAGTATCGTAGTCATAGGTAATAATAAGTAAGCACATACCTGGTCCCAGATAATGACAGAGAGGTCAAGATAAGGGACCAGGCTGTGGAGGGTTGGCTATATATACATAATCCGGTCTGCGAGAAACAACGATGTAATACTGTACAGTTTAGGAACAAGGAAGGTGGCGGAAGCCAATAGAAGGAGAAGATGGGTCAGGTGGATCAGTAATCGATGGGGGTTTGACAGTGATGGGATGATGTATCGTACAAGTAAAGGCGTCGAGACGGTGAGAAAAGGAAAATGATAGGGGCTGCGTACTTTATGACATTACCCCCCTCCTTATGACCATTGCCCTCGATGGTCAAGGCTTTGCCGCTGTTGGGTGTTTTTTATGAAAGGCCCGAACAATTTTTGGTGCTCGGCTGAGGTTGGCTGCGGGTTCCCAAGAGTTGTGCCCTGCGTCGTAACCTTTCCACTTAACCAAATATTCCAACTTCTTCCATCGAACCCGGCTGTCTAAGATCTCCTCTACTTCGTATTCCGGTTCGTCTTCATCCTCTAAGTATACCGGCTCTGGTGGTGTTGGTATTTCGCCATTGATGGAGTTACCTTTCCAGGGGTATAGTTTATCGACATGGAAGACGGGATGGAGGCGATCTAGGGATAGGGGAAGGTCAAGGCGGTAGTCTAAAGGGCCAATTTTCTCCAGAATGCGATAAGGGCCAAGCTGTCGATCTCCTAACTTTTCACTGGAAAGTTGAAGGTTAATGTCCTCTGCACTGAGCCAGACTAGGTCTCCAACTTTAAATTGATGAGCTTTCCGCTTTCCGCGTTCGTATCCCTCCTTCTGTTGTTTCTTTCCTAGGTGTAAGGCAGCTCCGGCATCTTGTCGCGCTTCTCGGAGAATCCGTATACGGTCATCCACAGCTGGAATACCGCTGCGTTGGCCCACTGGGATATTGAACAGGGGAAGATAGCCGTAGGTTAGCTCGAACGGGGACATGCCTAGCGCAGAATGAGTCCGTGAGTTAATCACAAACTCCGCCATGGGAAGGTGCTCTGCCCAGTCGTCTTGTCGTCGTCCTACATAGAGGCGGATGTATTTCTCTACTTCCTGATTTGCTCGTTCGGTTTGGCCATTAGACTGAGGACGGTATCCGGAGGTTAGATCTGATTTAATTCCTAGCCTAGCGAGAAGGGATCGCATGAGTTTAGCTGCAAACTGGGGTCCGCGGTCGGATTTAAAGTGAAGTGGAAGACCATGGAGACGGAAGATCTCTCGGTAGTAAATATCGGCAACGCCTTCGGCTGTGATGGAGCTGGTGCAAGGAATGGCGTGAATTTGTTTTCCATACAGGTCTGTGCAAACCAAGACAGCATCGTAGCCTTGGGAGTTAGGTAGCTGTGTTATCAGGTCAACCCCTACCTCTTCCCATAGACCGGATGGTACATCTAATGGTTGAGTTACGGCCCGTGGGTGTCGCTGGATCTTCTTACGAGCACAAACCTCGCATCCCTCAACGTATTTTTCCACAAAAGAGCGCAACGTAGGCCACCAGAAATGGGTACTGACCAAGTCGAGTGTCCCGTGTAGTCCGGGGTGTCCTGCAGTTGGATGGTCGTGGCATTGACGGAGTACCTCAGTGCGTAGGTCGTCGTTTGCTGGTACGTATACTCGACCTCGGTAGTAGACCAACCCATTGTCTTCTTCCCATTCGGCTATCCCATTGGCCAAGCGCTGTAGTCCGTGCTCTTTGACTGTTTTGAGACCCTCCAATACCTGTGCCTCCCGTTCTGAGGCTTTCCGGATACGATCCTCTAAGGGGTTCTGTAGGATCGAAGCTGCAATTTTTACGAAGTGGCCAGGTTTAAGGACTGTCTGTTGTCGGTTATCATCGCTGTCCGATACATGATGAACTGCCATGCGGGAGAGAGCATCAGCTTGGGTGTTTACTCTACCAGGGCGGTGGATTATATGAAAGTCAAACCGTGACAGATAGAGGGCCCATCGGGCTTGTCGGCGGGTGAGGTCTTGTGCAGTGCGCCAGAATTCGAGGTTCGAATGGTCCGTAATGATGTCGAATGGTTGAGGGAGTCCTTCTAGAAAGTTCCTCCAATCCTTCAGTGCTTCAATGATAGCAAGCATTTCTCGATCGTAGATTTCGTAGTTCCGTTCCGCTGGCTGCATGGATGCCGATCTGAAGGCTACCGGATGCCATTGGCCATCGTCTTGCTTCTGCATAAGGGCGCCTCCCGTGGCAAAGCCTGATGCGTCTACCTCGATTCGAGTAGGCCTGTCTGGTGTCCATAGAGCAAGGATCGGTGCGGAGATGAAGGCTTCTCGAAGGGTATCAAATGCTTCCTGTCGAGTGTCGGTCCAGGTAAAGCTGGTGTCTTTCTTCGTCAGGTCGTTCAGAGGTCGTGCTATTTTGGCAAAATTCCGGATAAAGCGTCGGTAGAAGTTTGCAAATCCCAAGAACCCTCGTAGTTCCCGAAGATTAGTAGGGACTGGCCAGTCGCGAACAGCCGCTACTTTTACCGGATCCATTCTCACCTCCCCTTCTGAAATGATGAGTCCGAGGTATTCAATCTGTTGTTGTTCAAATTCGCATTTTTCTGGTCGTAGGTAGAGGTCGTGCTTTTCTAACCGGGTTAATACTTCCCGTACCATTCGTCGGTGTTCCTCGAGATCGTTACTGAAGATAAGGATGTCATCTAGGTAGACTGCCACCTTGCCGGCTGCAATGAGATCAGCAAATATAGCATTCATAAGTGCTTGGAACGTGGCAGGGGAATTTGTGAGACCAAAGAACATGACCTTAGGCTCGAACAAGCCTCGGGTTGTTGCGAACGCGCCTTTCCATTCATGCCCCTTCTTAATCCGTATGTTATTGTAACCCCAGCGGACATCAAACTTCGTGAAGTATCTGGCTCCCTGAAGTCGACTAATGATGTCAGCAACTAATGGGAGAGGGTATCGGTTCTTCACAGTGTACTCGTTCAGTTTCCGGTAGTCTTGTACGAAACGGAGTTTCCCATCCTTCTTCTTTACGAAGAAGACTGGTGATGAGATTGGTGATTTTGAGGGGACGATATAGCCTTTCCGTAGGTTTTCTTCTAGGAAACGATCCAACTCCTCCTGCTCGTTTAGGGACATGGGATAAATCTTGGTACGCATGGTTGCCGGTGCTCCAGGTACGAGATCAATTGCATGGTCCCAAGGTTGGTGGGCAGGTAATCGTTCGGAGGCGGATTCTGAGAAAACCTTCTTGAAATCACGATACTGCTCAGGGACCATTTCTTCGAAGGTTTTAACGGGTTTGTCTCGGTTGGCTTCCTCTGCTAGCTGCTGGGAGTAAGTGAATCCTGCGGCGCACCAGACTTCCTCCGTCTGTTCCTCTAGAATTCCTGCTTTTACCCATGCCCGGCGAGTTTTATGATTGGCTCGAATTCGGTGTATTGGTGGTTCTTCCACTGCTGCTGATTCACTCGGTTCAAGGGTCGCTTCTAGTGGCACCTCAATGTGGGGGTTTTCTGCGGGAGGTTCCAGTTCCGGGAGTTCGAGGATCGGGGTTTCTGTGTGAGTGGCGGCTAGATGAGAGTACAAGATCTCCTCGTCTGGGACTTCTTCTATCGTTACTCGAGGAGGCTTTACTGAAAGTCGTCCTTTCTCCCAATCAATCTCCGGATTTACCTTCCGTAGCCAGGGGAGTCCAAGGATGATGTCTTCACCTCCTAGGTTGGTAATCAGAAAGTCCATCCATCGCTCTTGATTATCCACTGTGAGTGCTAGACGTGCAAAATGGGTTATCCGTCCAGCTCGGTTAGGTGTTCCATCGATATTAAAAACGTCGATTGGTTTATGGAGGGGTGCACATCTTACATGGTTCCGGGTGACGAAGTCTTGGTTTAAAAACAGGGCGGTAGCTCCACAGTCTACCATGGCTGCAGTTGTTATACTGTGATTCCTTCCTCTTAGTCTCGCATGAATTCGGAAATGTGGGGAAGTAGAGTTTAATTCCCGGATCGACGATATTGTACATGATGGGTGCGAGTCATACGAGGAAGTAGCGAACATAACAAACTGATTACGGGGTACTCTCGGTGCAGCCGAAGCGGGTACCCTCTTTAAAAACCCTGTTGAAAGCCAGAGGACGAGGAGGACATAGCGTTAGCACGATCAAGTAATTCCCTTATTTGACCAATCTGATTGGAAAAGTCCTGGTTAGGGGGGCTCGGAGTAGCAGCTACGGGTGCAGAAGCAGATGTTGGGGTCGAGGACGCGATTTGGACGGATTCGTTTGGGAATAGGGAGAATGGCGCGGGTCCCGTAGCGGATATCTGTTGGTGTCGAGGTTGCTGGCGTCGGCCTCGGTCTCGTCCGAGTCCCATGAATTTGTCTTGGCAGACTGCTTCCAGATGTCCTCGACGTCCACAGTAGCGGCAGGTGGTTTCTCGGTGTGGGCAGTTTTGCTTGACATGACCTTGGGCACCGCAGCCGAAGCATCGTCCTCGCATGCGAGCTAGGAATGCTTCCCTAGTATTCCCATTACTGGTGTGGGTTGCATCAATGTCCATAGCGTGGGGGTCAGCAGGGGTAGTATGTGCGGTATGCGTGGGAGGGTATCCAGAGTTCCGGCCAGTCATGGTGGGATCGTGTAGGTAGACATCCACCGATATGGCCCGTTTGATTGCCTCCTTCAGAGTCGGAGCAATTCCTTGGGCAATGTTTACGGTGATGAGGTGTTGTCGGATCTCTGGGAGTAATGCAGTGAAGAAACGTTCCCGCAAGTCAATATCAGACATTTCAGTCCGATCTCCGATATCCTTGAACTTCTGAGCGAATTCCGCAACTGTCTGTCCTTTACTTTGCCTGAGATTCTTGATCTCGCTACGGGCTTCCATACCTGGGTCCATTGGTTCAAACCGTTGGCTAAATTCCTTCAGAAACGCCTCCCAATTTCCTCCGAAAGGGGGATTTTCCGCATTGAAATGTAGCAGATGGGGAGTTGCCCAATCTCCGGCACTTTCTGTGAAGAAGCCCAAGGCAGACTTGATGAGTTTTACTTGGCTTTTGGCGAGATCCGGTTGTTCTGACGCCCAATTCTGGAACTGAGCCATGAAGCGACGGGCTTCAGCGCCATCTTTACCCTTGAAAACCTCGGGTTTGTTCATGCTTGACTTAGAGGATGAGCGTTCCTCCATAGCTGTAGCAAGGTTAGCTACTTGTCTGATGAGCTGAGCCATGAGATCCTCCGCAGAGGTGTTTGGGGCAGGCGGGATAGGAGTCGACATGATGGGAGTAGGCAATCGGGGCTGGGGAATCGGCAGGAAGGTTATATTGCTCACAGTGAGTGGCTCTCGGATTGAGTTCGAAAGGGCGTTAGGGCAAGGTTGAGACTGGCAATCGCGCCAAGTATCGTCGTTGTTATGGGCGTGAGCTTGGTCTCTGGGGTCAAGTGCGTGCGGGAGTGCGGAGCAGTCTATACTGGCAACAGGTGTTTCAGAGTCGGGCGGAACTGGGGAAGACGTGGTGTCTATAGACCCTGCAAGGACAACCTTATCGGTAGGCTGTCAGTGCAGTAATGGATCTTGACCTAATGTCACGAAGCGGCAGAGGCGGAGTGACTAACGGAGCGGGAAAGCGGAGCGACTAAGCAGAACGGTGAGGCGGAGCAACTGGACAAGGCAACAAGGCGGAGCGACTAAGCAGAACGGCGGCAGGCTGGTCCCTGGTCCCAGATAATGACAGAGATATATTGAGTATCGTAGTCATAGGTAATAATAAGTAAGCACATACCTGGTCCCAGATAATGACAGAGAGGTCAAGATAAGGGACCAGGCTGTGGAGGGTTGGCTATATATACATAATCCGGTCTGCGAGAAACAACGATGTAATACTGTACAGTTTAGGAACAAGGAAGGTGGCGGAAGCCAATAGAAGGAGAAGATGGGTCAGGTGGATCAGTAATCGATGGGGGTTTGACAGTGATGGGATGATGTATCGTACAAGTAAAGGCGTCGAGACGGTGAGAAAAGGAAAATGATAGGGGCTGCGTACTTTATGACACTTCAACAGACGTGCCTTCAAAAAGAAGTTCTGTTTGGGACGGAATGAGCCAAACAGCTTTTGGGATACTGGGTGAAGGCGGGTCATCAGTTCTTCTGAGGATGATATCTTGGCGTCAACCTCTTTGTCTTCTTCGTCTCTTTCATCTCTTTCTTCTCTATCATGTCCTATATCACCTCTACCCTCATCACCCTCAATATCATCAAGACGGAAGTCAACTCCAGCGTCTACCATAGCTGTCACCAAATCAAACCTCCTGACTCTACTTTGGCGATCTAAGTGTCTGCATATCTGGACTTCGAAGTCATGATTATTTCCGGATCTAGCAGGATCCTTCACGAGAGTAATATGAGCATGCTCAGTAGTGTCTGCTGTCCACTGCATTATGGGTCCAGAGGCAGAAATGCTGGGCGCAACACTTTGCATGAATTCCAATTTTGGGATTTCCCAGTGGATGATAGGAACTCCTTTGGGATTAACACGAGCTTTCAGGTCCTGAATAATGTCCTTATTTTCGTGAAACTCATTGAGTGCAGTTTGAACTCTAAGAGTCGAAGCTTGGTTGAATCTTGGTGCCTGTCCAGCATAGCGAAAATCCATTAGCGCCCTGAGAGCAGTGACGAATTTTGGTATAACAGCACCAGAGATGAGGGGAATGAGGTATCTTTGAACATCTCTCTGCGCTCTACCAGTCACCTGCTTCAAACTTGAGATACCCTCTTTGAAGCTGCGATAACCAACAATTGGCTGATGTATCGAGAATCTAAAATCAATATGACTGGCTCCGACAGCTTGTATAGCCCATTTTGCGTCATGGTCCCAAAACATTTTGTGCCAGTGGTGTAGAGGTTCAGGAGTGAGAAATTCGCATGGCTCTGCAAGAGGCCAGTCTCTCCAAAAAGGGGAAACAACACCGTTGGTCCGTGCAGTCACTGAAGCTCTTTGATATGCGGGAAGATCCTGAGGAAAAATGTTCCGTGCTTGAATACTATCTATAGCCTCTAGAGTTGCTGTAGCTAGACAAGGAGGGTGAAGTTTTCCGTCTCCAAAATCTTTATAAATTGCTCGGGTGAACGGAGAAGTTTTGCCACCTGTACAGGCGATCAAAGAGGCTTCTGGTGTATCGACAATGGCGCTAGCCAAGGGAGTGTAGCAAACCCTGACTTGTCCTACAGGATCGCTCATCAAGCAGCCGATACTAGCAGCAGTTTTGAGTGGTTCCAGGACGATATCCAAGCATTCATGATATAGCCGGTTTTCAAGTACGCCACGCACGGAGGTTTTTCTTTCGATATATTTTGGAACAGGGAGAAGTGCGAGAAGATTAAACAAATATAGAGAAGCTTTCGACAATAGATCGCTATCTATATTTGCCAAAGATATCAACAAGGGATGAGCTACACGATTTCCAGTAATGACAGAGACCGTTGTCTTGTCAGATGATAGGATGGTGCCTAACAGAGTCGCTCCTTCTGGAAGCTGGCTCTAGATTTTGATTTGAGATAGATAGTTCAATATTTATTTGTGGTCTACTTACCTGCATTTGCCAAGCTCTATTTCCTGATAGCCAGGAATCATAAACACGGACTAATTTTCTGGAATCCTCAAATATTTGCAGGGGAGCAAAATTGAGGGAGTCACATATTAAAGGACTCTTCATCAAGTCCTGAAGAACTTCAACAGTGTTTCTATAATAGAGGACCACAGGAGTTCTGGAAGGTGTTAAGATCATGTACACCGAGTAACCGTGCCAAAGCTACAAGGTGCCTAAGTGCGGAAGACGAGTGGGACAGTAGTGAAGTTATTAACAACACCGCCGTTACGCCGTTAGTCCCCGGAGAGCGAGAGTAGAGAGAGAGGAGCTAAGTAGCAGCCAGGTCGGAGCGGCGGTATCGCCGATGACGAGGAGCGGACCAGAGGACGTTAAAGTCCTAAGGTTCAAGGAGGACGTACTTCAAGGCGTTGAGCCAGAAGACTTAGAGAAGAGCTAAGTTGAGAAGGGAGATCTAAGTTGATCTAAGTTGATCTAAGTTGATCTAAGTTGATCTAAGTTGATCTAAGTTGATCTAAGTTGATAATTAAACTGAGGAACTACAGTAGCGTACAGGCAGTATTTATATCTACGGAACGGCGCATCGGTGCGGAGCGCTGGACTAACTACTAGGAGCTATACGAGTAGTACCTGCAGGGTAGAGTAAAAGACAATAAGGAGAGACTAGGACGAAAGAGTAAAAGACAATAATAAGAGACTAGAACGAAAGGATAAGTGTAGCGAGAAAGAACAATAGGAAGAGATTACAATAAGAGCAGATCTTCGGAGTACCGAGCGGCGGAATGAAGGCCCGCGGCATGGACTTGACAGTATCCCCCTCTTAGGCTTGAGCCCTCGAAAGCCATTAATACCGGAAGTTGGTTAGTCACCAAAGAAAATTTTTAAAGGCCGTCAGCATCGGGAATTTGGTCCATCAGTCAGCAGGAAAATTTTCAAACGCCGTTAGTACCGGGAAATGGCGTTAGTCATCAGTGAAAATTTTCGGTTCACCGTACACCCCGTACAACTCGAAGGAAAATTTTCGCTGGTCCGTGCGCAGTTTTTGTCCTATAAAAGGCCCAGGGTTTTGCCGCTAAGGCCCTAACTTTTCCAAAAGTCCTAAGTCCATCAGCATGTCGACCAGCCGTACCATCACTACTACCAGCAACAAATCTTCTACCGCCGGACCTTCGAGGTCGCGACCGGCCCCTCCTCCACCCGTTGACCTCACCGTTCCCGACGAGCCTGGAGAAGACGACGACGACGACGTGGAAGAAGACGACGACGAAGCTATCCGGCGGGCGGAGGAGAAGGTCCGCCGGATGAAGGCGCGGAAGGCGGCGGCGGAGGCTAAGAAGAAGGCCGAGGAGGAGGCGGTCAGGAAGGCCGCAGAGGAGGCTCAGAGAAAGAAGGAAGCGGCAGCGCGAGAGTTAGAGGAACGCCGGAGGAAGATGGCGGAGGCGGCTACCGCCCGTAGTCGACGTGGCTCTTCGCCCGGAGAAAGCTCGGTTTCCCCACAACGGCCGGTGGTAGAAATTCGAAGGGACAAAGGCAAGGGCAAAAACAAGGCCCAGGTGAGTAGCGAACTCTTAGACGTTAATCCCGTACTAATTTCCCTGTTTGTAGCCTGTTGGCGGGGACCCCGATGACGGCGGCGACGGGGATGACGACGACGACGATGAAGATGACAGGGCTCCCTGCGAACGATGCAGGAGCAAAAAGATCTCTTGTCAGATGCAGGCTGGCAAGAGGAGCTCTGTTATTTGCAAACCCTGCCACGACGCCAAGGTCCGGTGCTCGTACTCCGGGCGGCCCTCAACGGTGAAGCGCGAGGGGGGAGGAGCTCCGTACGGCGAGCGCCTTGCGGTTCTGGAGAGCCAGGTGGCTCAATTACTCGCCGACAACCGGCAACTTCGCGATGGCCAGGTGAAGGCGAATACCTACCATCGCCACATGAACAAGAAGCTGGACTGGTTAATCACGGATGCCTCAAGAAGGAGACGAACACCACCAGAACTGCCGGAGGCCGGACCGTCGGATTTGTCGAAGAAGAGGAGGAGACAAATGGATAGCGACGAGGAAGAGGAGCAGAGGAGGGTAGAGCAAGAGGTTGGGGAAGAGGAGGATGGAGATGGAGAGGAGGAGGTAGAAGAAGAGGGAGAACCGGCGCCGAAGAAGGCCCGGTCGGAGAAAGGGAAGGAGAGGGCGGAGTAGAGTATCATCGGACATCGGACATCGGCCTTCGGCCATCTTCTTGTACTCTTCTTGTTACCCTGCCCTCGTTATATAGTTTTGTTTTTTGGGCTTTGTATATAAAAAAATGTTAACTCGATTTTGAAATCGGAAAGCGAATGGGCCGCGAAGCGGCGAAAGGATTAATTAGTTCGAAGTGTAAGTAGTTGTAAATGTAAATGAAATATAAGTGAAAAAGTACATTGAAGGAGAATGTAAGTAATTAAGAGAAGGAGATAAACACTCAATTTGCTATCATCGTGTTTATCCTCTAAACGCACGAAGAAGACTTCGGCGGAGCGCGGCGAAAAGGGGAAATGGAATAGAATGATTTTTTGTGATCAAGGTCCAGGTTTGTGAGGGTATCGGGCGTGGAACGCCGGTACAAGTTCATCAGCATGTAATTCATCAGCAGCAACCCAAGAGAACTCATCATCGGTACCTTCATAACCGGCCCACCGAATATAATAACGTAGAGGACAACGTTTGTACCTTCTGTCCAGCTTGGAGTCGAGGATTTCGGCAACGTTGTACTCCTCTTCACCATCAACTTCAATTGGAGGTGGAGGAGATTGAGTACGATTCGGGAAAGGATTCGGCGTAACCGGCTCCAGCTGTGAGACATGGAAAACCGGGTGAATTCGGCGAAGATAATCTGGGAGCTTGAGCTCGTAAGACAAAGTACCAGGTCGACTGATGACCTTGAAAGGACCAAGATATTTTTCTGAGAATTTTTCAGTAGGACGAGTAGAACGAATGTGCTTAGCAAGAACGAATACTTCGGAGCCGATCGGGAACTCCGGGTGCGAGATTCTTTTCCTGTCAGCTTGTTCCTTGTAACGAGACTGAGCTAAAAGGATTTCCTCTCGAAGGAAAGCATGGAGTTCATCAAGGTTGACGACGAAGTCTCTAGCAAGATCAGACTTCATGTCGACCTCGGGCCGAATGGTGATATTTGGGTGGTATCCTTTGTTAGCGAAGAATGGAGTAATACCAGTGGAAGCATTGGGAGCGTTGTTATAGGCGAACTCGGCGATCGGAAGTAGAGGCGACCAGTCATCTTGTTGGTAGGAACAATAGATCCTGATGTACTGCTCGAGAGTCTGGTTGACACGCTCAGTTTGCCCGTCGGCTTCCGGATGATATCCAGAGGTATAGTGAAGTTCCATGGAGAGCGCTTTACCGAGAGCCCGGAAGAACGCCGAAACAAATTCGGAACCACGATCGGAAGTAACATGATTAGGAACACCATGCTTAGAGAAAACGTGAATAACAAAAAGCTCAGCTAGTTGTTCGGAAGTAATGGTGTCGTGAGTTGGAATAAATATAGCTTGTTTGGAAGATCGATCCACGACGACTAGGATAGCAGTGTAACCATTTGACATTGGCAGTTGCTCAATGAAGTCCATGGAGATGGAATCCCATGGGCGGACCGGAACCGGCAGAGGTTTCAACAAGCCGTAAGGCCGGTGACGGCGGGGCTTATTGCGACCACAGATAGTGCAAGAGGTAACGTAGTCACGAACAAAGTCTCTGACCTTGGGCCAGGTGTATTGACGACGTACAGCTTCGAGAGTGCGGTTCTGGCCGAAATGGCCGGAAAGTGGATGATCATGGAAGTAGCGGAGGACTTGAAGGCGAAGATCGCCGTGATTAGGGACATAAATACGGTCGTCAAGGCGTAGTAGCTTGTCACTACCTAAGCTCCAACGTTCATTGGAAGGATCTTTTGCAAGTTCCAAACCAGCAACGGAGCTCGGATCGGCGGGAAGGGCGAGAATGATAGCTTGGTGTAGGGCTTCGATATCCATGATAATCGAGGCTCGTAAAACCGGGCCTTCCAGGAAGGTAGCTCGAAGAGACGCAGTGAGTTGTTCGTTAGTAAAGATAGGACGGAAGTTATGAGGGTTCACTTGGGCGTAGCCGATATCCCCCTCTTTAGGGTAGACGTCCCAGCGTCTAGTTATCGAATCAGGTTTCTCGCCGAGTTTCCCCGGTCGGAAGCGAATGACCATATTAAATTGATGTAAAAATTCTGACCATCGGACCTGTCGGCGTGTAAGAACCTTGGTAGTAGAGAAATACTCAAGATTCTTGTGATCGGTGACGACGTCCACCGGATCACCCGAACCTTCCAGATAATGACGCCAAGCTTTAAAGGCCTCGAAGATGGCCAGTAGCTCTTTGTCGTGGGTATCGTAGTTGAGTTCCGCCGCATGAAGCGTTCTGGAAAGGAAGGCTAGAGGATGAATTTCACCGTCAGCATATTGGATGGAAAGAATAGCCGCAATGGCGTAATCGGAAGCGTCAGTTTCCACGATAAGTGGGCGATTCGGCTCCCAATGGGCCAGTATTGGCGCAGAAGTGAAAGCGATTTTGAGATTTTCGAAGGCCTCTTGACAGCTGCTGTCCCAGATCCAGGACGCGCCTTTTCGGGTAAGCCGAGTCATCGGCACAACGATATCACTGTAATTATAAATAAAACGACGATAGAAGTTTGCAAAACCCAGGAAGGACTGGATGTCCTTAACCTTCCTCGGAACCGGCCACTCTAGAACGGTCTGAACTTTCTCCTTGGACATAGTCAATCCGTCGGGAGAAAGAATATAACCCAAATACTCAACAGTATCCATATTGAATTCGCACTTGTCGGGGTTGGCGTAAAGCCGATGTTTCCGTAACCGCCGAAGAACTTCCTTGACGTGTTCTCGGTGTTCTTCTGGCGTATCAGAGTAGATCAGAATATCGTCAAGATAGACGATGACACAGACATCGAGCATGTCAGAGAAGATGTCATTAACAAACCGCTGGAAAGCCGCAGGGGCGTTTGTAAGGCCGAACGGCATGACCTTCCATTCGTAAGAGCCGTAGCGGGTCCGAAAGGTGGTCTTCCATTCGTCACCTTCAGCGATTCTGACCAGATGATAAGCGTGAGCGAGGTCCAATTTGGTGTATATTTTAGCTCTTTTCGGAGCGTCGAGGAGATCTGATATGAGTGGGAGTGGGTAACGATCCTTTTTGGTGATACGATTGAGTCCACGGAAATCGACGCAAAGGCGAAGTTTGCCGTCTTTCTTTGGGACAAAAAGGACCGGAGCGCCGTGAGGAGAGGATGATGGGGTGATGGCACCAGTAGCCAGCTGTTTGTCAATAAAGTCTTTAAGGGCGACTAACTCCTTTTCAGACAAAGGATAAATACGGCCGAGGGGCGGCGAAGCGCCCTCTTCCAAGTCAATCTTCAGGTCGTAAGGTCTGTGTTCAGGAAGAGAATCTGCAGCTATCTCGTCGAAGACGTCTGCAAACTCTGCGTACTCTTCTGGAATAGAAGGATGGAGTGGAGGAACAGTAGGAGTGGTGGAAGAGCGGTCGGCGGCGCGGGCCGCGACCTCTGAGTGGATAGCACGAAGTAAAATAGGTTCCATACCAGCGTCCTTGCAAGCCCTGTTAAAGACTGCAGCACTGACAAGTGCAATGTCGACCTCGGGAGTTTCCAGTTGAGCAGCGAATTGAGAAACCGTAGGATAAGAATAGATGGGTTCAAAGGGGAATTTGGACGAAAGGGGCTTGGCCCGTAAAGTCCGAGAGCGGGAGCGAGAGCGAGAGCGAAGTGAGTCCCCAGGAGGGGTCTCCAGAATTGTCGGTGAAACCGACGGCGAAGGTTCCGGTAGCGGAACAGCGACCTTTGCATCAACGGTGTTGATAGCAGAAGGCACAGACGTCTGTGGAGAATCAAGGTGTGAAGTGTTACGGAACGTAATGTTTCGAGATGCCCAGTCAATCAACGGATTGTAGCGGGATAAGAAACTGTAACCTAGTACTGCTTTACAAGATGAATCTAAATGTGTAACATAAAAGGGTAATAGAAGCAGCTCGCCGGAAGGGAACCGAACGGCGATATTCGCCATATCGGTAATGGGTTTAGAAGATAATGAACCATCAAAGAGACGAAGATTAACAGGAGAGATTTTGGTCGTAGGAATAGAATTTTGTGAAACATAACGAGTATCAATGAAAGAGTCAGTAGAACCAGAATCAACAAGAGTAGGAAATTTGAGAAGAGCAGAGATGGGTTCGGCCGGCGCGGCCGAATCGGATAAAGGAAATTCAGTAGTCAATGATATTACAAGAGATCGTTCAATAGAAGAAAGAGCGGACGCGTTGAGATATAACTCCCCAGGTGAGGTACGAACCTGATCAACGCAGCTCCCGTTTCGTACCGGGGAACAAGAGCTGCGGATTAGTTTTCCGAATCCTCTTCAACAACCTCAATGGTTGCTTCGGGGGTTTCTTCAACCTCGGCAGCGCGGCCCTTCGATTCTCGGGCCTTTCGCTTATTGCAGTCAGCAATCTGATGCTTACCACCGCAGAAGAGACAAAGGTTGTTCTTCATCCTTCTTTCCCGTTCGGAGGGAAGTACTTTACCATCTGCTCCTAGATGGTTGAACGCGGGGCGCTGACCGCCGGATTGGCCGGAATTCGAAGAGTTCTGGGGTTTACCATTGTTGTTAGGCTTACCACCAGAGAAGGGTTTAGGCTTCGGCGTGAACGGCGCCGAAGAGCCAGATGGCTGAGAGTTGTTTTGCTGGTTAGTAGAACCAGTCTTAAAGTCCGAGGAACCCTTCTTCGGGTTCCGAGCAACAAAAGGCTTACCAGCCTCGCGCTTCCTAGTTTCCTCGCGTTTCCAATAACGATTGTCAATACGAAGAACCTCTTGACGGTAATCGGCGAGCGTCGCCGGCTCGGGCAAACGCGCCATTTCGTCCTTGATGCGCTCAGCTAAGCCTCGTCCATAAGCCCATTTCAGGGCAGCAGAATCCCAGTTGGTACTAGCAGCCAGGGTGTTGAACCGGATATTGTATTTCCGGATGTTCTCGGTTTCCTTCATCTTCAGATTACCGAGAGAATCTTCGGCCTCGCCTTGGGCGTCGTAAACGCCGAAATTGTCCTGAAGCTCCTTTACAAGGGCCTTGAAGGAGGACGTCCAGGCCGGCAGCGAGTCGAGATCCGGATCGAGGATATCAGGGACAAACCATTCTTTGGCTGACCCACTGAGATAGGAAAGGGTATAGTTCACCTTCCGTTGGTCGGTGAAGTACTTTGGACGGTCATTGAAGACCAGGGCTAGATTGACGAAGAATGTTTTGAGTTTTCGGGGATCCGAACCGTCGAATACCTCTGGCTCCTTGACCTTGCTCTTGGATTCAGAGCTGTCAGAAGGGCGGCCGAGGGCGGCGAGGACGGTACCAAGGGTCTCAATGGAACCCTTGAACCCCGAGAGGAGTTCCAACATAGCTCGTTGCTCGTTGGGGATGTCAGGAGAGATTGGGGAACGAGGACCACCAGGTCCACCAGGACCACCAGGTCCGCCGGGACCGCCGGGACCGCCAGGCCCACTGGGGTCACCAGGCTCACCACGCGGTAAACCGCCGGAGTCGTCATCCAGATCGTCATTGTTGTTGTCGGCACCCGGATCGTCGGGATCGACAGGAGGGTCTTGATCATCGTGATCACCAGTGTCCAAATCGAAGTGAGGAGGTGGGTCACGAGGAGATTCAGAAGCAGCTCGACGTTGGGGTTGTTTTCCCGTACGGCGGGCTATGGCTTGGAGAATTGGAGAATCAATTCGAGCAGTTGACCGGCCCCGAGCCGGAGCGACCACGGGGGGTTGTCCACGGCGAGGGGTCAAGACTTGGACAGGTTGTCCGTCACCGGTGTACAAAGTGCTGTACTCAAATTGCTGATCTTCTTCCATGGCTTCAGGAAGAGTTGACGTAGTAGGAACTGTGGCTGGACCGAAACCGCGATTACGGCGACGTGGTTGACCGATGGCAGAGATAGAGTCGGAGAATGGGGCAAATGATTGGGCTGTAGTGAAGAAAGTATTTTCTTCGGAGTTAGCTCTAGATTGAGCTCGAGTTTTCGGAGGCATAAAAAATGATATGTCAGTACGACGTTAACGGAATGAGTTTAATTATACTGTTAAGATCATGTACACCGAGTAACCGTGCCAAAGCTACAAGGTGCCTAAGTGCGGAAGACGAGTGGGACAGTAGTGAAGTTATTAACAACACCGCCGTTACGCCGTTAGTCCCCGGAGAGCGAGAGTAGAGAGAGAGGAGCTAAGTAGCAGCCAGGTCGGAGCGGCGGTATCGCCGATGACGAGGAGCGGACCAGAGGACGTTAAAGTCCTAAGGTTCAAGGAGGACGTACTTCAAGGCGTTGAGCCAGAAGACTTAGAGAAGAGCTAAGTTGAGAAGGGAGATCTAAGTTGATCTAAGTTGATCTAAGTTGATCTAAGTTGATCTAAGTTGATCTAAGTTGATCTAAGTTGATCTAAGTTGATAATTAAACTGAGGAACTACAGTAGCGTACAGGCAGTATTTATATCTACGGAACGGCGCATCGGTGCGGAGCGCTGGACTAACTACTAGGAGCTATACGAGTAGTACCTGCAGGGTAGAGTAAAAGACAATAAGGAGAGACTAGGACGAAAGAGTAAAAGACAATAATAAGAGACTAGAACGAAAGGATAAGTGTAGCGAGAAAGAACAATAGGAAGAGATTACAATAAGAGCAGATCTTCGGAGTACCGAGCGGCGGAATGAAGGCCCGCGGCATGGACTTGACAGAAGGATAGAGTGGAGGGGTTTTCATAACTCTCGCTCGCCACTTTGGAACAGGAGGAAGAAGGTCGGTAATTTCATGCAGTCTTTGTGCTGTCTTGAATGATAGATTATTCTGTTTTGTCTATGTTGTTCAGCTAAAAGATCATATGGATACAAATCTAAGACCTACAAGCTCGAGCTGGAGATAATTATCGATTTCTTGCATAGAAAGGGATGAATTGAGCAAAAAGCTTGCCATCTCCCACTCAGGTCTAGATGAGAACGGATAGTAGAGATTTTCCTTTCTCTCCTCAGAGAATCGATCATCATTGAAGTCGTCCAGATATGTGGCCCCACAGCTGACAATTTTACCTGCGCCAGGAAAGTATATTGTACATGGCCCCAAGGTAGCTTCGCCACTATCAACATCCATGAAACTCTCCATTGAGGAATTTCCTTGTGAGTCATAACTAGGAGATGGCGATGGAGGGGTTGAAGGGATAGAAGGATTTCCGAGGTGAATGTGGCTGCTAAAGTTGATAGAGGTACCAAACCAGGCTTATAGTTACAGAGTGTTTGCTTGACATGGCTACGTCGTCCAGCTTCAGTTTTACATAGATGCCCACAATAGCGACAAGTAAAAGACATGAGGACTAGTGTTCAGAGGATTCAGACGTCAACATTGACATAAACAAACTGTGGGAATATCTTTGGCCTCTCTTACTAGGTGGGATTACCTTGTTTCTTGGAAGTTGGGAAGAAAGCGTCAACGAGTTTAAGTAAAGGTTTACATTCTGTAATAAAATATGAATACTAGGAGCATTACAAAGCTAGTAACTGCAGCCATAGATATTGATTCTAAGCTAGTTCACTCAGTTTCGGACAATTCCTCTCTCTGGCAGGTCCAGCACAAACCCTCTCTTGTAAGTCCACTGCGTGATCTAGAGGCAGTAGAGGAGGGTGGAGGACTCCACCTTGCGAGTCCACCATACGGTCTAGAGGTGGGTGAAGCAGTGGGCTCTACCTCAAGTCCACCAAGCGATCCAGAGGCGGTATCAGCGGTGGCAATTCCATTCCCCGCTCCACCCTGCCTGTTTCCGATAAGTCCGTTTTGATTCATTCAAATGACCTGGCTCGGAGGCAGTAGAGCACGAAGAAACAGCAGAGTGGATGGTGTCGGAGGATTTGCGACCGGCGGAAGGAGTGAGCTCGACGTGACTCGTTGTGTGAGGTTGGCCGTGACGCTTTCGCATCATTCGCCGAGCAACGAACGAAGGTGACGGAGCTCGTAGCGACGCGCTACGGGACATCGTGGTAGGTGTCTGCGGAAGTCTCTTCATTCGCAACGGAACAAGAGTCTCTTGGGTATGGCGAGAAGGCTCTGTGGAGCCTTTAGCGGTGACTGTTAAGTTTGCAAGAGCAAAAGCTGCTTCAACAGAGGTGCTTCGAGAGTGGGAAGGATGCAGTTGAGAGTTAAAGACCAACTCGGGAGGTATATTCTCTCCAAGGGTCTGAGTAAGTTTTGCCATGCGCTTCCGGCAAGTTTGTAGTGAATCATCCAAAGAGTCATGATCGTCATGATATGAGCTAGATGAAGCGATGTTGGTAGATATAGATGTCGGCGAAAGTGGTGATGTAGGACCCGGGGATGACCTAGGAGATGAGAAAGAAGCAGGGAGAGACTGTAAAGATAACACGAGTGGGCGAGGAAGAGCTTTTGACTTCTTCGGCGCGTGTGTGAATCGAGGCGATGTGATCCAGAGGCCATAGAGGTGGTGGTGGAAGTGGTGGAGGTAGTGGAGGCGGTGGACTCTACCTCGTGAGTCCACCAAGCGATCCAGAGGCGGACGAGGTGGTAGAAGCGGTGGACTCCACTTCGTGAGTCCACCGAATGATCCAGAGGCCATAGAGGTGGTGGTGGAAGTGGTGGAGGCGCGATCCAGAGGCGGAAGCGGCGGACGAGGTGGTAGAAGCGGTGGACTCCACTTTGTGAGTCCACCGAATGATCCAGAGGCCATAGAGGTGGTGGTGGAAGTGGTGGAGGCGCGATCCAGAGGCGAAAGCGGCGGACGAGGTGGTAGAAGCGGTGGACTCCACCTCGTGAGTCCACCGAACCATCCAGAGGTGTAGAGGTGGTGGTGGAAGTGGTGGAGGAGATAGTGGAGGCGGTGGACTCTACCTCGTGAGTCCACCAAGCGATCCAGAGGCGGTAGCGGCGGATGAGGTGGTAGAAGCGGTGGACTCCACCTCGTGAGTCCACCGAACGATCCAGACAGAGGTGTAGAGGTGGTGGTGGAAGTGGTGGAGGTGGTGGACTCCACCTCATGAGTCCACCGCATGATCCAGAGGCGGGTGAGGCGGTGGACTCGCGAGTCCACCACATGATCCAGAGGAGGTGGAGGAGGCAGTAGAGGAGGTGGTGGAGGCGGGTGAGGCACTAGAGGTAGTGCCTGACATTGAGTCCTGATTACTTTTTGAGGTGAGTGGAAGTGGTGGTGGAGGTGGTGGAGGTGGTAGAGGTGGTGGAAGTGGTGGAAGTGGTGGAAGTGGTGGAAGTGGTAGAGGCCGCAGTAGAGGTGGTGGAAGAGGCGGCAGAGGTGGTGAAGGTAGAAAACCAAAGTCAATTCAAAATAAGCGCCTCTTGTTAAGCGCCTTCCGGATTTGGAGCGACACTTGCTGGCAGCAATTGTCGCTCCAAATCCGGAAGGCGCTTAACAAGACTCTTTTCTCCGATATATTCTTTCCGAGCGCCGCTGTTACGCTTGGGGTCTAGCAATGTCGACATTCAGATTATCTGCAGCCCAGGCTTTGGCTTTGCAGAACTACCTTCTTAGCAGAGAAGAAACCTTGCCTCTTGCCCTTCAAGAACTTATTGCAGTCCTTCCCTCTGGTGCCATTGATCATCAAGCTCAAGTTACTTCTTCATCTTCTACTTCTCCAAGAGTCAGTCAGGTAATATTCTAGGACTTCCTTTACTTCCTTTTGATCTGACCAATCATAGGTTCACTCTAAACAGGCTTTATGTCCTAGTTGTTGTCAAGGAGGTCAAAGGGGCCTTTTAAGGCAGAATTTCTCTTCAACACAGTCCACTCCTAAGTACAGAGAAGCTAGTGTTGATGCTAGCTTCCCATCTTCAGCCTCTTATTCTTCCCAGTTCCATCCACCCTCGCTCTCACATCCACTTTCGCAATCGCAACCACGTCCACATTCGCAACCGCGTCCTCTTTCACGCTCACAATCGCATTCGCGTTCGCATTCGAGTTCGCATTTGAGTTCACGTTCTCGTCAATGTTCACCCTTGCATCATCCTGGTTCACCCTTGCATCCACGCTCGCATTTGGATTTGAGGTCGAGTTCAGATTTGAGCTTGTGTTCGGACTTGAGCTTGCATTCTGATTTGAGCTTGCATTTGGATTTGCGCTCGCATTCGGACTTGAGGTTGCATTCGGAGTTGAACTTGCCTTCACATTCGCATTCCCCTCAACACTCACATTCGCATTCCCGTTCGCATTCCCATTCACCCTCATGTTCGCATTCCGGTTCGAATTCCGGTTCGCATTCTGGTTCGCATTCCGGTTCGCATTCCCATTCACGTTCAGAGCCACGTTCAGAGCCACAACCTAAGAGAAAACGCCGCAAAGCTCAGAAAACCAAAGCCAACCCAACAGAAATAACCAGCGGAGGACCCGATGATCCTACCTTTATTCATTGCCCTAGAAAAAGTGTACGTGCAAGGAAGAGGCGTCGAATCGATCAGTATTCATATGATGACTCTACTGCTGGTCGTTTTGCTGTTGGGGACCATGCAGCGCAACCTTCTAGAGATGTTTCGGTGGACCTTACGAAGCAACTGGCAAGACTTTCGTTTGGCACCAGAACCTCTATTGGTCATGAGGATTATCTGAGCTGGGTGTCAGATCTAAAGGGGATGATAGAGGGAACAATAGACAACGTCAAGGACTTGGCTGTTTCTTCGCTAGTCAGTATAGCCAGGCGATGTGATTTAGCTGCCAACGTCGACGGAACAGCAAGATTTGTCCGTATGCTGCATGAGCTTTACTTCTCTGCCAAAGTTAATAGGTATGGGAGGTTCTACCATGTTCTGAGACGATTAGGCCTCACCTGTTATAGTCGTTTGAATTTGATGAAATCCGAAGATAACAGTCGTCGACCGAAGCCTTCTGAAGTATACAAGTCTCTTCAAACTCATAGTATTCCTGAACATAAAAGTCGAGATTATATGTCAGCTGGTAGTAGATGGGCATTCTTGGCTAATGCAGGTAAGCTATAAGTTACGTTTCAACCGCTTTAGCTGAGCTTTATACAGGGTCACTTTATCTATTGCTGGTTATTGCCTTCAAAGGAGAAGATGAATATTTCAGAAAGAAAGCCTCAGTAACTGTCATACAAGCTCTGTGCAATAAAATTAGAGCGCCTGATTCATCAGGTAAGTTTGTGTTTTGAAAGTACACAAACATTTCACCCATTTTCAACTCAGGAATTATGGGAGAAATTGTCAGGTTTAACCTTATACCGGTTCTAGCTAACCTTTGCAAAGATATTCCCATTTCAATACCGACCTTATATCATAGGTCTCTTTTGAAAGATCTGGGCCTTTCTGGTTCCTTTGATTGCGGAGATTTACGGGTAAATGATAATTATTTTGGATCTTTCTTTTTTCAGTGAGTAATTAGTTTCTCTGACTTATAGACATCTACGTATAACGTTCTTCTAGCACCTTTAGATCTCTTCCTAGAGATTGGGAAGCCTGGAAGCAATTTGATGTATCTATGAAATTTGAACGTACTTTGTTAAGTACGTCTCCCTTGGAGAGACGCTTTCTTCTCTTTTCTCCAGAACAGACGGGAGCTGCTCAGCATGCATCTGCAGTTTCTGAGCTGTCCTCTGAAGAAGAGACATTCACTCCGCCTTCAACTATTCCACCTATCTCAATTCTTTTTAATCGTATGGGCTTCCAGTCTCAAGATTCAGAAGGAATACATCAAGTTCTGTTTACGCCATACAAACCTGCCAAAACCAGGGAACCTTTTCCTCCTGACTATCGAGGTAGAAGCAAATGGACGGAAAACGAAAGATCTCTAGCTCAAGATTGTGTTACTCCTGATTCTTTGGAGAGTTACGCTAACGAGGTAGGTTTATGATTTTAACTTAAGTTTACAGTTCTGATCCTACAGATTTTCAGATGAACGGTCGTTTCGATAGCTTGGGACGGCTTTCCGACTCTAGGTACCTCAAGCTCAACCGAAACATTATTGAAGGGTGAGATGTCTCAATTTTGGCGTTGCTTTTTACTAATTTAAAAACAGCAAAGTTGTACAGATATTCGATGACAACAAAGATCTACTTTATACGTTGGACACGACTATGCCTCAACACCTAAAAGAAGGCTTGGAAAGGATAATTCAGGCCTGCTTGTCCGATACCACTGCACAGTTCACACCTCAAGATCCTTCTTCATCTGTTCAAACTGCTGCTTTTTCCTCTCTTCATTTCACAAATCAAACATGCTATTTAACTCATTTCAGTTTTTTGCTATTATCTGCTTATATTTTTCTGACGTTATCCTAGGGATATGAGGCCCCTAAGGATATTCATCCTTTATATCTTGTCAACGCCAATGGAGGAAAGATGAATCACAGTCAGCTTCTGGTTCATCCTTCTGAAGACATTCAGAAATTTTCTGGGCCTTTCAAAGATTTGAAACAGAGTCTGGAGGAGACATTACGTTGGGTTTCAGAAAAGGTGAGCGAAACTTCTTTGCATTATTTCTAATGTAAGTTTAAAGGTTTTACAGATTCATTCCGATACTTTTCATGAGATTTCCGCCACCGTTGATCTTCTTCCCTTACAAGACACTTCCCCCACTTCTCCTTTTACAAGCATTGTGTTCAACATTAATGTGAGTACCTTAGCTCACCGCGACAAAAACGACAAATCAGCTTGCATCTGTATCACTGTGGGTAATCCTCAGGGAGGTGAGCTAGGTTTATACGAACCCAAGCTCTTGTTGGAAACTTGCAACGGAGATGTTGTAGTATTCCATTCTGATAGGTATACTCATTTCAATTTACCTTATAGTGGTACAAGGGGTTCCATAGTTATTCATGCAGATAAAACTGGAGTAAGCTATCAAAAAGATGGGTTTGGTTGGTTCGACAATATTTACTTTAAATAGATAATTACTGGTTATCTTACCTAATGACAAATCGTCTTATTTGTACCTATTGTCTTAAACCCTTTCAGTATCTTCTATCATCTTCCATACATGTTCGAGAAATGAGCCACAAAGGTGCAACAGTATCTCTTTAAGCTTGTTAATTATTGACAATTCTCAAGTAGAAATTCCTCCAGATTCCTCTTCTCTATCTTCATATCATCCCTGGGTCAATGGCGAAGGAGAAACATACGAATCATTAGTAAGAGTTTCATTTGTGGGCAAAATTTGTGGCTTATTGTCATTTCTGAAGACAGAAAAAGAAGCTAATTATCTTCTCAGAATAGCCAACGCTCAACAAGCTCTTTGTTCAGCTGAGCAAGCGGCACTAGATCAGAAAATTGCAATTACTAAACTTATAATGGAATTGCATTTTTGTTGACTAAGTAAAATTCAGATGGAAAGCTCTGAGGCCAGACAAAACGCTGTGCGAATGGAAGGAATCTTGAATAAAATCCAAGGATGTGGTAAGAGTCATTCGTCTATCTGCGGACACCTTATCAGATGTTACTTTCGCTAGATAACTCTGTTGGAGCTTGCCCTGCAACTCCTAACACTCCTCCCTCTATGGAGCTAGATTACAACGATACCTATGACGATGAGGATGATATATGTGAGCCCTGGGAAGACAATGCCGAACCCCACCCACCTACTACTGAGGGTCTCAAAGATCAAAATACCGAAATTCGCTACTTTGACGAAGGTTGTCTATTTCTGCCCTTTGTTTGCTTCCCATTCTAACAAGGTTTTTAGGAGTCAGAGTTTATCGCTTTGGAGGCGCTACAGGAGGTCTCGTATTGGATTGAAGAAAATGAGGCGGGATCAACTATAGTATTTTGAAAGAAATTTTGTTCTTATTCTACAATAGGAGAGTTATTTTGTACTTGTGGATCTGAAAGTCAGAGGCAGTTGTGTCAAACATTTCTCTGGGCATAAAAGGCGGCATTTCGAGAAGATCCGGCCTTAGGAAAGAAACAGTGGGTCCCAAAAAGCACGTTACCTTTGTGGACCTACCATTGCTTTGTGACCCATCTTCTTACTGGTCTTTGCATTTCTTTGTTGCTCAATTATTTGCTTATGAGTAGGAGACCTGATAGTAACGCAGGCCCCCCTTTGCCTCGTATGTTTTTCTATTGATTTATCATTCATTTTTGAACATTTTCAAATAGAGGTGAAAACGATTTCTTCCAATTGTTTTTTTAAATTCTTACTATATCCAGAGGTCAAGCAGCCGCACAAACAAAGGAAAGGGGGGGCATGCAAATCAAATGCTGGAAACAGCTGATAAGATGTTGCTTTCTCAACGATTATCTCTTCAAGGGGCCAATACTATTTTTCCCGAGGACGCTGTAACCAATCCTATGGCACCTCCACCAGAAAAACCAGTTTGTTTAGATAACTATAATGAATTTCTCTTAAAAAGCTAATACTTCTTCCTCTAGAAACGAGGAAGAAACAAGAAGGCTAGCACTCAAACTAAGGGCCAAAAAAAAATTAACGAAATACCGTCAGCCTCTTCTTCCTCTTCCTCTGTTCCAAATATGCTGCCTTTGGTTTCTCCAACATCTGGTTATCCTCCGCCTGCTCCTTTGTCTAGTCGTCAAGTTCCGCTACCATCCAAAGTACCTATTGCAGAAGTTATTGCTCGAGAACAACACCATACGGTAGAAATATACCAATTTCAGAAAGAAAACCATAGCTTATACCGGTTTCAATATAGAATCAAAGTCAAGCTCATACTTCCTTTGTCGTGGGTAAGCAAATTACTCAAGGATCAAGCAGCGGTCATTTTGTTTACTTAGGACAAGGAGGTGACTCTTTCGACGTTGACTCACAGTTGAATGAAAGAGCGACAAGTATCAATCACAGTCAGATCCTTAGACTTCCCGAAGATATACGCACTGGAAATGATGTAGGAGATTTTGACTATAACGGTAACATGGGACGAGGATCTACAGCTTCTAGCGGTGGAAGCCATTACTATGGCTCACAACCAGGCTCCGTAGTGGGTTTTGGTAGTGGTAACGCAAATCTTGACGGTTATGGAGGGGGCCATGGCAGTGACAAGACCGTGCCTACAGGTCAATAGCTATAGAGGTTCTGAGGCCGGATCTGGCCCAGGAATGGCCCAGGATAATTCCGAGGTCCGGAACTGAGTATTGGCCTGTAGTACACACTGGGAGTGGGACGTCGGTGAAGCTATTAGCAACACCCTTCACACACTGTTGTGTCCCCGGGAATATAATGGCAAGGATATAGTGTCAAGATGAGTAGCCTAGATGGTGTTCCTGTGATCCGGTAAAAGAGATATTAAAGAGTGGGATAAGGTGGTACACTTGATTTCAAGCTTGTGTCAAGTCCATGCCGCGGGCCTCCATTCCGCCGCTCGGTATTCCGAAGATCTGCTTTTATTGTAATCTCTTCCTATTGTTCTTTCTCGCTACACATATCCTTTCGTCCTAGTCTCTCATTATTGTCTTTTACTCTTTCGTTCTAGTCTCTCCTTATTGTCTTTTACTCTACCCTGCAGGTACTACTCGTATAGCTCCTAGTAGTTAGTCTGGCGCTCCGCACCGATGCGCCGCTCCGTAGATATAAATACTGCCTGTACGCTACTGTAGTTCCTTAGTTTAATTATCAACTTAGATCTCCCTTCTCAACTTAGCTCCTCTCTAAGTCTTCAGGCTCAACGCCTTGAAGTACTCTCTCTACAGCCTTTGGACTTATAAGTTCTTTGGCCCGCTCCTCGTCACCGGCGATACCGCCGCTCCGACTTGGCTGCTTCTCAGTTCCTCCCTTCTCTACTCTCGATCTCCGGGGACTAACGGCGTAACGGCGGTGTTGTTAATAACTTCACTACTGTCCCACTCGTCTTCCGCACTTAGACACCCTGTGGCTCTGGCACGGTTACACGGTGTACATGATCTTAACAGTATAATTAAACTCAATCCGTTAACGTCGTACTGACATATCATTTTTTATGCCTCCGAAAACTCGAGCTCAATCTAGAGCTAACTCCGAAGAAAACACTTTCTTCACTACAGCCCAATCATTTGCCCCATTCTCCGACTCTATCTCTGCAATTGGTCAACCACGTCGCCGTAATCGCGGTTTCGGTCCAGCTACAGTCCCTACTACGTCGACTCTTCCTGAAGCCATGGAAGAAGAACAACAATTTGAGTACAGCACTTTGTACACTGGTGACGGACAACCTGTCCAAGTCCTGACCCCTCGCCGTGGACAACCCCCCGTGGTCGCTCCGGCTCGGGGCCGGTCTACTACTCGAATTGATTCTCCAATTCTCCAAGCCATAGCCCGCCGTACGGGTAAACAACCCCAACGTCGCGCTGCTTCCGAATCTCCTCGTGACCCACCTCCTCACTTCAATTTGGACACCGGTGATCACGATGATCAAGACCCTCCTGTCGACCCCGACGATCCGGGCGTCGATAATAACAACGACGATCTGGATGACGATTCCGGCGGTTTACCGCGTGGTGAGCCTGGTGACCCCAGTGGACCTGGTGGTCCTGGTGGTCCCGGCGGTCCCGGCGGTCCTGGTGGACCTAGTGGACCCCGTTCCCCAATCTCTCCTGACATCCCCAACGAGCAACGTGCTATGTTGGAACTCCTCTCGGGATTCAAGGGCTCCATTGAGACCCTTGGTACCGTCCTCGCCGCTCTCGGCCGTCCCTCTGACAGCTCTGAATCCAAGAGCAAAGTCAAGGAGCCAGAGGTATTCGACGGTTCGGACCCCCGAAAACTCAAGACGTTCTTCGTCAATCTCGCCCTGGTCTTCAATGACCGTCCCAAGTATTTCACCGACCAACGGAAGGTGAACTACACCCTTTCCTATCTCAGTGGGTCAGCCAAAGAATGGTTTGTCCCTGATATCCTCGATCCGGATCTCGACTCGCTGCCGGCCTGGACATCCTCCTTCAAAGCCCTTGTAAAGGAGCTTCAGGACAATTTCGGCGTTTACGACGCCCAAGGCGAGGCCGAAGATTCTCTCGGTAATCTGAAGATGAAGGAAACCGAGAACATCCGGAAATACAACATCCGGTTCAACACCCTGGCGGCTAGTACCAACTGGGATTCTGCTGCCCTGAAATGGGCTTATGGACGAGGCCTAGCTGAACGCATCAAGGACGAAATGGCGCGTTTGCCCGAGCCGGCGACGCTCGCCGATTATCGTCAAGAAGTTCTCCGTATTGACAATCGTTATTGGAAACGCGAGGAAACTAGAAAGCGTGAGGCTGGTAAGCCTTTTGTCGCTCGGAACCCGAAGAAGGGTTCCTCGGACTTCAAGACTGGTTCTGCTAACCAGCATAACAATTCTCAGCCTTCTGGCTCTACGGCGCCGTTCACGCCGAAGCCTAAACCCTTCTCTGGTGGTAAGCCTAACAACAATGGTAAGCCCCAGAATTCTTCGAATTCCGGCCAATCCGGCGGTCAGCGCCCCGCGTTCAACCATCTTGGTGCAGATGGGAAAGTCCTTCCCTCCGAGAAGGAAAGAAGGATGAAGAACAACCTTTGTCTCTTCTGCGGTGGTAAGCATCAGATTGCTGACTGCAATAAGCGAAAGGCCCGAGAATCGAAGGGCCGCGCTGCCGAGGTTGAAGAAACCCCCGAAGCAACCATTGAGGTTGTTGAAGAGGATTCGGAAAACTAATCCGCAGCTCTTGTTCCCCGGTACGAAACGGGAGCTGCGTTGATCAGGTTCGTACCTCACCTGGGGAGTTATATCTCAACGCGTCCGCTCTTTCCTCTATTGAACGATCTCTTGTAATATCTTTGACTACTGAATTTTCGTTATCCGATTCGGCCGCGCCGGCCGAACCCATCTCTGCTCTTCTTAAATTTCCTACTCTTGTTGATTCTGGTTCTACTGACTCTTTCATCGATACTCGTTATGTTTCTCAAAATTCCATTCCTACGACCAAAATCTCTCCTGTTAATCTTCGTCTTTTTGATGGTTCATTATCTTCTAAACCCATTACTGATATGGTGAATATCGCCGTTCGGTTCCCTTCCGGCGAGCTGCTTCTATTACCCTTTTATGTTACTCATTTAGATTCATCTTGTAAAGCAGTACTAGGTTACAGTTTCTTATCCCGCTACAATCCGTTGATTGACTGGGCATCTCGAAACATTACGTTCCGTAACACTTCACACCTTGATTCTCCACAGACGTCTGTGCCTTCTGCTATCAACCCCGTTGTTGCAAAGGTCGCTGTTCCGCTACCGGAACCTTCGCCGTCGGTTTCACCGACAATTCTGGAGACCCCTCCTGGGGACTCACCTCGCTCTCGCTCTCGCTCCCGCTCTCGGACTTTACGGGCCAAGCCCCTTTCGTCCAAATTCCCCTTTGAACCCATCTACTCTTACCCTACGGTCTCTCAATTCGCTGCTCAACTGGAAACTCCTGAGGTCAACATTGCACTTGTCAGTGCTGCAGTCTTTAACAGGGCTTGCAAGGACGCTGGTATGGAACCCATTCTACTTCGTGCTATCCACTCAGAGGTCGCGGCCCGCGCCGCCGACCGCTCTTCCACCACTCCTACTGTCCCTCCACTCCACCCTTCTATCCCAGAAGAGTACGCAGAGTTTGCAGACGTCTTCGACGAGATTGCTGCAGATTCACTTCCTGAACACAGACCTTACGACCTGAAGATTGACTTAGAAGAGGGCGCTTCGCCGCCTCTCGGCCGTATTTACCCTTTGTCTGAAAAGGAGCTAGTTGCCCTTAAAGACTTTATTGATAAACAGCTGGCTACTGGTGCCATCACCCCATCATCCTCTCCTCACGGCGCTCCGGTCCTTTTTGTCCCAAAGAAAGACGGCAAACTTCGCCTTTGCGTCGATTTCCGTGGACTCAATCGTATCACCAAAAAGGATCGTTACCCACTCCCACTCATATCAGATCTTCTCGACGCTCCGAAAAGAGCTAAAATATACACCAAATTGGATCTCGCTCACGCTTATCATCTGGTCAGAATCGCTGAAGGTGACGAATGGAAGACCACCTTTCGGACCCGCTACGGCTCTTACGAATGGAAGGTCATGCCGTTCGGCCTTACGAACGCCCCTGCGGCTTTCCAGCGGTTTGTTAATGACATCTTCTCTGACATGCTCGATGTCTGTGTCATCGTCTATCTTGACGATATTCTGATCTACTCTGATACGCCAGAAGAACACCGAGAACACGTTAAGGAAGTTCTTCGGCGGTTACGGAAACATCGGCTCTACGCCAACCCCGACAAGTGCGAATTCAATATGGATACTGTTGAGTATTTGGGTTATATTCTTTCTCCCGATGGATTGACTATGTCCAAGGAGAAAGTACAGACAGTGCTAGAGTGGCCGGTCCCGAGGAAGGTTAAGGACATTCAGTCCTTCTTGGGTTTCGCAAATTTCTATCGTCGTTTTATTTATAATTATAGCGATATTGTTGTGCCGATGACTCGGCTTACCCGAAAAGGCGCTCCCTGGATCTGGGACAGCAGCTGTCAAGAGGCCTTCGAAAACCTCAAAATCGCTTTTACTTCTGCGCCGATACTGGCCCATTGGGAGCCGAATCGCCCACTTATCGTGGAGACCGACGCTTCCGATTACGCCATTGCGGCTATTCTTTCCATCCAATATGCTGACGGTGAAATTCATCCTCTAGCCTTCCTTTCCAGAACGCTTCATGCGGCGGAACTCAACTACGATACACACGACAAAGAGCTACTGGCCATCTTCGAGGCCTTTAAAGCTTGGCGTCATTATCTGGAAGGTTCGGGTGATCCGGTGGACGTCGTCACCGATCACAAGAATCTTGAGTATTTCTCTACTACCAAGGTTCTTACACGCCGACAGGTCCGATGGTCAGAATCTTTACATCAATTTAATATGGTCATTCGCTTCCGACCGGGGAAACTCGGCGAGAAACCTGATTCGATAACTAGACGCTGGGACGTCTACCCTAAAGAGGGGGATATCGGCTACGCCCAAGTGAACCCTCATAACTTTCGCCCTATCTTTACTAACGAACAACTCACTGCGTCTCTTCGAGCTACCTTCTTGGAAGGCCCGGTTTTACGAGCC